TTCTCAGAGCTTTCGAAAGGCGCCGGTTTTGAAGACTTTTAGGAGAGATATAGTATACGGCCTGGATTGTGAACGAGCTTTTGGGAGGCGGTAATGTGGGGGGTATATATCAAAAGGGTAAGTAGGTGTTGGCTGGTGCTTATTGCAAACCACCTTAGGTCACATTCGTTACGATCGGAGATATCAAGATTGTTGAATGGAACAAGTTCAATATCTCTCCACTGCCGTCTCTTGCTACGGTTCAGATGCACCTGGGAAGATGTGCATGCACCCTGCAAGCGTCAGTGACGCCAATGCCCTCCCTTATGGGAAAACTTCCATCCGAACGCGCACTCCCCACCACACTGGTGAGCACCTGGCAGCATCACTCTATAGACAGAACCCACAGCGCCTCTACCACAAGCCCACCGAAGAGTCAATGGCTCAATTTGCAGGTCGCATGGTGCCTTACCCTCGGGAAAACACCTGTTCAACTTGGAGTAAATCCACCTGAGAGGACGCCTCCAGGGGTTTTCGTAGCTGACCCCCTCGTTCGCCGCTGACGACTGGCGAGGGCAGGTGGTCGGTGAGCTTTTTGAGTGCTAACCGACACCGCTGAGAGATTTTCTTTTAGACTTCGCTCTGAATTGCTCCTATCAACCCAACATGAAAATGCAATACACCAAAATAATAAGACCTAAATGAAACGCCAAACACCGTTATACACAACCCGCTCTGTGAACCACAGCGAGCCCCCTCACAGATACTTCTTAGGCGACGTCTTCCTCCTCTTATAGTACACAAACGCGCCCACCAGCAAGCACTGGCTCCCAATGACGACCCAGATGAGCTTGGTATGCCCGCTCTTGGTGTGGGTCCGGACGTGGTCCGACAGCGCCTCGTGCTTGTCGCTGACATGGTACTTGATAGCGTTCTCCGAGTCCTTGAGCCGTCCGGACATCTCGTGGCGCATCGACCGCATCTCGGACTCGATGTCGCGCATGCGCTGCTCAAACACGTCGAGCTTCTCGAGGCGCGTCATGAGGCCCTTGAGCTCGCCGATCATGGCCGACGTCTCGGCGTGCCGCTGCTCGTCGACGCCCTGGTTCTGCGCGATGGACCGGAAGATGGTCGAGAGGTGGTGGTTGACCGACTGAAGGCGATTGTGCAGGTCGGCGAACTGCGCCTTGGACGACGTGATCTTGTCGGCTTCCTGGTCCGGGATGACGTTATCGTAGGGGTCCTCGACCTGGGTCTGCCCGCTGCGGCCGGTATTCAGGCGGGGCCGCCTGGGTTGGGAATCGCTGCCCTGGCTGTTGGAATCCTGCTGATTGTACGTGTTGGCGTACTCGTGGCTGTTCTCGCCCGTGAGCACGGCCAGCTTGAAGATTTCGAAGGAGTCCGCGGTCTCGGCCGAGGCGGCCGTAATGCCAAAGCTGTAGCCGCTCGGAATGCGGATCTTGGTGCTCTCGAAGCAGGGCCGGCCGGCCACCTCGACGCTGAACTTAGTCTCGGTGTGGCGCAGCTTGATCTGGGTCGGCCGTCCGAGGTTGCGGTATGAGAAGCTGCAGTGGCCAAAAGCAAGGTTGTCCACGTTTGGTTGGCTCTTGTAGTCGGTCGTGCCGTCGTTCAGGAAGCCCCGCAGCATGCCCCCCGACCCGCTGTGCTGGTCGACGACCAGCACCAAACCCTCAAACCTCCCCGCCGAGTAGACGCTGTCGGATCCAATGACGTGCGAGCCGTCCCTCACCAGCCAGATGTTCAGGTTGCCGCCGCCCCGCTCCGGCCCGTTGGCGCGGAAATCGACGTCTGCGATCCAGTTTTGGTGTTGTAGTGACTTGTCGGCCCAAACCGCTCCGCGCTGGTTTCCGGGGGCTACTGGGGTCAGGATCACCTTGTTCGAGAGCAGTTCGGGGACATTGGGCCGCCCTTGAAGGGAGAAATTGGGGATCGACTGTGACCCTTCTGGGCTTATCCTGTCGGTTGCATGGCGGATTAGCGAGTGCGGTCGAATGAGGCGGGTTCCAGCGAGAGCATTACCTGCCACTATGGCCGAAACTGAGCTCATTGATGAGGTATTGGGCTTGGATCTGGGCCAAGCCAGCTACGAGCAAGGCAAAGCTTGACGGTAAGCGCATGGCGGGCAATTGCGGCAGCCTCGTATCCGGGACAAGGGCAGAGAACAACTGGCAGCACTGTCGCGAGCACGAGGGCAACCGCAGAGCAAGCTATTAATGTTATGTATTATTTGGGAGAGTCGGCTCCCCGGTTTAGTTTCCGGCAGAATAGGACGGTGCTTCCGCTGCGCCCGGAGTTGAGGACACTTTGCAGCTCTTAACGATTGCCCGGGCCGGCGGTTTGGCCAATGTGGAGAATGCAAGCGCAAAAGTGAGTAGAACCTGAAACAACCAAAGGCGAATCGGTCAGCTTGTCAACAAACCACAAGCTGGAACCAAATATGGTGGGACTGGGGTGCCACCGGAAAAACAGACTATGTTTGCATGATGATGGGAATAATCACAGAGAGTAGGCAAGAACGAGTGCTGTACGGCTGGTATGCCCCAGGCACAAGCTCCGACCTAGACATGAAAAGTCCACGAAGGGAACAGCTGTGCTCAAACGCCGTTCTCCTGCCGAGAGCTTGGTTGGCGGCGGAAGCTCTTGCTCCAACTGGGACCTGGGACAAGGGTCTTGTCTCGTGCGACTTGTCCCCACACCGCTCCGATGCGGGGAGATGTGGCTTGACTAAGGTCACTGAGAGAGCACCAGTGGCGTCCGCAGATGTGGCTCATGTTGCGTCCCACTTTGGGAAATAACTGAAAGGCTGAGAAACAAGGGCGATTCATGTGACATTTGGTCTCTCACTTCAATTCGCAAAACAGCCCCAGCATGCCACCATGACTGAGATCTATCCTTCTCTCGCCCAGTGCGCAGTAGTGGCTGCTGCACTGAAGATCCTTCTTTTCCCTGCCTAGTGAGCAGCCTCTCTCCCGCAACGGCACCCTCTCCTGGCTGCCCATGTTCCTCGTAGCACTGACATTGTCACGGCAAGCAAATCCACCGACTTTGAGGTCCACCGCAACTGGCTTGCCATCACCAACAGCTTGCCACTGTGGGAGTGGTACTACGAGAAGACGTCCGAATGGACGCTCGACTACCCTCCTTTTTTCGCCTACTTTGAGTGGGCCATGTCGCAGGTCGCGAAGCTGGTCGATCCGGCCATGCTCAAGGTGTACAATCTTGAGTACGATAGCTGGCAGACAGTATACTTCCAGAGGTTTACTGTCATTATTACTGAGCTGCTCCTGGTCTACGCGCTGCAACTGTAGGCGGCCTGACCGCTGCCGTCAAGAAATGCGAATCACGGGCTAACGGACGCCAGGTTCGTAGACTCATCGCACGGAGTGTCGAAACGCGCTGCGCAGGCGGCCGCCATCTCCATCTTGCTCTCGCCGGGCTTGCTCATTATTGACCACATCCACTTCCAGTACAACGGTTGCATGTACGGCATCCTCATCGGGTCTCTGGTTATGGCGCGCAAGAAGTCGACGATGCTGTGGAGCGGCCTCTTGTTCGCCGCGCTGCTGTGCATGAAGCACATCTATCTTTACCTTGCACCAGCCTACTTCGTCTTCCTGTTGAGAGCCTACTGTCTCTCGCCGAAATCCATCTTCCGGATTCAGTTTCTCAACTGCCTAAAGCTGGGCGCCGGCATCGCGGCTCTTTTCGGCACAGCTCTCGGACCCTTCGCCCTCAAGGGACAGATCCCTCAGATCATGAGCAGGCTATTCCCATTCTCGAGGGGCCTCTGCCATGCCTACTGGGCGCCCAATGTCTGGGCCATGTACTCCTTTGTCGATCGGGTGCTTATCATCCTTGCGCCTCGGATCGGCCTGTCGGTGAAGGAGGGCGCCTTGCATAGTGGAACGCGAGGCTTGGTCGGAGACACATCCTTCGCGGTGCTGCCGGATGTCACGCCCCGCGTGTGCTTCGCCTTGACCCTGCTCTTCCAGGCGATCCCGCTGCTGAAACTTTTCCTGCAGCCGACGTGGGATAACTTCATCGGCGCCGTCACTCTCTGCGGCTACGCGTCCTTCCTGTTTGGCTGGCATGTCCATGAGAAGGCGGTGCTGCTGGTCATCATCCCCTTCAGCCTCATCGCTCTCAAGGACCGGCGGTACCTGGGCGCATTCCGACCCCTAGCAGTTTCGGGCCACGTCTCGCTATTCCCGCTGTTATTCACGCCGGCAGAGTTCCCCATCAAGACGGTGTACACGGTGTTCTGGCTTTTCCTCTTCCTCATGGCCTTCGACCGCCTGGCACCCGCCTCGAGCCGGCCACGGTTCTTTCTCTTTGACCGCTTCAGCACGCTGTACATCACGGTCAGCATTCCGCTGATTGCATACTGTTCTTTGGTACACCGGATCGCATTTGGCAAGAGCTACGAGTTTATACCCTTGATGTTCACCAGTTCATACTCGGCAATTGGGGTCGTCGGGAGCTGGGTAGGTTTTCTGGTAGTGTACTTCACGTCATAGACTTGGGTCGGCAGTTCAATGAGAAGGTACCAAATTTGAGCAGATGCTGGCTTCATTGTCGCGCAGCACAAAGAAGCAGTTGAAGTGGGCTCCCACTAGAGCCACGGGTCCGGCTCCCACTAGACTCACGGGTCCGTGTCGCTTAGTCATCGAACAACTGTATTAGTCACCACAAAAATGTATCTAACGCGGCCACCTCCCCGCGACTTGTCGAGTCGATTGACTAGCGCATGAATTGCACTCTGACCTTCGCATGCATCTCGACGTACATCTGCAATCCGGTTGTAGATGTCTTGCCTTGTAGCTAGCGAGCCGCTCTGCCGTACGAGTGTCTGGATCTCCTTCGGCGAGATACCAGCATCAGAGAAGCTTGCAAGCTGTGATGTACCTCCAGGGAGTTGCCGATGGACTGGGTGGGCCGATGGGTGCTGGCTGGGCTCATGGTTGTGTACCGCAAAGCGTTGATCGGGACGATGCTTCAGGGTTCAGCCGCCATCAGTCGTCTCTTTTGCTATAACTGAAAATGGGTAATGCATCTTCCGAGTTGTTCTTCTCTGACGCTCCCTATCGCTTGGAGGATCACCTGACCGATCGCATGCGTAGATGACAGTTGACGTGCCATTTTTCTCTTTCGTTGACCTTAGAGTCGTAAAAACGTAGCCTCTCGGCTTATCCCACGCATTGATTGACTCAAATACGGCCTGTCGAGACTCGAAATAGCGTTCGGGAGGAAGGTAGTCGTCTGGGAAGGTGGCCATGGTGATGGCGCCGGCTGTGGTCTTGCGGGCACGGGGAGGTGGCCGCGTTAGATGCATTTTTGTGGTGACTAATACAGTTGTTCGATGACTAAGCGACACGGACCCATGAGTCTAGTGGGAGCCGTTGAAGTGCACTTGCTTAGTCAGCTTGCATTCCTCATCTCAGCGAGCTGATTGGCAAGCTTAGCGCAGATCAACACAGGCACCTTCACGACCACAAACACCTCTATTTGAATCGAAGTATCGACCTGGACTCCAAGAAACGACACAAAACGGAAAGCGAGTTGTTCACATACTGATGCATTCCCATGAATCTCCTAGTTTCACTTCTATTCATTCCCATCCTCGTCTGGATGGTTAGAGTACGGATATCCGTACCCTAAACTGGAATCTGCAAGGCTGAGAGATCGGAGCTGCACGTCAAACCTTCTCAGCCTTGCAGACCCCACCGTTTACGCAAAGCGGTAACTGAGTCGGGTGGCGGCTCAGCAAACAGAACCCAGCAATTTGATGGCCGCGAGCTGCAAAAACCTGCCATGATTTCCGAGCACAAAACAAGGACTCGACACATCAATTGACTTGTCGGTTTTGTCTGGAACGCGAAGAGTCAATTAAGTAACATTAATGAGAAATCTGCGCTGATGCATTTCTTGGACGGGATTTCCCGTTTACTTCCCATTGCACTTACACACACACAAATAGAAGGTACCTGCATCCGAGTGAGGGTGAACTGAAAGGATAAACGATGGTGTTGAAGAGTCTTTGCACTCCGAGTCTGCCCCCCACTTCGGCCGCGACAAGATAGCATTGCTGGAGGAGTTCGTCTGAGGCGCAGGGGACGTCTGAAATGCTTTGTGCAATGCGGTACATGCATCTCTGCAGATGCGGTTGGAGATCGAGAGCTGCAGAGAGAACCAGGGGCGCCCGTTGGTAGTCGAGACGAACAAGGGGAGAATCATAGCATCCGGCTGCGTCCCAGACACAGAGCTTGGAGATTGTGTTTGGCGAATTCAACCATAGAGATGCTCCCTACACAGGTCATGTGGCTGTAGTACACCTGGACCCTACGCTCACCGACATGTGTAGCCGTCTACCGTGGGCGTCGAAAGGGCGCTCTCCATCTCGGGCGTGCGGACCCCTACCCACTGAAATTGAGAATCGCCCTGGACTTACAGGACCATAAATGATTCAAACGGGGTCCAATTTGCACGGTTTGAACGTCTGCAGATTGCCCTCATCGAGGCGAACAGGATGAGTACAAAAACGTGGGTCAAGTGCACATGCCAGGCGGGTTGGCTGCAGGAGAGGGTCCCCGGGGTGGTCGGGGGTCTGGACGAGGGGAGGAGCCGAGCGAAGCCCCGCGTACCCTGGTCGGCGGGTCCGGGATGTGCCAGCATGCTGAACTTGCGACCAAGCCCGTGCTTCTCTCCCCCCCAGTCCCATTTGCAGTTCCGTCTCCCCTGGGCTGGGTTGAACTTTTTCCTCCTCCCCATGTCTGCACCACTCGTTTTTCCTCTTTTTCCCTCAACATCATCCTCCGACGACCAGGCCCCGTCACAACCACGCGCAGCCATAACCGCGGCCACTTACACCGACGAGACTCCATCTGCATTGTGTTTTACTCGGCCGTAGCCGTCCACCGCCGAGAAGCATCAGCCTTGCATGCGTTCACCGCGAGCTTCTCCCCTACTCGGCGGCCACCAAACCCTGACTTCTCTCCACCCAATCCGCCACGGATCGCGACCGGCGGCCACAACACAGGTCCTTGGGCACAACAACGCGCCTCAATCGCCCGCACCACCGCGTTTGACGGCACCACCCGGGCAATTCCGTATACGGTTCATTTAAGGCCACGAGGCTGAGATATCAGCCTTGGAGCACTTTTTTGGGATTCTGCCCAGACTTTGACGACCACCTCCGGCATGGTATGCCGCAGCTCACTCACGGCACCCGAGGCTGTCTTCCCAATTCCGCTGACCTCACCCCTCCGCCAGGTCCTGTTTAAGCGCAAGCCGGTGCAGTTCCTGCCCGTGCCCGAGATCGAAGATGAAAACCAAGAGGTGGGCACTTGCCTTCATCCACCCAGGCCCCGACCAATTGCCCGTATCCGGGAGCTAACTAGCCCTGGCCTATAGGTCTGGCATATCCCCCAGACCGGTGAGATCTTCCTCTCGTATGAGGACTACCTGGATAGGTTTGTGTTATCTCCATCTCTTGGCTTGCCTTAGAGTTGCGCAAAGGGCGCGCTCTAATAGACAGCTTACTGACACCCAGGCAGAATGGACTTCTATAAGCAGGTATGCCAGTTCTATTTTGAGCGATAACTGGGCGTGGCCATGCTCACCACCATGTAGAAACGCTTTATATGCACCATCACCGGTCACTCGGGCCTGACATTCTTCGATGCGCTAGAGAGCGAGGTATGCCCATTATCCCTGTTCCTCGGTTCTCATTGTGCCCCTCTGTTTCTCTCATGTAGCGGCAACACACTAATACAGCGGCTCCCCCCCAGCTTGCTGGCGCCGTCGAGGTAGAACAGGCTTTCCCCGAGGCCCTCAAGGGCCCCATCCTCCGACGCGTCCAGTTCCAGACAGTGTCGCGCATCGACACGCTGGTCGACCAGATCTACGACGAGTTCAAAAACGACTACTACCCTGGCGAGGCCGTCACGGTGCACATCCTGGGCGGGGAGAGGTTGCAAGGCGTAGTGAGGGATAAGACGCGCTTCGGCAGCAAGGTCCTCCCTGATGGCACTCTCACACCGCCCTTCTCGCGCTACTTTGTCAGCCTGGACGAGCGCCCGGATGAGGAGGCCGTGGTAGACGACTCGCACATCTTCCGGGACCGCAAAGTGTTTACCAAGGCGGTACTGCGCTCGTTCATCAAAAAGACGGTGACCAGGGAAGCCTGGAATGGCGCGCCGTGGCTGGTCAAGCAGGATGTGGCCGAGAAGTACCATATTGACACTCGCATCCCGCCTCATCTGCGCTACGACAATAAGCTCCTTGAACGGAAACAAATGCAGCTCCAAAAGAAGGCGTCACAATCCGACTTGACCCAGCAACCCTCGGGCTCCATCAGCCCTACCGGGCTCAGGTTGCCGGAGCTGAAGCCTGCGCCCAAAAGCCACAAGTCCAAGGCGCAACAAGCCCTCCAGGCGCAGCAACATGCGATCAAGGGCAAAAATAGCACCTTTGGGGGGCATGAGCCTGGCTCGTTCGTGCACCTTCCGCTACCCGGCAACCCTTTCCAGTTTCCCGTGTCCTTGCGTGGCCAGGTGCCGCCGCCGATCGTCAAGCCGCCCGAGCCAACACCTCCGCCGCCTCCTCCAAAGTATCCCATCGAAGACTTGCAGGTGGAGCCTCGGGGTCTTGTTCGACCCCAGCTCCGGTATATGTGCACTGACACGCCAGTCGATGTGGCGCCCGACGCCAAGTCACCCTTCAGCGAGAAGATCCTGATGAAGTCGGTAGGCCCGCTGCTGGAGACGTGGGATACACTGAACGTCTACTGTGAGATCTTCAAGCTCGACTCGTTCACCTTCGACGACTATGTAGAAGCCATGCTGGTCGCGTCCGCCGATACGCCTGTTCAGCTTTTTGACGAGATCCACTGTGCAGTCCTCAAGATCCTGGTCACCTCGGAGGCAGAGGGTGGTAAGGTTCAGATTCAGCTGCCAGAACTGGAAGAGGAGGAGGAAGAGGCGGAAGATGAGGTAGAGGAGGAGAGCATGGTGCCGACGCCCGAACCAGAACCGCAACCTTCGGGCCGCGCCACTAGAAGGAGCTTGGCCAAGGCGGAAGCAGAGAGGCTCGCGGCAGAGGCGGCGGCGGCGGAGAAGGAGATGCAGCAGACAGAGGAGGCGCCGAAGCACCGCGCCGAGGAACTGCTGCGGAGCTACGACTGGATCGAACATCTCGCCAAACGCGATTTCAAGGAAGGAGGCTGGGAGATGATCATGGTTGGGCTGCTGCACCAGCTGTCCAAGAATGAGCGGCTAAAGGCCAGCTGCGAAGAGCTTCTACAACAGCTGGTTCCGAGCGACATCGAGCCGAGCCAGGAGACGGTGCGTCAAAGATACTCTGCCTTCGACGTCAACTATCGCGTGCAGGCGCTGCAGATCATTTGCATGCTCACGTCCGAGACCCGGGCGATCCGCGGGTACATGGAGGACTGCAGCGAAACCATGACGGCGTACCGGAAGGAGAAGATTGAGTGGCAGAGGAAGAGGAAACAATTGTGAGTGATGGATCTGTTTCCTTCTCGCTAAAGTCGACGCTAACGCTTTCGCAGAATCGAGGAGCTCAAGAGCCTCAACGACCAGCGCAAGATCCTTCTGCCGGACAATCTTCCTCCGAGCCCGCCTATGGAACCTGTCAAGACCAATGGTGATGTCAAGATGTCGGATGTGGAAGATCTGCCGGCGAACACGTCGGATGAGGTTCAGGACTCCGATGATGATGGACCACCAAGAAAACTACGGCGTGCCACGGACCGCGCCGCCGAGCGCAAGCGTAAGGCCGAAAAGGAGCAGGAACGGAAGGAAAAGGCCGAGGCGGCCGGCAAGGTGCCGAAGCAGTCCAAGCAGTTCCAGCGTGTGCTCAGGGACATTCAGAAGAAGGAGGACGAGATTGCCGAGTGCGAGCGCGAGATTGCCGTCATCGACAACGACCTCCGCGAGGCCGACTGTCCCCGCACGCGCGTTCTCGGCAAGGACCGTTTCTGGAACCGATACTACTGGTTCGAGCGCAACGGCATGCCCTACGGCGGTCTCCCTGACAGCTCCACTGCGTCAGCCGGCTACGCCAACGGGTGCATCTGGGTGCAGGGGCCGGACGAGCTCGAGCGCGTGGGCTACATCGACATGATTCCCGAGTACCAGGACGAGTACAAGGCCAAGTTCGACATGACGGTGCCGGAGCGCAAGAAGCTCGAGGAGGGCGCCACGAGCGTGTTCAACGCCTGCCAATGGGGCTACTACGACGACCCAGCGAGCGTCGACGCCTTGCTCGGCTGGCTCGATCCGCGCGGGTTCAACGAGCTCAAGCTGCGCAAGGAACTTGTCAATTACCGCGACAAGATTGTCAAGAACATGGAGAACCGCAAGGCTTATCTCGCTCCTCCGTCCGGAATAACCACTAAGGAAAACGGCGAAGACCCCGCCACCGCTACCTCCTCTGGGGCGGCTGCTGCTGTTGTTGCTGCGGCTTCAACAACAACTACCGGAGGCAACAAGCGGATGAGCACACGCGGCCGAGGCGTCACGACCATTGCCGGGCCTCCCCTTTCCGCGCCTCCTCCTCCAGAGTTGGAGCCGAAGTCGAAACCGGCGCCGGTCACGTATCGGTGCATGAACTGGCAGAACACCATGGCGCTCGAGGATATCGGGCATTTGCACAGCCAGGAACCGCCGTTGGCCAGGTCGAGGAAGATGACCAAGAAGAAGCAGGAGGCTGCTGTTGTCGCTGCGGCGGCGGCGGCGGCGAAAGAGGTGGTGGAGCCTGAAATGATTGTCACGAGAGGGAAGAAGGGGAGGCAGAGTGCTGGTGGAAGGTGATAGATGCGTTGACTTGATTGTGATTGTGCAATGGGGGGGAAAAGGGGGATGTAGGAGAGGAAAAGCTACTGTGTGTTTGGTTCATTGGTTCTATCTTTTATATTTCAGGTGTTGGCGCGTGTGGGGTGGTAGCATAAGGTATGGGTGTTTGTTTCTGGGCATTGTTTCATATCAGGCGTGGTGGGTGCCTCTCGGGGGATTGTGTGGGTTTTGCTGCTAGAGCTACGGTCACATTTGCATTTTCGTATCTTGCTGCGTCCGTCATGGAGCGTTTAGTTGGCTGACTGGGAGGGGGGGAAAGAAGGAAGGTATATGGAGGTAAAAACTTGGGAGGTATTTGTTCATTTGAGTATATTTGGTTGCCTTTGAGCACATGGTAACATGCTTAGAGCTGGGTTATGGAATTGCGTTGCTGTTTTTAGGGAACGGTGAATACACCCACCCCTCCTCCTGCCTTGCTCGGAAGAAGGCAGAGAAATAATCCGTAGAGCTCCCTGACTCTCAAATACAAGCGCTGTTTACACGGCTGACTGCACGCTTTCAAACGGGCAGCTTCCGGTTGATGTGTCTAAAGTATCTTTCTGGAAGTGAGAAATCAAGGACGGGAACCTGAAACCAGAACCGGCCCCGGTTTGGAACCTGCAGTGGCTGGCTCTGGCTCGGGTGACGCTGTCTGTGGGGCTCTTTCCTTTCAACGGCCTGCAGTGAATTGTTCTTTCCACCTTTTCCCTGTTGACTTACTCGGCAGCAACAACAGCGACGCACAACTACGAAACAGAAACCCGACATGGCACGACGGTGTGCGATGGCCCTGTTCCTCCTGGGCGCGAAGGCAGTTTCAGCTTGGGATCATGTCTCGAGCGGTGAGCTCAAGATGGTTGTTGAGATGGGAGACCCGGTGTTGGTTGCTTGTGAGTGGCGATGCTATGGTCAAGTGAGGCAGGGAGCGAAGACTGACCGGTGAGCGTGATGCAGTTATCAAGGTAGACGCTGTTTATCCCGTCTCATATAACCATAGGTCAGACATGTCGAGTTGCTGTTGGCTGACTCGGTTTGGCGCCACGCTCCTCAGCCCGATGGGTGAGTTAATATTCGTTTCTACATCGCCGATGGTATAACTACTATGAGGCCTGCAACTGACAGCCGCCAGACCAGCCAGTGCAGCTCTCGAGCAGGAGTGGTTATCGGCTGCCGCAAGTGGTGCGAAACACAAGCAGCAACTGCTAAGCGTGGACTGCTCCGCTTCCGAGGTCGACTGTGACATTCAGGAGAACATCGAGTTCCCTTCCATCTTTGTGTTGCAGCGAGACAAGCCTATCGCACAGTATCGAGGCACGAAACGTGCCGCGGCGTAAGTGTAGTGGCCACAAACCGGCACCTCATACCAAATCTTCACGCTGCTGACAGTTGCTTGCCAGGATGTTGCATTTCCTTTCGAGGCGAACCCGTCCCGTCGTCACGGAAGGCCTTGATGGTGACCAGCTTGCGGGCTTCAAAACGGCTGATGAGACGGTATTTGTCGCCTACCTCGACCAATCCGACCGAGACTCTGCTGCCGTCTTCGGCGAGGTCGCAATGCGATACCGCGACGAGTTCTCGTTCGGGACTGTCGTCGATCCTGAAGTGGCCGGATCACAGGGGTTGGAAGCTCCTGCGGTGGTCTGCTACAAGCTTGTTGATGGGGATACGGTGACGCTCAAGGAAGTTCAGGGGTTCGATGAGCTGGACAACTGGTACGGTAGCGGCTGATGCTGACTGCAATGTCGCGGAACTGACATGTAACTCAGGGTCAAGGAGGCGTCACGGCCGGTGATTAGTGAACTAACGGTCCTGAACTGGCAGAGGCTTCTTGATGTGAGTCAAGCTGCGCCTTACCTGGCATTGTTTCTAGCAGTGTTCCTGACAGAACGCAGCGCGGATGGCCAATGGTTTATCTATTTGGTTCTACCGAAGCTCAGAGGCAGCAGCTTCGAAAATCGCTATACAAGTTCGCCCGGAGTTACTACGACTCTCTGACCTCTGTCATGGTCGACCCGAACGAGTTCCCAGACTTGATGGGCCGGCTGGGGTTGGAACCAAGTGTCTTCCCGGCCGGGGCGGTACACCAGCTGTCGAAGGATCGCATATACCCCTACTCCAAAGGATGGTCCTTCAGTTCCGATGCTCTCCAGCGATGGGCCCTCGACGTCTACCAGGGCCGCATCAAGCCCTGGACACCCCCGGGTGTCACCACGACGTTCGAGGATCTTGGCCCGACTCGGGCTGCAATGCGGAAAGTGTCCATGGCCAGCATCCCAGGCGTCAAGATCAAAATTGCAGGACACGATGAACTCTGACCGTTTGCCATTCTTGCAGAGTGGTGATGTGTTGTTGTTTCAACCCCAGGGGGTCTTACCTACACGACCTCGTTCCGCCTCCTCAAGCACACTTCCAAGCCTCTGCTGCGCAGTTCACGCCCTATAGCCTCGCCCATGGCTTCAACTCTCCTTTTGCACCACCAATACGTTTTCCCAGGCAGCAGCATCCCAACAACACGATAAATGTGGTACAGCACGATCAGCATCCGAGAATCCCCGCTCGAGATCAGCGCCAGCAGCGGCCCAAAGCACATCATGGGAAACACCGTCACATACCGCATGATGTCGCCTATTTTGGCCCTTTGCTGGCGCGGATAACCGCTCTCCTTCACCCCAGACGCCGGACAGCCGCCATCACAAGCCCCAACGTCGTCCATGATGAAGGCCATAGCAACTGCAAGCCTCGCCACGAGCCTCTTGTACGCGCCGCGCACGAGCACCTCGTCACGGGTCCCCGCGCTCTTGACATAGGCCTCCCCTTCTTTGTAACTCTGGTACAGCGTCATGACCCTGTAGGGCGGCGCCGCCGTCGAGGGCAGGCTGGGGAGCAGTTCTTCGAGGTATGCGCCCGAGCTCACAGTTGGGTTGGATGTCGACCCCAAGGGTGAGCCTCCTGGACTGGGCGTTGGGGGGAATGAAGTCGAAGCAGAGCACAGACCGGGTGCACCGAAACTGGGTGGGCTGAACGGGGACGTCTCGCTTGATACATGTGAGGATGTGTGTGGCGGCGGTGTCGAGATGGAAAATGGGGTCGCTTCAGCCCCTTCTCGTCCTCTTTCTCTTCCCCCCTGATAGCGTAGGTTGTCGTACAGGCCGATGAGCCCGCGCGCATACCGCTTCCAGTTCAGACCCCTGGCCTCCACCACGTCCTCGAGCACCATGCAGGGTTGGAGCTGGCAGACCCGCGTAAAGACGGATTGGGCCGACTGGAAAAGCGGCCAGGCCATGAAGAAGATTTGGCGGACGCCCGTCGAGAGGAAGTAGAGCCGGTCTCCTGAGAGGTCCAGGGGAGCGTCGGGCTCTGTTTGGCCCTCTAGGAAGCTGAGGTCGCACCACATGAGGAATTGGATGAGGTTGGCCGTGGCAAGCAGCGCGTCGCAATTCTCGGCTGTGATTGAGGCCGAGAGCGACTCGCGGTAGTCGTGCAGGGCCTTGTCCAGGAGTGCGTACTTGGCGCGATGGTACTGGCCCCGGCCTGGGTGCAGGTAGTCGAGGTGGGCCGCTGCAAAAGAGAGCATGGCGTTGACCAGGTATGTGTGCTGGCGGGACTGTCACGGTACATTCAGCCTTGTTTTAGTTGCGAGGTTGAAGATTGGAGAGTGTCTGTCCGGTACGTACCTGGAAGGCCAGCTGCAGCATGCTGGGCCACACCCCCTGAAACGGTAGCGTGGACACGCTGTGCTGCTCAAAGTGGTGCAGCAGTTCCATATGAAGCAAATTGACGGGACCGCATTCTGCTTCGGACAGGGGGCACCAGGCCACTTGGGGCGGCAGAGACGTCAGCGGCGACGATTCTCGCCCTCCCCGGTTGGACGACGCCGGTCTGAAGCGGACGCATGTTTCGTTTCGCTTGACGCAGTTCCTGCATGGGTCTCTCTCGTCACACTGTAGAGGCAGGTTTCAGTCAGTATCTCCACGCCCTCCGTCTCGGGAGGGAGATGGTGACGGTCCGTACCTTGACTTTGCGTCTCTTGCATCGTACACAGCCCAGCCTCGATTTCTGGGGCCCCGTAGGGTCAGTATTTCATCTTGACTCCCCTTATGAAACCCTCCTTCCCGAGACAACCCTCCCCACCTAGTTTCTGAGTGGTTGGACATACCCGATGTGGCCGCTTCTTCCGAGCCTCCTGCGGTCCTACGACCCTGAGTGTCGGCCCCCCACTGCCGCTATGGGAGACAAGAAACGTGTTTGCAAAGGTGGTGACCGGTGCTGGACTGAACATGACCACTCAGGAATATGTAACAGGAAGGTGACTTGAGAGTACACCAGGAAAGGGGACTGGGCTCAATGACACACCAACCAACAATGAACGTAATAATCTTGGCTTCCGACCCTGGAAAGCGACGACAGACATAAACACAGACTCTGGCAACGGAAACCCACAAAGCAATGCGAAGGCGTGGATCTCTTTAAGAGCAGTGAGCTCTCCGCTGTGCTCACAGCCGGGAAAATCAGGAGTCACCAAAGAGACACGAGGTGGCAATGCTGTGAGCAACATCGCCGACTTTTCGGAACACGCAAGAGCGACACTTGGGCGGGAAGTCTGACGCGAAATGGCAAAAGCACCGAGATAAAAAGTCTCTTGAGGAGAGAGGTTATCACTCCAGACAAGAGGGCATCTCCAACTTTCGCATTCCCAAAGCGAAATGCGAGGTCAGAGTTGCCAGCTTGGCAATGCATGACGGCAAGCCGTCCACAGAGCGATTGGGGTGCCGAGACCACGGATTAATCAGCACACGCATCGCGGTGCGCATGACGCCAAGTATATGCTTGCGGTCGTCTGGCCTGACTCGACGAGGACTATCTCAGGCAGCAGTATTCTCCTTATGGGGTTGGTTATGTCAAAAGTCGTTTCCCGCCTCGATGACGCTGCCGGGTAAAAGAGTACCCCTGTAGGACAGAGCATGGCCAGGACGTGGTACCTCGTCTTTCCTAAATCATCCATCCTCTTGCTCAGCCATGAGCTATTATTCAGGTCTATCCTTACTGCCTATATCTCCTGTACGGACCTATCCAAGCCAGCATGCCACCTGTGGTATCTCAAATGCCTCCGTAAACCATCACAGAAAATATTGATCCAACCTTGCCTCGAGAAACCCATGCCCGCTATCCCTATTACTTTCTCTTCTCCCTCACCTCCTCGCCGTCCCCTACAACAGTCCGCTCGTCCTCGCTCAGCACCGCACCGCTCTCACTAACCGGCGGCCTCCCAGTCTGCCCACCCGCCACGGCCACCGGCGCCTCCCGGCCCTCATGCGCGGCGTGCAACTCTCTCTCGACAGCGGCCGCCTCGGCAGCATACCTGCACTTCATGCGGATGCGCTCGCCGTACCAATAAAACAACAGCGGACACGGCGTGCACGCGAGGGCCAGAAACGCCGGGATGGTGCTCGCCCAGTGGATGCCGAGATCCCTGTACATGTAGGTCGTGAAGAGCGGGAAGGCGGCGCCGAACAGCGACCGCAGCACCGAGTTGGCCGCCAACGCCGATGCCGCAAACACCGTGTAGCTATCGACCAGGTAGGTCAGCAGCGACAGGAACACGTTGACCAGCCCCGCCGCGAAGAAGGCCGACGCGACGATGGGCACGACCCAGTGCACGTCGGAACCGTTGGTCCACGCGAACCAGAACAGCCCCACGGGCAGGAGGACAGAGCCTAGAATGGCGGGTGGGAGCCGGGCCTCGGGCGGCGCCCTGCCGCCGTGGGCCGCTGCGACGCGGACGTAGCGCCGGTTGTCGACCATGGCGATGGCGACGGCGAAGAGCATGCCCACGGCGACGCCAATAAAGGCAAGGCCTCCGATTCCGGCGCTCCAGCCGCGCTGCTGCTGGAAGACGATGGGGAAGGCGGCGAAGAGGAGGTAAAGGGTGCCGTAGATGATGGCGATGTAGATGGCGGTAAGGAAGACGATGGGCTCAGTGAAGAGGAGAACCCACGGTCGGAGCAGCGTCGTCTTGATTTGCTCGGCCTTGGGCGTCGTGACCGAGAGGTCCATCTTGGAGACGTACACCTTGCCCGCTATCTTGGAGAGCTGAGCAGCCCGGCGGCGGAGGAGGACAGGCGCGTACGTCTCTGGGACATAGAGCGAGCAGGCGATCCAGAGGACGCCGGTGAAGATGGCCATGAGGCCCTCGACCCAGCGCCAGCCTTCGGCTTCACCCTGGGGGTTGTTTTTAGCACCGGCAGTGTGTGGGTGGTATGGGAGGGTGACTTACCAGAAATCCACCACTTATTGGCCCGAGGGTGGGACCGAGGAAGGGGGCCATGGCAAAGATGCACGTCGCCAAACCACGCTCTGTTGTTCTGTCAATACCGCCTCTCGAAGTCCCCTGACAACGTGACAAGCGCACCTTTGGCATCGAACATGTCAGCAATAACACCGCCCGAGTTCGTCAAGGGCGACGCGCCAAACGCGCCGGCGAAGAAGCGCAGAATAAGCAGTGTATGGATGTTTTGCGCACTAGCAGCACCAGCACTGAAGGCTGCCAGGCCAGCGTAGGTGAAGAAGAAGACGATCTGTCTCCCGTAAAATTCTATCCATCGTAATCTGTCAGCATTGCTTCTTCGCTCGTCCCTCCGTTCCTAATCTTCCCTCGAGAGTAAACATACCACTAAGAGGCGCCCACAGCAACGGCCCGACGGCAAACCCAAATACGTACAGTGAGATACCCAGGATGGCCACCGTCGTCGACACGTGGAAGTACCGAATGATCTCGAAGACACCTCCCGAGTATGCCGTGCTCACGAATGCCACGGCCAGCGTGGCAAGGGCCTGGAGCAACGTGATGATCCATTTCTTGGACATTGGATATTGTAGCGGGTTGCTCCCGTCTTCGGGAAGGAAGTCGACGACAAAGGGGGACTCGGCAGTGCCTTGACCGGGGTAGGCATGGTTCAGGACCGCATCAGTGACGCCGGAGGGATGGGTGACCAGGAACCAGTGCGAGGGAGTGTTGCGGCGGTTTTGTGACTCGATATCTGGGCCGGATACGGTAGCAGATCCTTTGGCTGTGAAGAAGGAGAAGGAGGAAAGCGACGACTGAGGAACGGCCATGATCAAAGGCCTGGTAGAGCTTGCCAGCTTATATTGGTTTGCCGCGAACTTGTCTGCGATATGATGAGATACCAGAGCGCGATATTAAATGTCCTACAGGAATCCTGGTTGAAGGCAACATAAGGAGACAAGCGAAGGCCAGGAACCGGACCTGGCAACGTTCTATATGGCCAAGCTGGGATGGATTGATCCCTGGCAAGACCCGAGTAAAAGTCCATCGTCAAAAACAGCAGTCGCCGAACCTGAACCCCGTTCCTCAGTCGAGGGAAGCGCGAGGGCCCACCGATGGCAGGATCGTACGTTGTAATCATAACAGCCCGGCAAAACTGGATCCCGGCCGGACATCATCAAAATCTCGGAGCTGCCGACAGCCCAAGCCGGTCTCGAGCCCAACATCACGGTTCCCAACTCCTCCGCCGCCAGATCCCTTCACCCCAACGCCTGGAAACCGATCAATACTTGAGGCGCTCATTCAAGCTCCATTGGTTATCCCATAGGTAGTGGGTTCTGGTTCAGCGCCAGTCAAAATCCTTCTGCTGAGGCAGGTGAATCAAGCGGTTGGACATGGCGAGTAGCTGAGCGAGCCCCTGGCTGCTCCGCTGTCCCTAGGCTGAGGCTCATCGACTGACGGCCACCGAACCCGGTATTGAACGCAATAGCGCTGCGCGTAAGAAATTGGCGGCTCCATACGGGGTATGAGACGGCGAAGCGAGCAAGAGCTCCGACAACAGCTCCGAACGATTCAGAGATCTGAGTTCCAGCAGCATGTGGGCCGCATGGTCAACATCGGTCCTAAGCCCTCACTCAACTGATGCGCTCGGTGGCATGATCAGTTTCAGCCTGTGTGTCAAGGCAAGCGTCTAGACGTGAAATGGTCAACATAGAAGAGCGCTGTGCTCTGTCTCAGTTTACCATTGAGATAGGGAAAAGAGGTATCCATACACTTGGCAAACATCGAGGTGGATAAACAAGCGCCACCTCGAAGCGCCACCTCGTCATTCTTCCCGTCCGTGGAGGTACCGAGCGCCGACTTGCTCGCCAAAACAAGTTAGCTGGACCTGCAGATCCATCAAAAGTGTCGACGGAGGTGGTCAAAATCTCCCGAAAACCGTCTCGGGATGAGCGCTGAAGACACGTGAACTCCACCACAAGCTGACGAAAAAATAAGCTTGCAACGATCAGAAAAGCCGCGAAGGATCGGACATGAAAGCGCTTGATATGATTCGCTCACACGCGAGAAACGGTTTCATTGTCGAAAACCAGTCCTTAAAAACGTGTCGGGTCGGACAACGGCAGCCGCTGAAGATCCGCACAAAATGTGCACGAGGTGTAAAACCGAGCTCCTGCTCAGCGAGATGCACCCAACTTTGTTTGTCGGCGGGCAGATGTTACCACAGAAGAGTACCACCCTGAGCACGGCATGACCCTGAACAACCGTTGCTGTCTTGCCAAGGATGTTCATCCAGAAACCAGTTAGAAATGGCCAGAGAGTAGGTAGTGGACGACTTGGATCCTCGAGGTGTTAAGGTATGCAAGGTCCGCGGCGAAAGGTCGAGTTAGCCGCAATTGATGAAGCAGTTGTACTGTACGTGATGCACATAAGCCTCGGAGCTGGTTGGCCGGAATTTTCCATCCGTACTGCGCAGCACATACCGAGCGTTGGATCGAGTGTGTGGCATAAGGAATGCATGTTTCAGGGACCATGGTGTTTCCCAACCTCGCCGGGATGATCCGAAGGGCGGGTCCCGGAGGGGCCAAGTCCAAACTGCCAGCCCTAACAGTGGGTTGATGTGGAGTTGCCCAGGAAAGATAGACGCCAAGAACCAAGTTTTTGTGTTGAGTCTAGAAATGACAGGCAAGTTGCCAACTTCCGCCGAAACAATCTCAACCTCGAAAACGTGAGGAATTGAAATCCAACTTGGTTTTACGGACTGAGACGTAATTGCACCGGTAATGGAAGCGGGAGTCTGCTTGCAATGGAACGCGACCAGAAAAGATCCAATGTTGGCAAGAGACGCGGCAAACCTAGGCACTACCTGAGGCGGCTGCTTCCAGGTTGTTGAGCTCGCTTCGCCATGCTCTGGCGCTGCATCGTTGGGTAGCTCCTGTCCCGGCCTGGCTCCCATCACTCATCAACTCACCTTGTTGGAGACTGCGCTGACTCTCTTTCCATTCTTGGGTTCATTGCAAGATGAATCTCGACCAACTTCGCACTCCACAGCAGCAGCGATTCGTCCAACACAAAGCGAGAGAAGGCTTTCGGAGATACCCAGCAGAGCCCAAGAACGCTCGAGGAGTCCCCGCAAGATATACAGGCTGCGTCTTCTCGCAAGGCGGGAGTCAGACAAGTATCACTTTCGATTCTACTTTCTACGAACCTCAGAATCGACTGGCCTCGCCCTGGGCAGTCTCGGATTCACCTTTCCGCCGACACAGCTACTTCTGCTTCGGCATTGGGCGGTCTTGTTAGTCAGAACGCCATATATACCCGGGGATGGGTTGAGTCCAAATGACGACGTTACGCCTCGTGGTGTAGTGGTGGTTGAGTGGCATGGATGACAACAGTTCGAAAGGGATACATGTGCAGGGTTGTGCCTGTCTTGCTTGACTCGAATGGCTAGAAAAGTATGGATCCGGCATCTACGCAGGATACACATGACGGCATCTTTTCTTTCCCCTCCTCCTGTTCTGTCATCGCTCGAGGGGGCCGCTGTGACAGCAGAAGGTAGCATCTTGCACAACCGGCAAACCAAGCTTCGACCGATCAGCCATTACGGTCGGCTGGAATCATTTCGTACCTTGCAGGCCGGCCCGGTGTTCAAGCCTGCCAGTGGGTTGCTTCCCACGCTTTGCTCAGCCCTGTGGCCTACATGGGTAGACGCATGCTCTCGGAAGATCGATACTAAAACTGAATGCTGGCTTGGAGCTCATTGGGATCATGCCCGCACCACGGTGGCACGGCGTTGAAGGGCAGCCTCCTTGTTCGTCCCGGCGGTTTGCATCTTCCCAACACAAGCCCCAACACAAGCGGCTCTCCAAACGCTCAACAGAGCACCGAGTGTTGCTGGATTGTTCCCAGTGTGGGAACGGATTTGCAATCAATCCCACCTGTCGAGTTACATTGTGATCTAGTCCCCGATGCCTAACGATTTCGCTTGAGTCCTGCGTCAGTATGAGTCGAGACCCGATCCTTCGGACTGGTGCTCAACTCACCGCCACTCACACCCCGCCACAAGTCTCGCGAAGAGAAAGAGGCCGGGCATCGTGGGCCGCGGGAGACAGTTTGGCACTTGCATGGTGGCTTGTCTGAGCCACACCATTTGAGCTGGAAGCCTGGAAGGTCGTGCAACAAAACTCGGGAACGGCCATTGACGAGTAATCATGTGTAACGTCACTGACCTGATGCTCATAGGCCCAGCCTTCGGCTTCGGGCAGTTACGAAGTCCACTCTTTGGTTCAACGACATTCTGTCGGGCCCGCGTTGCCCTACAACGTTCTTCTCTTCCGCTTGTCGGTCATGGGGGAGTCGTCCTCTGCATCTGTCACTCCGCTCACTCACCTGACAGCGCACATTGCTGCCCTGGCTCGCAAATGATGGCGGACGTCCTCTGGCTCCAACAATGATGCCCTCCGCTTCGGATGCGGTGCCGTTACTGGCCGTCTGGTCCGGCACAACTAACGGATGGACTCGCACACCTCGAATCCCATATCCGTACTGTCCTTTGCCTTTGTGTATATCATGGCTGATATTTCTGTTGGCGTTCGTCAACCGGTCGTCGGCCATGGACCCGGTCGAGAACTTCTGCAGACGGTTCGGCCACCAAACAGCCGTAATTGACAGAAGGCTATACATCGACGGCGGTTTCATCAACTATAACCCGCTCTCGCAATACCCAACGAATTACTCTAGTGAGTAGTCGACATTGTCGTCCACACTGCTTTCCCGCCAACGACTGACACATTTCCAGACTTCGGACTGCATTACCATGACCTCGACACGCCGGGCGAGAAGCTGATGCCTCAGCTTTATGCCAATTTGACCAAGAATACCACAATACCCAGTGTCAACGGAGGGACCCTTTGGGCAGATAATGTCAACAAGCGGCTCTATCTCTTTGGCGGAGAGTACTACCAGCAGCCCCCATCACAGCAATATACTCTGTGGTCCTTCGACACCATCTACAACACATGGGAATCCTTTGGCTCTCCGGCGCAGGACGATATTGGCGCCGTCTCATACGGCGCCGGGGTATCCGTCTCTGAAACGGGTGAGGGCTACTACTACGGTGGTTGGAGATCAAACAACACCGTGCCGGGCTGGACTGGCCCGCCGCTTGCGCAGACGGGCCTGGTAAAGTACACCATGGACTCCAACACCTGGTCGACGGATGCGGGACCGGACTCGGTCGGGAGGGCAGAAGGGTCCATGGTGTTTATTCCCGTCGGAGATGGGGGGATGTTGGTATATTTCGGCGGCGTCCAGGATCCTCACGGCAACGGCAGCTGGGTTGGGCAGCCGATGGAGAGAATCTTTCTGTTTGATCTCCTGAGCTCGAAGTGGTACATCCAGAATGCCACCGGGACAATTCCGCCAATGCGGAGGCGGTTCTGTGCCGGGGCGACTTGGGCACAAGATCAGACGAGCTACAATATGTAAGTCAGAGAACAAACTCGAGGGTCACAACCGTACGGCACCTGACCCAGATGCAGATATCTCTACGGCGGCGTAGGCATGCCCCCAAACACGGGGGGGTTCGACGACGTGTACGTTCTCACGATCCCCTCGTTCCAATGGATCAAGATGTACCCAACAGACGGCAGCTTGACCGGCGAGTACGGTCACCACTCGCTCAGCTGCAATGTCATTGATGGCGCCCAGATGATTATCATTAGGGGCACATTTCCAAACAGAGACCATTGTGACGTGCCGGAACAGTACGGCGTCCACAACATGGATATGGGCCAACAAAACGAAGAGAAAGCGCTATGGAAAATCTTCGTCACGAACATCACCAAGTACGCCGTCCCAGAACCCATCATCGCCGCCATTGGTGGTTCAGCGGACGGAGGAGCAACCAAGACCGTCCCCGACGCGGGATTCGACAGCTCCGATCTCCGTGTGCTCATGACGCGCAAAGCCCATATCCCTAGCAGAACACCAACACGCCCTCCCGCACCAATACGAACACCCGGTCAGGGCAAACACCTCTCCACAGGCGCCATAGCCGGTATCGCCGTCGGAGGTACCGTGGCCCTGGTATCCTTAGCCCTCGCCGTCATAATCCTCATCCGCCGCCGCCGCTACCTCCTGTCAGACAGCCAACCTCAGCCCAATTACGCTCCCACTAGCCCACATGAATGGAGTCCTCATGCCACTAGCTCAGCGACTTACACCCCCAACAGCCCGCACCCGCACAGCCTTTTCCTGCACCACCACGGCAACGGCTACCTTCTCCCGTCTCAACCAGCCGAACTCCCCGTCCCCTCATCACCACAACCCCGGTTCGCACCGGGCATGACATCCTGGCTGAGCCCAGACGGCTTTCTGTACGAACTTGTGTCCGGGGCGCAGCATCCGGACGTCGCCGCCGTTGGCGCAACGCCAACGGCAGCCCTGAGCGGAGGCCTTGGCGGCGGTCACGGTGGCCATGACAGCGGAATGGACACTGGGACAAGCAGCAGTGATGCTAGTGGACAGCCGCACCCGCAGACCAAGGTTGACTCGGAGGGGAGGGTGTGGGTGCAGGTCTCCAACGTCTCGCCGCATTCTCTGCCGCCGTCTTCCATCCCGCCTGGGCGGCCGTCGCTCAAGGTTACGGGTGGTGGAGAAGGAAGAAGGGGGGGGAGTCCCGGGGGATTGGGGTCACAGCGGTACGATTCCAGACCGGGAGGGAGGGAGCCTGTGATGATGCCTGGGTCTGAGATGGAGCAGCAGCAGCAGCTGGTGAGTGCTTCTTCTGGTAGGGTGCCAGAAGAACCGCAGGAGTTGAGCTGCGAGTCGACGGGTGAGGCGGAGTGGGATGCGGCGCATGGACGGCCGCGGCATATGACTTTTTATCATGCTTGATTTTCTAGAATGGCTCAGGCTGGGTTTCTTTGGTGTGGGTGGCTGATGAGTGTGTGTGCGTTCTGGGTGGATGGGGCAACAGCAGGATAGTTGGTTGCTGCCAGTGTTCTTCAGTACGCAATGGGGAGGGGGTTTCGAGAACTGCCCTAGATACGACTCGACATGTGATTAGCAAGTCCACTGAAGCCACGAGTTCAAGGACTGTTACAGTGAGCCTACGTGTCTGTAGGCCGGATAGATATGTCGGAGAGGAATGAGAGCAATTGTTTGGTGCAAGGCCGGTTGGTCTCGAGGCTCGGAGACTTTGGGCTCGGAGACGGCTGCTAACCTTCCGCTCGTAAGTCAGCAACCTGACGGTTTGTTGTCGATTGGCCGATTTTGAAGCTACTAGTACGGATAAGGCAGCGATGTTACCCAAGCTGACACCACAGCCCAACAGTCAACCAGGACTTCAGGAGCAAAATACCCTGGCTGTGGTGGCTCCTAGTTCACCCCAGCAATTCCAGGGTTGAGAAGCGAAGCTTCCGAACACTGTGTGGTATTAGCAAGGTACAGTACGCTGTTGTGGCGACCAATTTCTCCTCGAGAAACTCTGGAGGATTGAGCCAGTAGTTAAACGAAGCTCTCGCTCATTCCTCATTCCTCATGTTTAAACACGATGTCAGAGTTTCGTCATTGAAGCTTCGATACTTTGGTTGATTGTGAAGGTCTTGCGCCTCGGTGGCCATCTTTCCACTGATATTTCCTCCGACCTGACAACAAGGGGGTTGAACAAGCACGGGATAACCCAGATACAGTTCGATCACAACAACGGCCTGATCAGCAACATGGCGCCGAGCACCAACAGCAGCAAGCAGGGGAAATTTGACGACCGGAATAGCGAAGCACATTGTCTTGTCACACGAAACGACCCATCCTTCCCTGCCTCCAACTGGGAAACAGTGGCTGAACCGCGCGGAGCGAGCCCGAAGAAAGTCACCAGACGCTTTGTTCTACAGGGTGGTCTCAGATGGCTCCTAGCAGCCACTCTCGGTGTTCTCTACTACGTCGTCATTCTAGTCTATCAGGGACGTACACTCACCTCGGGTCAAAAGTCGATACTTGACGCTCTCTTTGTTGGTCTCAGCGTCGCCATGGGCCTGAACATGGCTACAGCACTAAAGGAAATCGCCACGCATATGCGATGGTGGTTCCTGGATAAGGGAGCGGCGCACATCCGTGAGGTAAGTCCCAGTCTGCAACATTGAAATCAAGGGCTATTGCAACGTACAAATTGACGAGCTTCTAGATTGAAATATCCAGCCTGACGTCGTTATTTGGCCAATTGTGGACATCGCCGAAGCCGAAACTCCAAGTTGCTTGCGCAGCATGGATTTTGTTGAATATCGTACGCAATTTCCCCTCTGACCCGAACGTACCACCGAGACTAACATGAATGAAGGCTGTCCAAGTAGCAATCTCGGTCCTCTCCCTGACGTACAAAGCAGACCCTGGAGTCCAAGACATCTACTTGGACGCCCAGCAAAACATGGTTGCTATCCCAGACATGAGCCGGTTCGTGATGCAGGGGAGGTTCCAGGACGGATCTCAGCTACAGTCGTATGCAGCACACATTTTGGGAGACATCGGCAGCAGTTACAACTACTCCATGCTGCCGGAGGAGCCCCTGACCGAACAGCCTGTCGCGAAATACCCATCCTCATTCTGGAACGCAACAAACCATTGGGAATATGTCTTTGTCAACTCAGCTCCCGGCCAGATCTCGCGAGACTTCAACTTTCTCTCCGTCTTCTCCAATCAATCCATCCTATCATCAGCCACCTGCCTGACACCACCGTACGATTTCCATCTCAACAGCACTACTCAGACAATCGTAATCCAACAGAGGGACCCGGGCACCAACAGAACCATCACCTTTCCCACCTTCGGCGTGCTAGAAGAACAGCTTGTCTACCTTACCAAACCCTTCTCTAGCGAGGAGATTCGAAACCAATCCGACACAACAGGTCACTGCGGACCAGGATGCAGCACCGTCGACGTGCTCGAATCTCAAGCCGGCCCTCCAGCCCAAGACTCGTTTGTCAACCCGGACTCGTTGTTTTTTTACTACGAGTGCAACATCACCGTCGCACCCAAAGGCGACGTTCCACGCGCCGGCCAGTTCAACCTGTCAGCTACCAACGCAGCCCTCGCCGCGCAGGCCATCGCCCTGTCCGGTCGGACCATTCTCGAACCCGAAGGGACCGTCTACACGTCATATAACCTGGGCTTGCCGTTCGGCCAGGTGCAGAATAACAGCGCGGCGGGGATGGCCGCCATGGTTTCCCGGTTTGCTATCGGCGTTGTGGCTGCGGCCGCGCAGACCAATCCCAAGATTTTGGTACCGGGACGCCCGCCGAGACAGGGTGTTAGCCTTGTGCTGGATCAACCTGCTGCGTTTGCTGCCATTCTCATTGCGACGCTGGGGGTCCACTTGGTGTTGTTTGTGCTTGCGGTTCTGATGGTCAGAGGAGTCGAAGTTCATGGAGGAATCGGGCGTGATGAATCGGAAACGGAAGCTGGAACGTGATCCGTTTTGTGTGTATAGCGTCAAACCATGTGTTCAGCTGTATCCTTGAAGCATGGAGTCTCGATAGAAGCAACGGCTTATCGGCTTATGTTGTACAACTGCGAGACCGGAGGAACCGGGTGCGCATCGGCTGAGCTCCGGAAGAGACTCCGAGGTGTGGGACCGACGCCACGGGAGCTGCCTGCCAAAATATTCTTAGCTCGCGGCTCTGCTTGGGCTCCGGGAAACAAACGGCTGGTCGGGTGGGAACGGGCAAAGCCTCAGGCATCCGGTTCTACCCTGTCTCCACAGGTCTGATGAGCTTGGTTGCCGGTGCGTTGGCGTGTAGGATGGATGGGCAAAATCGTCTGGCGAAGCCGAGCAGGTGCTCGGGAAGCCATGAGGCGCAGACGAGCACCGGATGCTGTCTGTTGATCGGATACCGTGCATGGACGGCCAGCACATTTGCCGGCCATGTCTGATATCTTATCTTTGAGATCGGGTTCAGGAGGTTAGGATAACGTTCTCGAACGCCATCATCGGCCAAGCCGCGGTTAAGAATAGGTTGCAGCATCCCATCCACGGCCTGGGGGGAGGAGGGCAAGCGGGAAGGGTTCGCGCGGGGGGCAGTCCACAGCATCAACCCCCACCGCAATGCGCCTTCGTCAGGTCTTGTTCGTGGTTTGGATGCAACTGAATCGTGCGAAACCACCTCCAGTAACCTCCAGAACCCGCCACTAACCGGACGCCTTGATAAGTGGTACGGTGACACAGCGGTTCTTATCTCTCTGGGCTCTATCTCGCGATTGACTCAAAGCGGAGACGATATCGTTGGGAGCTGATCCGGTGTCCTAGGAATAAGTTCCTATGCAACGCGAAGCTGCATCATGATGAAACTGATACAGCCCGGATTTTGAGAGATCCATTCGTGGCTTTCGGGTTCTTGAGACACACCATACCCTGAGCATGGGCGGGCTGCACGGACATGCTACTTTGCCGCGCTCTGCCGCCGGCATCGCCATTGATGACAAGACACATCCGAGGCATGTGTCGGATGCGACTGGCAGCATCCGGGATGGCAGCGAACCTGTCAGCGCAGTTATGGGGAGGAATACCACGTCGGCGAAGTGGGGGTGCAGCATCATTGCCCCCTACTAAAGGATGCGTCGAGGGCGAATGAGGATGGGAGGCCTACCATATTGCGGTACGGATAAACTGGAAGAAGGATGAACGACACGCCTAGGAAGTTGTCCGTATACCGGGTATTGAGGTAGGTTTCTTCACCTTCATAGGCGAGGCCTCAGTGGGTGGCTGACGGAGCAGTTGGCGAGGAACGTCAAGGTGTGCCCCCACGCCCGGCGGCACAACCCTAAAGACCACATTGACTGCTCCGGCGGCCTGAAATTGCCTTACATTGTCAAGGTACCGTACCTGAGAGGTAGCTTAGGCTCGCCATTTCATGCGCGATCGCGAACTTGTTAGATGCTGCATGTATTGTACACGAGTCGGTAGGTAACTGTCCCTGTGCAGGGAGCTGTCGGCCAGAACGGGATGACGCAACCAGAGCAGATGGATGAGGTGTGGATCCTGTACCTGGGACGCAGCACACCTTCGGCAAGACGTGGTCATATTTGACAAGCTTGCTTCTAGAATGGACGCTCAGGTCTGATTCCTCCAGCTAAGCTAGGATTCAGCCACTTCGGCAACAATCTTGAAGCAAATCTGTTAACTGAGATTCGACGAGGGCTTTGTCCGCTCCTAGGACGGACAATAAAAGACAAAGAGCTTTCTACAACCTGGACCTTAGACCAGATTCCAGGTTACCTTTGTTAGTTGGGAGGACAGGATTGGCTGGGGAGCTAACGGACATCATGACGGACGGCCCATGGCGTGATGTTTTCACGGGCCATCGTCATCTGACCAGAACCCGACGCTGCCGCAGTCTCGGTAAGGTCTAGTACTTAGTGGTGCATACATTGCCTCTTCGGTTGCGAGGCCAGTTCTGGTCTTGGCGAAGATGTACTAACAGAGGTGAATTTGGGGAGAAGGAAGACGACCATGGAACTTGTACAAAAAATTTGGAACCAGCAAGCCGGAGGCTGATAGATTGTGGTGATGACCTCGTGGGTGCTTAGAAGGTTGGGAGTCATTGCAATTGGCCAGGAACGTGCGCGATGTGATGGACGAGGGAGGCGCTGACCCGGGCATGACCAGCATGTCGGGCCCCAGGGATGGATGAGGTGTGCGGTTGTTGGATGGTCATTCTTTGACACTGGACAGTCTTTTCGCCCTAGGAGGTCGCGCTCTCCGATTGGCTCGAAGACCGTGCAACCTTCTGCCTGAGTGCCTGCATCTTTGCACACTGCTGCGAACTCATCAAGGTTCTAATGCTCGCTCCAGATTTTGAGATCCGGGCTGCAGAGGTACCACGCCCTGAGTTGCAGAGGTACGATTGTAGAAGGCAAAGGAGACAAATCGTTTTCGGTTGTACAGAGTACGCTGTCCCCTATCTTACCTTAACGGTAATGTGGGATATCGCAATCGTTTCACCTTCTTGCAGTATTGATCTTCTGCCAACCATCCTCGGTCAGTGGAGATGCCATCATCTGCCCCATGGATTCTGTCACAGGACTGAACATGACAGAGGCCTCATCCAGATGAGATCAGCCCGATCTCTGCACCACGCACACCACACACCTTAGTTTCACACGGGCAATTCGGCACTGAGCAAGGGCCAGGGAAGGACAGGCAGGAACAGGGCCAGGGGCACGCCAGAGCACCCCACATTCCCTTTCAGGGTGCAACCCCTCCTCACGTCCTTCTCAGCCCCTCTCTCAGGGCTGCGGCAAAACCCTGCATGCCCCGTTAGCTAATCGATGTGACGGATGGGACAGCGTGACCTACAAGAGGAGAGCGCGCGCCCATCTCTCTCTTCCTTCTGGTGTCTTGGTATCCTGTTCTTCGGCGGCGACCTTCCATTTGAGCAACCTACCTACCACAGGAGGAAATCAGCATCACCCCCTCAGTTCCACCCACAAGACACAGCATTAATCCCACTGGCCTCGCACAGAGTCTGGCACCACCTTCAAGGGTCCACTCCTTGGACGTGCAACCGGTGACCATACGCTGTGAACGCTCACCGCAGCACCAACAACGGTGAAAGACGATTGGCCGAACCCACGACGGGACCCCGATCTCCGTTCTCGGTGCTTCCAGGAAACCTATCCGTATTGGATTCTAGGGATCGAACTCGGATCAAGCGAAAGAGTCATCAAGGCACAGGACAAAACCAGACCTTCTGCTGCTCACAGAAACCACGAAATATCTGTCTTTCCTCCCACCATCGTCAGCACAAGCTTGCCAACGCATCTGTTGGGATTTCTCCTGACCAAGCCTCAAAGCACCGCTCGGCTCAAGACGGCACCTCCGTCATACAAAACGCTCCACTATTCCTGTCGTGCAGCCGTCACCTCCTGTTTTCTCGCCCGCCATTCTCCCTGTCAACGGCCCAGCTGAAGGTTGATCAACTGTTCTGCGACCGATATTTGCCTCGTTGAACACCACAGGACTCAACACGTCCGATTGCGACATCACGTCGTGGCCCGTCAAGCTCCGTTACCGAGCACGAACCAGGCGCCTGACCAACCAGCGGGCCTAACAGCGCTAACATCGCCCCTCCGCCTTGACACAAGCTGGTTTGGTTGCGTTGAACGCCCTGGTGACTGTCCTGGAGATAACCACTCAATTCAACACCTACCTACTTGCCTCAGTGTGCCTGGCCGCGGAGCAACTATTGACTGTAGCGGTATACTGTCACTAGTCGAACGCCGAACCGCCCACCGACAGGGCAGGAAAATCTCTTCTTGCATTTGGGGGTATTCGCCACCCGCAACGACCGAACCGCGCAATTGCTGGTTGGTCGAACCTGCATTTTCTTTTCCAACCCTGCCTTCGTGGCTTGGGGAACAAGCTACGAGCTCATATACGGGCCTATCCTTCTCTGGCCCCGAGTTTCAAAGCTTCCATCCCGTCTTGAACTCTCGTCTTCGGCAGCATCTCAGCAAAGCTAGAGCAGCACCCCGCGGCACTGGGATCGAAGCCAGCAAACCCCTGCTTCTCTCCTCGGAGCCAATCACAGCGCAGCTCAAATGCACCACCACCGCCGAAGGTCCGGCCTTGCCTCCGGCAACTCGTCCATGACCGACGTGCGCAAGGCTGTGACTGCAACAGACCCTTCGTACAAGAAGCAGCACTCATCCCGTCCGGCGCCAATGACCAGGAAAAGCACGTCGCAGAGCGTTCCAAAGCTGGGCAAAAGCCCCCGCGAACGTGAAAAGGAGCTTGACGACGAGCGATGGTGGGACGAAGAGAGGGAGAGCTTCCCAGAGTACTGGTACGTTGTCAACAGTCCCTTGCGTCTCGCCAGTTCAGCGCCTCTCTGCCCGCACCCCATATATGACTTCCCCTTTCCATCCACCCGCATTGTCACCTGACATGCGAGGTGATCAGTGTCACCTCAATCTACCCTTCAACGATGAGGGGGAGTGATAACAAAGAGGGGTAAACGTCGGGTCGGTCTCATCAAAGTACCTTACCCGGGAGCTACCGTTCCTGCATATGGCCACTTGGATGAGCCCACAACTGACCGGCTTTTGATTCCGCAGCATGATTTGCGGGAAGCAGTTCATCCCTCTGGACGACCAATCGTTGTACTGCTCCGAAGAGTGAGTAATCCGAGAATTGTTTTTGTGAACGTTTTGCTGACTGCATCAACCAGATGCCGCATGGACGACCAGAACAGCTCGACCATCTCTGCGGCGCCGAGCCGCTACACCAGCAGTCACCCAGCCACTCAGTATCCCTATTACTCGGCCCCGCCAGAGCCTAGAGATATCATTCCTCGCGCTTCGCCCTCGCGCCCAAGCTCGACGCACGTCACGCCGCCTGTCACTCCCGCATCGGCCATTGCAGCCCTGAAGTCACTGTCGATCAGGCCGGCAAGTCCCACTTCACCTGTGGGGACTTACCACTCCAGCATCTGGCCGTTTGCCCGGAGCGTTACGGCGACAAGCCCCAGCACTTCGTACTCTAAGCCAGCCGCGGGTTTCTTTTCATCGACCTATGACGGGGCGTTCTATGGCGCCGGCAGCGACTACTATGGCACAAGCTCCGACCGACCGTTGCCGTCTCGCAAGCCGACTGTGTACTCGAGACCGAAGTCCATCGAGTTGGTGACACCCATGTTGGGACGGTAACCTGTGTTCTCCCACCAACATCCCACACTTTTTGCGGGGTGGGCAGCGACGTGGGACACGGCTGCACCCATCCCTTTGGGTCCATGTCATGTGAGGAGGGCGGGCTCGGGTGACAACTGTTCTCATCCTGCATGCTGTCCTTAACCGGGGCGCCTGCGTCTTCGATGTGGGGGCTATCGCGATGCAGCCTGTTGCGGGCCGCGCGGGGTTGGTGTTGGACGACGACGCCTGCGAGCAATGCGGCAAACGACACCTTTCCTAGAGCGATCACTCCCTTCAACAGTCGTCAGCAGACGCTCTCGCCCGCAATCTCGTTTCCCGGTTACCCCACACGATGGCCGAGATCATGGGAGCTTGTTCGGCACACTTCCCCCTCGAGCTTTCCTGATCGGTCCTGGAGCAGCTGCCACTTTTCAGGGTAGACTGCGGGCGTTTTCTGGGCGCGGGGTGCCCGGATGAACTCGTTGGCCGAGGTGAGGGGAGCTGGGTTTCTTGTGCTGCATGCACCACCTCGTCTTTTCTGCCTTTTGGCTACTATTATTATTTCTCTTTCCTTGTTTCAACATTACGGGTATTCATCAAAAGTTTTGTTCGGGTTTCAGCGGACATCAGCATGTTAGATGGGAAAAGCAACTTTGGGAGCATAGCTTGTGCATTCAGTTCGTTAGCTTGGGGGTGTCTTGGCGCTACTGGGGCTGGACTGGAGAGAGCCGACACGAGTCACTCTCTCTTACGATCGATCTTTCTTGGCACTTCATTTAATGGATGTCGAGAGAAACTCAAGAGTTGTCTTGCAAGCATATATTTCCGGCTTTGGATATCCACTGGTGCTGGACTGGGCCGTTGATGGCGTCTTGGTGTATTTATGGAGCATGTCTTATGACACACGGCGTTGAAGCCGGCGGTTTGTATTTGATGAACACTATCTGTAATGCGTATCTACGTACCTCTCTACACGACTTGGATATGAAATGAGCATACCTGACCGCCCCCAACATCACTATGTGCGCATGACAGGACGGTCTTTTGCCGTTATGTCTGTGTGGCTCGACAATTTGTGCAATGCATTGCTGAGAATGCGTGCTCGCCAGTTCCGCGGAACACAAGACGCCGATTCCTGCCCCGGTCCACGTTGCGGGGCCGCGGGCTGGAAATCTGGGGTCGAGAATTGGGGTATGGAGTAACGGATGGAGCAATGCCAAAGCCAACAATCTTGGAAGTGGATAGTTATAGTGTTTTGCGATATGGGAACTTTTTGGCGAGACTTGTTGGTGAACAAAAGGTGGAGGGTGGAGTTGCTGAAGGATTTTTCGTCCGTGCGATATAGTCGTTCCAAGGCAGAGGAAACAAGGAGAAATCTGGGGGATGGGGGAAAGAGGAGAGAGCGGGGACGAGAGCAACACAATGGCTGGGTCACGGCTGCTTTCGGAGACCAGTTCCACCCGTACACAAAACGCAGGCCAGCTCAGTTCCCTCTGGAGACGTTCCAATGAAGAGAATATCTGAAAATTAGGTTGGTCGATCTATCCGGGCCCTGCCGTGCTCGCTGACAGGTCCGATCTTCTTCCGCATTCAGGAATCTCTTGAAGATCCGACTCGCTCGGAGACCAAAGAATCGGCCCGGAGCACAGGTGGAGCCGCGTCGGCAAAGTCTTCCTCTGCTGGTCTAGCTCTCTTCCGAATGATGAATGGAGACCGCAATCGGATGAACAACATACAAGGGGCCGACAGAAGCTTGTGAGAAGGATAATGTTATGTGCTGTAGCATCAAGTTGCAGTTTTGTATGTCGCATCCCAGCAGCTTCCCTAATGTGTCTCATGCTGTGCCGGGGCAGGATTATGCGTTGCGAAGCTCTCTCCGCAGCAAACTGAAAGTTCGAAATGGCGCATCCGTCTTGTAGGTACGTAGGCAGGAGTGAAGGGGGTATCCTCGCATTATGCATGCAGGCCTACGTGGCCAGAGGATTTTGATGAAATCACAGAAGGGGAACTTGAACTTGTCCAAGGAATCTGGTAGGATTATGGGATACAGCATGGAATGAGGAGGGGTCGAGCCATTGAGTTTGTTCGGTACAACCGCACCGATCGGCGGCCAGAATGCTACCCATCAAGGCAGTTGAGGAAAAGGTCATGGCGTAGGGTTCGCGCGGGCAGGCTGAGCTCGATGAGACATACGGTACGGCTCAAGGGAGTGCTTGCTAAGTGAGACTTTGGGCTGATATTATTAATCTTTCGCCATGAGGAGAATATATGGTCGACATGAAAGGGGATTGCCTCGCAGGAACGAGGCGATGACAATACGAAAACACGCAGGGATAAATGTCTGCGACAAAGAGAGAAGCTGCTAGGGCAACGGTATGCTCTCGATGCCGCGATGAATCAGTCGTATAACCACAATCATGCCAGTCATGACGTTGAGAAACAGCATGACACGACTCAACATCACCAGCAACGTTGGTGGAGCCAGCCTTGGCGAAGTATGCACAACAACTTCACTTGCTCTAGGAAGCAAGCCCTTGATCACACCCGTGCCATGAAGAGGAGGATAATCAAGATCGAGGACGCTTCACATGTCCCCTTCCAGCACGCCGCGTACTACATAGTACATGCCCCAGCCCCTGGCTTCTACTTATACCGCCATCACAAGACCCCACGGCACCGGTGGCAACATAGTCAACTGAGAGCGATACCCAACGTACAAGAAACTGCAAGGGACGACCCCGAGCTGAGCAAAGAAGGCTACATCAGAAACAACATCCATCCATTTTTCACCCCTGGGTACTCCATTCGTGTCCTACCGACTAGTAATCATAAAGGATAACACGACCAAGGTTCGTCGAAGAGCAGAAAATAGACGAATCACCATCTAATGCGGCCTCGAGCTCGCCATCTCACCATACCGCCCACGATGCTGCGTCGTGTCATACGCCTGCAGAACCCGGGTCTGCGACTCATCTGCCTGCGAGAAGGCATATCCGCGCTGCTTGCGCATACGCTGCACCTGCCTGACCTTGCGGATGGCCTTCTGGAATTGCTCCATCCTGATCACCAAGTTAGCAAGCTGTCGGAGCGGCGTGCGGGCAAAGTGCATGCTTTAAACATACCTCGGCCTGTAATCCTGGATGTTATACTTCTGGATCTCCTGCACATGGTGATACGGCTCGGGACGCCACAGCCGCTTGCTAAACTTCCAGGCAAAATCCCTCGCCAGACACAGGACCGCCAGCGTCGGCAGCTGGAGCCAGAAGGAAGGGCTGGTGAACAGCCGCGGGACCACACCAAAGTACTCGGTCGAGAAGTGCAGCTTGGGGGCAACGGTTCCGTAGACAGCAATGAACACAATCCAGATGGCCATGCTGCCGGGGATGGCAATGACGTGGTACTTTGTCCAGTTGTTGGTGACGAGAGCAGCCTTGCCGAGGACTGTCAACAGGACCGCACCGTACATGGCCGTCCCCCAGACCCACTTCCCAGCCGGGATGCTGTCGCTTTGGACGCCGTCGTAAATGTAGAAGAGGGAGCCGCCAATGTAGAGGATGATGGAGTGATAGACAGCATTGAGAATCCACGAGGTGAACACCCGGATCCGGAAGAAGCTGTTGTTTTGACCGAGCGAGTACAGCTGCGGGTAGCGGTCGAGCAGGCGGGCCGATACGAATTGGTCCAAGATACCCAGGACCAGAGGAGGAAGCACGGTGTAAAAGACGTTGTAGAAGGAGAGCGTCCAGGACTCGTAGATGACTTCGCCAGAAAAGACGTTTTGGAACACGTACTAGTCCTCGTTAGTAGGCGTTGGACGGGGCCTGAAAAGCAGTGAGACATACCCAAAACTGTGTCAGATAGAGCGTAATGTTCTTGTAGAACGAGAACAAAATCGCCTTGGCGACCCGGTGGTAACTCCAAGCTCCGTGGACAAGAAGCAGCTTGCGGAGGAAGCGAAATTGGGCGATCGAGACGTCTGCGCTTCGGGCGGCTTGGAGACCTTCCACACCGCTAATGCCGATACCAATGTGGGCGGCCTGAATCATCGAGACATCGTTCGCCCCGTCCCCGATAGCGAGCGAAATCGACTCCTTCTGGTACTTCTTGACCAGCTTCACCACCATTGCCTTCTGCAGCGGTGACACGCGGCAGCAGATGACAGCCTTGCACTTCACGGCAAGGTCCAGGAAGAGCTTTTCCAAATCCTTCTCCAGCGCGTACGTCAACGACTTTCCGTCAATCACGAGAGCCAAAGTGCCCATCTCGATGGTCGCATCGCCCTGATTCCGGATAGCATCCAGCTTCTTCTGCAAGTTGTCTCTTGTCGCTTCGGCATTCTCCTCGTTGACGATCAGAAGCATCATGTCCTCGCTGAGGAGCTTACAGCTCATGCCAATGTTAATGGCAGTCTCTTGTCTGTCGCCAGTCAGGACCCAAACCTTGATACCGGCTTCCTGAAGCGTATGGATCGTCTCGGGCACACCGTCCTGGAGTCGGTCCTCGATGGCGGTAGCGCCCAAGAGGTAAAAGTCATGCTCGATGATTTCGGCAGCCTTGTCCAACTCCTCGGCACGATTCCCGCCCACAGTCGTCTGCGCCTTTTCGTAGACCTGATACCATTCCTGGAACTCATGCTCGGGAATCTCGCGCATGGCCAAGCAGAGCGTCCGCAGGCCTTCGGAGGCGTATTCTTCGAGATGACGAAGGGTGACATCGACGTGCGGGTTGCTATCATTCAGGCGCTCCAGGATCACCGTGTCTGCGCCCTTGCAATAGCACCGAATCTTGCCGTCGGGGCAGCGATAGATGGTAGACATCCTCTTCCGGGTCGAGTTGAATTCGCAAACTGCTAGGAGTTCGTACTCGAGTTGCTCGCCGTTGACCTCGACAATGACAGCACGAGGCTTGCGCGCGACGAATCTGTAGCCGAGTTGCACAGCACCTTCAACAAGGGCTCCCTCGTCGGGCGAAGCGGCCTGGTACTTGATACTCCCCGACTCTTCCTGCTCGGGAATAACGGTGTGGCAGATGGCAAGCAGCGTGACGAAGTGGTCGATGGCTTGGGCAGTTGCGTGGCCCTTCAGGTTCTCCTTCAGCTGCTTGAACTCGTGGATTCCAACCTCCACGCCGTCCTCGATCGTCGGAACGCGGTCCTCCGGCACAGTCTCGGCGTACATGATACCGGCAATCGAACACGCCTTGAATTCCATCATGTTGCAGGTAAGGGTCCCAGTCTTGTCCGAGAAGACGTATTCAACCATTCCCAGCTCCTCCACCAAGCTGGAAGTGCGGCAGTTTGCAGGCGTGTCGGTGGCTTCGTAGTAGATATCCAGGTCGTCGTTGATCAGAATGCCATGCCAATACTTGACCAATTCGAGGGTTACGAAAAGCGAGATGGGGACCAGCGCAGAGAAAAGCACCCAGTAAGTGACCATGTCCTTGATAAAGATGCGAGCGACGGCAGCGGCACCATCTAGCCTGTCCAAGGCGAGGTAGTTGAGAGAGCCGCCCGAGACACCCCGCGTGACCAGGTCGCCGACGGTCGAGATGACGCTGAGCACCAACAGCATACCGACCAGCATCAGGACGAGTTTGTTGAGCTGCCTCTCAACCTTGGTCCGCTTGATGGGTGCTGCCGTCGCATTCCGCATCAGCTTCGTCTCGTGACCGGTGAATACAACCACGCCATGAATCCACGGGGTATTCCGCAAGGTTGCACCACGGAGGAGCAGCTGCTCCGGATTCAGGGGCAGCTCCTTTTCTCCTCCGCCAGCCTGCATCGTCAGAGTGGCTTCGTACGTGTACAGGCTGCTGTTCGGCTGCTCGGATCGAATCCTGCCCCCCAGCCGGCTGAGCTCGGTCGAGCTCACCATGGACGAGGTTTCGGGCAGAGCCTGCTTGATTTTGAGGTTGGTCTCGCCGTCCAAGTTGGCTGTCTCGATATAGCACAGACCCTCGGGCTCCGAGCTAGCCAAAAGTACCAGGTCAGCGGGAAATGGCTCTTCAGACTCGACTCGAACGATATCCCCGACCGCTAGATTGATCCATTTTGTCTCGGTGAAGGTGGAGCCGCGCAGGACGCGGGCCTTAGACATGTTGAGTGCCTTGTCGGCCTGTTTCCGCCGATAATCTTCCACCAACTCCTTACCTGCCGAGACCATGAGCACGACAATAAGCGGACCGATGGTGGTGTACTGGTTGGTAGGCGAGAGCCCCGGGATTTGCTGCAACCCAGCAGTGAACAAGAAGAAGATGTTGGCGAACTTTGAAAACTGCTCGAAGAGGAACTTGGGGAGGAAGGTGACGACGTTGTACTTGGCCGTGGAGACATGGTTGTCGACGTACTTGTTGGCGGCGTTCGCAGGCGGGTTGTTGAGGTGGATGATGCGGGGCCCAAGCGTGGAGGGATCGGGCTTTGCTCGCCCAAAGCCAAACTTGAAATTGCCCATGTCGAACTTCTTCTCCTTTGGCGGTGGTATCTCGGCGCTGTCTGTCCGGGCGGCTCGTGGGTCTGTCAGTGGGAGGTCCATCTCCGAGTATCCCTGGCCCATTCCCAGCCTGTTTTTTACCCTCCCAAGAAAGCCGCCGCCTAGGCTCAGAACACTGTTCCGTATCCTTGCGTTGCCATGCGCTGACGACGACGGGTCGCCCCCAGCCATGGCACCCCCGTGCTGGTAATATGACCCGCCATCGTCCGGGTAGTCATCGAAGTCGTCGGCATATCTTTGGTAGTTGCCCAGGTCGGATGTTTGGCTGTACTGACGATCGATCTCGGGGCCGTAAGGCCCTACCGGACGCGACGCGGTACTCGATTGCCCGGCAGCTGATGGCCTGCCGGCGGGTTGTCTTGGCTGTCCGGAACCAACGAAATCATCGTAGGACACAGAAGGACGCGATGGCGCACCATCCTGATCGTAGGCGTAGGAGTGGAGGAGGTCGTCATCGGTCAGAGTCGAGCGCTGGCCTGTGCTATAGACGGGTTGGTCGTTGTCAAGATCGAGAAGCAGATCGTTATTCTTGGAGGTTGCGGAGCCTCCGGGAGGCGGTCGGCCGGTCATGCCGGTGGTGGTCGGTGCCGCTCTGGGCAAATAGTTCGAGGGATGATCACAACGTTTGTTAGAGCATTGGGCGCTGCCGCAAAAATATGTGCGCTCGAGATGCCGGGATGCCGTCAAAAGGCCGGCAGGGAGGAATCACGCGTTGTGTCTGGTAGAGGTACTACCTGGGAAAGGCAGATGCCGACGAGGTGCTGTCGTGTTCGCAGCGAGCACAGCCTCCTTTCAATGAAAAGTGATTGAAATTGCTTGGCCTCGTCAGCCGCAACATTCGCAAACCCAGAACCTCGTGAAGACGAATGTTCCGCTATAGCCAATCCAGCAAGAAAGCGTTCAGGGACCACCAAGAGCCTCGCCTTTAAATGCGCAGGTCGAAGTGCAAGCGGTTTGCCGAGTTGTTTCGAGATTTGATATCTGACGAGTTGTTGATAATTACAGGCCAGAACCAATGCCAGGAGGATCTTACAGAGGAGTTGGATACATACGAGAATGCCGTACGGATACATTTGAGGAACCTGCGCGATTGGTCAGAATTTGGAATGTCGCTCCACCAGTGGAAGCATTGAAACGTGCGGGAAAGGGTTGCCAGAGCTCTGTTCCGGACAAGGCAGTTGGCAAATCAATTCTGGTCCTGTCTCCCTTTTACAAATGGAATCTGGCTGCACTCCCTGCAAAGGGCTCAGTTAACGTTACCTTACCGTTCAGCCACATACCGTACAAGTACAAGTGCTTAGTGGGGCATGTTTGCCTCATTCACAGCCGTCACCTTATACAAGGACTGCCATCTCTCTCGCATTCACAATTGGCATTCGACTGCGACACGGCAGTTCACTAAGTGATACCTCAACAACAGCAACAGCAGCCGGGAAGATGGTTTGCGCCAAATGCCAGAAGCTCAACAAAACCACCCTTGCCACACCGGGCGTCAAGAAAAAGACCGAGATGTACTATGGTTCCCCGGCGTCCTCATCCTCATCCGAAGCTAAGAAATCGGCCACATTGGGACAGACAGGCATCTCAAAGGTGCGCAGCCCGGCATCTGGACTTCTTCAGAAGGCTGTTTACTAACCGTCTCCTAGAGCAAATTGCTCTCAAAAACCGCGAAGAATCCCTATGCGCAGTACTCAAGCTCATGCACCCGCTGCAAGGCCAAGATCTCCCAGGGTCATACGTATTGCATCCAATGTGCCTACCGGGCAGATGGTGAGATTTGAATGTCATGTCTTGTTGTCACTGCTGGCTGACTCATCCCGCAGCGTGCCACATCTGTGGAAAGGCGAACAAGGCCAAGGCAGCCGTACCTACCGTTGACGGTCAGAAGCGCACTCTCAAGTGAGACGTGATAGCCGGGTTTCCTGAAGCTAGCCTTGGGCTTCCATCAAGCACAAACCTTAGGCGACAGACAGCGAATACCCGTGGAGCCTCGGCTCCGGGCCCCCACAGTATCGCCCACGACCGCAGTTCGGGCTCAACCGACAGATCGATAGAGACTGTCGGAGGTGTGTTATTTTTCCTGGCAACTCAGTTTCTTTGTTATACTAAGTCGACAGAAGGTTGGAGAGGCAGGATATTCCACACCAGTGTCAGGTTACGCCGCGCTCGGCAACGGAGCATTGAGTATTGGGGGAAGTGCCCTGTTCTACACAGTACTCTTAGAGCTCGTCGCGCTGTGCCAAGAGGCAGATACTGGCCAGGGTTAAAAAAGGAAGAAGCGAAACGCCAGCTGCGAGACCGCTTCAGCCGCCCAAAGGCATATGGCGGGTTTGGTGGCGGCGGACGATACCTTTTTGGTCAATTCCCAGCCGTTCTGTGGGAAGGAATCGAACTCAATGCTACTCTTCATCTCAGCCGACTTAGGATCCTAAACTACATATGCGACCCCCGCCCTCTTCTCAGATCGAAGCCTTCAGGGGTTGGTCCTTCAGAGTGCCTTCCAGAAACTCGCCGATATACTGGTTTGTCTCAGCTGGCGTCTGCCACAGCGCCCAGTGAGACGCATCGACCTGTCTGGTGACAAGATTATCGACCCACTTTCCCATCCCAGCCGCCATGTCAGGCGGCAGCGCGGCATCCCTTGTCGCAGTGACCATCAGCGACGGCACCGTGATCCTGGTTTTCTTGCCCTCCTCCAGAAGCGTCCTCTCCTCATCATAGTTGATCTTCGTCGTCTTGTACCAGGACAGAGGTCCCCTCATCCCGTTCTTGACGTACTCGTCCACGTAGTAATCCATCTCCTCCCGGCTGACCAGCGGACTCTCTCCAATCTTATTAACCTCCAACAAATCCAGCCGCACGCCCTTGGTCGTATCAACCACAGCCTGCCCGTCATCCCGTCTGGCCCCGTACATGACACTCAAAAACGCCCTGATCTTATCCCTTCCCACCACCGCCTCGTCAACCTCCGTCTTCTCAAACTGCAGCTGGTACCCAAAATTCGGCAGCCTCTTGACCAGCTCCTCCTTGGACACATACACCTCACTGACCGGCCAAAACGGCGTGCAGACACTGAACACGCACCTCAGCACCTCGGGCCGCCACAGCGCGAACCGCCAAACCACCGCGCCGCCCCAGTCGTGCCCGCCCAGGACGATCTTCTGCCCCTCCTGCTCCGTGCCCCGTTGGACGTGTTCGACGAGCGCCACGAGATCGTCGACGACGGCCTTGTATGAGTACGCGGCCAGGTCGCGCGGCGCATCGCTGCGGCCGTAGCCAACCATGTCCGGCACCACGACGCGCAGGCCTAGCGACAGCAGGTAGGGCACCTGGTAGCGCCAGCCAAAGGACAGGTCCGGAAAGCCATGGAGGAGGAGGGCTGTGGCGACGGGCTTGGTGGGGGAGGAAGGCTCGGCGAGGAGGTAGTGGTAGGTTTTGTTGTGGGGTGAGTTGGGTATGGTGTAGGTGTGGTGTTGCACGCGGGGGTCGGTTGGGGTGAGTTTGTCGACTTTGGTGGCCGCCATGGTTGTTGTTGTGTGTCCCGAGTGGGGTTGATAGTGTTGGCTTATGGGACGGAGAAGTAAGACGTGTGAAGACGAAGGGAAACGGTGTTCCAGGTTGGTGATGATTCCGGTTTTGGGAAGATGTGAGTTGGCGGAGGACGGGAGTACAAGATGTTATACAAGGAGGAAGTGCCGATCTCACACTCTTGCTTTCCAGCTTCCACTTGAACGCTCCCACACGAGGCTTGGAAAGAGCAGTTCTACGGGCTACACTCGGTCAGGGAGCGAACTAACCTGTTGTAGAAAGCTTCCCCAACCAGTCCGGAGGAGGAGGCTACCTGCCTGCGTCATGATCCCCACTTGCATTAACAAGATGGGTCAAGTCATTCGTAGATGCAACTGTACGAGCCGAGAAAGCCGGCAATCTCAAGCCGGGCTCGTGACAGGGCGCGGGTCTGGCGGTTATCAAGCGCAGGTTGTACATACACTACCGCAGTAAGTACGCAATCCGTTCCACATGCCGCTCATTGCTGGAATCTGTGGTCTTGGCGAGGATGCTCTACCCTCAACGACGAACCAAGGTGTAGCTCCGACCTGCAGGGGATGGTTATGCTCACTTGCTAAAATGTTGCCTTGTACACAAGTATATGGGGAGTTAGAGAGCGCTATTAGCCTATGTTGGACAGCCGCCATTGCCCCAAAGAGTCGTTCTACCACTGCATACAACGGTCATAACTCCCCAGGTCTTTTTCGGATTATGTGATCACTGAGAAGCAGCCCCGGTGCCGCGGCAAACGGAGTGCCCAGCACCACCGACTCCAGGCCCACATCCTCAATCCCGCTAGGCCCCGAATCCCGGTCCATGACGGCTTACCTCGGGACCCACATAGCTCTTCTCGCGGTATAGTCCGTGTCGAGCCCTCCATAAATAACCCCTGAGTAGCCACGACATCCCACACGTGCAAGGCACAGGGGGAAGAGGGCATTATACAAGCTTCACCGTCGAACTTACATCCTAGACAAGGTCGCAGAATAGGAACCGATGGAATGAAGACCGGGTTAGTATATGACTGTGTCCTCCTCATCCTGCATCATCTCATCCCCATTCTCGTCGTGATCTTTGTCATGGTGGGGGTTCCGCGCTTTCGATGGCGTAGGCGACACAGCATCCGGGTTGGTATCTCGCGGCTCAGGTTTGGGCTCACCAACCGTGGCTTCTTCGGCCCCTGAGTTTGGTACTGTCTCGGGTTGTGACTCACGCTTAGTCTCTGGCGCCGGCTCAGGTCGCTGCTTCAACTGTCGCGGAGGAGGCGATGGAGATCTCGGCGGCGGGGAAACGCCCAGTGCCCTGAGACGCTGCTCTTTACGCTCCTTAAAGTCGCGCGTTTCTCGATCAATAAGCTCTTCGACGGCGCGGACTTGGTCGCTAATGATGTCTTCTTGCTCCTTGGTGAGCTCCCACGGAAGATAATACTGCAAGCTCAGTTAGTTGAGCTGCAGGACCTGAAGGAGGCCAGATGCTTACAAGCTTTGGCTCGCTCTTGGTCTGCAGAATTCGCGCCTTTGCCAGCATGGTTGAGTGTCGGGTCCGCATCTGCACTAAATGTCAGCCAGCCGTCGCCAATCACAGCAAGAGGTGAGATAACGTACCACCTGCTCATCGAGTTTGACTTGCTCAATCTTGCGCGTCCGCTTCAACTGCTCCAGCTTCTCGATCCTGCGCTTCTCATCCTCAGCACGTCGTTGCTGCGACTTCTCGTGCTGTCGCCGCTCAATCTCAAGCCTCTTTTGCTGCTGCGTCCCCGACGAACTCCGGCTCAGCGCGCTGACCAGGCCTCCAAACAGCCGCTGCCCTCGCTTCTTCTCTTCCAGGCTGATGCTTCGCCGGCCCGGAGGTCCGCCTCCCATAGATGCCCTCCGTGCCTCTGGCGCGCGCCGAATCTCTTGCTCTGGTTCCACGTGGTGTGTCGGTGCTGTTGCAGAGGACAAATCTTCAGGTGCCTTGCGTCGCTCGTTATCGGTTGGCGTGGCGTCACCATGAGGTCCCTTTACGTGGGTATTGATGCCGTCGCTTGACGATGCGTGGTTGTGCCCATCCCCGAGTCTCATGCGCTTGCCGGCAACGTCCTCGTCGGGGGGTTCCGGCGTTGCCTTACGCTTATTTTTGAATGGTTCTTCTACTTCGGCCATCCTGTTCTCAATGTGATGAAACGTCAGTCGAAGGGCGCCGTGCAGGTTGGAGTCGGTTTGCGTGGCTTCTCGAAGGGTAGAAGTAGGCGGGGTGCTGTAGTACGAGGCGCAGAACAGACGTTATGCGCTAGAGGAATCGATATGAATGCGTATCATCACCTGCATTCTTGCAGTACGTAGCCCAAATGCGGTCAGGAATCTGTGTGGTGTCCTTGGGCGCAACCTCGATTGTCGTTCCGGCTGCATAACAGCTGACTTCTTGTGGACGTCAATCGCAGCGCGCTTCACTGCTGATCGCGTGGTGGGAAAGTCCAAGGCCCTCAACAAATGATAGTCGTAAAGACGACTCTAACCGTCCGCACCCTAACCCTGGATTACGAGCCGTATCACTACACGCTGGAAAATATAAAAATAACGCCACAGTTTGCCGAGGCTCTGGCCAGGCACAGGCAGCAGTGACGTTATTTACCGGACATTTTCAGTCGCGTGTTATCCACCTCTTCATCTTTGACGTCGGCAACACAACGCTCAAAGGAAGCTCTACCTCTTGGAAAACAACTTTTGGTAGTCTTCTTTTCCTCTTCCTCGACATCTTGCCATTCTACAAATCACTACCATGTCTCGCCATCATCCGTACGTCCCATCTCCCCCTATTCCCAGTTGCAGTGCCTAGTAGCTAAACCAGTCTTCCACCAGCGACCTAGTAATGTGCCGCAAGCAAGCGGGCATCTCCATTGGCCGGCTCTGCGACAAGTGCGACGGCAAGTGTCCCGTGTGCGATTCTTACGTGCGCCCAACGACGCTCGTGCGCATCTGCGACGAGTGCAGCTTCGGCAACTACCAGAACAAGTGCGTCGTGTGCGGCGGCGAGGGCATCTCGGACGCCTTCTACTGCTTCGAATGCACGCGTCTGGAGAAGGACAGGGACGGGTGTCCCAAGATCATCAACCTGGGCAGCTCAAGGACAGATGTGAGTTCTCTCTGCCAGACGCATGCTGGGACGGTTGCTGACCGGTTTTTTTGTTTTTGTTTTTTTCGTTTTGCAGCTGTTTTACCAAAAGAAGACAAATCGTACGGGGTTCTAGTCATGGTGTGGTCCGGGTCCGGGCGCTTCTCTCCTCGAGCTGTTCGCTGGAAATATACCGGTCTAGGAGTTAAGGGGCCATCTTGATTTGACGGCGTTGTGGCGTTCGGGGCGGTTGTTCAAGGAGGAAATACCACGACAATTACGGTCAGGTTTATTGTGATGTCGTTTACCACTTTATCATGCTATCTGGGTGGTATTGTATGGGCTAGCCAATACTGCGTTGTCTCGTACATGCTACAAAAGGAAAGGGTTAAAAACAGCCTAGCGCGATGCAAGAGAATAATATAAAGGAAACCCGCCGCGCACTTCAACATATTCCAATGCATTAACCCGGCCAGCTCATCTAGATATAGCTGACCTTGGTGCCCATGCCGGCCGTGGCCTTCACCTTGGCCCAGCTCGCCTCAAGTATCCGAGCGATCCTCTCGCGGATCCCTTTCCTGCTCAGCAACATAAGCAGCCCGATGATAAACGCCAGCATCCGCAACAGCACATAGGGGTTCGTCTGGAAGGCGCCCGCAATCTCGTCAACCAGCATCCGTAGGTTCCCCAACACCATCGAAGCCTTCGACATCAGCGTCGGCGCAGCAACGGCATTACCGCCGCCGCTAGCCCTTCTTGTCGGCAACGGCCCTCTTTCCCTCGCCACACCCTCAGGCAGTCGACTCCCCGACTTGGCCGTTGGCCGAGTAGGCGTGCTCTCGACGCCAAAATCCCCTTCGGTCACCGCAGCCCTCACCCTCTCCCTGCGCTCCCGCTCCTCAGCCTCCCTCTTGGCTCGTTCCTCTTCCAACCTCCTCCTCTCTCGCACCTCGTTCTCCGCCCGCAGCCGCCGCGCCTCCTCAATATCCCGCCGAATCGCCTCCTCGCGCCGCGCCCTCTCCTCCTCCTCGCGGCGTTCGGCCTCGAGCTGCTCCTCGCGCAGGGTATCGAGCGCCTGCAGGAATGCCTCGCGCCGCTCGTCGTCGAGCACGGGGCTGACGCTGATGAGCTCGCGCGCGTACCCCCACTCGTTGTTCCGCGGAAGCACGTGCAGCGTGTACAGCTCAAGGATCTTGACGCGCGCGTGAAGGTCGAGCGGGGTGTCGGCGCCGCTGGGGACGGTGGTCGCACGGCGTTGGCCTGGGCCTAGGGAGTGGTAGCGCCGCGGAGAGGATTCGGTGAAGCGGTTGGAGGAGATGTTGAGGTTTGGGGTTCGGGCCGCGGCGAGGTAGTTCTCGAGTCGTTTTTGGTTGGTAATCTGGGTTTTGGCGTGCGTGAGAAGGAGAGTGGCTCTGAACGGGCGGTGATGTAAGCAGGGCTGTACCTTGGAGAAATAGATCGAAGTTGCGGGAGATTGACTTACAGGTTGATCACTACCTCTGCGTCCACATCCCCTTCAATGCCGTCATATCCATTGCGGATGACCTCCTCCCAAATCTCCCCCTCACGAACCTTATGGCAGATGGCCCTCCATTCCTGCGTCCCAAACGCCTCCTTACCGTCATCCGGGTCAAGCTCGACAATCGCATTGAGCACAGTCAAGTACAGGCTCCAGACCTTGACCCTTGATGAGCGAGACGCCTGGATAACCGGGGCCGGCTCAAGTGGTCCATTTGGATCGTCGGACTGGGAAGGAGACACTAGCGGTAAGACGGTCGACAGCGCCTCGGGCAAGCGACGCGTGAGGAAGAGAGTCGACGCCTGGCGGTATGTCTTGGAAATGTGGGACGCCACGGCACTACGGCCCGAAGGGGCTGGGGATGACAGTGACGATATGGACGATATAGACGCTGACAGGCCGCGGGCCTGAGAGAGGTTATCGGCGGCCGTGTAGAGTGTGCGGTTCGAAGCCATTGTGGGCGTGGCTGACGAGTCGCGTGCGTCTGTCGAGCGGCCTGAAGGCCTTTCGAAATCGTGTTGCTTGGCACTTGATCAAAACACAATGGCTATGCGCTTCCATGTCCGGCCATTGCGGCGCCAAAAGCGAGGAATGGCGCCGAAAGAGGGTGGAACGTGATACGATTTATCAACGAGAACGTGAGAAGTTGAGAGTCCCAAGTTCAACTTTCAAGTTCCGAAGCGGAGACCGTAACATGTGCCTTTGTCACTCGCATGTCGCAAATTGCTGTGTTTTGATGAGCCGAGGCTAAGGTACCGGGGAAGCTCGGTTGTTTATCGCTATACCCCTTTGCAGATCCACTGTTAGATGCGGACTGCTCATTATTCCATCGCCTTTTTACGGTATTGTACGTGAAGATACGGGTACTCACTGTCCGTAATTCTGTAAGCAGTCAACCTGACGAGGCGCCTGCGCGGGCTCTCTCCAGTACTTAGTCTTTTGGACTAGATGTGTACCACAGTATCTTGGAGCCCATCTCCCTCTCCTCTTAAAAAAAATAGTCCCATTTGTCCCGCGTCATTCGAGAGAACCACGAATCTTCAATATCATTGATATTCGTTTTCATCCAGCCGCGGTACTGCGGATGGGACCAGGGTACCTCCTCGTGCTCCCTCCTTCGCCATGAAGTCCACCTCCAGCGGCCACACCCACGCTCCCTCGCCGGCAGAAAGTTGTCGCTGCTTCTCTGGGCCGTCCACCGCACATCGCAGCGGCGGGAGCTCCTCGGGTAGCCCAACCAGTAACGCCACACTCTCCGAATCAAGGACCAGACAGACACAGAAGCGTGGGTTACTTGGGCATGCCCGGCCGTTGCGCCGAAAAGCATCCGGAAGAAGTTCGCCCTTGTCTTCGAGGGCCCCAACCCACCGGTAAAAGTACTCGCGCAAGGCCATCAACCAATCCTCCTCATTCGAACCATCGTCCCCATGGCTATCAAGGTGGGCCAGCCTGCCGATCTTCAATGACTTCAATGTAGAGCCGGCGGAACAACTCCTCATTGGGGTCATCGAAATCCACTCGGTACTCTTCGCACAGCGCGCCGAGAGAAAAGCACCGGTTGTAGTGGCGCCAGTAGTGCACATAGCTCTTGAGACGCTCTATGGGCGACAGGGAACAGCGCGTCCGACTCGGGAGTGTAGGCGGTGCGCAGGACAGTGTAGGCCCACGAGCCTTGGACATGGCCTCGGGAGACTGAAGTATTGGTTCAGCTGGTTCAGTTGCCGGTTACCCTCTACTCTCTCTTGGAGGGCTGGAATCCCAGAGGCGTGGTGGATCGGCCCAAAGGTATGTGGCGGCATGGCCGTGGTGTATAATATAACGTAAAACTATTTATTACTCTGTTGGAGAGTGCCTCGGACTGTGTCTGTTCTGTGCGAGTCTGGGAAGACGAGTTATTGAGGGGCGGGAAAACGGAAATGTTGCGTTAAGGCAATGGTACGCATCTTCCCATGGCGCCCAAGGCTCACACTCTATCGAGATGCAACTCCCGGATCTGGCACCGAGTTGATGATGGCCCGATGCAGTGGCCGACTGTTGCGGGGTAACGATCGAGGGCACGGAAGCCTTCTGGAAGGACGGGAAAGCGTGAATGTGAGTCAACGCCAACAACCCACATGACGACCCGCTGTGATACACCAACGTAACCCCACTTTTATTCAACTGTCACCCCCCTTTCCAAAAAGCAGGTAGTTGACCGAGAGAGCCAAAACAGGATCCTACTATTGTAAGCGATACAAGGTATGCGCATACGCGCTCAACACGGGAGGCAGTAAATTTGGGGCTCCTGAATTTGATTCTACAACGGGATTGATGAGCAAGTAATACGCGCTGAGGTATTGTTAGATCCTATTTTTCTCTCTCCTCCTAAGATTGAGCTTAGATTTGAGCTCTTTCCCTTGGCATTCCTTGGCAAGTTTAGAGGAAAATTTGTTTCTGACTCCTGGAGAAAACCTCGAGAACGAAAGATTCATTAAGAACCTTATGCGTATCACCCGCAGTTTCAATCGCGTTTTAGAAACAGACTTAGGAGCCTTGGATTTACTAACTTCTATACTGGCCGCGTATGTGTATGTTTATGTGATGTATCGTCTGTATTAACGTTAGATGAATTTCAGTTTGGTCCTTCTGGCTAACTTTGGCTCAACTGGCCTCTTTTTAAAAGGTAGGTGGCAGGCCGAATTTAAAGTGGGGTTGACCTGGTGTTTGAGACGCGTAGCGCATGTCAGGCCCGCAAAGGACGGCTTGGTAAGGCGGGGAAACACATGAAACAGCATGAAACAGGTCCTGTGAGGCTGTGAAGTGATGATCCCACCAGACGCTTCAACATTGGGTTGTACGTTTTTTTGCCGCCGCCATATGGTAGGTGATCTGAGATCTACTAGTAGTATGGAAGAAACTGGGTAGTAGAGAACCGAACCTCGCTGGCTGACAGTGTAAAGACGGGTATGCTCTCACTGCACAAGACATGGTCCAAAAAAGCAGGCAAGAACGGTGCTACCTGGCATTATCTTACCTATATCCGCAAAGGGTGAGGCCAGTCAAGTTGTCTAGATTGAACGAGCAGCAGAACTGAAAAGTGAGCATAACAGCGGCGCGGTGGCATGGTTCTCAATAATGGATCGGATTGATGACAGCTCAGAGCCGCCCGGCCTCGCCGTTACGACCCATGCGTGTTAAAATCGGTCGCAATGCCATCGGACCTTTGTGTGTTGGTCCCCCATGTACGGATGCATTAGTTCGCGTCAAGGCTTGGTTGAACCGCAATTCAACTCATTAGGTTTGATTTTCCCAGTCGAGTGGTGACTGGGCCTGCTGAGCCTGCGTTCCGCGGTTTCCTGTCTATCCTAGGGTTGATCATGCACGCCTGGGTCAATATGAAGAGTGATGGGCAGGCAGCAGTGTGAAAATGATAATACAATAGGGCATTGTTCAGCCTTGAGATATCTATTCGGCATGCTTTCAGCGACTCGGTGGCTTGATGGGAACCATTTTGTGCCCTTGTCGTCTTGTCCCGCGTTCGACCGTTTTTTGAGTGCGCTGAATCCCTGTCAACCACGCGACAACTGTCTGGGCATGCAGCTGTGCAACCCCCTCGCCCCTGCTTCTTGCTTGCCGATCCCACTTCAGATCCTGTCTCTTCCTCCCAAAAAAGACAAACCAGGAACACAACCTCCCGGAACACAAATCTCCCACATTTGCCGCGCTGAATACACTGTATGTAAATAGGACTTCCTCCATCCGGCTTCCCCTGTGCAGCAGATCGCGCCCTGCATACGTCCATCACTCCACCTGGACTGATCTCAAGCCAGCACTCCGCGACCGCCCTCCAATCAGACCGACGTCGCATTCGGCATCGCCTTCTCTGAAACGGTCGACGCGAGCCCCAGGAGATCGAGTTTCCCCCTTGCCCGTCCAGTGGTTCGCTTTACATACAGTTCGCTATCAACCGCCGTCCAGTCGCAGAACCAAGGAAAACCGTTGCCCCTCTTCTTAACTCTGGCTTTGGCCACCTTGTGATTCGGCCGAACCGATACCGACCAGCCTCTTGACCCCTGTCACTCACCATTCACCGGCATCAGAAAGCACAGCAGTCGCCGCTCCCGCTTACCATTCGCTTGAACTCTTGCTCCACTACCCAGTCAAGCGGGCTCGCCGTGAACGTCACCCTCCAGGTTCACCCCTTTCTCGACCGTTGTCTTGAAACAAGCCATCCTCCATAAACCAATACCGCCCACCTATCCTGTCAGTCACCCTTCTCGCCATCATGTCTCTAAACCCTACACCAGCCCAGGAGGAATTCGCCGACCTCCTCGCCAAGAACAGCCGCTCTGAACTCGACGGTATCCACCCAGAAGACCGGGACGCTGTCGCCAGAGAGCTCGAAAATCGAAGCGAGGACGAGGAAGACCGCTACCGAGCCGCCCAGATCGACGCCGCCATGCGAATGCCGACCATGGATTCACACGTAGACATCAGACTACCGCCCGCGGATTTCGACAGGGGCCGCTCGACCGGGGTCAAGGGCGTCATCGCCGACGCCAGGTCATACGAGACGGCCCGACGGTCAAGGTGGAAGGAAAGGGTGCGTGCCGCTCGCCGAAGCGTGTTCGGGCTGGACCGAAGCAGCGAGCCGGATAGCGACGGCAGCGGCGCCGAGGACCCGGACGAGGCGGCCTTTTTGGAACAGTGGCGCCAGTGCCGTCTGCGCGAGCTCGAGGAGGAGAGCAGGAACCCCGTCCGGAACCGGAGAACGAGCCCCAGTGTTAGGCTTTACGGGCGCTTCGACCAAGTAGATGCTCTAGGATACCTCGACGCCATAGAGAAGGTTGGGAGGGAAACGGTAGTAGTCGTCTTTGTCTACGATCACCAGGTTGGTATCCGACTGAGCGGTGGTGTCTCGATGTTCCTTTGCACCGCTGACTAAATATGCAGTGCGAGGTGTCGGCGGCAATCGAGTCCGCCTTGGTTCCCCTAGTCACCACCTACCCGGCCGTCCATTTCGTCAAGGTCCACTTCGAGGATATCGAGTTCGACAACGCTGGCGTGCCGGCAATTCTCGCCTATCGAAACCAGGGCGATCTGTTTTCCAACATGACAGGGATCATGGAGATGATCCCCGACGACGACGATTTCGACACAGACTCGCTTAGAAAGCTCTTTATCAAGCAGGGTATTCTATAACAGAGGGTAGCGCTCGAGCGGAGTCGTCCTACTTCTTTACCTCGGTCCTGGGATGCCCACCATCCCCAGATGTCGGTCCAGGACGATGCAGCAAGGGGATATATAAGAGATACCACAGCAGGATGTATCTGGCGTTTATTTACCATGCGGTGGCGGCGGCTGGGAACCAAGTATTGTACAATACATTGATATGTGGCACTGTAAACTAGCGCAGGGTTTATTATTGCGATACGATTGGAAGGATATCACATAGATTCCATCAATTTGCTTGGCTTCAAGTTATAGGACGTCTACTAGTCTGACTTGGCCTCACTTTCGAAGATTCTGTGATGTGCCAATACGCTCGGGGACCTGATGCGTCGATAATTGATCTTCTGACACGAACACACTGAATGTGATCTGCCGGCGCACTCTTCAGCCCGCCCCGATTCATATAGCAGCTTCAGGGTTTACGACCGAGTAGTTTGTGCTGTCTCAAGTCTTCCAACTTAGGTCAAGCATGATGTTCCAGCATCTCACTCTTGATATCGTTCGCAGGGCTGTGAAAGACGTAACACGTAGTGGGGTACAATGGAGTAGCAAGTGGACAAGAGCCCACGGCCCCACTGCACCCACAGTTCCCGTCACTTGGTTATCGCTTGGCCGGCTCTTATTGCGGGATCACCTTAACACTTCGGTGTGTCCTCGACTGGTGTCTGTGATAGACTTTCAAGTCTAATCGCAAGATATAGCGTGCGCCGAACAAAGAGCTTCGGCTATGCTGAGGACCGGGCACCTCAGCAAGTGACCTCATTAGTACTCATTTCGACTTGGGCCCGGAGCTCAGCACCTGACTCCTCATCTGTTCAAAAACCCCACCTTGCATCCCGACACCTCATTCCTGTTGATTCATTGCGAACCAGATCGGTTCAAACCTGCACTGACGCAAACCAACGGAGCCTAACTGCCATGCTATCCCTCTGATTCCGGCATTTTGTCCACTTTGACCATCATTCAGTAACGCTCGTGGCTCGCTCAGGAGCTGACACGACTTGGGGCGCTCATGCCACTTTCCCCAACCCCGCCTGTCTAAGGCAGCTTCACCAGCCGGACAGGCAGAAATCCAAATCAAGCTGACATCTTGGATTATACTTAATTCCAAGACGGTCTTGCGAAAAGGCCCTTGAATCTCTCGAGTCAGTTCTTTCCGTCCTGATAAACCGACGCATTTCTCCATCTTTCCTGCCTGTCATTGCCTCCTGGCCGAGCCCAATCCCCAGGCCATTCGCCTTTTCCTCGGACACCCCTCCTCCCTTCTCATCCGGCACAGTGCAGCAGGCCACCCAACAACACCCCTCGGCTTCACCTACCTTACTTTTTCCAACCGGCATGCCTCAGGCGTTCGTTTTCACATGCCTTGAACAGGGACTGACGTTCTTCCTATCGTAATGGAATTGCAGACGAGCGAGTCTCTCCCACCAACAGGAACAGGCACAAGCAACGGCCGGAACGACAATACCCCTCTTCTGTCCCAAGAGGAGCAGTTTTCCGCTTCTTCTTCGATTCTTCGATTTCCCCGACCGCAGGGAAGCCAGGAGCTTGCCAACTGGATTTCCAACAGCTCTCCCGATATCATGCAACCCTCAAACATGTCGGACACGAGCAGTCTGGCCGACTCGGCCTACGAAGTCATCCAAGTGACCGACAACGAGAGCCAATACGGCGGCCTGACTGAGTCCACCTGTTCTCTCTCTGCCCCCCGGCCCGACGACGTACACAGCTTGGACGGGTCCCAAGACCATTACAACACCGATTCCGAAGAAGAGTCCGACCACTCTTCGCACGCATCATCTATCAGATACGCCGACCAAACCCTACAGAACCCATCGACACAGCTCTCGGCTACTCGCAACTTGGAATACGGCCCATCTACCGGAGGCTCTGGCGTCGTCGTTCGCTCCATCGAGTGTCAGGAAACGGCCAGTGCTCTTCTCTCCGGCCAGATCTCGGCCAAGCATGTCATTCGCGAGTTCGGCGAGGATGAGTCTTCGGCCATTTCACGAAACCTCGGTCTTCCAAACCGTTCCAAGCACTTGGTTGCCTCAATCCGTCAGACCCTATCTCCATCATATCTTGCCATGAACGAACCCTTCAGGGTTCTTTACGTGGGACAAGCGGATACTCAAAGGACTATTGTACTCAAGATCTGCGACGCGATCTGGGTCTCACCAAAGGACGGTTCCCATGAACAAGACTATTTCAACCGACACCGCGAAGGACTGTACAACATCGTGCCCATCTCGTCATTCGGTCCTACCCCTGAGCTCGACCTGATGGAAACATCTCGGTACCAGATCAGAGTGGAACACTGCACCTCCGCTGAAGCGTCGTTTGAGGAGGGCCAGCCTGATATCGTCTATTCCATCACCCTTGATCAGGAGAGGTCCCATCGATCCTGCTTCTCCCCGAGCCACGACCCCGTCGTCCATCCGAAATGGAACCTGCCTCACATTGCGGTGTTCTATCTCTCCGAAATAGACGACGCTGACGCTGAGCGGACGAGAGATATTACATGCGACTTCATGGAGCGCCATGGTGTGCCATGCTTGTTCATTGCCGACCGACAGGACTTAGACCATCCCTGTTGGCAAGACTACGTCGACCAGCACGCAATCCACCTGTGCTTGGAGTCCAGGGATCCAGAAATGCCAATGCAGCCTCGGCTCTTCCCAATTGACTTGGCCTCGTTTGAGGATATTGACGCCCGGCAGATGAACCGCAATTTGGCTTTCCTGACCGGCATGTCGGAAGCCGAGGACACGGCCTTCAATCAATGCGCCGTGTCTACCAAGCCATTGTCGATGCTGGATTCAGCCCTGAGCAGCGTGAGACGAGCGTGGCCATTACGGACCGAGCCCCATTTCTCGGAACTATCGATCTCGTCGGTTCTTCACAAGCTCATGGTCATGATCATCCCCCTCGTCCTTCTTGCTCTGGTCAGGTGGCTGCAACCGGAGAGCTCGCACCACATGCACCCATCCTCCTCCACGGGCGTCTGTGTTTCCATGCAGACCCATTCCGTGGTTTTCACAACCAGCAAGAGCTCGTCGGTGGCGACATCTACCAAAACGGTGGTGATCAATGTCACCTCCACCAAGACCGTCGAGGTTAGTCGGGCGAAGCCATCAACTAGTACTTTGGCTTCTGTTTTGTCCTTTGCCGGGTTCCTTCCTGAGAAGCCATCGATTGTCCCCGCCGACATCGAGCCCAAGAAGCCCGCCAACTCGTCGAAGAAGACGGTTTGCTCAGTCCGGGTTTACAGTCCGACCGAATTTTTGGTGGCGGTTCCAACTCGGAATAAGGTAGTGTGGCTTGCACAAGGGGCAATCGACATCGCGGTCCGCCGGGACGAAGAGACCATCAAGTCAAAGATCTCGTCTGTGGACGAAGGAGTGCTCGTCGAGCTTGATCGGAAGGACGCCCACGGTGTGCTGAACGTCTCTGTGGTCACGAGCCGCAGGCCAAAGATCAACGAGACTTTCCAGGTTGATTTCGGCAAGTCGGCAGTCGTCGAGGCCTTAGACGCTGGCCTGCATATGCTGCAGGATGCTCTCAGAAAAGTGCCGTGGACTGACGACGCACGCCAAGTCTTTGAGCACTCTCGAAGCTTACCCCATGATGTCGTGTCTGCCCTCGAGCGTGCATCGGAAGCGGTTCGGGAACGTGCGACTGGCACAATGAAGCGGGCCTCGGATATTATCCGGGAGCATCTTGCTCGCCAGCTCAAATCAGCCGAAGCAATGCGCAAGGAGGCGGATCTCTCGGTGCTGCAGGCTCAAGTTGCGTCCAAGCTGTGGTGGTTCAAGATGCAAGGAAAGATGGAGGAGTACGCCGAATATCAGCGGAACGCGTCCCGGTTCATCAAGAACAAGCACGACGAGCTTGTTAATGCCCGAAAAGGCAAGGAGAAGACTTATTCCAAGAAGGCAAGGCTGTTCCACGGGTTCCGGAGCGGGGCATATGTTCCCTGGAAGGAGGACTGTGATAGACGTGGCGAGGCCGTGAAGGACTCGGGCTCGCGTGAAGGTGGGCGGGGTACGAGATGGAGGAAGTTTATGAGGGGGATGTAACATCTGCTGTTCTTGTTTTCTTTTACCTCTGATTTGCTCTTTTCTGCTTTGCTGGGTTGGTTTTACGGGAGGTACACGGATTTGGGGGAAGAGGAATACCTGCGCATCAAAGCTGCCCAGACTCAGTGGGTATATGGACTGGAGTTTTCGTCTAGGTTTTTGCTTTTCACTTTTCTAGGGATTGAGGTCATGGCATGGGCTATCTTTCGTTTTTACTCCGACATGTCCCGACAGGGAGCTCTTGTATGTATCGGCTGGTGCGCTGGGGTAAAGGTGAAAGGCTGCCTCTGACAGGACAAACACCAGGTCCACGGGACCCGGAAGTAGAGCGGTGGGATTGGTAGAGCTATCCTGAGCAATACAATGGGATATAGAACCCCCGTGTGCTTGCTCTACTTGAGGATGTCGGTGGGAGAGGTTCAACCGTACTTATATCCAAGGGTGCGCTTGATGCGCTGCGGATAGATAGTACCTACCCGTATCGCCTATCCGTGCCTTCCAGGTTATTTATCCAAGTGCCATTTTTGCTACCGGCATCCAAGGGAGTAGCAGCTAACGTTACTACAGAACCTACGGTAGCCAAGTCAGCTTCAGAAAACTCCATCAGGTAGTCAACTTTGATATGCCTATAGCCGTAAGCGCTGGTGCCCAATCATCGCCCTTGTCAGCGGCTAGCCAGGCCCCGCTCTTCTCCGCCGAAGCCAAATTTCTCTTGGGCAGCATTTGTTGATTCAGAAAGTGAGGGGCAGCCGGGTCTCTGCAACACCAAGCACTGCCTACCTGCCTGTCTACTACCTTATCCACTTCCAAACTCCAAAACGCCGTCCTTTACACACTGCAAGGTACACCGCATTCCAAAAAGTGTCCTTGCCTTCCAGAGCAGCTTTGCAGCATCCGGTATGTTTAAGTCGAGTCGACTGTCTCAATTACGCCTTCCTCTGCCCCGCTCATGCGAAAATTGCCCCGCCTCATCCATGGAGGTCTTTCGTCTTCCAGCAACCCTGTCTGAGGCGGGAGCGCCAACGGCACCATGGCCGGGCAGCGCCGCCGGAGCAGTGATACAGGCGACGAGATGCATGGGCATAACGGGCAACGATGAGACTTTCACACAACCTGGCTAACTTGTCGCGTGTCTCGTGTAGTTATCCAGTCAGCACTTCGAGAGAGCTTAGCCCATCACATCCACCCAACATGTCTGCCGAGAACGACAACAAGCCCCTCGAGGAGGTCAAGGCTGAGGAGACGCAGGAGGTATGTGGATCTGTCTACTCTTGGTGTCGCATCAGCTTTTCGTGCCTGGGAGAGCATGGCGAACGGTTGACCAGGATGCGCTTCGGCTAACGCTTGGTGCCTTCCGACAGACTTCCACTGCTGCCGCCAATGCTAAGCCCGTGACCAGCGCTTCAGTTTTCTCCATGTTTGGCGGCGGAGCTAAGAAGGAGAAGAAGGAGGAGGATGAGGACCGCGGCGACAACTCTGGCAGCGCCAAGGCCCAGCGCGAGGCTGCCGCAGCCGCGGCTGCCTCTTCTTCGAAGGACGAGGTTCGTTGTCCATGCCATGGCGGAAGGGGAGTTGTTGGAACAGGGGCGAGCGCTAACGGAGTTTGTGGGGCAAAACAGGACGACCAGCCGCCTGAGTCTGAGGATGTCCACTTCGAGCCCGTTATCCACCTGACCAAGGAGGTCGAAGTCAAGACCAACGAGGAGATGGAAGAGCAGGTCTTCAAGATGCGCGCCAAGCTCTTCAAATACGTTGCCGAAACGCGCGAGTGGAAGGAGCGTGGCACGGGCGACGTGCGTCTGCTCAAGCATAAGGAGAACGGCAAGACCCGCCTGGTCATGCGCCGCGACAAGACACTCAAGGTCTGCGCTAACCACTATGGTATGTGTTACTCGCGATGTATTCAGACGTCAGCAGCGGTTCGGAAGCTTACCCTTGGTAGTCGTCCCCGAGATGAAGCTCTCTCCCAACGTCGGTTCGGACAGGAGCTGGGTCTGGAACGTTGTTGCTGATGTGAGCGAGGGCGAGCCCGAGGCTCTGACGCTGGCCATCCGGTTCGCCAACTCGGACAACGCCAACCAGTTCAAGGATGCCTTCATCAAAGCGCAGAAGGAAAACGAGTCTTTGTTCAAGAAGTCAGAGCAGGCCGGCGAGGAGCAGAAGAAGGAGGAGACCAAGGAAGAAGCTAAGGAGGAGGAGAAGCAGGAGACCGCGTAGGGAACGAGGCTTTTTGCCGGTTTATGGAAACATTGACTTCATGAAGGACGGTAACCACCAACCACCCCCCCAACCCACCGTACGGCGGCTCCCCAAGACGGCAGAGGACGGCGAGAAATGGAATACACATGATCATACCCCCAAACACCCCGAACACCATCGCATCGCACCACCCGTCCGGCCAGACCAAGAGTGGGTGTTCCTTCTTGAGGAAAGAAAGAACAGCAAGAAAAGGTGCTGTAAATAGACCAAATGCCATACAGTTCCCTTGTCTGTAGTAAACCTAAGTCAATGGCAATCCTTTGGGTGTTTGTAGGAGCGGTTTGCTGAGTGACAATCAATGCTGTGAGTTTTGAAGAAAGCAGAAAGGCACTGAGCAGTGCTATCGCCTGCCATCCCTCTATGTTTTCATCTGATCTTAGGACTCAGTTCTTTCGCCTGCGCATTTTGCCAGCTGCTCTCTCGCTTCTGCCCTCTCGTTGCTCTGGTCGAAATATTCCTGCTGCTCAAGAGTTGGTGGTTTACGTGGGAAATAATCGCCAATTCACACAGCACCGTGTGTAAGCAGTTTTCACACAACTTCTTGCACGAACTACTAGCGCACGGACCTAGCTTGCACCGCCACAATCATGAGCGAACGTCGCATGACTCGCCGCGCCATGGCCGCGCTACTTGCGCCTCAACCAGGTATGTGCCAAGATATCCCTGTGGAAAGTGATAGCGTCGTCGCGCGATTGCTGGTTTTGGTCGACGCATCACGACGTGAACCTTGAAGATACCATCCATCCTGTTGTACACCACCAAGCTTACGTCAACAACAACATTTTGCGCTATTCAAGCCATCTCTTTTGTTAGCTGGCGATCCGATTTCCTGTGCCCAATCTCGTATCTTTTCAGCACCGAGGCCGACGGCTTGATCCTCAGCGGCTGGAACCGGCAGGAGCTTTCTGGCCTTGCTAAGCGCGCGCTTCGAAGACAAGCTCTTCCTCTTCCACCGACGCAGTCGCAGACCGTATTATTTCTTGCCGGCTTGCTGCGCATCCGGAAACTGACGCTTGCGGAACCCTTGATTGGGAACAGCTGAAGGCGCGGCCGAGATTGTTGTTGGCACTCCTGGTGTTCGCCCCACCAACACTAAGAAAACTACCCCCCGCAAGAACAACGGAGTCTTCAACATGATTGTCGAGGTAAGTGGCAGCCTGAGGAGGAGATGGGGATATGGGGAGAGGGACCGGGAGCTAATGTGACTTGACGGATGCAGCGCAAGATCAAGGTTGTCACTGAGCAACACAACATGTAAGTAATCCAATCGGCCGCGCGCTGGACGGGATGGCGAGGACGGTGGGCTGACCGAATCGATCCAACAGCGACAAGCCTGCCGTCAATGAGGGCTTTCCCATGAAAGAGTGGACTGTCGAGATCTATATTCTCGATCAAGATGGCAAGGAGAAGCCCGCTCGCTGCTTCGCCAAGGTGGTGTACCATCTGCACCCCTCGTTCGCCCAACCGGATCAGAGTATGCGCCCTTTCTGCGATGGCTCAGATTGGGAGAGGGAGTAGTACTGACCCTGGTGGCAGCTTTCCTGGAGCCTCCCTTCAAGTGCACCAACGAGGGTTGGGGTGAGTTCGAGATGAGCATTGACCTGTTCACTACCGAGAAGGGCGGCAAGCAGACCATCGTGCACGACCTCAACTTTGCCGCGCCGCAGTACGAGAACATCCACACCGTGGTCTTCAGGAACCCGTCGCAGGCGCTGCAGCAGATCCTGCGCGAGACGGGCCCCCTGCCCTCAGACGAGGAGCGCAAGCAGAAGAAGGTCGACGGCGGCAAGAAGAAGAAGACGTACGATATTGAGAAGATGGCCGACGGCCTGATCAAGCTTGGGGAGGACGACCTCTTACAGGTGATCCAGATGGTCCACGACCATAAGGACGACAACACCTACATCCAGAACAATGTGGACGCAGGCGAGTTTTCGGTCGATCTCTATACCCTGCCGGACGGTCTGCTGAAGATGCTCTGGGACTTCCTGGTAGGTTTTTCCCCGTTTAGTCCATTGCCTCTGTCACCTTCTGAGCAGATTACTAACTTTTCTGCGCTTCTAGATCAGACAGGGCGTCGTCGTTGCTTGAGTACCTAGGCTCTCGCATGTGCATTCAACGGCGTCCGGCGTCTTGGGGGAAGGTTTCGGAAAAGCATTGGTTGGTTGGATGGATCGGACGTCGCACTCTGGGGTGTCGGTCGGCAGCTTACGATGAGTCTGGCCTTATCTGCCTTGTTCGTCTGACAGCGGCCCTGGCCAGTGGTATCGGCTGGCCCTTCTTTCCAGTGGATTTTTTTTTTTTGGAGCGGTGATATTGGGCTTTATCACCGGCCGTTTTAGTTCTGCATGGAAAGGATTTTCCATCTCCTTAGACACGGTTTGTGGGCGGCCATTTCACTGTTATACTTTGTCAATGCGTCGTCATTGGTGGTCCTGACTCCTTTCCTCGTTCATTGCATTTCGTGGTGGCTAGTGGTTGGTACAGCGGCTTTCTGCCGTGGAACCCGGTCTTCAGGCCGTGGGCCGATTTGCTTGAGGGTGAGAAGCTGGGCGATAACTGGATGGCGCGGCTGATGGATGAGTGGTAATACAAGGGACTAGTTCGCTGACAGCGAGCGCAACCTCATCACTTGACTTACCTACTGAACCCGCAAGTCCTACAACAGCGAGGGAACTACGTGAGGACACTCAGATGATGGGTCGCCTAGGTCCCGCACTTGTCTCAGAGCCGCCGGTAGGTTGCATGCCGCACCGCTAAGGTACCGACGTTCTTTCAAGGGGAATGCCGGTTGTGTGTTTGTGCTCGTTCGAGCAAAGCGAAGAAATCCATCCGCGCCATCCGCGTGATCCGCGTCAACGTGACCCAGCTAGGATGGGAGCTTCAGATCCTTACCTAATAACAATGAACGCTCAACTGTGATTGTTGTCTTGTCCAAGTAGCAGGCGGACGGCCTTGAAATGACAGCGTAGTACCTATAGGGAGGGCAATTGCGAAAGAGTTAATTGCAGTGGTTTTCAAATTGTCTTCCTGCGTTCTGTCTTATCGCAAATGCCCAGCATGGCCTGCATCTAGTTCATTTATCCGTTCCAGGTTTGCCAAGAACCAGTCGGGCGAGGCTGCCAGTGACTGCTGGCAACACAGATGAAAGTCACCTGCTCGATTCCTCCTCGAGGACGAGAACCTGAAGGCCAGTGAGACGACGCCTGATCTCGGACGAAAATGGTGAAGTGATTTGCGTGGATTTCAGCATCATCAGGACTCGATTCTGAAATTTCGGATCTTATCTTGTCATTGACTTGCAGTGTCCATCGACACCTTCCGAGTTGAGTCTTAGAGAAGGTTAATCCAATTGAGTCGTGAGCTAAAAAGAATGTTCTGCGTTCGTTGAGATCGAACCCTGCCAGGCCTCTGCCGCTGATTGGCTGTTGTGCTTCATGAATTCCATTGTAGGCAAGTGTGCCCCGCCCGCAACAAGACCCAAGGAGCGTCACCCGGGACTCGGCCACACAGCGAAGACCCCTCAAATGGCTCCAAAACTGGCCCGTTCCCCAGTTTCTCGAGTCCTCACCCATCGTAAACCGCTTCCAGCCGACAAAGCAACGGGCTGATGCTCGCCGATTGAGGGACCCTCAGGTAACAAACGAGCAAAGCGACGCCTGCGCCATTCGCCCTCTTCGGCCCTTTTCCGATTGCCCGACATGTCGCAATTCGGCGCGTCAGCCCTGCAAATCTCATCCGTGTCGCCAATCTCGCCCGTTGCCGCTTCGTCCACCTCGCCCGCGGGGGGCCCCGCCCTTCCTCCGCCGCCCTCGAGGGCCGGCGGTGGAGCCGGATCCGGACCCGGAGCATCGGCCGGGACGCCATCATCGCAGCCCCATCAGTCGCAGCCACCCCAGCACAAGCGCGTCTATCAGGCCTGCATTCCGTGCCGCCGCCGCAAGGTCCGCTGCGATCTTGGTAGCGTCGACGACCCGCACGACCCCCCTTGTGTCCGCTGCCGTCGGGAAAGCAAGGAGTGCTATTTCAGCGCCACGCGGAGGAAGCGCAAGGCTGATGATGGCTCCATCGACGATCCCGACCAAGACGATTACATCCTGCGCAATGGCCGCAAACAGCTACGCGGCGCTAGTCCTTCGCCGGGCCTGGACCGCAGACTCTACAGCGACGTACCCTTGACTCCGGGGGGCAGCCTCGGCCGGTCACAGCCGCTAAGGCGGCCGGGTGAAACGTCCAAAAGCGTCCGTAGCAGCAGCACAGCCGGCGAGTTTGGCAATGGCGAGCCCAACACTCCGCTCGAGAATCTGGAGGCCCAGACCGTCATGCGGAGAGGTGTCTACGGTCCACACGATGCGCTAGACCTGCTCTACAAGGCTGCCACCGACAAGTTAGTGGATTGTGCATGCAAAGCATATAGGTGCGAATAGGACCAAGCTTGCTGACATGTCGCGACTCCAACAGTGCCTCGCACAAACCTGACGACGACCCTGCGCCGGCACGTAGCGCCACTCAACCCGGCTCCCACCACGCCCGTCGCGAGGCTGAGTCGCGGAAGTCATCCAATACCATCACACCTGGGGGCTACCACCAACGACATACCTCTCGCCATGAAGGCCCGACCGCGGAACAGGCAATTGATCCGGAGCTGACGAGGCGGGATCCGTCCACTGAGCCTGGTTACAGCGAGGCACTCAAGGCTTGGGCGCGGTTCAGGTTTGTGCGAGCGGGTTGGTTCACGGCCCAGGAAGCAATTGACTACATTGACTAGTAAGCTGGTGCCTCACACTATGCTCGTCTCTCCAATGCTGACATGTGCCAGCTACTACAAGTACCTGTCCCCGCTCACCCCGATCTCACCACCAACATTCAACAACCCGGCATCCCACTTGACGCTCTTGACAGAGGAGCCGATACTCACTGTGACACTCTTGACCATCTCTTCCAGATATCGGCGCATGCCCGGCACCGGAGGGCATTGCCGCTCACACGCCATTCACGAGCAGCTGTGGACTTACCTCAGGGGCATGATTGAGCGGGTGGTGTGGGGTCAAGAGGCTTTTGGCGGCGGTTTCTGTGGGTCAGGTGCCGATGACACGCAGAACTCAAGCACCGCTCCATGGCGCGGCTTACGGAGGGGCAGTCTGCGGACGCTCGGGACCATCGAGTCTCTAATGATCCTCACGGAATGGCATCCCCGGGCGCTCCACTTCCCGCCAAATGAAGCGACCGATGAACTGATGCTGCCCTCATATGACCCGCCCAGTCCTGGGGTCGCTGATGGGAATCAGAAGCCCTCGTCTGGGTTTGGCGGTCGGAGAATCGAGAGCTGGCTGGAACCCGCTTGGAGGAGCGACCGCATGTGCTGGATGTTGCTGAGCACGGGCATGGGACTCGCATACGAGCTGGGTGTTTTCGACGATGTCGACGAGCTGCTTGCCGCCGGCGCCATCACCCGCCCCGAGTACGAAGACGAGTCGTACCGCTTGAGGGCCAACCGCATCAAGAGGCTGCTCTTGATCTATTTGAGCCAGCTCGCCGGCCGGCTAGGCTGGACGAACATGGTACCAGAAAGGCTGCGCAAGTCAGATCCCGCCGTGTCGCGGAGGAGGCGGCTTTCCGTCGAGGGTACCACGCCCGGGACCAACCCCTCGTCGCTGTCAAACACGTTCAACTACATACCGGACCTGGAGCTGGACGACCAGATCATCCACTGCTGGGCGGGCATCAGCCATGCGATGCAGGTCGGCAACGAGAGGCTGTTCAGGTCCCGAAAACACACAACCGAGATAATCCAGAGCGGCAAGTACATCGAGTTGCTCAAGGACTTCCAACCCATGCTGAAGGACTGGTGGAATCAGTTTGAGCGGTTCAGGATGCCTCCCTACATCCGACACATTCTCACCATCGAGTACGAATACGTCCGGATCTACATCAACTCGCTCTCCCTGCAGGCGGTCGTTGAGCGGTGCACTAGTAATGCCGGCGGCGGCTCGGGGCCCGGTGGGAGCGTGTCCGGCCACTCGGGACCGCAGCTGTCGCCGCAGACGCAAAACTACTACGGCAGGCTGCCGCTCGGACAGCTGGGCGGCTTCGGCGCCGAGGACCAAGAGTACGTGAGGGAGGTTGTCAACGGCAGCCGGAACTTGCTCCGAACCGTTGTGGAGGGTCTGCTTCCCGGTGACTACCTCAAGCACGCGCCGGTGAGGACTTACTTCCGCATCATCAGCGGCGCCATGTTCCTGCTCAAGACGTTTGCGCTCGGGGCGCCCAAGTCGGACGTCGAGCTGAGCATCCAGCTGATGGATCGCACCGTGGACGCACTGCGGAATTGTGTGGTGGACGATGTCCACCTGGGCATCCGGTTTTCCGACATGCTCGAAACGCTGACCAGCCGCTTGCGGAACCGCTTCATCTACGCGCCGCCGGCGCCCGTGTCGACGACGGATGGTAGGTCGCCCGGGCAGACCCACGGCGATGTAATCAACGGCAGCGGCGCGAACGGCTTGGCAGCGACGAACCATGCGCAAGAGATGTGGCTTAAGCTAAAGGAGGCCCCTCCTCTCGGTAAGTCTAGCCATTCAAAATACGCCTCGCCATTGCGTGGGAATCTCAAGTTAACAGTATTTCCAGAGCGGTCCACAACCCCGGCCAACATCTCGGCCACCCCCTGGGACCTCACAGCCGGCACGTTTCCGTACCCCACCGGGTCCGCGTCCATGTTTGGGCCGTCTACGCCAGCGGCCACGACAGGGCTCGACAACGGAACCACCAGCGGCGCCGGCCTGGCCGACGGCGGGCTCTTTGACAACCCGGACTGGGCCAACCCCAACAACGAGATGTGGTACCTGCCCACGGGCCCGGCCTTTTTCCAGAACATTGATAACAATGCCGTGTCGATGACGGCGGAGGGCGTAAATGTGGGTGGTATGGACCTGCTCGAGTACATGGCGATGGATCCGATGGACCACCACAACTTTGCCATGGATGGGAATGGGTTTTGATGCTGCTTCTGTCTGTTCTCACCGGAGGGAGATGTGACGTTGATTGCGGGATGTTCGATGTTCTTCCATGTCTCTCCTTCGCCGACTTGCTTTCTTGGGGGAAAAAAAAGACTGAGGAATAAGAGGCGGAAAGTCTGCTCAGCTGGGATTTACGTTTGCGGAGTTAGCTTTGCTATGCGTTTAGCGATGGGTTCCAAAAGGGGATGGGAGGCAATAGTGGAGTTTTCTGTGCCAGGGGACGGTTTCTATCTCACCCTTGGAAGGGCGAACTGATTGCTCAGCTGTCTTCGAATTCGAGGGGAAACGGGTGATGATAGGAAGGGCGGGACGTTTTTGTTCCGAGCTGGATGCGAAGACACCGTTGGCGCGATGGGTGCGGCTATGGTTTGCTGTCGTCGAAATCACTTCAGGCAGATCCGTCCTTGGCTCCTTGTTATAGCGTGAGGCCTAGTTCGCTGCACGCCTTATTAAGCATGGCTTTGAGAGCCCCGGCGCTGAATTTGGATTCAACCTACCATCGAAGTCAGACATAAGATGAGGAGATGTGGGAGATGCTGAGCTTGTGTGCTGCACACCACCCTGTTGTTGGTGTTCCGTGATGGATGGCCAAGTCGCGGAGAGGACAAATGCAAGAGGACCATACCATCATGTCTACAGTATATGCCTCCTGGGCCGTATATGGCATGGGACTTGATTTTTTGCTTCCTCGCTCTACCACTCAGAAGTGGTCTTGATGTTTATGGATTATACTGCGGCCATGTCATCAAAGTGCAAACATGGCGGCGCAGGCTTGATTTAGCTATTAACCTCTGTCAGACATCGAGCAGTTTATAGGTTTCAATGCATGCCTCTGATCAAGTCCATCCTGGACCTCTAATTGGGAAGGGCCTCATTCGCCTTCCTGGCCCACTCCCTAAACCAGTCCAGCGCCTCCGGGTTTGCAACACTAGCATTCGTCCTGACCTGCATCCCCGAGAGTATCTGCTTGACCGCCACCTCGATCTTTTTGCCATTGCCCGTCTTGGGCACTCCACCCTTCGCCTCCTCAATCACGCCCGGCACATGGCGCGGGCTGAGTTCCCTCCTCACCACCTCGGAGATCCTCCTCCGCACCCCGTCATCAAACACCTGACCTTCCTTCATCACCACGAAGAGGCATACCGTCTCGTCCCGATCGCACTCCCTCCGGCGCCCCACACACACGGCATCCTCCACCTCGCCGGCAAAGAAGCGCGTCAGCACGTTGTAGATCTCGGCACTCCCGAAACGCACGCCGGCCGGCTTCAGCACGCCGTCGCTGCGGCCCAGCATGACCAGCCCGCCCGTAGCGGGGTCCATGCGCACAAAGTCCCCGTGGTGCCACAGGCGGGGCCCGAACCGCTCAAAGTAGGCGGCGCGGTACTTCTCCTGGCCCTCATCCCCAAAAAAGGTCAGCGGCTGGCTGGGGAAGGGCTTGGTGCAGACAAGATCGCCGGGCGCATCTGCGGGCGATACGGGGCGCGGGTCGTCGTCGGGCGGTGAGGAGGGCGCCGAGTCGACTACCCCGATGGCCATGCCCAGCCCCGCGCACTGTATCTCGCCTGCGTGTACGGGTAAGAGGGGGCAGGGGGCGCCGAATAAAGAGATGATATCTGTGCCGCCCGTGATGGAGGCGAGATTGACTTTTGCGGGGAAGGCTGAGTAGACAAAGTGGAAGGTGGACGGGGGTAAGGGCGAGGCGGTGGAGTAGATTGCTTCGAGGGACAAGAGATTCAGGGACGGGTCGGTGACGGGGCGGATGTTGTTGGCTTCGAGCGCGGTCAGGTAGGCGGCCGAGGTGCCGAAGTGGGTAACCCGGAGGGAGGAGAGCAGGCGCGGGAGGGAGGAGTAGCCGTGCGGCTTGAACGGAGAGCCGGAGTAGAGGACGATAGAGGAGCCGCAGGCGAGGACGGACACGCTCCAGTGGTGCATCATCCACGAGGTGGTGGTGTAGTAGAGCATGCGGGAGGTGGAGTTGAGCGAACAGTGGAGGAAGTGTTCTTTTTTGTGCTGTAGTAAGGTGCCTGCGGCGGTGTGGACGATCGCTTTGGGCAGTCCGGTGGTGCCACTCGAGTAAAGGACGTAAAGGGGGTGGGAAGGCGGGAGCTGGGCGAAGACGAGCGGCGAGCTTGGTGAACTAGAACCGGGGTTAGAACGGGCATAATGTGGTTGCGACGCCGCACTCACGAATCAAGGAAGGTCTCAAACTCCTCCGCCTTGACCCTCTTTGCCCGGATCTCATCTAGGCCCGTCTCTACATTCTTGAGACCCCTTATAACGACAACCTGCTCGAGGCCGTGTTTTCTGAGCTCATCGACGACCTCGAGCGTCTTCTCCTTGCCAGACCACTCCTTGCCATTGTAGAGCGTGGCATTGTCGGCAAAGAGCACCTGGGGTCTAATCTGGACCAGACGGTCGAGCACAGCGCTGACACCGTTGTCCGGGCTGATACTGGTCCAGATGGCACCGAGGGTGGCTGCACTCAGCAGGGCGACCAGGGCTTGAGCATGATTGGCGACGAAGCCAGCCACGACGCTGTTCTCCTTGACGCCGACAGCGCGTAGGGCGTTGGAGCAGCGGCGGACCTGGTCCCTCAGCTCGGACCACGAGGTTTCGGTGAGGTGGCTTTCATCCTCGGTTGCTGTGATGACAGCCGTGGCCGACTCGTCGATGTCGGCATTGGCCGGGAAGAGAAGATTCTCTGCAAAGTTGAGACGGGCGCCGGCAAAGAAGTCGGGCCTGGGAAACATGGGGGCATCAGGCGGCAGAACCTGGGGAGGGTTAGCACCTCTAAGAGAGTGTGAAAGAAGACTCACATACATAGTCGAACTGCTTTGAGGCTTTGATTTTGGTGAAGTACCAGACCTCGGCCCAGAACTCCGGGATATTGTTGACGGACCATTTGTACAGGTCTGGATAGTCCCTGAGCTCCAAGCTGTATTTGGTGTTTATGTGCTGGAGGAATTTCCACATCTGGGTCGTTTTGGGGCTCCCATGTCTCCAGAGTTCGGCGGCCATCATGGTGTGTTGGGCACTTCTACTCCGAACCTGTGAAATGATAAACAAGCGCTCTCGACTCTCAGGGGCGCCTGATCGGGGTTCAGATGTAAAAAATTAGCGATTGCAATGAATGGGATGCAATCCTGCATTTCGAAGATCTACCGTGACCCTTCTGTTCAGATGAACGGGAGGAGCTCCCGAGGTACTTGTACCTGGACAAGAAGCTCCAGTATTCCAGTCCAAGTTAATTAACGGGTTGTCCCGCAGCGCTCGAGGCCCGAGTCCGGTCAAAGCCGACAATTGCCAGCTCTGCCCACAACCTTAAATGGCCGATGGGACCCCCGTCTCGAACTGCCAGTCATGCAGGTACCGGGCTGGCCCGGCTTCTGACAATGGGCGTTTTGAAGAGATCAACCGAAGCGCACATACTCGCATGTTCGGAGACAGGCAAGAGCTTCATGAAAGTGGGCTGTGCGCTTGCATACCCAAAAGACTAGAAGCATTCGGGTCGGTGCTACTCCGTACTGTGAATAGAAAGGAGATCGGTAAACAGAAAGAACTGAGCGAGCGAAGGCAACGACAAAAACCGTTTTCCAATCGTAGTCCATGTCATCTTTGATGCGGCAGATTGGGGTCAAAAACATAACCAATTGTCTTGACTCTTCAGATCACCGTCATCCGTTAATAGTCTCGTGCTCGGGAGCGCTCGCTTGGCTCTAATCGACGGATGTGACGTTCACTCCCCGGCTATCCGTGTTAGCGGCGTCAATCTGGTTGAGATGTGCAATGCATTTGCTGGCAACGCACATTTGAAGCACACCGCTTCCTCTCGACAATTCTGATGTCATGCCACTGACGTTATGATAAATTCCTGGACAAGACCAGCAAGAGAAAACCTGAAGTCGTAAACCTGGAGATCCCGAGTTCAGTTTCTGGTGATGCCGATCAAAAGTTTGCCATGTTGCATGTTGCAGCCGGACCGGTCGGCATCTTGGAGAAACTCAAACCCCGTCCAGGGGTTCCGTGTGCGCTGGTCTAACGAGCACTTGCAGGAGGCTGGTGGCGCAGGAAGGCAACCGACAGGGGGGGTTGTCAAATTGCAGCGGTGGGGACACAGCAAGCAGGCGACCCACTGCGCCCAAACCCCGGGACCCCGATTCGTCAAACCGCCAGGGCCCCGAGCAGATCCGTTTGCTCGAAATCCTCTGCATGTCCCACTCGCACTCGCATTTCGCCTGTCGCCGTCGGACTTGTCTCTTGTTCTTGCCCCGTTCGACAATTCCACTTGGACGAGTACCCCTTTCGCAACGCTGTACAAAAACTCGGGGCGAGGGCGACCTGGACCGCGAGGTCCCCTATTTTCTTCTCTCATCTGAGATCTCCGTCGATAAGCTGCACTGGCAAGCACCCGCTCAATCGCTTGCGCGCACCTCCTGCAGCTGTCGACTGCGACTTCTCATTCGTCGGGCAGAGGAGCTTTCACCAATTGCTTGGCACCTCGCTGCCACTAGGCGACCTCACAGCAAGGATTGTGCTCGACTCAACAAAGTTTATCAGTGTGTCTTTCGAGTCCAGTAAGATCGTTTTTACCACGTCGCGCTTGGGGAGATACCGTTTGGCAGCCTGGACGCGGCGGCACTTGTGTGTCGGTGGAGTTGCAGAGGGGCTGTTGTCCGCCAGTCAGTATGTCATCACCCTTAATAAACGCCCTGATTGTGGGAAGCCTCACCATCCGAAGGGGAGAGCGGCGCTGGATCCACCCAAAACACATTGCTAACGTGGCGCTCCTGTCCAGCATTGCTCAGCGCTATCTATCCTGAATAGCTCTCACTATTAGCACCTCGACTGTCTTCGGCCTACACCCTAGCGATGCCTCGAAAGCTCTCGAATCCTTTTTCCACATCCACTATGCCGCCCTCTGAGAAGGCAGTCGAGCGACGGCCTTCTCAGTCGAAAGCCAATCGTCTTGCGGGCTTCTTCTCTTCCAAGTCAAAGGATCAACAAACGGCCCAACACGCAGTACCGTCGCCTCCGATTTCACCCTCGCCCAGCCCTCTCCCGACCATCTCGCTGTCCGCTGCCAATGGCGGCGAGCTTAATACCGACGAGACGCCAACCACGCTCTTTGAGCCTCCATCAGCCGACGAAGCAAAGAGACAACAACGCCGCGATGCTCAGTTTGGGCCGTTGCTTAGCCCTGGCCATCTATACGTCAGCGCCCACCAGGGCGAGCCGCTTGAGGCGCCCGTGGAAGACGAGCCACCCTATTACGTCGTTCTCACCACTTATATCAGCTACCTGCTCCTCATTGCCTTTGGCCACGCACGGGACTTCTTCGGGAAGCGGTTTGGGGATAAGAAACGTTACCAGAGCCTCAAGGTTTCGAATGGCTACGCCCCGCTCAGCGATGACTTCGACAGCTTCTACGTCAGGAGGCTGAAGCGGCGCCTTGACGACTGCTTCGCGAGGCCCACAAGTGGTGTCCCTGGCCGCTACATCACTATCATTGACCGCAAATCCGACGACTTCAATTTGTCTTACAAGTTCACCGGCACGTACACCGAGACGCTGAACCTGAGTTCGTACAACTACCTGGGTTTCGCCCAATCCGAGGGCCCCTGCGCCGACGCCGTGGAGGAATGCGTACGCAAGAGCGGCATCAGCTACGCCAGCCCGCGCGCCGATGCCGGCACGTCCGATCTGGCTCTCGAGGTGGAACGGGAGGTGGCCCAGTTTGTGGGCAAGCCGGCCGCCATGGTGTTCTCGATGGGTTTCGTCACAAACGCCGGTACCTTCCCGGCTCTCGTTTCCAAGGGCTGTCTCATCATCTCAGACGAGCTCAACCACGCCTCGATTCGCATCGGCGCCCGTCTCTCTGGCGCCGTGATCCGGTCGTTCAAGCACAACAACATGGAGGATCTGGAGAGGAAACTCCGCGAGGCCATCTCCCAGGGTCAGCCGCGCACCCACCGGCCATGGAAGAAGATTCTGGTTGCCGTCGAAGGTCTCTACTCGATGGAGGGCACCATGGTCGATCTTCCTGGAGTTCTGGCGCTCAAGAAGAAGTACAAGTTCTTTTTGTATGTGGACGAGGCCCACAGTATTGGAGCGCTAGGCCCCAGGGGACGCGGTGTCTGCGACTATTTCGGTATTGACCCGGCCGAGGTCGACGTCCTCATGGGAACTCTGACCAAGGCATTCGGCGCCAACGGCGGCTACATTGCTGGCGAGAAACACATCATTGACGCGCTCCGCATTTCAAACCCGGCCACCGTCCTCGGCGAGTCCCCGACACCGTTCGTCTTGATGCAGATTCTTTCTTCGCTCCGGGTGATCACGGGAGAAGTTGCACCCGGCCAGGGCGAGGAGCGGCTGCAGCGGCTAGCTTTCAATTCGCGATATCTCCGGCTCGGCCTCAAGCGCCTAGGCTTCATCGTCTACGGCCACGACGACTCGCCGATCATCCCCATCGTGTTGTACAACCCGGCCAAAATGCCGGCCTTCAGCCACGAGATGCTCAAGCGCAAGATTTCGGTTGTCGTTGTGGGCTACCCGGCCACGCCGCTCATCAGCTCGCGCGCGCGCTTTTGCGTCTCGGCGGCGCATAACAAGGACGACATGGACCGCATCCTGGCGGCGTGCGACGAGGTTGGGGATATCCTCCAGCTCAAGTACTCGACGGGCATTGCAGGCGGCCAGGAGCCGCTGCCGGAGGGAGTCACCCCGGAGATGGAGAAGGAGTGGCGCAGGGCGAGTGGTCTGGAGGGTGTGATCAAGCCGCCCAGGTGGCGGCTTGAGGATGTCATTGCGCGCGGTGTGCAGGATGCCAAGGAGAAGCTCCGGTAAGACTGGAGGCTGGTGTGTGATATGAGGGCGCCCGAGTCGATGAGGTTGTGGGAGTCTTGACTTTGTATAGAGCTGTCGGACAACGCCTCGCCGCCGCTGGCGCCCAAGAACCGGATGGACTAGGGGCGGAGGCTTGGGGTTAATGTATAGAACTTGGGAGCGCTGTTGCTGTCAGAGCCGTATTCGCCGGGCTGTCTGCTGCAGCAGTTGATTACTCATAATATATCTCCAGGGACATAAGGTAGCTTTGACGGGTAAGGAGTTGGTGGGCGGGAGCTGGGCACCACTGTTGGAGAAGAGCCAGGAGTTGGGAGGTGGAGAACTCACGCGACCGGATGAGGGGCTCATTAATGAGGGATCTTTATACGGAATAGAATACCTCCTTGTCTTCTCCGTACTGCGCCCGTTGTTCACAAGCTGTCATAGGAAAGTTGTCTTGGATCTGCTGTTGTAATGGCTGCTCTTCAAGTCACGTGCCAGCGCGTTTTGTCCAAACGAGCAATTACACCCAAACGCCACGCTCCCACAACTCACTATCACCAGCTTGCTTTCACGACCTGCAGCCTTCTTCGATCGGAAAGTCACACTACGTCAATATAGCATTTCTTTGCGGCCACTGCATCTTGGCATTTCACTTCAAGCCCTGCAATTGAAGTAGCTGTTATTCTTTTTCGAGTTCCCATTGACTCATTTCTCTTTGTGCACCGAGAGTTGTCATTTTCCGAGCGCTCCTATCCTGGTAAGTGAATCGCTTTATCATGGATCCCAGCCTCCCTCCTTGCTGCGTTTCGTGGTCGTGGTCTTCCTTCCTGAGATGTCTCGTCGAGTCTTGAACTCCAAGACATTCCTTGCCCCATGCACAGTCGGTCAACACGCGGGCAGAGGACAGTGAATGTGTACAGCTGCGATGAAAGTCAAAGGGGCTCTTGTGGTTGCGTTCTATCTGCTTGGCTTTGAGATGTTAACTTGATTTCATCTACCTGCTAGCAAGGGTTGCGGCGATTGACCAGCACTTGTTTCTTCTCTTCCTTCGTCCTCATCTTAGGGGGTGATCATGGCAAGATGGTGAAGCACAAAAAGGAGAAACAGCAGACGCTGGAGGCCACACTTGGTAACGCTCAGCTCCCTCAGGTATTTTCTGTGGTCAGCTTGCTAATGCATACCAGGCCGGCCGCGGGTGAGGCCTGCCATCAAGACGCCCAAGACTAAGGGCAAGTCCAAGGCAGCGTTGAGTTCTGCGCTGTCGAGTTCGCCTGCTGGAGTCAAGAGCTCGCCTAAGGCGCTGCCCTCCTCCTTCATGCATTCATCACAAGTAGGCGGATCCGCGAGGAAAAGGACGGCCGTCCTCAATGACGAGTCTTCTGAGAAGGAAACGAGTGAGGACGATGACGTGCAGCTGCTTGTAAGGGAGAGAAAGCGTGGCAAGAAGCACCCGGCTTCGAGTTCGTCGTCGAGCGCGGGGTTGCCTGCCAAAGGCAACGCGGATCAGGATAATCGCGATGCGGAGGAGGATGATGACATGCCACCTGTCACTCCAACAGCTAGGCGCAAGAGACGCCGGGTTGCTGACGAGAGCGATGACGATGACGAGCCTCTAGCCTCCTCAGCCATCAAGCGCCGTCGACTTGTTCGGAGGAATGGACCACCAATTCCGGCGAAAGAAGACCAGAAGGAGAGTGAGGACGACGAACCTGCGCCATCTTCAACAAGAACCAGCCGGACGAGACGTAAGCCGCTCACCAAGAAGGAAAAGGCGCGACAGCTTCTCCGCCGGAAGCGCGCCGGTGAAGTCATCAATGAGGACGAAGAGACCTCGTCTTCCGAAGAGGAGGAGCCTGCCAAGAAGGCTATGTACGACACCGACTCGGACCATCTCGCACTTAATGAGTTCGAGGATGACGAGGAGGGTGTCCCCGACCTCAAGGGGAAAGAGGAAGCGCGGACGAGGAAAAAGAAAGAAAGGGGAGAGAAGCGGAGGGCGGTCGGCAGCGGTGATGAAGAATCAGAGGGAAGCATAGATGATTTCGTCGTGGACGACAGCGATGCGCCTCTTGGTGTGCCCGAGGATGCCCTCCTGAACATGCCCCTGGAGTTCACGAAGCACTCACACAAGCCGCTTAAGGAACATTTCCGGGACGCCGTAGAGTGGCTCGTGCAGTTCAAGATCAACCCCGGCTTCTCCGAGAAGGAGCATCCACTATATCGCATGGCGTGGAAGAAACTGGACGACGAAGTTCGCGGTCTTGCCACGTCCAAGTTCGCCTCGGCGGCCTGGAAGAAAGACTTCTACATGGCCCTCCGGGCCCGGCCCTACTTCACTAGCGAAGAGCTTCCCAAGAGCGACTTGCTGGAGTCTCGAAGCTGTGGTGCCTGTGGCAGGTCGGGCCACCCAGCGAGGTAAGCTCTGTCAATCACCAGTGGCGAGGAAGTCGCATGGACTGATCTGAGATTCACAGACACGTAATCACGTTCACCGGCACACCTTACTTCAAAGACACGACCAAACTCGACCGCTTCCTCGAACCCGTCGAACTCGACAGCGACTCCGAGTCGGGCTCTGAGCTCCACGACCTGGACGAGGACGGCAACCCCATCCCCAAAGAAACCAACAAATGGTCCATCGGAGTGGTCTGCAACAGCAACGCCGAGGCAGCACACAACCTCATACACTGGAAGTACGCCCTCCTCGACTGGGTGGATACCCGCCTCCATGAGGAAGGGCACATGGCGCCTTCCAAGCTGGCCGAGCGGGAGCGCATGTGGCCCAAACAGAAGTATAAGCTGGTTGATTCGATCCTGGAGCATTGGGTCGCGAACAAGGTAGTAAAGGCGCTGTATAGCGACTTCAAGGGGACTATTGAGGAGGCGAGGAACAAGAAGACTACCGGGAGGTATCGGTGAGAGGCGGCTGCTATCTGCTGTAACTGTTGGAGTACTTAACGTGGTCGGAGAAGGATCATCGAGAAAGGCTCCCTTGAGAGTCAACACCATGCTGCAGGGAGTTGACATCAATGACGCCGTCACCCACCTTTCAGAAACAGGCTTTGGTGAATTAGCGATGCTAGCTACCTAGGTAAAGTATCATTAGAGCAAAGGGATTATTCCTTACAGACATAACTTGGCAGGAGAAGTATCCATCTCAATATCATGGTGCAATCTGACACCCCTTGACACCCCGTCTCCAAACAGAAAGGTCTTATCCCGCTCATGTGGCTGACACTGACAGAGAACTCACAGGAACCCATTCGTCCGTATTCTGCTCCTGCATAGACCAGTCAATCTGGCACGTAACTACATGACATAAAGCAGCAGCAAACCAGGGACTACACTTCGTAAGCAATGTACACCGGATAATGGGCTTGAAACGAAGTTTGTATACCCACAGCGCTCTCGACAACACTCTAGGCAAAGACAAAGTGCTATGCAAGGTAGACGAGATGCAAACACCAACTACTCACGCCCTAACCCCACACACTCACCACCTCCTACACAACTATCGCCAGTGAGACAATAAACGAGATCCCTCCTTTTGTTTTATTTTGGTTTTCCAAGCTCCCGCGTTTCCAAACCTCGCATCATCCCAACCAGCTTGCAAATGCCCGCGACTAACCAAGCAAAGATACTCGAGGCATCGGATGACCCTGCCCGGTCTCCAGTCCCATCTCTTCGTGACAAGGACACGAAACATCGGCCCATGCAGACATACACGCTACGCTTCCTCGATCTCCCGGGAAACCACTCCCCACTTGCTTTCTTCTATTCCCCCTCATCGAACAGCAAACACACACGCAAGGATCTCGACCATCACCCCCTGCTGTGTCCAACTCCCATCTACCCATTCCGTGCAGGCTCGTACACAAGATCGCCTCTCCATTCCGCACCGCATCGCTTGCAATGCCGAAGGCCCCAGATACCGCTCCCAGCACCTCATTACCCCTCACCGAAACCCTCATCCGTCGTCATCAATCACCTAAATGATGCCTCCCGGCGGGTCATACCCAGCCCCGCCCCTCGCCGAAGCAGCGAGCCCCGCGCTCCCGGGAGCAGTATCCGCCCCCGCCGCCCCACCATCGGCCGGCGCGTTGTTCGTCTTGCGGAGCATGAACATGGGCTTCTTGCCCTCCTTATCCAGTTGCTTGAACAAGATCAGCGGCTTCTCGTCCAGGCCCAGGCAGCGCTCCTGGTCGCCGTAGACAATGTAGAGCGCGTACTGGTCCCAGGGGGCGTTGATCTGGTATTTTTTCAGGGCCGCTGGCAGGACCTTGTAGCAGGGGTCGTCCATGCTGACGCGGAAGGATTTAAAGATTTCGACCGAGGCGTTGCTGCTCGCGCCCGGGGTTTCGGGCGCGGGGGTCTGCATTCTGCGCGGGGCGGCGGTGCTTTTTGCTTGGCTGTAGTGGTCGTCGGCGGCGAAAGTGGAGCGGGAGGAAGAGGTCGGTTGGTCGGCGGAGCGGTAAGAGCGCGCGCCGAGGGTGGTGCCAGAGAGCATGCCGGTGGGCGGTGTTGTTGGGGAGGGCATGTTGGGAGAGGGATAGGATGGTGATGTGGCGCTGCCGCTGGTTCCGTTCATGGCGGCAAGGTGTGATGACGAGAGGACGGCTCTTTCGGCGGCGCTGGACGGGTCGAGCGTTTGTTCAACTATCGACCGGTCGTGGCTGGTTTGCAGGTGTGTCGGAGACGTGGCCTTGGGTGTTGTGCCAAGCATGATTTTCTTGGTCGAGTATTGGCGCTTTAATCCGGCGCTGGACTGGCCTGCAGTCGACGGTGTGGGAGCTGGGGGCGACAGCGTGCTCTCGTAAGTCGGACCGTTGTTGACGTTAGGCAGCGGCTGCTGGGCGTCCTTGGCCAGCCGTAGGGCTGGCAGCATGTCTTCCCGCAGCCTCCTGAAATCCTCGGTTAACCTGCGGAGATCCTGCTCGAATAGTGAAATACGCTCGTCTCGAAGACGCAGCTGCTCCACAAGGTGCTTGATATCTTTGAGAGTCGCATTCGAGGATTGGGCTTCCGTCTCGGCGGCTGCATTGCCTCTTCATTAGCTAAAGGCATGTCTCAGCCTAACATCTTGGGAGCGGGACATACTTGGCGGCATATAATGGTCGGACTCAATGGGAACATCCTGGGCCTTTTTGACATCGTAAACCGACTTGAGGATTGTGAGTCGGTGTCCCACGCTGTGGATACCCATTGCTTTGAGGTCCTCGTGTTGCAGGGCAATGAGGGCCTCGCCAACGATCTCATTTTCTTCGAGCAAGGGGCGTCAGCAGTGCTGGTCGACCACCAGGCAGGCCGAGGGGTTGCTTACCAATAAACCTGTCTGCATATTGCTGGACACCTATGCTGGCGATGAAGTCTGCGCATTCTTCGGCAGTCCACTCAGAAATAATGGTCTCTGGTAGCCTGTCCGCGCTCGAGCGGTAGCCGTAGGTGGTGGGGGTGTGCTCGGCTGATGGCGGCTCCGAGTCGATGGGAGAGGTCTCGACGTCGGTGGCTATGGGGGAGCTGCCGTGCATGTCTCGCTCATACTCGTCGTCGGCATCCGACTCGGCGTAGGCGGTCCCAGAGTCAAAATTCATGGCTGGATAAACTGGGGCCCTCACGGCCTGGGCTGCGGCGAGGGCCAGAGTACTGACAAGCCGGTCGTGCCTGGGCTAAGAAGCCGGCAAGGGGGAGCAAGCGGCGAGGTGTTATGTCTAGGCCGGTGAGTCGAGGCAACGTGTATTTCAAGCCAGCAAAAAAAAAGGTCAACGCCGGTGTCGAGAAAGACTAGCGAAAGTCCGGGGTCTGCTGGGCGCTGCGAGTCGTCGATCGGGTGCGAAGGCTCAAGAACAGGCAGTGGGGTGTTCTGGCAAGCTCCGCACACTGCACAGAACTGCGGGACGTCTTCCGAGCCCCGTTAACTATGCAGGTGATTGTGGGATGGGATGAGATGAATATGGTGAGCAGGTGTCGGGCGTCAAGTTTGGCGAGCAGAGACAAGACGGCGGCGGCGGGAAGAGCGGATCCGGTGGGATTGCTAAGGTTGTCGATGCGGGCGGAGGTGGTTGATTGCGGGCTCTGCCTGGGTCCTGCCGTAGCCGCTCGCTTGGCTGGGCTTGGCCGCTTGGAAGTGGTGCTCTACCCAAATCGTACTAGCGTCAATTCTTTAGCTTGCTCTCGGTTGCAGACCCCTTGCCCAGCCAGCCCACACCCTTTGGCCCAGCTTTGCTCGGCGTTGGACAGGGATTCTTGGCTCTGTGCCAAACTCGAAGCTCTGCCAAACCCATATTCATATTTGAGAGCCAACCTGCAAGTTCGAGCCCATATTTTAGTGATTTGGGTCAGCCGATCTTATATAAAGAACTTTTTTGGTTCACGCCGAAAACAGTAAAGCACATGGTGTTCCTCTCGCGACGTGATGTGCAACTGTCAGAATCTAGGTAGGTACCTCGAGGCCACGAGGGTCTCCGTCCCCAAACAACGCTCTATAAATCGAGAACCCGACATGACCTCGTGCGCTCATCATCAGTTCCCGTCCATGTATTGTTATGGATGGCCGTTTGCCAGCTCCAAGTTAGGACTCCCAACCCACGCTACTCTTTGGTTCTCGCTGCAGAGCCCCGCCCAATAATCCGACGCCGCTTGCAGCCTGTGCCAGCTTTGTACATACAGATTTCGGATGTAAGCAGCATTTTTTTGTTGAACTAGCGTACCATGATATTTCTCACCTCAGAATCCAGTATTTCGTCTGATCTCTCTCGCGGATCTTCACTGTCCCGCATTGTCGCTGCATCCCACAGCCCCTAAGGTCGTGTTACCCTAGCGAGATCCAAGAACGACAGACACCCTTCATTCCCGTTCTCTCATCGACGATCCATGCATCCTGCTCCCCAGCTCGAACGGCGGTTCGCCACAGATTGCGCCAGGGACACGCAGCCCATACAGTCGTAGGCCAAGATCTCAACACGCCCGAGTTGAAACAGCCCGGTCCAGGGCCATCCATACAACGGCCCCTTGGCCACGGGTCACCCCGCGTTTCACCCTGTTCCGGCCCGGCGTCTCTCCCGCAGACATCCTCTTCAACATGACGGCCTCTGGGAGCTCAGGCAACGGGTGTCGAGGGGCTGTGCTCACGAAGGGGCAGAGGTTGTCGGAGCAGTTCTTAAGAACTGCTACCCAGCTCTTCGTTGAAACAGCAGTACATCTTTAAAGAACGTGTGCAAGCAATTTCTCGGTTCGACGAGCAGCCCACCCTGGAGTTGTAAGTGTTGGGTAACGGGGATCATAGCAGGTGAGAGTAGTCAATGAGGAAAATTCAAGGCTCTCACGGCGCTCCTGTACAAACATCATCCCCCATCCATGATCGCCTTGCTTTGGTACAGATACACCGTACTCGGCTACAAGAACCTAGACCAATAACGGTGCATGCGCTTTGTGTTTACAAAAGTAGTTATACAGGCTACCAATCTTCCGACGACGTCTGCACGGGTTATATTGCACCGATAACAGCATGCCTGAGGGTTGATGCAAGTGCTGCGTAAACAAAAAAAAAAAAAATTAAAAATTTTTTTTTTACACCCGGTATGTGCATGATCGATGAAACACTGCTTACGGAGTAGTTCTCGGTCGAGCAAACAGCTGTAGCTGAATCAAGGAAGCCAGCATGCCATGGTCGCTGTCCAGTTTACATGTTTCTCTTTGAGTATGCAACAAACATCATGATGGTACTAGTCAATCTCTTGTCGGCAGTGCAATCCTGGGCATCCGAGCGGCAGTACAACTACAGTCCTGCCCTAGGGAAAAGAAAGAGAAAGCAGGCAGAAAAAGGACAAAAGAGGAAAGCAAGACAAGATATAAACAATAAATAAATCAAGGCTGAACTGTAGTTAAACGCTTAAATCTTGGCTTAGAATTGAACGGTGAGGTGAGCCGCTTTGTGAAAGTCGAGGCCATGCGAAACTACTGAGGGCGTCGAGGCACCTGCAAACACCCATCATCTGTTCCATACATGATCATCCTGCTGCCCAAAACCACCTCCTTCTAAGCACTCGCCTCCTCATAGCCATCCAGAACCCTTCCCAGTAAGAAAAAACGCCCCCATAACTCATAACCCAACCGAACGCCTCGCAACACCAACCTACTCCTCTATCCCAACAAGCCCTGCCAACCCACACCAGGCTTAACAAGTCACGAAAAACCAGCCCGTTTCACCAATGCGAACTCCTCTTCTTCTGCACCTTCGCCCTCCCCTCCTCCGTCTTCCTCCTGCCCCCAGGCTTCGACCCACCACCACCACTACTCCCCTGATGATGATGATGCTGCTGCACCTGGGTCTGCAGTTGCTGCAGCCCACCCGCAGCCCCCTTCCACAGCGCATTCAGCGTGCTCGAGTGAAACGGGCCTTGTCCTTGCTGCTGCCCGTGCTGGCCCGGCTGCGGCGGCCCACCAGACCCAGGCCGTCCCGGAAACGGTCCCGCGCTGACCGGTCTCGGAGGGAGCATCGGCAGCGGGCCGTGTGCTACTTGCGGGCATAGCCCGCCACCACCGCCGCCGGCGGCCCAAGACCCTGGGCTGAGTTGCGGCGGAGGAGGCGGATGGGACATGAGTGGATGCGGATGTGTTTGCGGAGGGGGGATAGTACCAGCAGCAGGAGGGGGAGCGGGAGTGGCGCGGGGTGGGAGCGGCGGACGGTCTGAGGGCAGGTCCTGGCCCTCGACGCCGTACAATTTGCGGAGGCGCTCGGTTTCCTTGGCGACCTCTGCCTCGCGGCGGCGGCGCTCTTTCTCCTCTTCCTCAATCATCTTCTTGATGCGTTTCTGCTCGGCGCGCTCGGCCTTTTCGCGTTCGCGCTGCTCCCGCTCAACCATAGCCTGCAGCCGGCGGGTTTCGGCGTCGATGGACGGATTACTGGCTGAGGGCGCGGTGATGGGTTTGGTTACGGCCGCGGCCGTGGTGGATGGGGCCGGCTGAGGGGGAGCGGCGGGTTCTATTGCCCCGGACATGGCGGCTGGGACGGCGGCAGAGCTCGTGGTGGCGACTGGGCGGGAGTTCTTGCTCTTGTTGCCGTTAAGCGTCGAGCCTGATCCTCCCTGGACGTTGAAAACGTCGGACTTCGGGGCCAGCCAAAAGTCCTTGATGACTTCTGATGCTAGCAAGAGGACCAGCTCGAGTCCCTTGCGGTCCTCAACCTCGACGCGGTGCAGGTTCGGCTGATAGACAGTCAGGACGCTCTCTTTGGCTGCCTTGAACAGCCCGACAGTGATGTCAGGCTCCTTGTTCTTGCGCGCGCCCAGCCTGGTGCCCGTCATGTAACACGTCATGTCCTTGCTCAGCAGACCATCCTTCTTCCACCTGAACATCACTCGCGGGACCAAGTCGGCGGCGGCCGGAGAGGCGTTCTGCTGTTCGCGGTCCAGTTCACTGGCTGTTGGGGTGCGGAAGGTCTGGACGGGGAGCTCGAACTCCCAGCTATCGGTCTTGTTCCATGACCCGGGCGCCATCTTGACCGTCACGGCTTGGTCAGGGTTGTACAGCTGAACCGTAAAGCTGTCAGGGACAACGGGCACAACCGGCGGCGGAGGGGCGCCGGCCTGGGATTGGGCACGAATCTCGGCGGCCGAAAGAGTCGGTTGGGACCACTCGGGTTCTATCATGACTTCCCCGTACACCACACTGGCGTTGTAGGGGTCGCATAATGCAATAGCGTACCTGTTCCGCGAGGCGGGCAGTGCCGGGTCGGCCCGCAGGAGCAAGTACTCAGCTGCCGGTTCGGACCCATTCTGTGTAAAGTACAGGATGCTCGAAAGCGGGTTGTCCGAGGATGGCTTGAGCCGGAAAGTGGGAAGGTTTTCGTCGAGCATCTTCACCAGGCCCGAGTCTGGTGGCAGCGAGTATCACCTCCGGTACCTATTCAGGACAGATGTGCCGATACTCCTGGATCGGCTGATGGAATGCTGTCTTGGGGCGTGGCTTGAAAATACAGTAATCAAGGCAGTGTGGACATCAGCACGAAGGGGCTTTGGGCGACTAATAATAAATAGATCATGCGAACGAGACAGAGCTGACAAGTCGTTGGAAGGTCAGGGACAGCATCCGCATTGCCATGTGCATTGTGGAGGGGTGACGCTTCTTGGCAGGAGGCTGAGCTCGCACGGCACATGTGGGAGCAGAAGGATGCGTTGCGTCTGCTCGCAATGTGGCAACGTAATGGCTGCGGCTTGCATGGTCAGGAACAAACAGGCGCATATTTAGGAGTACGGAGACGGATCAAGATTCGAGTTTGGTCGATCGTGCCCCCACTTCTTCTCGCGGCTTCTTCGAAGTGAGTCGTCACCGTATTAGTCGCCTCATTGAGGCTGTAACCCTAGCCCGATGATCAAAACGCTCGGACGATATCAGCGGGATCAGCCCGTTATGAAGCAGATATGGGACAACAGTAGATCTCTTCGATGAACTGATTTAAATCCCACTAGGCAGTTACAAGCCATTATCCGTGGTGTAGCTGCCATCATGCACTTAGCGGTGCAAACCCAATCCTCAAGCCCGCCCGCCTCGTGGCATTGTTCCCAGGCTATCCCAAAGAAGCATCATCCCAGACAAGCGTCATCCCGTGAATTGTGTCTCCCACCTGCCAGCCAGCAATCCAGACTCCACTGCTCAGTAGAACGACTCCACTATCGTCTCCTTCATGTTGGTATTGATGGCCCCTGGTGCCGCACCCTCGCCCAACCGGAAGACACTCTCGATGACACTGAGCTCAGGCGCCGTGGTATCGAGTCCAGTAACCGCCATCCAGTCGTTGACCACCATGCCGCCGCCAATGACGTTGCTCCCGCGGTTGACGCTGCCCGCGACAAGCGGGACCTGCAGCAGGCTGCTCAGCTCGTCCTGGTCCTGGATGCTGGTCTTGGGGTGGACAAGGCCGCCCTGGTTGCTGAGGGCCATATAGGACCCCACGAGCACGTGGTCGGCGACCGTCTGCCGGAACACCTCAACTCCCAGCACGTCGGCGATGATCTCCTCCGTCTCGCGCTCCAGATCCGGGTGAATTAGCGCAGTGTGGTCGTTTGTCACGATGACGTTGCCCAGCGCCGACAGCCGCTCCTCGATGCGCTGGATTCGGATCTCGTCCGGTAGGCTGTTGCGCAGGTGCTGCAGCTCCTGGTCGGTTGTCGTGGTCGGGACGAGCAGGCCTTTGCGGTTGCTGGTAAATACGAATCAGTATTATGTACTATTGCTTTCTTGATTTCGTGTCTTGATTCGTGCATACCCTGCTGTTAACCGCCCGATGATCCGTGTGCCCGCAATCGTGGTCCTGCAGATGGGAATGACGTCCTGTAGCTCGGCTTCGAACACGCTGTAGAAGTTCTCGCTCGCGCCGACCGCCACCAGGGCGTATGAGTTTGTTAGTGTTGAGAAAACGCCAACCCTAGGATGTGGTCAGTCATCGTCTCGACCATCGCAAATCGCATTCTCGTCGGGGGGTTCAAATAGTCGTGTGCGACAGATGGATGGTGGGGCGCGCAAGAGCTTACTCGTTGGAGTTTTCGAATTGTGCTCGGACAGCCATGTTGTCGGGTATCTGATACTCTGTGGTTTGTGTGTGTGAGGGGGGGGTAAAAGAAGATAAGAGGTGTTCGGAGTGTCGCCGGGGGACCTGAGGGTCTGTCGCCTTGGTGTTTGTAGGTTTGCTTGCGGAATGATGAGTGTTGTGGAGGCGAGCGAACGGCAGATATATAGAGACCTAGCCTGAAATTTTGGTGGGATCGAATACATATCATACGTTACGTTACCCAACCTTGCCCATGATGAACCACAAGCAGTCAGCCTGCCAGAGTGACTGTCCGCAGTTTTGAGTTGACCCACGAGGATCAAGATATTGGCATAGTGCGCTTTTGGTGGTTTTGAGGTGCTGATGCCGAGTACCTTACTCATCCGCCTTGTTGAAGTGGAAAAAGTTACATGTTGCCCGCAACCTTCCAACGATACCTGATTGCTAGAAGCTCAAGCTTGAGCTCCCAGCTTTTTCGTATCGACAGCAATTTGACATTCGTAAATACACAAACATCTCCGACATCACCTAATTCAATTTCAATTCTCCCCCTGGCATGCTGCCACACGACCTCCGATCATGGTCTTCATATCACTCCTGAGACGGCCTTGTCTTGCAAAACTCACTTTTCTTGCTGTCATCTCACAGAAACTTACAGATCACACTATCCACCGCAAGCTCCCAATCTGCCTCCCGGGTGACTCAGGCATATCCAACTACATTGCCTGACCTAAACTGAGCTAGCCGGAAAGGCAAGCGAATCGGCAGAGGCAAGCCTCACAGACTGGTAACTAGCACCGCCACCTCAACTCTAACGAGTGCCAGTGACTCAATCAAAACAGCCTGGAAGAACCGAAAGCCCACACGCCCAGAAGTCCAGTCATTATGATTCATCGGTAACCGCTCTCATTGGCAGTCCAGCATTCGTTACGTCTCGTTCCTTACATTACCTTACTACGCAATCTGTCGGGCATCATGAGACGACTCGACAACATCGATGATTTTCGACTTGCTCTTGAACCACCGAGGTCTTCCAACGCCAACGAACTGCAGATATGCACTTCCAGGTTCTTCCAATTATGAGCCTCAGAACGTCACAAATTCACCCTTCAAAGCGAATCAACACAGCACATATGTCTCTTTGAAATGTATATTCACAGCATAGCGTCCTATAACAGCACTTCGATCATTCCTATTCATTCATAAGCCCATGTCAACACATCGCTGAGACTTGGTACATGCATCACAACTTTCCTCTCCTCATAAACTGCCCCCATACCCGAACGGCAGCCAGCCCAGCGCAGTAAAAAGGTCCAAACCAAGCCCTGCCCCTTCCCACCTGGGTGGGCAAATGTAATGGCAAATGTGATGTTGAATGACATGATCCGACTCCAATCCGCTTTATGTCCAGTTCCCAATCACCAACCCAACCCCAACCCGACCCCCTAACTCCTCGTAAAAGATCAAGAACCGGGCCCATATGTACGGTATGCACGCAGCCATCTACGCCAGCTCCACAACAGGACAGTACCTCGGCCCGGCAAATCCCTTGGCCACGATGGCCTGTATGTCAATGTTCTTCCCGGGGTCCTGATGCGGGCTCCACATCTTGAGCAAGATAAACCTGCCGCTGACGGGCGGATCAAACCGCACGGTGCACTTGTTCTTGTCCTTCTCGATGAAGAAGTGCGCCAGCGGCGCCATCAGCTCGCCGCCGACGGCCCGCACGGCCTCTTGCGTCGCAATCTGCGACGCCTCCTGCGCCTCCTCGAGCGTCATGTTGCCGCTGCCGTTTCGATTGTTGCCGGCGGTGCTGCTGCTTGTTAAGGGGATGCTGCCGTTTGTGAGGTGGTCGAAGAGGGCGCTGCGGGAAAAGCGGTAGCGCCTGCGGGCGGCGGCGGCGGCACCGGTCGGGTCGCGCATGGCGTCTTCGTCTGCGGCTGGCCAGTGCCGGTAGGGTCCGCCAAATATCTGGATGCTGTCGTCTTCGCTGTCGGACTCGAACGGAAGCGCGCCAATTCTATTGGGCGTTCGCCGACGAGGGGGGTGGGGTTGGGAGGGGTGATCCTCATCGCTTTCGTCCTCGCTGCATTCGGCGATAACATTGAAGGGAGCCGGAGAGGCGGTGAACTCCGGAGGAATTTGCGCTGTTCGACTGTCGTCTTCCTCCTCGTCGTCGTCATCGTCATCGTCGGCACCATAATTGTAGGCGCGCAGAGCTCGTGAAGACTGGACTCTCACAACACCATTGCCATCTTCTTCGTGGCGGAAGATGACGGTGCCGCGCCGGGGGGTGCGGGAAGGGAGGTACTGGATTTGGTATTGCGCTGTGCGGGTGAGGAGGTCATCTGACTCCATCGACACGAACACCATTCCTTCACGGACGCTTTGGGGAACGGTGTGAGCAAAAGGAACCGCGAAAGACCAAAACGAGGGTTGCAACTTACGGGCATGAGAACTTGGACCCCGGGGCCTTGATCACCAGCTCCTTGAGACTGAAGACAGTCCCTCCCTGGTGCTTCAGGACAATGTTGCAGCGGTTGCTCTTGGTGCAATAGACGGACGTGTCATTCTTGAGAATGTTCTCGGGCGGGTATGAATGCTCGTCCGCATACAGGCCCCCGTCACAGCTCACGATCTCCATGGTCAGCTGGCCGGGCTCGACCTGGCCGTACTTGCCATAGCGAAAGCCCTTGAAGCTTGAGGCGACCCTATCCGAGTCCAGTTTGCGTCGCTTAACACGCCGGTTCTCCTCGGCCATGTTTTGGCCGTGCAAGGGCGGCGACGCAGCAGACGGTGCGCGTGGCATGGTGCTAGAACTATTGCTGAGATCGAGCAGCGCTCTAATCTGAGCGTCGGTCTCGTGGATGTTTCGGCCCAAATCTTCCAAGGCGATGGTGCCTCCAAAGTGCGAGCGATACCCCGAATGCCGATTCCCGTCAGCGGGGCGATAGCGGCTGGCGCGAGGCCCCGATCCGGCAAAGGCGGGTGGCACACGTCCCCTCGAACCAAGAGACCGGAGCGGTGGAAGAGAGGAAGGGTCCGACGAAGCGGCGGAAGCAGGATAGGGAACGTTCTGTGGTTGGGCGTCTCTATTGAATCTTGGTCGCAGGTCCCGGTCCGAGCCCGAGGCCATCCTGGCTGGGCCGGTTACGTTAGTTCGAGCAGTACCGAGTAACTGCTGACTGAACCTTTCGAGGTCTTCGTGAATTTCCCGGATTACAGTGTACAATCTATCGGAGATCGGGTCGGCCGGTCGGCCATTGGAGGTGGAGTGGACGTTGTTGAAGCGGCGAATTGTTCCGTCGGCGGCTCGATAGGTTCCGGGTTCCAGCGGCGGGAGGGGGGGACAATTGTCGGACTGATTTACCTGTTAGTATCGCAGATCGATAAATGAGAACACTGCAGTTGCTGGACCCGCCAGTGGCAGGAAACTCAGGTACGGACATGTAATAAGCCGCGGGCACAAGGAACGCAGGGTTGGGAGGACTGGGCAATGGGGCGGCCTTTTGGGAGTACGACGACTCGACTGACCATGGGACAGAGCAGAAGCCACGGCGTAGAAAAGCGCGCGAGCAGAGCAAAAGCTGCGAAAGCAAGTTTCACGTGGTCGGCTTGCCGGACTGAAAGCAGTGAAGTAGAAGGAGGATATCGGAGTGTGGTGAAGTTTTTGAGGTCGAATTGTGGTTGCGAGTTCGATGGTGGGGAGAAGCTCCCACAGCATGCAGGGACAAATCAAGGGCCCCAGTGGCTCACCCGTGCTTGGCGGAGTGCTGGAGTCAAACGAGTTCCAGGTAGCCATTGTCTGATTAAACTCCGTGGACACTCTATTCTGAAGCAACAGAGGAATTCCGGAGCGCGCAAAAAAGAAATCTATCATAGCAACAACCTGAACAATCTGAGGGACAGAATGAGCGAGTTTACACTTCGAGGCGGGGAAACGGCAGGGAAAGAGCGGAATTTCAAGCATATAAATCGCTGAGAGACTAGAGACCTGGTGATATTTTAACTCGAGTTGATTATTCACCGTTAGTAACTACAAGTTTCTTGACCGCTCTTTGTGTGACAGGGTAAGTACATCTTAAACTCGCGTTGCGCCAAGCCAGCACACCGCGCGACTTCAAGTAGACAGCCGAGATTCCGTTTTCACGGTCATACAACAATCAACAAGACCACAGAGATTTCGGTGACATCCCAGTTTACTGCAAACAGCCAAGAGACTCGAATCAGATTCAAAGTCCTTGTTTTTCACACCCCTGTGCCAGCTGCCAGCCGATATTCAAATCCCTTTACGGATATAGCGAGCAGACTGCACCTGTTGTTTTGTTCAAGGTTCAACTTCAAGCGTGTTTGCAGCAACCTGAACCTCTGCTCACTGTTTCAAAGTCATTCCCAAACTTTGACTGCTTTCTACTCCGATTAGCTAGGCACTTCTCGACTCGCTTCTTCTAGTTTCAACTCTGCCTCTCCAAGATGGACCAGCAAGCCGAGGTGCTAGCCCCGATCGCCGACCTGCAAACAACTACGATGAGCAACGGCGCTGTGCCGGCGCCGGCAAACGGTATCAGCGCAGGTAAGTGTTCCTTCGCTATTATGAACTGCTTATCACAACTCGCTAATGCCCTCCAGATGAAATCGCACTCTACGACCGCCAGATCCGCCTCTGGGGGATGAAGGCCCAAGAAAAGATCCGCAACGCTAACATCCTCCTCATCACCATGAAGGCCCTCGCCAACGAGATTGCCAAGAACCTAGTGCTGGCCGGCATCGGCTCTCTCACTATCCTCGACTCGGAGCCAGTCAACCCCGCCGACCTAGGCGCCCAGTTCCTCCTCTCCGAGGAAGCCAACCCCATCGGCACTAACCGCGCCGCTGCGGCGTCTGCCGCCCTGCAACGACTGAATCCCCGCGTACAGATTCACGTCGACACGGTCGACGTCCGCCTCAAGCCTCCTTCCTTCTTCGCCCCGTTCGACATCATCATCGCCACCGATCTCGACTCCCCAACCCTCAACATCATCAACACGGCCACCCGCCTCAACAACCGCCCCTTTTACGCCGCAGGCTGCCATGGCCTGCACGGCTTTCTCTTCGCCGACCTCATCGAGCATACCTTCGCCATCACGCGCACCAAGCCCAACATCTTCACCCCTTCCGGCCCGGAAACCCGCACCCGCTCCATCCTCTCCGTCACACCCAAACCTTCCTCCTCCTCATCCTCCTCTTCTTCAGAAGCTCACGCGGAGGAACTCGTCACCAAGCGCGAGCTCTACTCAACCTGGTACCTCGCGTCGGGCGCGTCCCAGCTTCCCGCCGAGATCCTTCGCTCCCCGCGCCGCCGCCGCGCCGTCACCCCGCTGCTCTCGTGCCTCCGCGCCCTGTGGGAGTTCGCCTCGCTCCATGGCGGCAGCGCCCCGCAGACTGACCACCACGCCGACCTGGCCCAGTTCACGCTGCTGTGCGGTGAGCAGCACAAGGCGCTCGGCCTGCCGGCCGAGACGCTACGGAGCGAGGTGCTGCGGTCGTTCTTGCAGGGTGTTTCAGGGAATGGTTCCGGAGGTGGGGTGGAGGTTGGGCCGGTGGCGGCTGTGCTGGGGGCCCAGCTGGCGCAGGACGTTATCAACGTGCTTAGCCAGTCGCAACAGCCGGTGCAGAACTTTGTCATCTTTGACGGCGAGGCTATGGAGGCAGAGGTGTATGCGCTGCATCCCGAGGGGGAACTCGGGAGAGGGCTGTTGGTTACTGCTGGCCCGGTGAAAGCAGATGATGTGATGGGCGGTGGCAGGGGGGCGTTGGAGATTACTGGGGTGGCCTAAGAGCCTACCGGCGTGGGAATGGAAAGACATGAGTGATCCATCTGGGCTGTGTGAATTTATGTACGAGTTTGCTCTTCTCTGCTGCTGCCATATTTGGAGGTCGGTTGCATTGGTTGAGCCGTCTTGGGAGTTGGTTCTCGGGATGTTGGGGAACAGGGGCGCAGGACACTGGCTGCAGCATGGATAGATGGAGGAGGACGCATGTCACAAAAGGGCGTTTTTTTTTTCCTCCGGAGAAGACGGTGTACGTGGCCGGGCCGGTGGAAATCCAAGGCAAATGGTCTGATCTGAGCACTCTGACGGCGAGTGGTGATAACGCCGGAGATCCCACTGTGTACTTGGCTGAAATACTACCAGGCAGAAGGGAGCAACGGAGATGAATTGGCGAGACAGCTCCTTTTCCCACTCTCTTCTGGGAACGATGTTCTTGCCTTGGAGCGTGTTGATGTTCTTCCTTCATTCCACACCTTTCCACGCTCTCGCCCTTATCTTCTCTCAGCATATCCAACTATCCATCTATCCTGCTTCCTTTTTCTGACGCTCCCTCTATTTGCCGTACTCACATTATCCCCCACTTCGCGTGACCGGCTTCTGCATATTGACTGAACCTCCGTCCTGCGGCGGGGAATTGCCCAATCGAACTCGCAGCCCACCATATGGAGCGCCTGCCCGGATTGTGCTCTCTCACAAGAGCCTAAAACATGGAACTTGAAATCAAGACACAGGATCCGAGGGTTTGTTCAGTCAGAATACCTCGGAGATGTAGGTATCACTATGAGGAGTGATGCAAACCATCGCACCAAGAGACCCCCTACCTTCCGTGCTGACCTAGCACACCAACGTTGCTCCACCCGAGCCGACATCAATGCGTATACAACAAAAAACCAGGCCAATTGTCAATGCCAGAGTACAGAGGCAGGTCCTACCTTGCATGCATGCACCCAACAACCGGAAATCTCAAGAACCAGCTCCCAATGAACAGTTTTTTGTCCAGTCAGGCCACCATGTACGCCAAAGAACCAGCACTTGACTCAGTCACATCTTGTATTGTCTACCCAACCATCCATCCAGTCAAAAGCATATTAGCCCGACCACACACCCAACCCACCCTTTTCTCTTGCCCTCATCCTTCATCAGAAAACGCATAAGACCATGCTGGCCCGCCCATCTTTTATCAAGTAGACATGTCGCCTCGCCGTACATGTATTGTACAACCAACAACAACAACAGATGCGCGCCGCAATGAGAATCGTGAAGCCCAACGAACGTGGTATCCGGTGCCGACAAGCCAAAATCCATAGGTATCTCACATCGTTCGTTCCAGATCAATATATTCAATCCCTTGTGAAGGCCTTGTCCTTCTTCAAACAGGCCTTTGATAGCAACCTGTAACCTTTTCTGAAGCCGGATCGCCGAACCCTCCACTCAGTGCATACATTCCCGCCCTTCTCAAGCCTTCCGTTTCCGCAGGTTATACGGACTCCGAACCGGCGGAGCAGGCGTAGCAGGCCACGCTCTGGATTTTTTACCACCAGTGGCGGTGGTACTGCGCACGGGTTGGTATGATGCCCTATTACCGAGGCCCTCGGCTACTATGGCTTGCCGTTGTTGACTCTGCTGGTCACCATCGGTGCGAGATACCTCGTTCCGTGCCTGTATGCCGTCAACCCCCCCAGGAGAGCCTGAGCTGAGTACTCCCGCATGTCTGACCTCCCCATATGCCGCAGCCGCAGTAGGAGGGGTAGGACCTGCCTGGGTCGATGCCGATGGGGCAGAGGTAGCAACCGCTGCGCTGCTGCTGATCTCCTGTGACAAAACCGGCACAAACGGAGAGGGCGCAGGAGCCGAATACAATGCAAATGCCGGTGTCATGACAGGACCTGAACCGGGATCAAAGACGGGACCAGCCGCTCTGACCTTCTTTGCCTGCCCCCGCTTCCCACCATCATCGTCATCCCTCGTACGCTTCCAACCCCAGATCATCTTCTTGCCCACGCTTTTCGCGCCAGCACCGCCTCGGAGTCCACCCGCCCTCTAAGCAGATGGCTCATCCGAGCCGGCACCGGCACTGGTGTGGGCGGCGTCGCCTTTGGGGGAGGAAGGCGACGGCCGGGTGTGCGCGGCCGATGCTTTCCTGATATTGTTGTGCGTCCAGCCCCGGATATGAGTGGGCCCATGCTTTGGCGGGGCCTCGACGGCCGGATAGTCCTTGATGGACCCGCGCGGGTCGAACGGGACAGTGCGGAGCTCCTGGCCGTTGCCCGAGTACGACAGCCGGTGGGGCGGGGTAGGCGCCGGCTCGAGCTTGCGGTACTTGGACGAGGCCGCGGCGTTCGCTGCCGAGGAGCTTCCTGGGCGCGAGCGAGGGGCCGGCCCTGCTGCTGGCGCGAGGGGTGGCTGCGCGCCTTGGTAGTGCATGGGGCCTCCTGGCACCGGGCCGAGGGTGGGAGGGCCGATAGGTTGGTGGTACGGCGGCGGAGTGCTCATTCGCCGCAGAGGTGCAGATCCCATGGGCGGGCCAGCGAGAGGTGGCGCCTGGAGATTGTTCGGCAGCGATTGTTGGGGCATGATGGGCTGCATCGGCTGCGCAGTATCTTGGAAGGAGTACGCGTTGTGGAACGGACGGTTCGCTGCGGGCGGGTAGAATGCACCGCTGTTTGAGGGCACCATGTTGCTGTGATGCAAGGCTGGGCTGCCTTGCGGCTCAGGGTATGCCGGGGCCTCGTTCAATAAACTCCGCATCGGCCGCAGCGCTGGAAGGGCTTTGGCGCCTCCGGTGCTGGAGAAGGCATTTCGGCCGGCCGCTGCTTGTGTCGCCGAGTTGGGACCGGGGCCGGGCGCTGGAGCAAGAGTAACGCTGGGGTAATCCTGGACCGGCGGCATGGGAGGTTGAGGGGTGGCCGGCTGCGGATTCAGGGCAGTCCGGAGGAAGTCGTTGCTTCGGACGGGCTCTACGGCTGGCGGAGGCACATCCTGCCAGGTGAGGCGTGTTGGTTCCGGAGGCGGCGGGTATTCGAACGGTCGGGGGTACTCAGTCTGTGGCTGCTCATAATCATTGGGCCTATCAGTTACGTGGGGCGGCGGCTGAGTGTAATGCACCGGCTCGACCACGATGGGCTGGGGGGCAGCGGTCTCCGACTGTAAGGCGAGATCCGCGAGGCGAGAAAGGCCGCTGGTGTCAGCGAATACCTGAGCTGGAGTCTCCTGCGCAGGGGGCGGAGAAGGCTGCCGCGCGGTCGGCGTCTCGGTAAAAACATCCCGAATGGCATCGTAAGGTCGTGAAGGTTGGGTGCGTTTTGCCGCGGCCATCCGGGCGGCCTTCTCTGCCTCGATGGTGGCAGCTGCGCGGAGAGCATCATCAACAAATTGAATGAAGGCCGTCGTGTCTTCCGCCACAGGTTCTGCCACAGGTTCTGCCACAGGTTCTGCCACAGGTTCTGCCACAGGTTCTGCCACAGGTTCTTCTGTCACAGGCTCGGAGGGCCGGGGGGGTGGCTTAGGCTGGGGAACAGCAACCTGGGCGGGGTCGATGCCTCGAGCAACCAGCGTCTCTACCCGATTGCTCTCCACAAGCTCTGGTTCTGGTGCGACCTCTTCCTCCGAGATGTCCTCTTGCTCGCGGATGGTGCGCAGAAGTTTTGTGACCTTCATCCGCACCTCGACATCCTCTGTCTCCTTGTCCATACGGGCGCTCTCAATGGTCCGCGAGGCGTGGATGGGCTCGCCTCTAGGCGGCACGAAAACGACGGGCTTCCAACCGCTCACTGTTGGCTTTGGGGGCTCCCACTCGTTAACTGAGTCGGGCAATACAATGCCGAGCGTCGGGTGGAGCTTGTGCTTCCTGACCAGTTCCTCGTCCAGCTCGCCAGCCGCCAGGGTGGAGTCCCAGATGCCGACCCGCCGGTCGATGAACATGTAGTTTGAACCGGGTTTGCCCAAGTACTTGCCGCGGCGCTGCTTGGTGGCGCCCTTCTTGGCACAGTTGGTCGAATCCCGGAAGCCGATGTCGAGGTCATCCCACTCGAAGAGGTTGGGTACCATGATGCGGTTGTTTGGGACGTCCATGCGAGTGGGCCGCCTTGAGATGAGACGAACGCCGAATTCGTCCGGGCTAGTCGCGCTGCGGGGAATTGGGAGTTCGGGCCCGTCGTCGGACGTTTCGCCGCCGCTGGTGAGGGGCTGTCCGGCCCGACCAGCTTCCTCGACCGGCTCGGGTGCTGCGGCTGGACTCGCGGCGTTGGAGGCCGAGTCCGGAGTCGTCGTCACGCTCTCCTCGATGGCTTCAGTTGCGCCGAGCAAGCCGGCCGGGTGGCGAGGCATCTGAGCCATAGGGTCGTCACCCTTGGCAGCAGCAGCCGACTTTGGCGCTGGCTCGTCCTCTGGCTGACCGTCTGCCTTTCTCTTGACCTCCAGCGGTAAAGTCTGCGGCTTGACCATCAACTCGGAGATGGTCTTGCCGGAATGCGGGACCTCGACCCCGTTCTCGACCTGGTAGAAAATCCCTTGCCAGTCGGCATCCTCCTGGCTAATTGCCTTGAACAGATACCTTTCATCGGGCAGAGCGGGCAGCTTCGGGAACCAGTCAGTCAGCGGGCAGGGCTCAGAGGGAGAGAGGAACGCACATCAGCAGGCAGGCGGTTGTCGTAGAGGTACTCGAGAGTGTCGAGTTGGAGGAGAAGCTGGCCATATCGATCCTCACACAGCTCGGCGACCATAGTCTGTGACATGTCAGTCAGGAATCTGTGCCGACTAGGAGCGGACGGTGTTGCGTACAGTATACTCTTCGTTGACTTTCTGATGCTGGGCTTGCCAGACATTCTCTACCATGGCGAGTCCCTGCTGGAGACGCTCATTGCATTGTTTGATGGTGTCTTCACGGCGCTTGCGGAGGAAATTCTTTGTGGCGTCGTATTCGGGCACTTGTTTGTAGGTGGTAGGGTCCTCGAGCAACTCGTTGATGGAGCGGTCGGCAAGCTCTTGGACTGCCGGCTTAACCACCCTCACGACGGATGAGTAGGCCTGCCTGAGCTCTTGGATGCGCTCGTGAGCAGCCTGGACTTTAAGTGAGTCGTAGACCTTGTGGCGACGTCCACGACCCGAAGGGGGTTTTGTTTGGGCTGGCTTGGTGACCTTGGCGCTCCTGCCGCGAGGCCAGCGGCCGCGCCCCCTGCCTCTGCCGCTGGAGGTACCTCGGACAGCGGGGGCGGTATGTATGGCTGGAATGTCCTCGGACGCAGCATCGTCCATCTCCGGGACAATGGCGACTGTCTGAAAGCCGTACTGGCTCATGACGGAACTGTTTGACGGGGTGGAATGTGTGCCGTTGAAGGTGAGCAGAGTACCGCTGTTGTTGGCGTGGGAGGTGAAGTGGAAGGTGCTGAATCGGACTGCTGAGGTTTATCCGAGTCTTCCACGCCCATCTGCTGGCGGCGTGATGGGATTCGAGGATAGTCGGCGGAGGGGGGAGCAGTTCAAACCGGAACTGAGTGTGCGGAGGCACATGAGCTGATTGCAGGCCGGTGAGAGCAATGTTTTTTTATGCACTGCTCGGTGGAAGGCGTTGCAGGAGTCTGCCGCGTGGGGGACAGCCGGCTCCAGCTGAGGTGTAAGGGCCAGTAAACGATGCGGATGTGAACAAGCAAAAAACATGCACCGCTGTCTTTTGTAAAATCAAGCAGTGGATCGAAGATGGACACCACCGCTGAGCTGGTGCTGTATGCTCTGGAAATGTGGATAAGATAGGCAGATGATGAGCAAGAAGCAGTAGGTGTTGGAGGATTGCTCAAAGAGAGTGACGGAGCACTCGAGGCGGGTTGAGAAAAGAAGATGGCACGAAAAGTTCGGGGATTGCGGACTGCATGCAGTGCTAATTCGAGCCGTGGAGCAAGTCGAGGACGATTAAGTAGGCTGGCACAGCAGAATAATAGAAATACAATAGGCGAGGGTGGCCTTGAATAAGATGGCCTTCAGCAATTGTTGTTCCTCGCCCGCTGCATCGTCTGGAGGTATTGTGCTTCCAGCTCGGTGTGTATTGAAGGGCCTGACAATAAGAGACAACAACCGCCGCCCAGGCTGGCGCTGGTTTTCGACAACCTGCGGGTCGGCCAGGCCAACCGGACCCCAGACAACCGTACCCACCCTGGCACGCCCATACTGCAGCGGCACACCAGCCTGGCCCCACTGAGGCTTAACCGAGTCCCTGGCCAATCCCAGCCCCTCTGGCTCTTTCCGAATCAGGAACAGCAGTCTTTTTTCCCGTCTTCCGCCTCAACGCGTTCATCATTAGTGATGCTTTGAACAGAGAAAGATGGGGGTATTAGGTAGACTTCGTTATTCGATAAGTTCGATATCATATTGTTGCTCGAACATGCACTTTTATGGATACTCGAAAGCAGTATATAATTTGCAACTTACTATTGGTTCTGCTCGAAAAATTGGAATCGTGCAATTCACAATTCGCCAGAATCGTGTTGTGCTAGAGCCAGGACAACTGACAAAAACGTCCTGCACACTGTTTGTTCAGTGCGGTTGGTGGTTGCTTGAGTCCTTATGATCTTGAATGCCGTCAAATACTGGTAGAATGTCTCGCAAACCAAAGATCGCATTTGTCCCGGCGATGTAAGCTGGCATTAACTGCACGCGCTTAAGGCAGCTCATATCTGGTCTTTTGTTTCACACGCTTCACGTTGAAAGTTGCCTAGTCTCAACAGTCTTGTCTGCCTGCATCTAATGAATACACCGCGGGGGACCTGAAATTTCATGCAGTAGTATTGCTGGTTGAGAACACAAACAGCCTATACTCGAGGTGGTCGGCTCTGTTCTTCACCAGAGATCGGCAGCCATTAATGGACAGATTCGGAAAATTCATATCATGTGCCTGGATGGAACACACTACACAGCCATGAGACCGGTGAGAGCACGAAGGAGGTGAAAGTGGATGAGAGATCTGGCATCGACATGTCTGAGATGAGTGTCACAATCCATCCCACCATACGTTTACCTGGCTGCCCCTTTGTGCTGCCCCTTTGTGCTTCCCTCCTACTGTCGTTATTGCCAAACGGGAAATCCCACATTTTAACTCCGGGGCCGTCTTGGCGCCAATTGTCCAATGACCGTTCAACATGAGCCCTCAACCGTCAGGGGTGTGCGCTTCAGATCCACATCCTGGCGGCTGGGACCGACCGAGCGGGAGCTAAATTTTGCGGCCAATCTCCGAAAACCCGGCCGTCCGGGCTGCGACTCGGCTCTGCCGTTGGCCATCCGGTTGCCATCCCGACATCTGCGAACGCTGCCGTCGCCGCCCGAGACGAGGCCTCCGGCCCAGTTTTACCGTTAAACTCGGTCAACAACACCCGTAGGCACTACACGATTGCACTCTCCGGCGATGGCAAAACGCCGCGGTCTGCTTCACCACGCCGTCAAGGCAGTCAAGCAGCAGCAGAAGACGGCAAAGGCCGGCTCCGGGTCCAAGTCCACTCCCGCTTCGAAGCCGGCGACGAGACCCGGGTCCGGCCCGCCAGCATCAAAAAGGCAAAAGACAGGCAACAGCAATCAACATCGACAGCAAAACCAAAAGCCGATTATCCCTTTCCAACCTGACGACACTATCCTCCTCGTCGGCGAAGGCGACCTCTCGTTCGCCGCATCCCTCATAACCCACCATCGCTGCACCAACGTAACCGCCACGGTCCTCGAGAAGAGCTTCGACGAGCTCTCGGACAAATACCCGCACGTGTCCTCCAACATCGCCGCCATCGAACAATGCCCCACTGCGCGCCTGCTCTACGGCATCGACGCCCGCAAACTTCCCCCGTTCACCACCAAATCCTCCAAACCACCCACATCAGCCGCAAAGATCATGACAACAACAACAACAGGCGCCATGAAACGCATAATATTCAACTTCCCCCACACCGGCGGCAAGTCAACGGACGTCAACCGCCAAGTGCGCCACAACCAAGAGCTTCTCGTCGACTTCTTCCGCCGCGCCCAGCTCTCCCTCTGCCCCAACGGCACCATCATCGTCACGCTGTTCGAGGGCGAACCCTACACGTTGTGGAACATACGTGACCTGGCGCGGCATGCGGGCCTGCAGGTGGAGACCAGTTTCCGGTTCGTCGCCGGCGTGTACCCGGGTTATCAGCATGCGCGGACGTTAGGGGTGGTGAAGAACAGAAAGGGGCAGGCTGCGCGGGGCGCGTGGAGGGGCGAGGAGAGGGAGGCGAGGAGTTATGTTTTTGTTAGGAAAGGGGAGGGATCGGAAGAACAGGGGAGGGGGAGGAAGAGGAGAAGAGTTGCGGGGAGTAGTGATGAGGAGGACGAGAGTGAGGGAGAAGACGATGGCGAAAACGATGAGGGGGAAGGCGAATGGGAAGGTGATGCGGATGAGAACGGGGATGGGGATGACGATGGGGATGAGCTGGAGGACAGTTCCCATGAGGACGGTGTGAATGACTGCAACGAGAATCTAGGCGACGATGAGAAGCAGCATCCGGACTCCGGGGGTGACGGAGATTGAAGGCGCGTTCTTTTATCCGTATACATGCTAACCGGACACGTCCATGTCTCCCGAAAACCACGACACGAAAGGCCCTGTAGTTTCAATCAACCGACCGAGCAGTTGAGTCCATCATCGCAGTTGACTCCATCATCTTCAGCTGTGCTCTGGCATTCTATCCGGCTTGTTCCGAGCTAAGTATTACTTCAAGATTTGCCAGATTCGAGTTTGACAGCACAAGCAGACGCTGCACACGTTGGAGGTGAGATGCATCCATTCGTGGTCACGTATGACCACGGCTCTGCCCTCTGATTGCCGGCAAGCATCATAGCGTCGAAGGTCGGCAGCTACAACCATGGCCATTATCACCGCCGTGGCGAGTACTTGGGTTTATTTCACCGGAAAAAGCAGAGCATAAGGCAGTCCTCTGTCTTGGGAGATCCAAAGTGGGCGGCCATCTGTACCGGCGGGAGCGGATCTAATCGCACAAACATATTAAACAACAGACAGCCAAGAGGACAAGAAAAGTTACGAGCCGCTCTATCGCATGCAGGATCCCACCAGGACCAGGACTCGAGGTTAACCGAGGCCTGTCGGAGTGTTTTTCTAGACCGCTGCCAAACCATCACACAGATTTTCACCACGGTCTCGACGGACTGCAGGCGTTGGATAGGTTTGGGTCAAACCTCATGCAAGCTCAAGAATGGCCAGATGGACGAGTCATATCATTTCTTTGCTCGGCCAGTTCTGGCACGATGACTGTATGGGCCTTCGAGCAAGTGCCTGAGCCCGCAAACATCTCGACCAGACCCTTCGATGCAGTACCTCGCCGTGACAAAATGTCGCACAGATACACATGACGGAGCTTCTGGTCGAGGGAGTCACTCTCTCGCCCACGAAAGCCGATGCCAGCCAGAGCAGTTGTGCAAGGTGGCTCGGAGAGTGCATGATCTGAGGGAGGACAGGAAAAAACCTCGTTTGCCACGTTACATGAGCTCGAGAGATTCAACCAAGAGACGGATGACGGTATGGCAACACGACCAACGACCTGTCCACCGTTTCCTTGCCTCCGCACCGTTACGCAAAAAGATACACGCTCAAATGCCATACTACCTCCTACGGCAAAGGGAATACCTCAACACAGTGCAAATGCACGTTAGTCCGAAGGTTCTCCTCGTAGTCTCCTCAGCTGACGGGACGCCTCCTGCAACCACCCACCTCCGAGGCCCCCCTTGGCTTGATTCATGTTGGATTTCCACAAGTCGCACCCAAGTAGGCCAAGTGGTCCGCCCGGCCCGACCCCGTACGGGACACCTTCCCCTCGCAGCGCCACATCCGGGTGCGGCTACGCTTTTCATTTGTCGGTGCAGAAAAGAACCCCCGCCCAGGGCCCAGGCGTTTGGTCATCTTACGGGAGCCCATCGGCACCGGATCGGGACCCGGAAGTAGATGCGCATATGCATGCAACTCGTGCAGCAGAGAGAAAACTGCTTTGCTTGCCAAACACAGTAAGGCTCAGTAGACTGAACCTTGTGATAGGCTTGCGTCTTGACACGACATGATACGGGGTTGACGGGGGGGCGTGGATGAAGAGGACGTGCGGTTTGCCAGCCGACCCACACCCGGGGCACTCCGCCCTTTTTGGGTTGCTTTTGCTCCCTGGATGCAGACCCGCCAGATGCCGGGATGGGGGAGGAGAGGTATATACTCTGACGCACTTGACCATCACATGCAGACGTCGATCGCGCCCGCGTGGGTAGAGAATAGATTGAGAAAAGACCGGGAAGGATCCGCACTCTTTAGGATCCGGGACGGGCTTCGCGCATCTGAACTGCTGGCCAGCCCTGCTTTGGCGTCCTCAATGGTTTGCTTTGCCTGCCTGCCCTGGCTGCCGCCGGCGATAGCATCATGCGAACCAGTCTACGTACATGATAACGGGGTGTGTGACTTCGAGTCGAGCAATCTGCTGTCCGACTGCCGGCTACGTAATATCCAGGCGTACAAACGGGAACAGCGTGGTGCGTGGGAGGGTGCTCCGATGCAGGATCCATCAGTAAGGGAAAACATCTCCGAATACGATGGCTTGGTGGCATTCTTGTTAAGTCAACTGAGTAGCAAGGTGATGAGGGAAGGAAATCTTGATTCTAGCCAAAACAAAGCAGACAGAGTGAGGGTGTGGAGGGGGAAGGGGGTGGAGGGAGAGGGGGAGGGAGAGAGAGAGAGAGAGAGAGAGAGAGAGAGAGAGACAGACAGACAGACAGACAGACAGAGAAAAGAGCCAAGGCATCGGCAGCCACCAAATTGAGTCCCAAGGAACCCGGCGATGATCCCCGAGAGCCGGCAGCGCGGCCCCTTCCTTAAACGACTGCCGGCGGAAGGAGGGACAAAGAAAAGCTGAGGCCATAATACACCAAGGCAAGCCTCATCACATCACGTACCAGCCGCTTTCTTTGGAAATGCAAGCTAGTCAAGGGAAAGTACAAGTCACTCTTGCCTTGTTCTTCAGGGGAGAAAAGGATTTTCCGGGTCTGCTTATCAACGTTTCCCGCCAACCGGAGTGCTGAACTTCTCTTTATGTTTTGGGTTGAGTGAGTATTTCACAAGTCCGAGTTGCCAGTTCATTACCTTGGGTGCCAAATGGTGTTTGACCTCGACATGCATCAAAGCAAACTGAACCAGTCTTGCATTAAGGAAAGCGCATAGGGAGCTTTTGCAACGAAGGAAAGAAATAGGCGCAGAGGTAGCAAAATAGAGAATGAGAGATGGAGACTGAAATTGACCAGGAGAAACAATCGTGTGGCTTCTAGGAAGGCTGGCTGACGGTTTCTCATAGTTGGGAGCAGGTGGAAAATGTATCACACAGCAGTCAATGATGTCCAGGCACCTGAGGGGCAAAATATATCTCCTGTTCCTTCGAAATGAAGGCTCACCCGTCCATTCAGGGGTCCTCTTCCTGCCTCGTCCCTGATGAGACACTCAACGGAGAAGCGTCAGTCTTGGCCGCATTCGGAGCGTTGTAAACCTGCCGTTCAGTACCATCTGACTGGGTATCTTGGCCATTCCCTGCAATGCGTGAGGACGATACACCACGAATGGTATGTAGAAGGTGGAAGGTCAGAGTTTCGAAAGAGGTTTCCACTCTCTTCAGGCAAGTGAACGTTTCCAACCAAAACCAGGCCAGGCTGTGTATGTATCAACCCCACCGCCTTCGTTGAACTACTTACTCAGGAAATCAGCTCAAAGAGACAAGAAATCGAGGAATTGTACAACCAAACGATTTCCTCCCTGGGTAGTCCGTATCCAGCAAAACGCCCTCAGCTAGCACCCGCCAAAATGTAAGCGTACCTTTGGTAGCCTCCCAGGCGATGTAGTGAACTCGGCCATCAGCACCAAAGATCCCCGGGTCATCCGTTCATCTCGAGTCAATCTTTGGCAGCCCCATCCAGCCTGAATTATCCACTCCACTAACATGAAATCAGGCTTTTTATCTCAGTCTTCCACCCCGGCTCCTGAAGAAAAGGAAGCACAAAGCCGATTGTGCCCACCCAAAAGCAGTAGGAAGAAGAAAACATTGAAAACAGACAAGAAAATCAGCGTCGAAGGAGAAAAACGGAAAAGGGTCGTGGGTCCTCGTCAACTTCCACACCAGTCCGCAACACAAACAGTCCCGCCTCCCTAAACCCCTACGCTCCCCTCCACGACATTCTCAAACTCTGATAACCCTCCCCTGATTATTTTTATAAACCTTCCGTGCCAACTCATCAAATCAACACGGTATCGTCTTCCACGCATCTCCCCGGCCCGTGTCCTTGCGGTGATTGAACGCTTCCCTGCGCCCCCTGGCCTGTCTATCCGCATTGGAAGGCACAACCTCCCTTCCCCTTACTCTCCCACTTCGTTGTCCAACTCCAGACCAATGCCGCACAACAACAACAACAACTACTACGAAATGCAAACTTTTCTCCCGGCTCTAACCCACGCAGCACCGACGCGTGCGTAATAAGCAGAAAAAAATCAGGTGGTGAGGTGAGGTACTCCGGGGATCAACGTTCAAGACTAGCTAGGCCTGATGGGTCTGCAGCGCAAGGTGCATGCTCTCGCTCTTGACTTGGTGGTGACTGTGATAATGATGATGATGGTGCTGGTCATATCCCTGCGAGTACTGTCCCCCAGCAGCATAGGCGGCGCTGGTGGGATGTTGCTGGTTTTGGTGCTGGTGCTGGTGCTGATGCTGATACTGGGCCGGAATACCTGCAGACATGGGCAGCGGCAGGGGCAATGGCAGTCCTTGGACGGTTTGTTGGTGTTCTTGGTGTTGCTGCTGCTGCTGCTGCTGCTGCTGCTGGTGGTGGTGGTAATGGTGGTGCTGGCCATGCTGCTGGTGATGGTGATGGCCGGCGCGTTGGGCAGGCGCGTAGGCATACAAAGGCGAGGAAGTGTCTGGCGTGGTTGTAGTGGTGGTGGACGATGTCGTCGTGGTTGGCGTGCACTGTGGCGAAGAAGACTGGGACCAAACGCCGGGGTGGTGGTACATCGTTGACGGCGAAGGGCCGGTGGTGAACTCGGTGGGTGGGGGGAAGAGGGACGAGCGGCGGCCGGTGTCGGGATGTGCGTGGGGTTCAGCGAGCATGTCGTGCATCTGCATGGCTGCTGGGTAGGCGTAGTGGTCTTGGAGGTCGGACGGCATGATGCCCGGAGGGCCGTACTGGCTGCTGCGGAGGGGCAGCTCGTGAAGGAAAGGCGCCGCCTGGAACTGCGCTGCCATGGCGTGGACAGCATTACTCGTGGGAGAAAGAGACGGGAGGAGAGGTAAGGAGACTGCCCTGGTCGGGGACATCTTGACCTGTGACGGGGTGACCGAGTCGGCTCGGGGGCGGTCAATCTCCGTGGCGGCTGCCTCTTCCTCTTCGTCGTCGACTTCGTCCTCGTCAAAACAATAGTCCATGACCATGTCATCGTATGTCACAGGGACTTGGGTGGTGCCGTCTACGGACGATTGACATCAGCTACCAAGACTCGCGCAAGGCTGCAGGGTGGGTCACCGACCTATTTCGTTTCTCATGTACTTTTCCTCCATCTTGGCCACTTTAAAGAGCTCCTTCAAGATAGGCTTCTTCTTTGCGTTCTTGGGCTTGCTCGTGTCCCCAAAGAAGTTCGAGAGAGCCTCCATGGCGGCCGACTCGAGCTTGGCCACGGTTATGTCGCCCAACTTCTGGACGCTCGGCGTCCGTGTCGCCGGGTCGATAATCATCCTCAGGATATGTTTCAGGACAGTGATGCGCTCTGTCCTTCATGTCAGTTGGGTGAAGCCTCCTCAGTCTGGGACGGATTTTCCGGTACGAACCACTCTTCAACTGATGGTCGGGCTCGATATGCCTCACCTTGCCCTTCTCGCCCGGGCCCGAAGGCTTAGGCCACCAGTCCGGGGCCGAGGCGTCGCGCTTGGTGTACGGATTGTTGGCCTGCTTCTTGGGCGCAATCACCTTGACGAAGGCCTTGGCGATCTCCTTGCAGGCCGACTGCTGGATGCACCTGAACCTATGATCGTAGAATTTCAACACCTCATTCGAATCGCCGATCACCAAGGCCCTCTTCGTGTTGCCAATGACGGGAGGCACGTCATCCTCCTGGTCTCGCCGTAGCGCCCCTTGCCTCCTCGGCCGTTTTCTACCCCTGGCTTCTACCTGCCACGGGCCGCTGGAGGGTGTAGAGGTACGACCGGGGTGGCCGCCATCGAGTCCGTAGTCATCTTCGTACGTCTGCGACAGACTTTCTCCTGGCCGAGGTCAGCAACCGGAGAAACTGAGGGCAATAGCCGCCCAAAAACGTACTTGATAGCGTCCGACTCTGAAACTGGAGGAACTTCTCCCTCCGAAAGATTTTACGGATGTCTTCCTCCAAGATGGGCTGAGGCCCGGTGAAGTAGGCAAACTTCCCACCCCCCAGATGGGTGGCGAGAAAGAAGCTCTCGAAGGGGATATTGCAGTGCTCGCGCAGCGCCCTGGCGACAGTCTGTGTCACGGTCAGCTTCCTCCCGTCTGGATTGCGTTGCACTGGGTAGCTCCTGCACGTGGGACAGAGGGAAGGTCAGTTCTATGAGGAATCGCGTACCAAGGGTGGCGAGCTTCGTGCTTCCGGCACCTGGATGGTGTTGAGATGCTCAATGTCCAGCCCAAGCCTGCTTCCCTCCCACGGCCGAAGGCCCGAGGGATAGTAGTCCGAATTGACGGTGACCATGATGGAGTGAGTTGGCTGTGTAAATATTAAGAGCCAATGCAAGCGGGTTAAGGGTCGGTTGTCGCAGACGTGGATGGTCGGCCGTCTCTCGAAGGGGGGTAAAGAGGGCAGTCTGACTGGCCAACCGACGGGGGAGCTTGCAGGTAATATATCGTCCTGTCCGCGAGAAAAATGAAACCCGGTCGAGTCGGGGCCCCCGGGGCCAGTGAGACACGGGGGCTACCGTGGTGGGGCCTGAGTGCTGTGCCGGTCAGGGGACCGGAGTAAACAAGTGGTGCCGCGTTTCCGGCCGCAGTAGATTTTGGGCGAGTCCAAAACTAAAAGTCTCATGCAAGAAAGAGTAACCAGGACACACACAGCAAACCGCCTCGAGATCAAGGATGTGGCAAGCGAGTGAGCACTGAATAGTCTATCAGACAGCTCCGTGGAAAGACACTGTTGATGGCGAAGGTGTAAATGTGTAGGGGCGCTGCAGCCCAGGAGTCGTGGACAGGCGAAGATTGGCTGCTCAGGGGCTGACAGTGGCCAGGTTGAAGATAGTGTGGCCGAAATGGGCGGTCGGGCGCGCGAGGACAAAGCGGGCTGACGGCGAGCTTGCCAAAGCTCAAGACCGAAGGCGTCAGCTGCCTGCTGGGACGGTGGAGACGGATAGATGATAGTCTCAAACACTTATATCAGCTAGTGGTTGATGAACCTAGGCTGCGGGACCCTGCAGTCAGTCTTCTTTGTCCTTGGGTGCGGCTATGAGACATCAGAGGGGAGGTGAGCTGAACCGACCACTTGAGAATAGCGATTCGCAGATAGAGGTTCTGCTCTCTGCAACCAAGGCGTTTTGAGGGGGTTGGATGGTAGCGTCGTATGTGTGCAGTGTGATGGGTATTGATATGTGTATGCTAATGTCGTGTTGTGGAGGGCGCCCCCTCTACCTTTTGAGACAGCCAAAGACCAAGCCCGTCTGGTGACGTCTGGGTTCAATGGCAAGGATCCTTGGGCGCAAGGATCACACGGAGGTGTCTGATAGTGACACCTCTAGGGACGAGAAGGCAAGGTCAAGGAAGTGGGGAGCTAACGAGACTTGGAAGTCTCGGAGCAAAATTGGAAAGCCTGGTGAAAGTAAGAACAGCCACCAACAGGACGGCCTGACTCTCTGGAAATGGTGGGCTTGGAAGGGCCCAACGACGTTGGAGAACAGGGAGTCCGGGTCAGCCGGGCTGCTTTAGGAAGAGCGTCTTGGTTGAGTCAGCCCTTGTTCTCGGTCAATATCAAGATGCTCAAGACCAACTTCGAGTTTGATTCATTCATACGGTACGGCGAGAGAGAGAGAGTAGATATCGAACAGCAGTGAGACTGACAGCTGAAATGGTGGGTTAAAAACGATACAAGAAGCTGTAGGCCCGGGTTGACACTGGTTGAGAGTCGAGGAAAGACCTGAAGGTGCAGGTGATGAGTATTCCGAGACACGGTGGGTTTCCTAGAGTGCCAAAGCCTCGCCGGAACATGAAGACGACTATGAAAGTCAGGGCCGCAAGCAAAGAAAGGAGCACACCTGAAACAGGAGGCAGAAGGCGAGCAAAGGAGACAGTTATACGAGCGAGCGATGGAGCACGCTGTCCAGCGCATCGTTAGAGTTACCTTAGCTGGGCATCGTCGCACAGCTGCTGCTGTCGTAAACGAAGCCACACTCCATGTCCAAGGCAGCGCGGTGGCTTCTTTTGAGATGGAAACACAGCAGCAAAAGGACGCCACTGGCCCAAGGCTCACACCCTCGGCCTCACGACCCTCGCACAACAGCTGCCAGAGGTCGTGGTGGGGAATGTCGCACTGTCCGTATGTATTCGTCTAGGTACGCAGTACCTACTTGTAGGTGCAGACTGGGATGCGGCGTGTTGAGCTGAACGTTCTGGCGGGTGGGTGTAACGGACCCCGGTTTGAACGGGGCCTTCCCATGCCGCTGCGGTACCTTTCCTCGACGGTGCCGTTTGCTATCGAATTATTGCGCACATGTTTAGGTATAGATGGCGCCGCCTTTACGAGGTGTCTCGGTTATCTGCTTGGCTGTCCGATAATAATTTGAAGCTTCTTGACATGCTGAGAGCAAAGCAGAGCAAATTGAATGATACACGGACTCATCTCGAGGAGGCGGATCGAACTGTTTGTTACGGGCCTGATCGGCTGGGTTCGAAGTGGTTGGAATGCTTCGAATTGGCAGAGAAGTCTGAATTGGGAAGAGAGCCATCTGACATTGTTGCTAGACATCCCACACCATCCCACAATGTGTTGCTTATGCGGATGAGCGAAGAAGAAAATGTGAAGCGGCAAGGCCAGGAGGGTGTTGGATTATTGGATGATGGAGGCGAGACCTGATGCCCAGGGTGATTTTTACGAGTACTGTACTTGTAAATGGACTTTATGTAATACAGGCAAGTAATTGGTGTGGTCGCCACCCCTGTATCAACGACAGTCAGTTGATCTTCGAGCGTCCAGATTTCTGTGTAACTTGTCAGTAGTGTGCTGCTATCACGTTCAACAAGGAGCACGGCCTGCCACTTTCACTTTATTCCCGCTTTTGGCGTTGGGTATAAACGTCCAAGAACGCAGAAGTGCCACGTTTCGCAGCGCCGGCGGCGACGCCATTACGACGACGACAACCCACGCGATACCGATACTAAACCCAGATGATGATGCTCCTTTTAAGTTAAAAAGCACCGGGTTATTGCATGCATATGCCGGCCCTTGACGCGAGCACCGAGATCCTTCACAATCAAACCAGGCCTCGAGCGGGCAAGGGCCAACAGGAGCCGTGACTGCCTGTTTGAGGACTTGCCCAATTGGTGCGCCCACATGCCACTTGACCCAGACGCGGTGCCGTACATCCAGGCAACTTTCGTGCAGAGCTTCCGAGAGACGAGAACGAACCGATGGTTTAGCAGCTCACCGCTCTCAAAGCTGCTCCAACTTGCCTCCGGGGACGGTCGACAACCTGGCTGTCTGTTGTGCGGGATAAGATACGTGCAATATCCTGATGGAGAAAGGCCGGCAGTTTAGGCAAGGTTCCATCCATTTTAGTATGAGCCAGTCAACGACGTGGGTATCTGTACCATAGCAGAAGACGAAACCCGCCTACCTTACAAAGTATTATTTGGTTGCGCTTGGTACTTCATATTTGGTTACCCAATCTGGCAAGCGTTCAAGATTGAGATCCAGTGATTGATACGGCAGTAATACAGAGCGTTACAAGCTGGCTTTCATCCACCTTCAATCTTGGCTGCAGATACGCCCGACGCTCCGGGTCATCTCCGATTGCTCACTTCTATTGTCTAGGAGACAGCATGCAAGCAGAGCGATGAGAGTGGAAGTCGGGACAAGCCACCGTGTTTAATTGCCTTTGTAACCAGCCAACGAGCGGCTTTGAGGACTGTTGGGCCACGAAAAGCCACTCAGCCGGCGGCGAAACTGTAACCGGGCTCCGTACCCGGGCGAGCCAGGGCATCCATGATCCATGAACCTGATATAATCACCCTCGGTTGGCTGCCCAATTTCGCAGATTGGGCCGACCGATGTGAGCTCAAACATAGCCTAAAAGCAATATTGAGAACTTAGCTAAATTGGGGAAGATGCTGATGCGGTTGATGTGGACTCATTGTTGAGAGGGGATCTTGGAGATGCGCTCGATGCGCTCTTCTGGTCACTGGTCAGACACTCGGCAACTGGTCAGACACTCTGCCGAGGAGCCAGCCAATCAGGCCGTTTTGGACATCCATGGCCGCCAATGAGACGGAAGAAGCAGAAACCCCTAACCCCCCCCTGACAGGTTTGACAGCACAGAGCTCGAATCGGACACTCCAGCCAATATAGGAGTGTTCCACTGATGGGCTCGTCCAACATCCAACAAACGAGCTCTCTTGCACGACTTGGGCCATCGGCGCCATGAAGGGGAGTGGCAGCGGAAGCACCTACGGTACGATACCCGGTAAGATGAGGTGCTAAGTTCCAGTACAACTTAACCATGATGTGTTTGTTAGCGCGGAACTTACATAGGAGGATTACACCTCATCTTCGTTCACTTATTTAACCTTTTTATTTTTCTCTCTTCCTTTCTTTCCTTTTCCTCTCTATTTTGTCTTTTTCTTCCTCTCTCTCTTCATTTTCCTCTTCCTCGATATCTTCTCTTTCTCTCTTTTCCCTCTTACTTCTTTGTCTTTACCCTCTTGTATTTTTGCTTCTCTTCCCTGTTTTTCTTCCGTTCCTCGGTTTCTTTATCCCCCTGCATTTCATGTCTACTCCGTAGTGCCCCGCCATGTGCCATGTTAACGGACAAACCAGGGCAGGATTGTACACATGTCGGGCCCACAGCGGATTTGTCGGCAAGCCGACCACCGGTCTGTTGGTCTGCTCTTCCTCCACATAACATCTCACTTTTACTGCCCGTCCGCCGCCATGGGGAACCAGGTTCTCGGAACGGCCCTTGTCAGCCCGCGGCCGCGCGCGCTAACTCGACTGCAAACGCTAAGTCAACTCCCTGATCAAGGGCTCAATACAAAACTGAAACCAGTCCAATCGCGAGCATGTCCCCAGGAAAGACGACCCACGATCAGCGATGCCATTCGAGAGTTCCTGTGGGATTGATCCCTATTACTGTTGAAAGCCAGTCCGCCCGTCCCGCAATTGGAACCTAAACTGCAGCGTTTGTTCTGGGCTTCCGACTGCCCCCAATTGCGGACCCAAGTCAATTCTACGGAGTGCCAAGGACACCCATCAGCAATCGCGAACAGACTGCCGAAAGCTTATCTTGATCGGAAAGGAGAAGTGACAACCACTTTCCCGGGACGTTTGATGTCGTTCCCCTCGAAGCGCTGCCAATTCAAAGCTTGACGCAGCCCGCTGTTGTCATCGCCAGCCTTGACTCGTCTCCCTCATCCATGACTCTCCAAGGCCAAGCCCCAAATGGACCACCCATCGGAGACACAAAACCCAAGACCGTCGACCGTGGTGCTGCTGAATCAAGCAAATGTGCGCTTCCCCCCCCCCCCCCCCCCCCCCCTCCCCGCCCCTTCGATGCCTCGATGGGGATCTTCATGCAGCTATCGGGCACCCAACGCCTGGCAGGTCGCCGACCCTTCCTGAAAGGGCAGCCATCGAGATGCATCTGGGCGCCGGCAAGAGTTTCCGAGCGAATGTTTGCCTCGGGTGGCTTCGAGTCAGCGCCAACCCTGAGAGACACTTCTAAGATCCCGCGGTATCCCGCACGCCGAACCGCAAGCCATAACGCTACTGAGTACACACTAGTACGCCAACTGGTCTAATAACGAATGGCTTGACGCGATTCACTTACGGATACAGTTCATCATCGGGCTGAGGTGTGAAAACTTGGGTTACACAGGCAGCTCCCTGTGTCCCCGCCCTAAGCCTTTTTCAGTTTCCCTCGCATGCCGGGACATGCATCGTCAATCCGACGTGATGGAGGCGTCGCGCCCCACGACCATGTCCGCTGGCTTTACCCTCTGCTAAACCATTCCCAGCATGGCTCCCTCGATGCCGCAGCTCCCCAGCCAAGCCACCAGCCGGGGCCCCACCGAAGAACACCCGGATTGACGCCCAAAGATCAACAAGGTTAAATACGGAGGAATGCCACCTCCCCGAGCCGCCAAGTTGCGCTGAACACGCTGGGCCGGAGCAGTGACCGAGCTGACCAAGGTGAGAGTGTCCGGGGGTCTGGACTCGCTCATATGGTTGCGACCATCTGCGGGATTGGACCCACGGGGCGTCTTGAACTGGCGATTTATCTCCAACTCTCCGAGAGGAACGTCCCTTTTGAGCAGCTGTGCCGTCACCTCGCCCATCTTCATCCATGCCGGCTGAACCTTGTCTGGGGTTGCTGTGCCACTGGTTGACGACCATCACAGTGTCGGTGCTTGAAGGCGCTGACCAGATGCAACTGCCTGCCGGGAACTTTCCGGAGTCATTCCAACACCAGCTCGGTTCTCGCCCAGGCCACGCCACAGCGTTTAACCAGCGACTGACGAAGGATCTTGGAGCCCGAAGCTTCGGTTCCATGCCGACACCACACCAGACGACGCATTCCAAAGATGCTCTCGATAAGTACGCGGATCCGCATCATTGACCATCGCCGTCCCCACGTGTACCACCCCTGCTCCCCTTGCGTAAGTAACCCTTCAACGGCGGCAGTGGCTTCGCCTGTGTAACCCGCCCAACAGACCGCAGGATCTCGGTCTCAGACTCTTCCAACGTCTTTCCGTGCTACCCTCCTTCCGCACGAACACCGTACAACACCACATGCCTTGTTATTATCGACTGCGTGTCTCGCCTTTTTTCCGAAATGAACCACAAAAGCCGAATGGCTCACCCTGGCAAGGCGCGGTCAGCAACGGCACATCCTGTGCAGTACGGACATTTTATGAACCGCGTTTGAGTAGGCATGTTACACGACTTCGCATCACTGCTGCTCGCCTCCTCTGATCGCTTCACGGCAGGCGGACCAAGGAACCCTCGATATAAGAGTAGTATAACCAGCCCAGCAAGGAAGGGCGACCGTTTGGCCGCCATCCTGGCCACTGATCATTCAGTGGTCAGACAGGATCATCTCACCTAAACAAGCATGACGCCATCGCCGGGCCAACCGACTCAAATAAGCCAATGCGCCAAAGGCCATCGATTCTGCGATCCGCCAACCAACTCCCGAATCCCAGATCTGGGTTGTCATGCCGTGTCCTTGTGAGGAAATCCCGGTTTGGCCGCGAGCCAGTACATGTAGCAGAAACATCTCCAAGAGCCCCCTCGCTGAGCCACCCCAGACATCCCCATTCGGAACAGCCCATCTGAAGGGAGGAACCTTCGCTTACCTCGCCGTGTTGGGCTTATCTTCATCTCCGCCGTATGTTCATCATCCCCTCCTTCAGTATGCCGACCTAGGCACCCCCTCACGCCGAGATCCCAATGTGGCTGGATTGGCGCAACCGAAGGGAAAGGAAAAAGTATGGGTACACAGCAGACGGCTCTGATCACGAGATCGGGCACAGCAAACATAATTCATACACACATAGCCAAGATAACCACACGAGCCACCTGATGAATGTCTTCACTAGACAGTACTTGACCTTACTTCATTTCGTTTTGCTGCAAATAATCCAGTTACACTCTCGATTCCCAACCCCTCATTCACACAGCCAGCCATATCTCGCCTCAGCGCTCCATTGCATAATGGATCCCCCACATCTGTCAGCCCTGTTTCGTGATACAACTCCCTCGGTATCCAAACAGGAGCGAGCACAGCAACGGTGGCACCAAATGCGGTTGAAGTAGAGTAGCGGTGAACAAATGATGAAGGCGAAATAGAAAGAAGTCAACCGGCCAGACCGAACAGAAGCCGGTGGTTCATCCAAGGACAGACAGACGCCATGCGGTTGCGTAGAGCACTTCTTGATTGTTATTCCACCAGCCATATACAATCCAAAGCGGCCATTTGCTATACTACACTGACCTCCAATCCAGTACACAGATATCGACCCGTCCCGTCTAGAGTACATTGAACTCATCATCATCCCTCCGTTTTTAGATTCTCCACTTCCTTCTCTCACCATTTAAGTCCCTCCTTCACAACAGCCTCGTTCTTCCCCCTACAACGATCTCCCTGTAAACAATCCCTTGATCCCAGATACAACCCTCGGGCCAAGGCCCCCAAGAGTCCCGGACAATATCTCCAAAGCACGCTCTACTGCTCCTCCAACAAGCCAGCCTCCCTCACCAACCCCCAAAACACCCCTTTCCTCTTGAGAAGTTCCGCCGGCGTATCAAACTCGACCACCTCCCCTTTCTCAAGCACCACGATGCGGTCGCTGTCCATGATGGTATTGATGCGGTGCGCCACCGTGATGATGGTGCGGTTGGCGAACAGCGGCCCGCGCAGGGTGTTCTGCAACATGGCGTCCGTCTGGACGTCGACGGCGGCGGTCGCCTCGTCGAGAACCAGGATGTTGGACGGGGTGAGCATCGCGCGGGCGAGCGAGACGAGTTGGCGTTGGCCCTGGGAAAGATTCGATCCTGGTGTTGGGGGAGAAAAGGGGTGGTGTTAGTAATATTTCTTGGGATGAAAATTGCAAGTTGAATAGTGTAGAGTAAGTAGTCGGATGTAGACTGTTCGGAGGGTTGGTTCGATGGCAGCAGAGGATCTTGCTACCGTGGGTGTGCCAGGACTGAGGAATGACACTGTCACAGACTTCGAGGCGTAACCACTTGGTGCGGCAAGTTGTGAACCGTAAATGTGGGGAGTATGACGACAGCGGAGAACGGAGTCGCTGTGCAAATCCAGTATAGCATGAATGTTAAAACCGACAGCGCTCGGAATCCGGCTCGTTCAGCGTCGCACTCTCGCTGATTGCCTCCGAGCTCCTGCGAGATCTGGTCTGTGGACCGGTTCGCAAGCAACGCGCGAGGCAGATTGACGGTGCACACGACAAGGCAGCGTTGGACAAGGGCGGCGCCTTGGTCCAGAAATACTGCGACGCCTTTCCCGCCGGCCCATGAGAACCAAGGATCATTGCACGCCCTTCTGCTCACTCGCATGACAAGTTGACTCCGAACATGGGAAGGCCTGTCTGCTCGTATCAAGCATCACCGTCGTCACGACCAGAGGCCTTGACCATGCAGCCACCCGCATCGCGTCGCGATGCTGCTGACGAGCAGGCGACCCGAGGTGACGCCAACACAGCGGCACATGGCACGACAGGCACACGCCACAAGAAAGCCGACAGAAAGCGCGGAGGTAACAAGACAAACCGGAAACACCACGTGGGAAAAATAGGGATAATGCACTAGCTTACCTCCTTCGTGTATCTTGGCCTCCAACCCACCCTCCATCGAAGAGACGTGATCTTTTAACCGAGCGTGTTCTGTGCACCGGCCAGATTAGTATTCCGTGTGCCCGACAAAATGACATGCACATGTGAACGTCGAGGAGATGGGAAAGACGTGGTCAGTTGCAACGTGTAAGACGGATCAGGACGTACCAAGAACACTCCAAAGCTCCGTGTCGTCGTGGACATGGGCTGGATCCAAGTTGTCCCGAATAGTTCCTTCGAAGAGCGCGGCGTCCTGAGGAATGATGGCCAAGCGCCTGCGGAGATCCAGAAGGCCGATGGTCGACGTGTTGAGCCCGTCGAGGCTGATGTTGCCCGTAGCTGGTTCGACGATGCGGAACAGGGCCAGGGTCAGCGAGGACTTGCCTGCTCCGGTCCGTCCCACAACGCCAATCTTCTCGTGCGACTTAATATCCAGGTTGATATTCTTGAGCACGAGATCGAGGCCCTCACGGTACCGCGCGCTGTAATTGATGAACTGAACCTCGCCACGCGACGGCCAGCTGACGGGCGGCCGGCTGCGATGGATGATCTCGGGCGCCTCGCTGGGCAGCCGCGCGTATTCAAGCACACGCTCTACAGATACGATGTTGGTCTCCACCTCGACCGTCTGACGGACGATCCAGTTCAGGGACGTGGTGATCTGCAAGCCGTAAGAGAGGGCCAAGCCAACCATGCCCTCGCTCAGGGGAGTGCCGCTGGCCACCAAGATGACGGCAAAGCCGGCAGCGGCCAGAATAACCACGGCGCCTATGAACTCGAGCCGCACCGCCAGCCACCGATTGGCGCTGATGGACGGGAAGTAGGCCCGAAGGTTGGAATCCACCCGCCACTCATTCTCGAGCTCGAATCGGTCTTGCTGACGGTATGCGCGGATGGTCGAGATGCCGCCAAGGGATTCCTGGAAGTGGGCATAGATTGGGCTGCGGCTGACGCTGTCCAATCGCTTGAGCTCTCGGGATGACCGCAGGTAATATCGCTGAATCCAGATGTACATGGCGCCCAACGGAATGATCAAGGCGACAAAGGGGGGTACCGTGACCGAGATGACGACGAGCGTAAAGCCCGACCTGGCTAGATTGGTAAACAACATGTTGAACGTCCGGGCAAGTACTTCGTCGACACGGTAGATGTCGCTGCAAAAACGGTCAGCCTCATGCTTCGGAAATTTTGAGGCTTGTCTGCAATGTGCGGAATTGCGACTGGCACGCGGGTTACATGATAGGGGAGCACCAGATCGCGGACGACGGTGGTTCCCACGCCGCTGGAGCCACTTGGCCCAGGCCCCATTGCACAACAGCATGCTCGTCCTACCCCTTCATAAAAAGAGGAGGGGAGAGATGAGATCCAGGGGGGGCGAGATCAGCAAATACGCACCTCGAGAATCTGTTCAGGATGCGGCCGGCCGGTGTAACGTCGAAAAACGACATGGGCGATCTGAAAATTGCCGTCGCCATCCTCTCGTGTAACTTGCGCGATGCCTAGGCGAGCCACATGTGAGTCCAAACCTCGGTCCGCGTTTTTGGTCTGGCGTCCACACTTACCTCGATGGAGCAAAAGATCCAAAGAATGAGGGTCTGCACGACGGTCAGGGCGGCAGCGCCGATGCCGAACACGAAGTAGATGCCGATGTACTTGCCAACATCGGGGTTGCGGCCGGCCTCGGTGTTTCTCTCGGCCCAGTTCTTGAGCCAGTAACTTCCAGCTGCATTCAAGTCAGCACGGCCCGTCATCCGGAGAACTATGTTCAAAGCGACGATGCTTGTGGAAAGCTCGTAAAGGCATGATTCTTGATATTGCGTTTGCCACAATGAAACAGAGTGCCGAGGCATGGCTACTCACCGATCTGCGCCGTCTGGGCGGCGATGAGGGCGACGAGATAGACACCAACGGCCGCAAGGTTGTTCGTCTTGGCGTATTCCATGTACACTGTGGTGCTGTTGTTAGCGAATCGAAACAGACTCCTCTAGTGATTCGCAGCCGCATACCTGACCACTTCACCTTGCCCTGTTCCACGTGCTCCTTGGCCTGTCTCGTCTTGCTCGGATTCTCCTCGTCGTGGAGCTTGCCCCGAGGACCGCTGAAGCTGGCAGCACTGGCCCGCCGCAAGGTAGCCATGCTTCCGCTCCGCGGCTTCTGCCTTTGGTAAGACGAGCTGGCGGGGCCGGGCTTGATGGACTGAAGCGCACCCAATCCTTCCTGAGCCTCCTCCATATCCTCCTTCTCCTGACTGCCGCTCCCCGCCTCGATGACCGTGGAGGTTTCGGTGTCGCTGTCGGTGGGAGATCCGGTGGAGGAATTCTGACCCGAGTCGTTCTTTCCGGTCGACTTGATCAGGTCGAAGACGGCGCCCTTCATGGCCAGGAGTTGCCGGTAGGTGCCCCTCTCGGTAATCTCGCCGTCCTTGAGCATGCAGATGTAGTCTGACTCGACAAGAACGGGAATCGAATTAGTGGCCAGAATCCTCGTCTTCGTCTTGAGCAGACCTTTCGGACCAAGAACGTTGTCGATGATGTGACGTCCGACGTGGGAGTCGACAGCAGACAGGCAGTCGTCCAAGAGATAGACATCGGCTCTGGCATAGACGGCTCTTGCCAGGGCAACACGTGCCTTCTGACCGCCACTGAGCGAGATGCCACGCTCTCCCACAACCGTCTCGTCGCCGTCCGGGAGCTGGGCAAAGTCGTCCAGTAGAGCGCAAGCCTTAACAGTCTTCTCATAGAAATTCGAGTCATATCGGTAGCCAAAGATGATGTTCTCCTTGACAGTAGCGTTCATGATCCAAGGCGATTGGCTGACGTAGGCAACCGTTCCGTGGACCTCGACCACGCCTTTGACTTTCCAGAGGTCTCCGAGTATGCTCTGCAGAAAGGAGCTCTTGCCCGCCCCGACACGGCCAACAATGCAGGACAAATCACCCTTGTGGGCACTGAAGTTAATGTCCTTCAACACAGTCTTGTTTTCATGGCGGTTCCAAGAGAAGTTGCCGTCGCGAATCAGCACCGATTCTTCCCCTATCATCTCGACAGCTGGCTTCACGACGATAGCCTCGGGTTGGATCTCCTCGGCCGTCAAGTAGGAAGTGAGACGGCCAACGGCGACACTAGCCTCAATGACTGAGGTAATGACCATCGGGAGAACCGCCAGAGGAAAGGTGAGGAGGTTGAACAGGGCTAAGAGCGATCTGTCAGTGGAAACTCTGGGTAGGTAGCATAACAGTGACTCATACCTAAAGCAGGAAAGACAATCTCGGTCGTCAGGGGGCGGTCGTTGGTCAGCACGAAAACGGCAAAGGTCGAGCAGGAGACGAGAAACGGAGTGCTTGACCAAGTGAAGTTGGCGAATGCCTGACCAGCACCAATCTTGCGCAGGTTCTTCAGTTCCTGGTCATTTCTGATGTAGTTCAGCTTGTTCATAAAGGCGGCGCCCCAAGCATAGAGTTTGATGCTCTTCATGTTATTGACGATCTCGGCAATCAGGCGGCTCCGGGCATCCTTGTTCTTCATCTGCTGCTTCTGCAGGTTCTTCATGATGCGGGCAATCAGACCGTTGACGGGAATCATGATGATCATGACGCCGATTCCCGCCAGCATGGACCACCCGACGAGTTGGTAGAGCGAAATCATGCAGATGATGATCTGGAACGGGGCGGACCAAACCTGCTGCGCAAACTGGGTGAGGTCCTGAAGCCGCTGGGCATCGACGGCCATATAGTTCACGATGTCTCCCGTGGTTTTCGACGACCGGCCCTCGTTGGAGAGCTTCAGCGCCTTCTTGTAAATGGAGGAAGTCAGGCCGCCCTTGATCCTCATGCCTGTTACGAAGGCCAGTTGGAAGTACTGATGAATCATGGTTGTCTGGAAGACCGCGACGGCGAACATTGCCAGAGCGATAGCAGCGCCCTTGATAACGGGCTCCGGCTCGTTTCCCCGGCGGTACGAGGCGATAAAGGCAATCAGGAACTTCAGGAGCTGCGGCTGTGTAAATTGGGAAACGTCGTTGCCGACCTTGAAGACTGCGGCGAGCATGTACGGGCCGCCGTAAGCGCGGAAAAGGGCGCGCCAGAGCGAGGGGTGCCGCCGATGATTTAGCTCACGCTGCCACGCCTTTTCGAACGCGCCCCCAGTCGACTTTGTGGTATCCTTCTTGGACAAGGCCCAGAGATCCTCCTCAGTCAGAAATGTGGAGTAGCCATACTTCATCATGGGCGTCATCCAGGAGAAGGTGAGGAGCGAGAAGACAGTGGCGTACTCGACGGGGCATTCTTCCTCGTCCACCAGGGCCTCGTATGTACTCTTCGTCTTCGGCCATAGCCACTCAAAGAAGAATTCGACAACGGACAATCCGAACCCGACGCAATACGTAACGAAGTATGGCAGGCTCGTGGCATAAATCTGTTGAGAGATGAGGGACCGGAGCTTGACGGCGAGTGCAACGAGGAGGAAGAGCCAATAGAAGAGGACGACGCCGTTCGCGTTCCGCAACCGTGCATGCTCAAGCCACTGGATCGTGAAAACGACGAAGAGGGAGAGGATCGTAGCCGCGGTGGTGTAAACCCTGAAATCGCCGTACCAGATGTCGCGGTAGCTGATGATCTGAAAGGCGAGCTGCACCGCAACATCGGCGATGATGAGGCCGAGCAGGGTCTGATACCAGCGTCAGAACACCGAACAATACCACTACCATAGCAGACACAACCCACCTGCTTGGTCCAAAAAGGCCAATCCTTTGATATCGGCGTGGGTTGCTTTTTCTTCAGAAGCCACCAGACGGCAATGGCGCCCACGAGAGTACCAAACGCCGCCACCGAAGCCACCCAGACATCGATAAAGCACGGAGTGAAATCATATCGAAACGGACTGAGCGGACCCCATCCCTCCTCGTTTCCACATAGTGGCTGTTTGAAGACGCGCGCCGCACTGAGATAGCCGCTACCAAGCTCGGCGACGGCGGGACGGTAGCCGGTGAAGGACCCAGTCTCGAACATGACCTTTTGCGCCTGCTGCAGGCCGTCGCTGAAATCGGGCGGCCCCATTGGCACAGATATTATATCCTCAAACCGACGTAGCGAGATGTCATATCAGAGAGATTCAGAGGATGAGGATTTAACTCGCGGTTCCGGACGAAAGTGGATACTGAATCTTTACCGTTCTGCGGCGGCGATTGGCGGGTCTCGGTTCGGACGAAAGTCGAGGCGAAAGTCGAATATGACGTCTCCCGGAACCCCGATCGGCGAGAATATCGAAGCAAGGAGTGAGCTACGTTTCAGGGCCAAAGCCAGCTAAGTAAAGGGAAAGAGAGGGTGGCAGTCGATTCGCTCAACCGGAGAGACCGCCAGCCGGAGTTTGAAGTCGCACCGAGACGAGAGATGCGAAAAAGGGAAAAGTTACGGTGCCCTTCATCTGGGACAACGCGCTTCAGTTGGAATTGTCAGCAGGCCGGGGTAAATCTTCTACCACAGTCGATTGACAGGGGCGGCCTGCCTGCATGCAGCTACTCCGACGGCGGGGTCGACCCACTCCCTTGTGGTTAGCGCTGCAAGATGGGTGGGAACCTCTGAGACGTGTCAGTCTCCACAGAGAAAAGGAGAAGACAATTGCCAAGACCAAGTACCTCCGAAACTTGCACCGCGAGAACTGCCCCACCCGAGCTCGGAGCTTAACTTGAGCCCCACACCTAATCCGCACTGACATTGACCGGCTGCAAGCCCTCGAACTTGGGAAAAGGTTGACGACTGCGAAGTCTGCCTGTTACAACTGCACTGTTACATGAACTTTCCTCTTGCCTAGCATGGTGCTACGTGTCGCCGGTTTGTTAACCTCTCTTGCTACCCTGCTCTTATGAAGAGCAGCTAGGGACTACAGCTGTATAGTTGTTATACTTTTTCCAGGTTAACTGTCAGTCAATATTGGAGTCGGAATCTGAATCGACTGACGCTGCCTTTCCGTGATGCGGACAGTGCATCCTGCTGCACTGCAGTTTCGAAGACCTTGCAACAAGTCATCCGAAAAATAAGACCAATTGAAGTGAATCCTTATCTCAGCCACTTCAGACCAAGCTTTCGTCAATGAGCTACTAACGTTACCTATAACCAGTATCCAACTTAAAATCATTTGCATCTGTCTCAGGCCTCCACAGTATTTGCAACATCCCGCCAATCTCAATCGGCCCCCATCTCCCCACAGCTAAAGCCTTGCCCCTCCATGACGTTTAAGCCACCATTTTCAACATGCCTCCGAAACACGGCCCATCCTCACCAAACAAGCCAACAACACCAACCACCGCCAGCACGAGCAGCAAAACAGCTGCAGCAAGAACGACAACAACTACCCTCTTGCTTTTTTCCCTCCTGATCGTAGCGCTCTTCCCGTCACTTTTCCACATCCTTTGGAGCATCTCGTTGCGCCTCATTCTGCGTCCTTCCACGTCGCATCACCACCAACCAAGCCCAAACAGAGCGGGCAGCCCAAGCAGCGGACAGACAATGTGGTACCAGAAACAGTTCACACTCCCTGCACGGGCGCGCGGCTCGTACCTCATCACCGACACGGTGCTGAAGGAGCTGCCCGAGATCCGAGAGTACAAGGTCGGGCTGCTAAACCTGTTTATCCAGCACACGAGCTGTGCGCTGAGTTTGAATGAGAACTGGGACGAGGTTGGTATCCGTGATTTTCTCTCCTGAATTCTCCCTTTTCCTACCACAGTGCTGCTTTGCAGTATTGTATGGGTAGTATTTTGAGAGATCAGAAAAGGAGAAGCACGAACTGACATGATTTGAATCATCTGTAGGACGTCCGAGCCGACATAAGCGACACGCTGGATCGAATCGTGCCCGAGGCTGGGCCGAACGGGGAGACTTTATATCGGCATGATGCGGAGGGTATGATTTCTCTCGGATTGAGTTGCGGGATGTGAGAGTGGAGGGATGAAACTGATCTGAAGACAGGGCCTGATGATCTCCCTGCGCATGTCAAGTCTGCTCTGATCGGGGCGAGCGTGACCATTCCGATAAAGGACGGCAAGCTGGTAAGTTGCCATGTTGGGGAAGTCTTGAAGACGCAATTCTGACGCACCTAGTGCACCGGGACGTGGCAGGGTATCTGGTACCTAGAATTCCGCGCCATGAAACACACCCGCAAGATAGTAGCCACCATCCAGGGTGAAAAGGCATAGCTTTCGTGTCTGAAAAATTTGAACCTATTTCCGAGCTGGCCCTCGTCAAGAGGGACACCCAAGCCTCTGCCGTCAAAAATTTACCCGTACGTTCCTGTTTCAAGATCCTTGATCTCGGACGCCGGACGCCTGCTCCATATCATAACCCATGACCAATCCATCTACCAATCAATGTGTCCCGTTCTCCGTCTTCATGTCAACGTCGTCGCCTCCGGCCAGAACTTTCGTCTTGGGAACATAGCCGTCGCTCGTGCCAGCACCGGGCGTGACGGCCACCACCTCCCCATCCTCATTGACAAACTCAAAGTTGTAGCGGCTGAGCAAGTGAGGGATGGCGGACAGCTGGGGGCCGTATCTTTGTGTGTTCTCGTACAACTCAAAAAGCGGGACCGCGAGTAGCTTCATGTTCTTGGGAACGCTGAGGACCTCTGTATTGACTGGGTTAGCACACAGAAGATGCAAACCATGGAGAAGAACGCCGGAACGTACTCGACTGCGGCAGTTGGATAAAATAGAGCTTCTTGCACTCCTTGGGCCGCGTGATGTGTGCCGGCACAAACGGGTACATGAACGTCTCGAAGTTCGGCCGCCACCACTGCGCGAGGCAGTCACCCACCTGCCAGTCGCCAGCCTTGTTGCCCTCGCCGAGGCTGCCCACAGGCGCAAGCCGCTCGTCCAGGCGCGCCTTGAATCCCTCGATCTCCTCGTCCTCGGGTCGCAGGTAATCGCCGGGGAGTTTGAAGAAGGCGTTGGCAATCTGCAGCATCAGGATATGTGGGTGATTGTGCTCGTGGCACACCAGAATGCCTTCACATGTCCGCCGCATCCCGTGCGCCTGATAGTGCTCCTCGAGCCGCTTCAGCCGCGCCAACACGCTCGGGTCCTCCTCCGGTTGCGTCTCCTTGACACCGAAGGTGTAGTTGGAGAGCGGGTACAGGCGGATTGTCTCAGGCTGGTTCGCGTTGAAAGGCAGGGGAATGATTGGCGGCTGCGAGCTCTGCAGTGCCGTTGGCGTGATGGTCGACATCGTGGGGCTTGGTGGCAGATCGATGCGATGCTCTTAGATGCGACGGTTTTGGATGGGACAATTTAACAAACAATGGTTGTAGATACAATGGACAAGTGCGAATCCCAGTGATGTTGATTGTGGCCCTGGTTTGTAGATGCCGGCTTGTAGCAGGACAAAATGGAATTCGTTGCACGAGGTTGTTTGAGCCGGTCTGGGTTTGGCTGTGAGGTGTGAAGTGGAGATCGAATGTGGATCGCGATAGTTTCGGCGGGAAGAATGGTGGAAAGGGAAGGCGGTCAGATAAAGTGAGGTATTAGACTTCAGGATTAACGAGCTTACGAATTACCTTAATCCGTCCTGGCATCAGCCTGTTGAGCCACATACGTCTCTTGATGTCGCTCCTTCGTGCTAGCCAGGAGACAGATAAGGTACCTAGGCTCTCTAGGTCAACAGACATCGGTTTCCAAGTCGGATTTGAACCAGAACCCTGGAAATGCAGAAGTGGTTCAAGACTGTGAAATTGCTTCATTTCTCGATTATCAGCCTACACTACCTGTACAATTCCTGCAGCATTCTCTCTCCTCCTGTTTACCCTTCCTTCTCTTCCTATTCCTCTGGACAACCTCTTCTTCTTGAATTCTTTGCTGATTCACTCCATCTTAAGAGTGTTTATTCTTCATGATTACTCCTCTGCTCTTTTGGGATATTAAGAAGTGACCAATACTTTTTACGTTGCTACAGTCTCAGGCAGCCTTACAGCGCACTGTTGTGGGTGTTGTCGGAAGCACTGGGCGGAGGAAGAGCTCGGCGATCAACGCTACTGAGTGTCTCGTGCCGACCAATTGCATGCGTGCACGGCGGTCATCACCGAGATTGCGTACAACGATTCGGAGAGAGAAGATGGGAGATACCGTGCCGAGGTTTATTTCATCTGCAGAGAGGACTGGGTCAAGGAGTTGAGGGTGCTGTGCGATGACATGCACACCGATCAGTCCTCGTTTGACATGGAGCAACCGAGCAGCGACAGCTCCGCCGCCATTGCCCAGGACAAGATTCGCTCCGTTTATCCATTTCTCAAGAGTGACGAAGTCAAGAAAACCAGATTCGACATTCATGGGCTCGTTGAGCACCCCCTCAGTCAAGAATCTTCTGGGGGGGGGGGGTGGTCAAGCGTTTTGCTAGCGCTACCGCGGAGCACTTTCTGGGCCTTCTTGAGAGGTTCATTGACTCAAAGGAGAAGACCCGCGGCAGGAAGACGGATCTTGGGGCCATGAAGTACTGGCCACTTATCAAGGCTGTGAAGGTTTTCGTGCGATCGCCGATCCTCAAGTCGGGCCTGTTGACCTGGTTAGTGACTTCCGCACTTAGGCTTGGTAACTTACTAACAGCGGGTTCCACCTGCGGTTCAGGATTCAAATGCCGCTCGCTCTGTCGTCGCATCCAATTTACATACAGGATTGCTCCGGGTTATGGGTTGTGGCACCAATCACTCGGGCAGCTGGTGGCAGGTTCGCTCATAACCTCCTCAGGGACTCGTTCAAATGACAATTGCAATTTGACGGAACATACTCGAGGATCACCTTCATCTGCTCCAAGGCGGACGATATCCCCGTCACGGAAGCACTGAAGACCGTGCCCGAGCACCACCCCACACATCGACCTCATATGGAGACCGGACTCCTTGAGAATGACCAGTGCGATACGAAGATAGAAGAGCTCAGATCAGCTATGGACGGCTCAGACGATGAGGATGAAGTCTCAGTTTCTCCCGGACGGTCCCTCAATCGTGCTCTCTGGGTGGCGGCAATCGAAGCCCGCAAGCGTCAGCGACGGCAGTTTCGAAGCGATAGTGAAGACACGGACTCAACCTAGGACAGGAGCCGTCCGCTTCTGAAGCGGAACCCGGAAAGGAGCGTATCTCGAAGGAGCTCGCCGCCTAGAGACTTAGAGAAGCCGAGACTCGACTGGCCACTCTACGTGCGGACTCCAACGAGCTGAAAAAGAGTTGTCAGCCGCATCAGAAGGCACTGAAGGAGGTGAAGTACGAGATCAAGTCGTGCAAGTCTGAGGCAAAGCATGCCTGCATCAAGTACCGCAATGACTCCGTTCGTCTGGCCATTCAATCCCAATTCGCCCACGGCATCGAGAGCGAGTTTCCCCTTCCTGAGTATTTTAGACCCTGCCTGACCGACAGCAACCAAATAGGATTGATCTGGACAATGCGGCTCATGATGATGAGTAGTTTGACCCCGCTCATCTCCGGCGGGACTACACCGAGGTTGCGCGGAGATTGCCAGTGTTTTGCGTCGAGAGCAAAGCCTACCAGAAGATGTCTGGCAGACTCAAGAACGATGGGCGCATTGCAGGCTTCAGCGGTCTTGAGGACACGGAAATCCTGCATTGCAGAAGCATGCTTTGGACATCGCTGGAGGGACGCGGGCGGTAGCCTGCCGTCAATTCTTTCGCGACCTCCGCCTTTTCATTTCCTCGCTGCATCTGCAGATTGTGCTCTCTGACCAGCCTTTGAGGCTGGCAGATGACTTACGGCAGAAAGAGATCCAGGCCCTCGCCCGTGCCGTTGACGAACTCAGAAAGGTACGGACAGAACTTGATGTGGAGTTGCTGCAGCATCCCATGAAGAGCTATAAGCTGACCGATTATTCTGTCGTACGCAGGAGCTCGTCACAACAATTCGGAAGGTTGTCATTTAGTGCCAGGTCACAGCCAACCTCAACCTCTTCAGCAAGTTCAGGTTGGCGACTATGACTGCCTCGGATGCCGCTATTTCCACGGCCAGCTCCTGGATTGCTCGCAAGGACGACGATGGGTTGGCATACCAGAGCTTCCGCACGACTTGCCTGCAGGAGATGCTAGATGACGTCGCCGAGAGCCTTGGGGGAATTCTGAGGGCTTTCAGGAAGCAAATGTCCCAGCGCCAACAGCTGACGAAGTCCTCCCATTTCGCTCTGGCCACTCGCCAAGTGAGAATCATGGAGAACGATCTCAAGGACACCACAGAGCTGGAAGGCATCCTCAGCAGTGGGCAGAAAGAGGCGAGTCGGCTTCCCATTCCTGTGATTGCCGAGGGAATGGCAGATGCCTATGCATATGTTAACAAAGAATCTGGTGAGGATACCTCCGCTGCGGACGAGCCCAAACACCCTAACCAGTTCATGGGGCAGGCTGCTACAAGCGCATCAAGAATCATTTCATGCATCACCTTGAGACAGAGCGAATTGACATGTTTCAAATGGCTGCTCAAAGGACGAAGGATGCGCTTAGCGCTACACTCGACGGACTGGAAGCCGCGGTCGACAAGAATGTGGAGGGGCATTATAGAGCATATCGACAATGACTATGGCACCTTGCTCATGGATGAAAACATGTTCAAGGAGCTGACGGCTGCCCGGGAGTCCATCCGGAAAATGCTCGCCCAGGTCGACGAGCGTTTCGAACGAGTGCTGCGCGGCCCGGTCGAATCTACCGGTACCGGCCTGGTGGAGGAAGCACGCGCCACCGAAGAGAATCGTGAGGCGCCAGCTGCGGCTGTCCATTCCCACGTTCCGTCTGAGCTCTCTCTTTCCGGCCCTAGCACACCGACTACTCCCGGAACCGAAATATCAACAGCCACGGGCAGTGTTGACATTTTGTGCATCAAGCCCGAGCCCTCTTCACGGCGGCTCTCGATGAAGATATACCATTGCGGTATCTCTGAGCGCCGGCTTTGACGATCCAGGACCATTGCTCCAATCTTGTCGAATGTCTCGGGATATTTTGACATCAGGTTTCTGTTTGACTCTGTTCAGCTCTGGCCTGACGGTCAGAACATTTGCTCGGAGATCTCTGGCTGTATTTGCTTCTTGCTTCTACTTTGCTCTGTTGCTACGAGAAAGAATGCTGGGCTGGAACGAGAGGGATCATGGAACACAAGGAACTGGTGGACTATGTGAATGAGAAAAGTTGACCAACAATGGGTTTTGGAAGGATATTTCACGGCTAGGTATGGTCCCGGCTAGGCATCTGTTAGCCACGATTCGGCTCTTGGGATTGATCATCTGGCAGACTATGCTGGGCCGTTTGAAGGAACATACGATGGAAGATTTCCCGCTGTTTCGGGCGCATACAGTTGTTGTAGGATTAAAATTCAGGCCCTCGGCCTCAGGCTTGTTGAAATTGATGCTTGATGGTTTGCCTGAACTGTTGCTTGTGGCAAGTGTGCTGCGTCAGGAATACCACTTACATCATCAGTCCGTGCCGTCGGCCTGGATGCACCACTGCTGCGCATTCTTCCACTCTGATGCTATGATGAAGTGGCAGCCAGAGCTCAGAGGATGCCGTGCACGTCTGTGCTCTAGGTGTCCCGGCGGTATATAACTCTCAGCTATTGCGATGTGAAACTTGAACGGACCAAAGTTCTCTTGCCCCGAGTCTTCTGCCCCTCAAGTCTTTTTGCTTATCGACGGCCTCCCTTCTCGATTCACCTCCTAATAGTAAACAAGATCAACACACGTCATGCAGATCAACTTACCCACTCGGCCGGCTCCAGCCTGCCATGCACAATCCGAGCAGGGCGATCGGATCCTGGAGGCTATCGAGAGACTCGAGCAGCGCATGAAAGCGAGGTACGTTGGGATTACTACCTCGTATTTCCATCGCGATCGTTGCTGAATAAAGCTCCCCAACATCCCAGCGAAGCAAACGCGATGGCTCGGCTCATTAACTCCCACGTCTGGCTCATGGACGAGCCCATAGAGCCTCTTTGTTCGGTGCTCACAGGCGAGCTGATCCCAGACTTTCCACGTTCGGTCAAGGAGATTGAGGATCTGGACAGTATGTACAAAACTGTTGTGTCGCCTTGTTGGGCCGATCTCTGTGTTGACATGCGCCCCTTCTCGCAGTGGAGCAGGTCGATGCGATTCTGGATCATCTGCAGGTTTACAACGATGGGGATCTTGAGGATGGGAAGAAAAAAATCCAAGCCTGTTGCGGCGTTATCTCCGAATGTGGACACAGGGAGGACTTTGGGAATGATTGGAATAACTACGGAGGAGGCGTCGAGGAGGACGGTGGTGAACCTCTGGGGTGGGATCAGCCATGGGAGCCCCGTGGATGGTTTTACGGGGAGAACGACAAGAAGTATTATGAGTGGGACAAGGGTGAAGGGACTGAGTGGAACAATGGTGAAGAGACTGAGTGGAACAAAGTTGAAGGCGCTGGGTGGAGGTATGGCGATGGCATTGAGGAGAGCCCTGGTGCAGTTGGTTGGTGAAGAGGCCGAGGGGACCTATGCAGAAGACGTGCAAAAGGAACGAGAGTTACTCCCCATGGATCGGAAACGATATTGTGAGTTCGACAGCTGGCAAAGAGCATTATTTACCTTATGTACGATGTGACCATGGTACACTTCAAGCGAGGAACTCCCTAGAATGCCGCGAATTTACTGTGGTGGCACCATCTGATTAACAGGGCAAATTTTCAAGCACACCAGAATTTGTTTGAAACTCCCGTGAGGGTTGAATACCTACTCTGACATTGAGACCCAATCTTGGGTCAGCCTCGGCGGCGAGGTCCCCAGCAGCTCATAGAGTTCAATTTCTCTCAAAGAGGCATATATCGGGTACCAAAGACCCGTGACGCCTGTCTCGTCGGTTTCCACTTGAATACTGGACATCCAAAAGCCATGATCCAGGTGACTGTTGCGAAGGTCAACTTCGACATGAATTTGGATTCCGAGTGCAAAGATAGGCAAAGGTACCTAAGGCTTTGCGAACAATCACGTCACTGTGTTTTGATAAACGATGTCAGATTGTCGAAGCACTGTCAAAGCGACAGGCTCACAGACAACAATAGCACGACGAACTAGCGTCCAACACTAGGGTGATTTTGTGATGATGATCCCAACGGAGAGAAGCGCCTTTTGTGTAGGTGAGCACATCGGTACCCTGTCTCGGATGGAGTGACCGATGTTCGGTGTCCAAGCTGCTGGCTGTGGGCCACCATCGCCGTTCCGTGCCAAGTAGGTAACGGCGATGCCCTCTCGCTAAGGCTGACCGGTAGAGTAGAGCATTTCCTTCGTGTTGCAGCTGCATGTATCCATTGCGTCCAGAAAGCATGCAGCGCTGTGAGCTCAGATATTTGCATTGCCAGTTGAAGAGGATGGTTTCCCAGAGCGCCGGCTCTGGACCCACAGTCAGCCTCTCTCTCCCGCGAATAAGCGGAAATTCCACTGCCTGCCACTCAGCCTCCCGCCGGCCACCGGCGCCCTACCATGCCAAGGCGGGGCCGCTGCGCCAACCATGGACGTGGAGGGTGGAGACTTGCAGGTTCTGGAACCCACACACGAGCCTCTTCAGGTTGCATTGCGAGGTGACTCGTCGACGTTACTCCGTACTCCGCGTTCCTCGCACACCGCAGACGCATAGCCCCCAATTCCGGGCACTTTTCCTACAAACTCGACCAGTCCGGCGAGCTTTCAGCCTTGTCCAGCTTTGTTGCAAGCTTAAGTCCGCCACGACGAAGACGGGGCTTGTCTGCTCGAGTGTGCAAACAAGGAGCCGGGTCATGCCTCACCAGCTGATCGCCAATCGACTGAGTGTAGGTGACACACATCGCTGACATTCGCGGGGCTCTTCGGCGCTCCGGCATCGCCTGCCGCCAAACTAGCCATGGACAACGCTGCGCGCCTCGCTGCCGAGCTTCAGGAGAAACTCACCGAGCTCGACGGCAAGGTCGCCGCCTACCAGCGCGACCTCCTAGCTGAGTTCCACCGACACATGGACGATTGTCTCAAGAACTACCCGGCCCACGTCACCAACGAGGTGTCTCGAGTCATCGCCGAGTCCATGTCCACGGGGAGGTATCCGGCGTTGAGCCCAGCCAGGAGCGGCGTGCCAGATTCGCCCGCAGCCGCAATTGGCCGTAGCCCGTGGGACGGCCGCAAGTCTCCGCCGCCTATTTTGCCCCATACCTCGGGCACGCCGAGGGAAGGCCCGCGTAGTCCGCACGCACGGGAGAGAGAGTTTCAGGGCTTATTCACGCCAACCTACTTGCCCCTGCTGGAGAGCAACCACCGTCCCGACCGCTCGCCCCCAATGTCACCGCCGCCGACCATTGAAGGCCCAGCACTTGCGCTGTCCGTCGACAATGTGAGGCAGGTGGAGGAAGCCAAGCAGCCTGCCTGCTCTGGTAGTGATGGCAAGCCAAGCGCGATTCGGCGGCTGACCGACCGGTCCACGTCGTCCATTGAGTCGGGTGGCAGTGATTCGAAAACGCGCAGGAGCGCGCTGCGGCGGTCGTCGAGCTCAGTCAAGGGCAGCCCCCGCAGGGTGCGTTTCAAGTTTGAGGGCGAGGAGGTGTTTCCAGTATCTTCTTCCCCCAAGGCTCCCGCCGTGACTCTGGTCGTGGAAGCCTTGGAAAGCGGGGCGAACACCCAGCCTCAGGCAGAGGCACCGGTGTTGGCCACCCAGGATGAGTCAATCGAGTACTCGGGCCCCTCCCTGCTGGACGTTGAAGGGGAAGAGGACCTGCTCCCAAAACCGAGGAAGGTGTCGTCAACACAAGCACTGCAGGCACTTACCCGGAGTCCGCTGGAGGAGGGAACCGTCTGGACAGTGGTCAATCCGGACACCGACGAGCCTGCAAAGATGAACAGCGAGAAGAAACCAGCAGCACCACCACTGGCGACGAAGGTTGACTCTGAGGAGATTGCTCTTCCAGAGGAGGAGCAGATCAACGGCTTTCTCGGCTCACCGCTCGAGGAACTGGCGGCCAATGAGGACGAGGACGAGGATGAGTCCGACGAAGAGTTCCTGTCGATGAAACCGAAGCCGAAGTCGCCGTCCCCCGCCGGAAAGACCCCCTTTGCTCCGCCACCAGCGAAGGCCGCTAGAATATCCGAGCAACACACCACCAACGGAAAGCCCCCAATAGACGTAGACGAGAATCAGGACCCTCTCTTTGATTTCGACGACGAAGCCGGCCCCTCATCGACTCGAAAGTACCTCCCCGACGAAGAAGACGACTCCGACTTGGACGCCATCCCAGGCCGCCTGCGCAAAGCAGCCCGCGACGAAGCAGCCGCCGCCTCGTCAGCCGCAAACAACCTACCGCCCGTGTCGCCCTCCTCTGTACTCTTCGGCCACAGCATCGGGTCGTACATGGGCCGGTCCATGACGATAGCCCCAATTAAGGACCCTAAGCTGTACGACGAGATCGCGGGTATGAAGGATGTGGAGTTTTTTGTGGGCAGTATCCACGACCGCAGCGAGACGGAGCTGGCGAGGGGAAGTTATAGTGCATCGGCTCACCTCGCGAGAGGGGCTACGCCGAGGAGCTTTTCGGAACGGTTGGCTCTGGAAGAGGAGATGGAGCGGAGGAGGGCGGCGGGGGAGGCGGATGTGGAGGGGGATGATGACTTCTGAGGGCATGTTTGGGAGATTGGGGAGAGGGTGCATTTCCGTTGATTGTATATCGGGGGGTTCTGGGCTGGCACCAGGTATTGTTGGTAGGGGTGGCTGGGGGGGCTGGACTGTCTTGTTGGTCGGGTGGGCATTGTCATTCCAACAATGTGCTCGTAATGTACCATACGGAAGCATTGGGCTGCATGGCGATACCATTGATGGGCTGGCAAGGGGAAGGGGATTATGTTGCATTGGGCGCACTGAAGGTGGATTGGTCAGACGCAAGGATACAGGGTGGTCGCTACATCCAATATAGAGATCGGGTCGTTGCGTTTTCGGGAGCTCAGATCTGACCTCTCTAATAATTCTCAAACTGTCACTTCATAGGAACGAAAGGGTTGAGTTGCAGTTGACGATGCACAAGGGCGATCTTAACTCCACCTGTAGCCCCGGCATTGAGGATCTTCGCTCGGCGGCCGGGGCTTGCCGGCCGGAACTTGAAGTCGGAGACCGGTGAAACCGGCCAATCCAACGTACAAGTACAAGCGACCGTGTCAAGTGTCGGGTCGGGGGTTCTTCCTCCGGAAACCATGCACTTTCCAGGTTGTCTTCGGGTTATTTCCCATATTTTCAGGTTTTCTCTTTTGTTTCTCTCCTGACTGCGCATTGCACCAAACCACAAATTGCGTCCCACCGTGCCAATGCACTCCAACAAGGATATTCATCCCAACGCGTCGCCCGCGAGACACGGCCGAGCATGATTTCCGAACCGCCTTCCTAGCCATCCCACTCGAGCCAGCCGAAAGAAAACCAGACGAGACGAAACGATCGATCATCTCGAGCCGCCGAGCGCTTTATCTTTCTTCCCCTTCCCCAAGCTCATAACAGCAAATCTGAGATCACATACCAACTATCACCATGCGCCTCCCAACCCTCCTCCTCCTCCCGGCGTTAACACAAGCCTACACCCCGCTCTCGACCTCCCTCCTGCACTCCCTCCCCGCCCCAGCGCAATCCGACTACGACCCGCAAACCGGCGCCCTCCTCGCCCCGCTCCTAATCCCGCGCGTGCCCGGCACGGAGGGGCAGACCAAAGCCCAAAACCACTTTGTCTCGTTCTTCAAAACTCACCTGCCGCAGTGGGAAATCCTCTGGCAGAACTCGACCTCCACGACCCCCGTGACGGGTAACAGGCAACTGCCGTTTGCCAACATCATTCTGAGGCGGGAGCCGCCGTGGACTAGGAACAGGCCCGGCGAGGCGTCGTTCCTGACGCTGGTTGCGCATTACGATTCGAAGATTAAGCCGGATGGGTTTGTCGGGGCGACGGATAGCGCGGCGCCGTGTGCTGTCTTGATGCATGTTGCGAGGCAGGTGGAGGAGTATCTGGTCAAGATGTGGGCTTCTGGGGCTGCTGCTGCTGCGGGGGGGGGTGGGAAGGGAGGGCGGGGAAGTAGTGGGATGATGGATCAGGGGGTACAGATTTTGCTGCTGGATGGGGAGGAGGCGTTTGACAGGTGGACGGACACGGATAGTTTGTACGGGTCTAGGTGAGTACACGCCTATTTGCGTTGAATGCTGGTTTAAGAATGGAAGGAGCTTGCTGACGGGTGGGGGGGTTTTTGCAGGGCGCTTGCTGAGGAATGGGAGACCACGGTGTACCCCGCGCGGTCGACGTTCCAGAACCCGCTGCGGCAGATCAGCTTGTTCGTGCTACTCGATCTGCTCGGGGCGGCTAACCCGGAGGTGCCGTCGTACTTCCAGAGTACGCATTGGGCGTACCAGAAGATGGCGACACTGGAAGGCCGCATGAGGCAGGCGGACCTACTGGAGAGCAAGGTTGGGCCTAAGCCCTTTCTTTTTGAGAGCAGTAAGCTGGCGACGCAATTCAGCGGGGGAGGATACATTGGGGACGACCATGTGCCGTTTATGAACAGGGGCGCGCCGGTGCTGCATCTGATTCCGTCGCCGTTCCCGGCGGTATGGCATACCATGGAGGATGATGGAGCGCACTTGGATATCCCGACGGTGAAGGATTGGGCGAGGATAGTCACGGCTTTTACGTTGGAGTGGATGGATGTGCAAAAGACGGAGCCGCAGGGGTGATAATACGGCTTGATGATATACGAGGAACGGAAGTGTTATTATCCTTCTGGATGGTCTATCCATGAAATGGGCCTGGATTATATGATAAAGGAACCACCACGGCCGGGCAAAAAGGCAAGGCGAACAGCACATGAATTAGAAATTTCCAGCCCGTCGTTCTCTTGCTGAATGGGCTCGCTCATGTGCTTGGTCTGCGGAGTGCGTTGGAACAGAGAGGTCGGCACTCGGCAAGGTGGACTGGGACACGTCCAGCTAGTCCTAGCCATCTGCTTGGTCGAGAGTGGTTTGAGACTGGATGTGCGAACTGCTCAGCGGCATGATGGGTGTAAATCTGGTACAAGTACTCCGTAGACTCGTACCTTGCCACTTCCTCCTGACCTGGTATGAGTATTCTTTGTCAAATCGGTTCGCATTCTGTCCAGAGCCAACGAGCACAAACACGTTTATTATCGCGATCACAAATTTGGAGTGCAGTAAAGCAAAGATCTGCTCTGGGACGGACCGAGTTTTTGAGTCGGTCTATGATTACTGCTGGCAGTGCAGTAGTGGGGTGGCGGGCTTGGTGGGATGCTTCACCTCAGGGTCCCAACCGGGGGTTCAGGTCTGTCAAACCTGACCTGACGCAGGTGTTGTGTTGGCTTGAAACATCGCACCCATCCCATCTTTGGACTGGATACATAACCAAGATCACACGCTCCCAGAACAAGCTGCTAGCTTCATTTCCATCTGTTTTGTCCTCTGCTCTTGCTCCTGCAAGTACAGGCCAAGACTGTGCGCACCCCACAGCACTACGACCCACCTCGTCCAAGAAGGCACACTTGAAGAAGGGAAGCTCAAACGCCGTTGTAGCCAACGCTCAGTTCTCCCTCTTCTCCCGAGAAGCGCAGTGCATTTTCTGCTATTCTTTTAAATTATTCCGGCTTCTAGGATCTCCAGCTGCCAACGCTCTCCGTTACGCAAGCGAGTCCCCTTTCGCTGGAACACCCGCCAACGTCCTGCTCAATTGCCAATCTCGCAAACACTTCCCATCTCCGACCACCGCCACCTGCCCGCTTCGCTGTCTCTAGCGCGCTTAATAGCCACGCATCCGTGTTTTCACCATCAACACCGCTAGCTTCGAACATTGCACTGAAGCCATGGACGGCAAGCGGCATGCAGCTTCCTTCCAGCAGCTGGAAAAGCTAGGTGAAGGAACATACGCTACAGTGAGTTGACCGAAAGCCATCGGTCAATCATAATACACTGTGTACTAACTCCCTTCGCAGGTCTTCAAGGGCCGAAACCGACAAACTGGCGAGCTCGTCGCTCTCAAGGAGATCCACCTGGATTCGGAGGAAGGCACTCCGAGCACCGCCATCCGTGAGATCTCCCTAATGAAGGAACTCAAGCACGAGAACATAGTGGCGCTCCACGACGTCATTCATACCGAGAACAAGCTGATGCTGGTCTTCGAGTACATGGACGGCGACCTGAAAAAGTACATGGACACCCAGGGCGACCGCGGTGCCCTCAAGCCGCCGGTCATCAAGTCCTTCATGTATCAACTGCTGAAGGGCATCGACTTCTGCCACAAGAACCGCGTTTTGCACCGCGACCTGAAGCCCCAGAACCTCTTGATCAACAGCAAGGGACAGCTCAAGTTGGGTGACTTTGGTCTGGCCAGGGCGTTTGGCATTCCCGTCAACACCTTCTCCAACGAGGTCGTGACACTCTGGTACCGGGCTCCCGACGTTCTCCTTGGCAGCAGAACGTACAACACGAGCATCGACATCTGGTCCGCCGGGTGCATCATGGCCGAGATGTTTTCGGGTCGGCCCTTGTTCCCCGGCACAACCAACGAGGACCAGATCATCCGCATCTTCCGCATCATGGGTACCCCGACCGAGCGGACATGGCCGGGCCTCTCCCAGTTTCCCGAGTACAAGACGACATGGCAGATGTACGCGACCCAGCCGCTCAGCAGTATCCTGCCTCAGATCGACCCCCTCGGCATCGATCTCCTCCAGCGCATGCTGCAGCTCCGACCCGAGCTGCGCATCTCGGCGGCCGAGGCGCTGACGCATCAGTGGTTCAGCGACCTGATGGTGAGCCAGCCGGGGCCAAAGCAACACCCGCAGCACCTTCAGGCTCAGCCTCCGCAGATGATGCATCCCCATGGCGGTTATCAGCAAACGGTGCCGAGCCAGGGCGGCTACGGCGGCTACTAGTAGTAGCAGCAGCAGCAGCAGCCGGGCCCGGGCAGCTACGGCGGCTACCAATTGCAGCAGCCGTTGCAGTTGCAGCAGTTTCAGCAGCAGCAGCAGTTGCAGCAGCCGGGCCTTGCAGACCGTAGAGTGGAGCGGGATGGCTCTGCATACGCAGACGTCTCAGAGGTTATTCTGCAGGGTGGGGGTTTGGCAAGGAACGGCCGTCCCATGCAGCTTCTTCTTGAATCGGTGGATCCCCCGCCAGGTGGGCTTCCACAGGGCCATCTTGCAGAGGACGGTTTTGGACCACAGGGCTCTGCTAAACAGGAGTCTGCGCAGGGAGATTTTGCACTGGATGATTTTGGGCGGGGGGTAATGGCACTAATGGCAGCGAGGGGCGTTGAGCAGGGTGTATTCACGCAACGAGCAATTGTAGCCATGCGACAAGCAATTTTTGGGGGAGGCGCGGACCTGGCTACTTTGTTGGACTCCGTAAGCCCAAAAGACATCATCCCGCAGGACTGCGTTTCTCAGAGCAGTTTTGCTCCGGAAAATATTGCGTCGGGTGGCTTTTCACAGTCGGACAATGCGCAAGGTAGTCCGCAGGGAGATATGGGACAAGGATGTATCGCACTGGAACCACTCTTTTTGCAGGACATCCCAAAAGACGTTGGTGCATGGCAGGACGAGCCCTAGCAAGGCATCGGACTAGGAGATCTTGAGGAGGATCTCGCTGTGCAGGGAGGTTCTGAGGGAGAACAGACCTAGGACAATATGGCATGGGACTCCGTGGCGCCGCACTCTCTTTTGGATCGCATATCGTCGATACTGTATGACGCCTACAGTGATGTGCCAGACAGTCAGGGGGAGGCTCGCCTATGGCTGAACTGGCCATATCACGCAGAGCTGGGTGCCCCCCCGACGCGCATGCACCCTTTCCAACAACAACGCACAGGGCCTAACGGGTCAACCACACACCTGGGCTGGGGGACAGGCATCGACATCGCCCGTTGGGCTTGTCAACCAACCTGACATCTACGGCATCCCTCCAATGCGGCACTTGACGATAGACTCATCAGGAACCGGCACCGCAGCAAACCTCTGGCGCTTGGTTGCCGAAGGGCTAAAGGGGAAGGATCTTCATCATAGTCTTGGGCCCACAATGGGGCCGTAATGGCAGTGATCATGAATGGGCAGTCACAGCGTCATTCTTGAATTGGGCGATGGCAGTAATGAATGAGGAGGCCACATGGGAGGAATCTCTTGGTGCTTTTTGGGGTCTCACAGTTTTGGACGAGGCGGGAGGGGGTTAGTAAGGTAATGAGGAGGGCGGCAGCAATGGAGGCAGCGAGGGAGATATTTTTCTTTGTAGAGAACAACAATAGGGAGTATCCCAAAGACATTCGTCTGTGCTCGAGCTGGGATTTGGACTGGAGTCGCAAGTGTCCCTCGTCAACGATCGCACCACATGACCCTAACCCCTGTAACCTAACTGCTTGATTATCGATAACCTTAATCGATCCGTGCTCCACTTGTGACCTCTGGTGTCCTTGCCGCTGTCTCATTGCGTGTCTTCGGACCATTTCAACATCGCTCAGCTAACAACAAACGAGCCGCTGAGATGCGCAGCACCAATCTGTCACCCGCAACTGTGGTTTTCCACCAATCTCTCTAGCTGGGTTTTGAACGCACGCGCATTTCTGATAACACGATCATTACTCGGCCACGGCCACGATGGAGTCTTCGCGCAAGGGTATGGGTTCCTTGCACCACGCGTTTCTCCCCGCAGACCCCCCATCACCGCCCAGCACGAAATCCAATGCTGACCAAATCTCGCCGCCGCAACAGATGAGGAGGCCACCATCAAGGTCGCCTCGACCGGAAAATCAGTTACACCATCGCGGCCGCAGTCGTTCGGCAGAATTAAACTGAGGAAAGCCCCGCCAAAACAGGCTAAGCCTGGCAATTGGAAAGAGGCCAACGTCCTCGAAGGTTTGCCGCATGCGCCATTACTTTTTGACTCTTTGGGTCATCTTCAGAGTCTCCAGTAGCTGATACTCGCTTATACCTGCACCTGTAGACGACAAGAAGAAATCCAAAGACCATGCAATCACCGCTGCGTCGCCCAATCCCGTCATCAACCAGCTCGACGACCCTTCGCGCGAGACCTTCGACACCGGCCGGCCCCTCGAAGACATACCCGACATGTTTCAGTGCAAGCACTGCAAGAAAGGAATTACCCGGGTTGCCGCTAAGGATCACATCGCCCAGTGTTTGAGAATCAAGAAGGAGAAGGCGCAGCGCAAGAAGGAGGCCCGCGAGGCCCGAGAGCGGCTGAAGGAGGCTGCCCGGGAGGAGGAGGCCCGCAAGGCCGAAGGGGACGCTGCCCGCCGGGGCGACGACGATAGCGACGACGATGACGAGGCCAAAGACGGCAGCGCCGGGAAGACGGCCGGCAAGGCCAAGAAGACCAACGTATCTGGCAAGAAGAGGAAGGCCGAGGGTGAGCTCGACAAGGGAAAGGCCAAGAAGAAGAAGGACGAGCCGAAGCCCAAGACTGCGAAACCCAAGGGACCTGTCGATGTCGAGAGGCAGTGTGGCGTGCTGCTACCGAACGGCCAGCCGTGTGCCAGGTCTCTGACATGCAAGAGCCACAGCATGAGCGCCAAGCGAGCTGTGCCGGGCCGGTCGCTGCCATACGACATGCTTCTGGCTGCATACCAGAAGAAGAACCAGGCCAAGCAGCAAAAGGCCGCCATTGACGCCAACGCGCCACTGGAGGACGAGGATGAGGCCAACCAAGCGGCAGTTGATAGCGATGAGGAGACGGCCGCCGTCATGGCAGCCCTGGCGCACTGGAACCCGCAGCCCGTCGTGCCACAGCCCGTATTCGCCCCGACCAAACGCCAGTATCAACTCGCACGGCTGCACGAGCAATTACAAACCGCGACCAACGGCGGCCGCGTCAACATCTTCAAGGTGGCCGGCTACGACGCCCAGCGTCTCACTGAGGCTCACCTAGGTCTGTTCGAATACGATGACGCACCGGGTGAGCCGGACCCGGCCGTAATGGGCGCCGATTTCTCGCGGCGCTCGTCCAGTTTCGGCCTCGGGGGTCCACCGCAACGGCAGCCGTCGGTGACGGGTCGAGCATAGAATGCTCGATCGTACAGCGTGCCGACCGCCTGGCTGTTTCAGCGCCCCCAGAAAACTGCTGGGGCAGCTGCTCCATCCCCGCTGCGCGTTCCCATCCCCGGCTCGAGTAGCCAGGTGCTGCCCACCGCGCAGGCGCTGGGGACGTGGTTCGCGGTGAACGTTGCGAGGTCGCAGCAGCGGCAACAATTACAACAGCAACAAGAAGAAGCGGGTTTGCTCGGGAATAGTGATCCACCGCAGCAGCAGCAGCAGCAGTCAGAATCCCGGGCGACTCAACAGCAACAACAACAGCGCCTGAGCAGGACGCAGCTGATTTTCCAGAAGCAGCTGCAAGCTCAGCCTTCGACCTCGACGCAGGAGGCCCATCAGGCGCACGACCAGATTGCGGCCATCCGACGCAGCCAGATGCACGCGCACGAGCAGATTGCTGCCATGAGGCTGGTTGCGGCGCACGTTGCGCAGGCGCAGCGGCAGGCGGTGGAGAAACTCTGCGCTCAAGGGCAGAATACAGGTCAGACTCAGGGCCAGGCTCAGGGGCATGGTAAGGAGCAGACTCGGATCCATGGCCGGGCCTCAGGTCAAGTTCAACAAGTTCAAGGGCAAATTCAGGTTCCGGCGAGATCACGGTCCCTCCCGCAGGCGCTTGAGCGGGTCCAGTCTCTGTCCCAGTCTCAGTTCACATACCACGCCGAGTCGATGGCTGCCGCCATTGCGATTGCGGGGGCGCATAACCTCAGGCCGGTCGTGCCGTCGCCATTGCTGGGCGGAGTGAGGGGATTGGACTTGACACAAGGGTAAACGCATGAGAAGCGGGGGGGTTAGGCGAAGGGATCTGTGGGTGTTGAGAGGACGGTGAGTAGGGGGAGGGGAGGGCTTTGGGACGATCGCGAGTTTGACGTCTTCGCTCTTTGGACTTTGCCGTGTTGGGTGGGATGGGGGCGTTGAGGAGCTGAGGAGAGTTCGTATATCCCACACTACGATCTCGGTTTCGTTTCGTTCCTCTTTATAAGGAGCCGGTTTTTTTTTGCTTGTTTTACACTACTTTATCATCCTCTTTTCCTTTTTTCTTCTCGTGAGGGCTAGGGCCATTGGGTTGCGACACGGTTTTTCGTTTGAATGGTGTCTCGTTTCCTTATACAGCAGCTGCGTGGCAGCAAGGCGTTGATCTGGGGCTTGTTTGGACTTGCATTGGGGTTAGGTTGCAGAGCTGGTTTGGTTCGGCTAAGGGCTGGTTGGTTGGCACTGCGGCGTTTGGGTCGGCAGTCTCCGTGCTCAAGACGATCATCATAGTTTGGGCGGACTTTTTCTTATGCAATACAAATGACTCGCACATCCTAGGATCCGTTCTCAGGTAATTTTTCAGGTTGTTTCGTCCTGTGCGCGTCGTCCTGAGCGCGTCATCCTGATCCTATGGGCCTAGAGAAATGATATATGATATTGTTTGAGATCCATCCTCCCCTTCCCCTTGCGATCCGCATTGATTCCTTCTCATCTCTTGCCCCGTGGCCAGTATCAGCCAGTTCCTGTGCGGCACTGAAGTTGATCGGAGAACAGAACTTGATAAACCCACCCCCGGCCATTCCCATCACAACCGGATCCACCTCCTCGAGATCCTCCACTTCTCTAACAGGGCGTGTGGCTCAGTTGGTAGAGCGTTCGCTTAGCACTCTCAGGTCTCTGTCAGGAGATTCCACGCGGTTCTGCGAAAGGTCCTGGGTTCGATTCCCAGCTCGTCCATTGATATGTTCCAGGAAGGGGCGAGGTTGAAGTGTAGGGGTTGTGACCAATTTTTTATATTTCGGTCTATTGGCGCTTGCAGCAGTGGCCTGGGAACAATTGGTGCACTGGCCGGTCTCGTATTGCAGTTGACGTCTCGAACGAAATGTGGTGTTGCTAGCAAGCAGCGAAACTGGCGGGAGGGTGATGGTGCGAATGAAGCTGCTAGGCGGAATTTGGAGGAGAGGCGGATGGTTGCAAGGGGTCAGTGGGCGTAGGATGGAAGTATGTAATTAATACAATCGCCCTGCATAGGGGGTGTTGACTTGGGATCGGTAGCTGGTTCGTGTGCACTACCCAAGCGCCTAGTAGAGCGTTGATATTTCCTGCAACATTTGCGAATTGTCCATCCGGAGTAGTTTTCCCTGGTCGCATCAAGTTCGCAAGAGTGCGCTCTGTCCAGCTGGCCTCAGGTAAAGCGCCGTGCGGACAGTTGAGTGGTCCACAAGGAAATGGCTACGGAAACCAGACGCTCATAACCCAGGTCGCATCCTCGCGTCTGGGGATTGCTTGCCACAAGGGCTGTCTCAGTACCGTGATATCAGCATTGAAACGTGACTGTGTCCTTCTTGACTTGGTTGCTGCCACCAGCCGAGAAACCGGTGCCTTCGCGACGCAGTTCAACTAGGCCCGGCCGAATCCGCTCCTTTACTCCTTTGCCCTCCTTCTTAGGGGGGTGGGTTTTGTCTGCAAGGTCGGAGTCGCACACATAACAGTGGAGCGAGTCGGAGCCTGAGGGCTTCATGAACTGGTCGACGCAGCTTTTGCATAATACGTGCCCACACGCCTTTGCCAGCGTCGCCCTAGAGGAGTTGGACAGGCCCTTCTGGCAGGCGGGGCATATCCTCTGCGGCTTTATCGTATTGGAATCTGGCTCTTCCGTAAAATTGATCGAGATGAGGGTGTGTAGCGAGTAGGAATGCGGGTTGTCTTCTGGCGACGCCGGACACGTCGGCTGTGTCTTGACCTTCTTTTTCACCTCGTGCAGTGTAGTGGTGCTCTTCGAAGATGGCGTTACAGACGGTGTCCAGAACGATGGTAGTGTGGGTTTTGATGCCTATCACCAGCGTCAGTCTCAGGATCAGACGGCCCATCTAACGTCCCTCCCACCTTCTCGTCATCCATCGCTTTCCTCGCCTTTGCCCTCTCTTCCTCAGCGATACGAGCGACCTCATCTGGATCAAGCGAGAACTTGCGCTTCTCCCCAGTCCTGGGCGTATTATCTTGCCGGGTTTTCTCGTTCCCACCCGCTGCCGCTGGCCCGGGTATCTCGGTCTTCTCCCTCGCTTCACCACCCGTGCTGCCCCTCTTGATACTCAGGCCAGCCTGCGTCAGCTCAAACTCGCGAATGGCTCGTTCTTTGGCCTCGGCATCGCGGCGGGCTTGTTCCTCCCGGGCTTCGCGCTCCTCCTGCTCGCGGACCTTTTCGGCGCGCTTGATCTCCTTCTTCTGGGCCAGAATGTTGTTGAGGGCACACTCGCGACAGAAAATGTCGCCGTGAGCGCAGGCCACAGGGTCTATGGCAGGTTCGAGACACAGCCAGCATGAGGCGAAAGGCAGAAAAGAATCTCGCGAGAGGCGAGCGGTCGATGAACCCCATGCCGCGCGGGCCATGGCTCGCTCGTGCGAGGTGAAGATGGGCCGGCTGGTGTTTCTTTTACCTGGGACGTCAGATTGCTTAATCTATTAAATGGTAAACTGATTGACATACTATGTGCCATTCTGGTGAAGCTGGATTTTGGCGGGGGCAAGTGAAGTCGGGATTCTGGAGGACCTCAGGACAGTATGAAGCGCATTGGAAGCTGCAGAAACTGCCAAACGCGGTTCTCCACAGTGGCATCGCTTGCGCCAAAGCGGGTTTGATCTTTAGCGCGCTGTGGGGAAGCAGACCCCGGGGCCTGTGTACACGTGCAAAAAAAAGCCCTGTGGCTCGCGTCTCGGCAGTCGCGACTCTTGCAGGTTTTCAGCCGGTTTGATGAGCGAATTGCCCATCCGAGCCCCAACAATTGCAGGTTGTGGAGCCTGGCGTGAATATCCGTTGAAAGGCGTCCAGGTTCCAGTATTGGAACTCTACTCCCTGTTCGGCCCATGGCTATGTCAATTTTCCATGATCATCTCCCACAGCAGTGAAATCCTATGGCGATGAGACCATGTAACAGCTGAGACCTCACTCAAGCACTCTTCTGAACACTTCCGGGTTGGCTTGCGACTTCATCTCAACCATGTCGACACTTCCGCCGGCCTCTCAGCGGCCGAGCCCCTCGCTGCGTCTGAAATCGGCCATGGTGATGGGCGTGACGGGCGTTCTATCCAAGTTCTTTTTGTACGGGTTCAACCGGGTCGAAGTGACGGGTCTGTCGAGGTTTCTCGAGCTGCTGGAAAGCCGTAAAGATCCCGCCAAGAGACAACGAGGCCTCTTAACGGGTGGGCACGAAACACAAAAGCCCATTCTATTCCATTCCAGATGCTGACATGCCGTAGTATCCAACCATATCAGCGTGTGAGTGAGCGCCACATAATATCACCTCAAACTCAACACCCCTCCTCATACCCCGTACGCAGACTCGACGACCCTGTAGTATGGGGCATCCTCCCTCTAAGCTACGCGTTTGACCCGTCCAACCTACGCTGGACCCTGGGCGCCGCCGACATCTGCTTTGCAAACAAGTAAGCCCGCCGATCCTCCCTCCCATCAAGACACACGCTGCCAATGTGATCTCTAACCGCTTCCTCCAGGGCTTTCTCCACCTTCTTCACGCAAGGCCAAGTCCTCCCATGCCATCGGCTCAAGCACTCGCCCTTCGGCGGGCTTTTCCAGCCGGCCCTCACCCAAGCCATCCGCCTGCTCTCCACCCCTCCGCCTCCCACCGTCCCCATCCCGCCAACCTACACCACCACCGGCAGCGACGCCCACCCCTCCCCGCTCCTCTTCCCCGCCCAGCGCCGTTACAGCTGGGTGCACGTCTTCCCCGAAGGGTGCGTGCACCAGCACGCGTCCACCGACCTGCGCTACTTCAAATGGGGTCTCGCCCGCCTGATCCTCGAGTCCGAACCGGCCCCGGACGTGCTGCCCATGTTCATCGACGGCACGCAGCGCGTCATGCCCGAGGACAGGGGCTTCCCCCGCTTCGTGCCTCGCGTGGGCAAGACGGTGCGGGTGGCGTTTGGCGAGGTGCTGGACTATGAGGCGACGTTTGGGGATTTGAAGAGGCGGTGGGATGGGTTGGTTGCGAGGGAGCGGGAGAGGGTCGGGTTGGGGAGCGTCGCTGCTGGGGGGGGTAATGGTGGTAATGGTGTTAAAAAGGAAGGGGAAAATGGTGGGTTGGTGGTGGCTCCGTGGAGACAAACGGACGTCGGGGAGCTGACGACGGACGAGTTGAAACACGGCAAAGAGGCGCAGGAAATCAGGATCGAGGTCGCGCGGCGGATGAGGGACGAGATCCTTAAGCTTCGGAGATCCCTGGGCGGGTACCCTGAGCCGGACCCGGCTTTTGGCCTGGCCGAGACTTGGCGGCTGGATGACGATATCGAGGCCAAAAAGTACAAGAGCCGGGTTGATGGGAGCAATATAAATCAAGACTAGATCTAGTATCATTTTATATTCTGTTGTGGAACGTGTGCTTTAGGTTGGTGTTCGTGTAGACGGGCCTTTGTTCGAGTAGCCTTTAGATGGTATGGTAGCCAGGATAGAAGGGGATCAAAAGGAGTGATTGGTAGAAGTGGGCTTGTATTGTACCAGTATTCTTGAGTTAATTATTATTCCTAAACCGCTATGCCCTAGGGCGTGCCGGACCTTCAGCTATTACTATACAGGAAAACCGCACCCTTGCAGGTCGGATGAGAAACCCGTATCGGCAATCAAGGAAACGGTCAGTGAGTGAGCCTGCGGGTACAAAGGGAGAAGGCCTCCTGGCCTTCGAAGGGGGAGGGGGGGGGGCGATATTAGACCGTGAGCTCCAGCTCCAGCCTTCTAGCCAAATTATACATCGGCAGCCTCCCCCAAATCCATCAATCAGCCAAGGATCCTCCCCGTCAGCCGTGCAGCTGTAGGACTCATTCCCTGCAGAACAGAGTAAAAGTCCCTAAGCGTTCGAACCTGGGCCCTCTCCCATCTTCAAGCTAATGGTGGCGCCAGACACCACATCACCAGGTGTTCGACGGTCTCTCGCCCTTCTCCACATTCGCAGCTGGGCGTCAAGACCTCCGGGACACCCTTTTGGAAGAGGAAGTCCCGCAGGCCTATAGCCCCAGTCCGGATTTGGACCAGCAGTGAACTTTTCGCCTTGCTCAGGCCCTCGTGCCTCCTTAGAGTCTTTTCTTTGAACAGGGTCTCCTGCTGGTGGTCGAAGTCGTCTGCTGGCCTCGTGGCTGCCCGGCCGTCTCGTTCCTTCAGCAACCTCTCCTTCCAAGCCTCCAGCATAACCCTGTCTGTGTCGGCCGTTCCCCCTGTCCAAACTGCAATTACACTGGCGGCTTGTTCTACCGCTGTAATTGTTGAAGTTGATCCTGGCAGTTTTTGCAAGGTATCGAATATGAGAAAGCCTCATCAACTCGGTTGGATTCTCCCCGACGTTACGCGTTTACGGGGAAACAGTGCGCATACATTATCAGGTAGCATGTGACCAACCAGTCCTCGAGCAAACCGAAATCATCAAACTCATGGAAGAATACCATATGAATGATGCTAGCGCTCAATCAGCGGGTATCTTCAGATTTACTCCCAGCCTTAATCTCCCATTCGAGCTCATCTCTCTTACAGCATTCCCCATCATTCACATCCATATCAAGTCAGCCCTCGATCGTTCCTCCGCGAAGCCTCGAGAACCTCACCCTTGCGTCCCAGCGTAGGTAGCATGGCCAATAGCCCTCTGTCACTCATCGCCTTCCGCCAGCACTCAAAGGAGAGCACCAGGGCGACGACTCTCGTTCCACCAACCTCCGGAGAAACCCTGCCAGCGCCTTAGCTTGGAACATGCCGATATCCCTGTACGTCGTCTCCAGAATTCCTAAAGCCCACGCTCGATAGCGGTCCGGGATGCCCGGCGCACTCCCCGCGACCTTGACCTCGAACATCAGCGTCGGAATTCCGGCTATGCCGATGCCAGCGCCAGGTTTGGTCCTGTCAAAGCAATCCAGATGCACGGGCCGAAGCTTTGGGTGCCGGTAGTGGGTCGGGATCGACACCAGCGTGTCCCGCGTCAGGCGGCGGATGCAGTCGAGGGAGCGCCGCTGCTGTTCTGGCGGCACCAGCGGCGAGGCGCTCGTTGGGAACCGGTCGACGCTCTCGAGTAGCAGCTGGTTCACCAGAGTGTGAGCCCAGCGGTAGTGGTTCCAGACTCGCGCGATGTACGTGTCGTCGTACACGTGGTAGCAGCCTTCAAACACCGCCTCGGGGGGAAATAAATCATTCATGCGCTCCTCAGTGACAGCCCAAATGTCGTGTTGCTGTTGAGAGTTCCAAGACTCGAGGTACTCGTTAATCGCCAGCGCCTCCTGGACCACCTCGGAGGTCTTGGGATGGCCATCGACGAGCGGCTGGCTACGCACAAGGGCTGACAGCTGAACAAACCGGACAACGACCTTGAGAAGCTCGACTGACGGTCTGTCTGCTTCCGATGTCGTTTCGCCGAGGATGGAGATCCAGTCGAACAAGGTTCCAGGAAGACTGCCAGGAAGAGTAGTCTCGCAATAGGGCTCGATGTATGTGGGAATCACGACGTTCGGCTCCGGGGAGAGGTACTGGAAGGAGCTCTGTTTCGAAGCCACCATCGAGAAGCACAGCTGTAGAAGGCCACGAGTCCAATCTGCCGGCGCCATCGGCAGTAGGAAATTGCTCAGTATTGCGGCGGCACCCATGACGTGTGTTCGCGCAGGGCTGACAGCCTCGTCTCTACAACGCGTGACCTGGGTGTGGGCACGCGGACTGTTAGTCATGCCGCTAAAGGGGTGTATCGTGCGGCTAGGTACCTGGCGCTCACCTCATACATGGCCATCATCACAATGCCTCGAAGGACAAGCTCGAGATCCAAACTTGCGATATTCCGCATGGATGAAGCCATGGTCCTGAGGGCGAGTCCGTAGTGATGTTTAGATAATGTGTTCATTTCCTTGTCCCCGGTGAGGTTTGCAAGACCCGCGAGTCCCACGGCAGCCATGATATCCCGTATCTCGCGCGAGTGGACCCATCTCTCCCCTTGGAGCTCCTGGCCAACCCTAGGCTCATCAGGGAGTCCAAGCACGTAGTGCTCAACATAGAATTGAATGGCTTTGTCGACAACCGGCGCGCTGATTTCTTTGGGTAATCGTTCTCCCTCGAAATGTCTTCGGCCCTTCGCCTTGGCGGTGGTGGAGAGGCGCATGGCTGCCTCAAATACAGATGACTGGCTTCTTGTTGAAGAGGACGATGCCGGTATGGGCGAACTGCTGGATGATTCTCCTGACTCGGACGTCTCCGGTACTCCCCACTGGGCATGCGCCTTCTGGATGACCTTGGTACTTTCATCCCGGAACATCAACGACAGTTGGTCTCGGTAACCTGGACATTGTTTTCGGACTCGTACGCATTGTGTACATTGAGGCCGAACTTTGTCGCACTAGCTCGAGTCAGCCCGACAGTCCTCTGGTATTCACAGACGGGTGGCCGCAGGCCTCGCAGATGAAGGGAGGAGATGTCTTGAAGCACGATCCAGCCTTATATGCCCCAGCGAAACAGCGCCAAGCGAGACCTTACCTTTATTCGTCTCGTTCGGCAACTTTGGCAGCCTTGTGATGCCTTGCCGCAGTAAACCATGGCTAATCTCGCTCATTTGGCGGAGAGAATGGAGCCGGAGCCGGGACTTAGGTCGCCAGATGCGACCGAATCCGCGCGGGGAATTTGCTGTGTTGCTCCAGATGTGCAGCAGGCAGTCGAGTAGTCAACCGTGTAGGGAAACCAGATCGCCGGCAGTCCATTCCTGTGTATTTGACGACTCGCATTCGCTTCGGCAAGGGGTCACATGCGATGCAGGACGTGCGATGACATCGCCTGGTAGCAACGACCCAGTAACTCTCAAAATCTGCTCGGACGAAGACCCATTGCTCGGTTGTTGGAGCCGGAAGCCTAGCCTCGCGTCCGCGGGAGCTAGTGTCGCTGCCGCAAAGTCCCCGGATGCGGGGCAATTCAGCTCGCTCAGAGACCAGCTCAGCTGCCTTTTTCATTTACGGATGGCTTGCCGATTGGCGCAGGGGAAAGCGGCTGAGGCGGGAAGATGGTGCCAACAGCCGGGCGAACACGGTGAGAACAAGGTGTTAAAAGGTAAAGATAGATGACTCACCAAAGGTAGGTAGTTGATGAGAAAAGGAGCGGCGGACAACTCAGCTCCGCAATCATGCCAAGAGAGAGGAAGGAAACCTGGAAGGTGACGAGCAATGAATCTTGTGTGAGCAGCCTGTGGCTTCAAAGCTGATCTGATAAAACTGCAGCTCATGCGGCAAGTGCAGCAGGAGTCGGTAATTTGTCAAAAGCAAGGCCCGGATGTTGTTAGATGTCGTGCAGTCGCTGAGACGGAAATACGACCTGGAACAAAACCCCGCTCCCGCAATCCACCGGGGGTTGTGCTTTTCAAGTTCTTCATTTCATTCTTTCCGCTTCCTCGTCCTCTTCCTCTTTCTCTTTCTCTTTCCTCTTCTCTAACTTTTTATTTTTACATTGAATTTCTCTTATCTCTCTTTCTTGTTTTCTTACGTTCCTTGACTTCTGTTATTCCATCCATGTCTATCCGTAGGGTCCTGCCATGTGCCACGCTAACGAACAAACCAGGCCCAGGCTGGATTCGTTGTATCAAGCTGTCAACAAGAATCCCGGCAACTCCCGTGGCAGTAAGCCCCACCTTGCTTGGTCCCCACCTCCAACGCCCACCCGGGCCCGTTGCGGTGTTGCCAAGGAAAGCTCTGCATGTGCTGTTGTGGGCCAGCCCGAAGTCGCCCAAATCAATTTTCTGTGAGCGCACCACTGCAGTTTTGCGACTTCACAGCTTGCGCAAACACTCGATCCTGGAACAGGCTGCTGCTCTTTCCCCCATCTACACAGATTCGAAATCTATCCACGCCGGAGACATCCCCCATCCGGCTGAGCAGTTTTTTCATCCCCAGCTCTTTCTCCCACGAGTTTCCCACCGCAGTCCTCAGCGCTCGCATCCATCTTCAGACCGTTGTGTCGAGGTCGCAATTAGGTAAACTGGAACCGTATGTATCTGGCCCTCTCTGGATCCAGGATGAAGCTCCTTGGAACCGCGCAACCCTCAATGAGCCATCTATCCTTTCTCGAGCTTGCGCTGAGCTTCCTTTGCTAGGATTATCGTTTATCTTCCACCGACTGCAAAAGCCCGCTCCCACCTCCTCGACGCAACCCCCACACACACGCCGAATTTGGCATCAGCTTTTGGACAGTTATCTTCCTACTCTCCATCGCCGGAACGCTAAGCAGCCATGGCCACAAACGGTAATCTTGATCACACCGACCACTATGCTGCACCGGCCCAGACAACAGAGGCGCCGACCAACGCGGACGGCTCGCCCGCCACCGTGCCCAAGGATGAGGTCGCCTGGTATTTCGTCGAGCAGTACTACACAACCATGAGCAAGTCGCCCGAGAGGCTGCATGTGAGTCAATCGCCGGTCTGACCCCGCCAGGACACCCGATTGACATCGTAACAGCTGTACTATGGCAAGAAGAGTCAGTTCGTTTGCGGCCGCGAAGCCGAGGTTGTGAATGTCTCGTTCGGTAGACAAGTGAGTAGACCCGTTTGGCCTCTTGCCATAGAACAGGTTGATATTGACTCGTTCGTGAAAGGCCATCCAGGAGCGGATCAAGGCTATGGACTTCCAGGATTGCAAGGTTCGCATCTCCAACGTCGACACCCAGGGCTCCAACGAGAACATCCTCATTACGGTTATCGGCGAGATGGCGAACAAGGATGGCGAGCCCAAGAAGTATATTCAGACATTCGTGCTCGCCCAGCAACCGTCTGGCTACTTCGTCCTCAACGACATGCTGAGGTTCCTGAATGAGGATGCCGAGGAGGAAGAGGCAGAGGTGCCCTCTGAGGAAGCCGCCGCTCCAGTTGAGATGCCCGCTTCTGCTGAGCCCGAAGCCAAGACGGAGGAGGTTCCCCCCGCCAAGGAGACCGCCCAGGAGCAGGATGTCCCATTGGACACCGAGGCCGTCACCGAGAAGCTGGAGGCTGCTGAGTCCCCCAGCGCCGTCGAGACACCTGCTACCGAACAGGCTGCTGAGGCTCCAGAGGCGGCCGCTGCAGAGGAGCCGCAGGCTCAGCCCGACGTGGAAAAGACGGTTGAGGAGCTTGCAGAGGAGGAGGTCACGAAGCCCGAGGAACCTAAGGACCCCGCCCCTACGCCTGCCGCCGCGCCTCCTCCGGTCCGTGCTGCAGCTCCGGCCCCCGCACCTGCGCAGCCCGAGAAGCCCAAGGAGCCCCCCAAGCCTATGTCGTGGGCCAGTCGGGCGGCTGCGGCTGCGGCTGCGGCTGTCCCCGCCGCCTTACGTCCCGCGGTCCCCAAGACCGCTACACCGCCTGCCCCGGCCCAGCCACGTGCTCCGGTCCCTGCCACTCCTCAACAAGCCGCGCCCGCCGCTCAGCCGCAGGAGACCGCTGCTGCACCAGCCGCCTCCAAGGACCAGGGTGAGTGGCAAACCGCCGAGACGAAGCGTCAGAGCCGCGCCCAGCCGGCCTCTGCCGGCCCAGCCGAGAAGGAGGGCACCATGGCGTACATCAAGTATGTCACCGACAAGGTCAAGGACGAGGATCTGAAGGCTACGCTGTCCAACTTTGGGGAGTTGGCCTACTTCGACATCAACCGCCTGAAGGTACGATTCTTCCTGCCGTGACAACCAAAGATATGTGATCCGACTGACAAATTTGCCTAGAATTGCGCCTTCGTCGAGTTCAAGACCCAGGCCGGCTACAATGCTGCGGTTGCCGCCAACCCACACACTGTGAACGGCGAGAACATTGTCGTCGAGCAGCGCCGCCCCAAGGCCAACGCGTACGGCGGTTCCAACTACAACGCTGCCCGTGGCGGTGCCGGCCGCGGCGGCCGAGGTGGGTTCGAGCCCTCTCGGTCCGGCAGCCAGAGCGGGCGCGGTGCTTTCTCCGGTCAGTCGCGCGGTCGGGGCGGCGGCGGCGGCGGCCCTCGTGGGCGGGGCGCCTCCCAGGCCGGTGCTGCCTAGTTGGCGCTTAGCCGCGTAACGGCTGAGCTGTTGCTCGCTCATCCACGCTGTCTCTCGCTCCCGGAGAGGCTGAGCTGAGCCGGTCTCTGTCGCGGTGGTGAATGACTGGACTGCCTTTCGGACGAATTTCATTATCATCGTAACGACAAGCATGGCGGATTGGGGGGGTTCCGAGAGTGGAGGAAAAAGGGGTATTCACATTGGTGCGTCATGGAGTAATGGGGTTTATTAGGGATGAGGTTAGGACAGGAAAAACTGGCCGCGAAAGAATCACTTATGGATGTGTCTCTTTTCCTCTATCTTGGTGCCGGGGGACGCGCTGTGTTCGATGGTTTGGGGGATTTGGTGCCTTGCATTTGTAGTTGCTGGATCCCCTGTGCTTTGAGGGAGCCGCGGGTCTTGTACGTTGCTTTTACTTGCGTCGCACACCTCCCTCCCTCTAGCTGCTTCTTCCTTTCCCCGTCTATACTTTCTGTGGGAATACGGTATTGCTACCGTTGTTCGAGATGATGAGGTTGGGGCGGGGAGTTGATTGTGGGATGGGGTGGTGATTGCATGTATCAGCCTGTATATTACAGGGGAGGGAACAGAGGTTATTGAGTCGGTTGATATGCCCGTTGGTCCCCGCCTAATCATGGTCCAACGATATCCACTTGACCTCCCTGCCGCTTGGCTGGCTGGTGAGTGTGATGTTGACTTGACAGTGGGCAGGGAGACGGCACGGAGACGGGGCCATGCCGGATGGGCGAGATTGTTGGCGCTGTCTAGGGCAGGAGAAGATGGGTAGTGGGAGCTGAATGATATACGCAGTATGTATATACAAGAGAGTACTTCGTGAGCTGTTGATTTGCTTATTCGAGGACGTATGGTCGCGAAAGCTTGCTTGTCCCTCATGGAGCCGCCCTGTCTCCAGCCCTCGTTGTACACAGAAGAGGAGACCGAGGAACTGTATCCTTGTGGGATGAAATATCCCGGTCTTTAGGGGCTCTACCAGCAGCCGGACTTGGCAGCCAAAATGCCGAGAGTTGATGGAGATGATTGATGATACTCATAGTTGGCCGGCGTCTCGTGGTTATTAAGAAACCAGACCTACTCACGCCGGAGGACCCAAGAGATTGGACCAGAATCTAAGGTGTCTACGAATAAGAGCGAGACGACATGTCAGCTTCTATGAACAATGAGAGACACTGCCGCGGCCTCATCCCACGACCCTTCTCCGTCATCTCTCCCTCCAAAATAACAATAACTGATATAGCACCCGCCGTAATATCCAGACCGGCGACGACAACGAATGGAACATCGTAGTTCGAGAGCGCGAGCCGGAGGCTCAGGGAACCGACTCGAAAACATCTTCCGATCACAGCTTCAGAAGAATCGAAAGGGGCGTGTACACTAAAATCCAGAGACTTTCAGGCTTCTTCCCCATCAGGTAGACGTGCACGGATGCCCTCCCCATCCTCAGGTTAGGTCAAAACAGTGCGCTTGTAGTCGCCCGTTCCTCCAGCAGGCGGGAAGTAGTGGACAGCAAAACACGCCAAAGCCCTCGAGGCTTGTTTGCCCCCAAGAGAATGAATTCAGTGCACTCCGATCCTCATAACACAGGACCACAGATATGAGCTGCGGTGTTGCTCCGCAGCCGATTGATTACCATGATGCTGCTCCCGTCGACTTGAAACAAAACACAAAGACCATCTCGATGTTTGGACGGGAGCCCAAGCGTCCCTGCTCGTCTCTGGTGATCGCCGCAAACAGGCCGTGCCCTGAGAGATCGACAGCCCACCCCTGTTCCGCGGACTGACTACCTGTAGGCGATGCGGTGACGTGTGTTGAAAGTTATTTTGTTTCCAAGCGGAAGATGCTCCAGTGAAACCTGCAATAAGCTATCCAGCAATCACGTCAGGTGCCTGTCGATGTGATCGTCCGCCATGTACCGAAAGGGGATGGACGTTGCGAGTCGATGGCGTCGGCCCTTCTCTTCGCAAACGCTGATGTGGAATACCTCGCACTTTCGATTCGACATGACTGAACCGACCGAGTCCGAGTCAGATCATGTCTCTCATCCGGCGATCTTTCCCTTGCTGGTGTCCGATAACGCTGCGACGGAAGCCGTGGGGCCGGCTCCCTGCCGGCTCCGGAGCATTGCCGGAGGAAACCTGGGGGCCTCCACGGGGTTTTATCAAGTTCCCGCGCGTCTACCAATCTGGTTCGGGAAAGGCTCGAAACTTGAAGCATGCGCGAAACCACAGTCATGGCTCATCATCAGGTGCTGTTGGTGTTGATACTGTGTACCACAGTAAGCTTGGGGGCAGCCCGGAAACAACTCGCCCCGAGACCGAACATCCGACAGCCCGTCGCTACACCCCAAAACCTTCTGACGCCTTCAGGGTGAGACAGCATGACAGCAGAACGTCGCAAATACTATGAGAGGCGTGCTGTCTCCAACTGTCTGCTCTTTCCATACCAGTACTCCGTATACCTACTCCAAGTCGAACAGCAGCGGGCTTCATTCACCAACCTTGGTGGCCTTCCTTGTCTGGCGACGATCAACATGGAGACTCCGGCCAGCCAGTTGTGGAAAGAAAAGACGAGGCAAGAGCAAATCAGAAAAGCGTTCCCCCTTGTCGGCGATCGCAGGCCTTGGCGTGCTTGCTCCCACCTTCCCGAACGGTCAACCGCACTTTAACGGAAATCGATGGTATGACCCGCTTGGACCCACCAACGGTTCAGCCTCGAAGGGAGATGGCGCTGGACGCCGAGAACAGAAAATGCAAGAGAAGAACAATTGTGACGGGAATGAGGATAATAACAAAAGAGAGCCGGGCGGAAAGCTGTGTGCCGTCCTGGACATGCCAGAAGGAATCCTTTGATAGCTGATGAGGCGGGTAGGTACCTTCCCAGTTCAGATGCCGCATGGGAATCGGAGGAGATGGACCCTGCAGCTGTGTGGCAACTTACAACACGTGGAGGAGAATTGTGAAAGCGTCTGAGTTCTAGATTATGGGTGTTCCGAAACGCGGCACAGGATCCAGCCCGACGAGGCAAGCAGGCCGAAGACTTCCTCGGGTCGTCGAGAACCATTCGGTGAAAGCGCGAGGCAAAACCTCATCTTTTTCCGTCACCAGCACCTTCTTCACCGGGAGAGCACGTCGAGCTCCAGTTTCGGCCTCGATGAATCCCGGCATCCGGCCCCATGCGGACCTTCAACCACCTACCCGGAACAGCCTAGCCCGGGTTTGGCGTGAGACCATTCCCACCATCGCTGATTGGTGCTTGTCTTGCGGGTACGCCCATCGGGAGACACGGTGGGGCCGGCTTGGGACGGGTACACAGTCTCTTTGGGAGACGAAGTCGAAAGAGACGAAATGGTGGGGCCAGACCGGCATCGCACTGGACCACAAGGCTCTTCGTCCCTGGACAGAGTATATGCAATTTATGCCAGACGTGAGGCGGCAGCCGAAGAGTAGCTATTCTCAGCGTTACAGGGAGACGCAAAGCCAAATGAAATTTGATGGAGATGCAATTGCTGGAAGCACCAACGGCTCTGGAAGATCCAGTCGGGTAATAAAGAGAGCACGGCGAAAACAGCACACAAGGGGAGCTGCCACACAGCTTGCACAGGACAGGCCCCGGACAGCATGGAGACATAGACATGGACGTCCCGTCTCGTGTATTCAAGACCGACTGTCTATCCATAGTTCGGCAAGGCCAGTCGTTAGAATAACAAATATCGAAATAAACAACCTTAATGGCAGCAAGCCCGCCTGCCTTAAACGGTGCTGATGCCCCAATGGCCTGGGGAGATCGAGATTGAAGCAAGCCAGGGCGCACTTGGCGCGGGCTCCTTCAGGCATGGGCGTGCCTTAGAACCAGCACCTCACTGCTGACGGGCCGGGGGTGGCTTTTCAGCCCCTCCCAACTGCCGCCAACGGGGTCTTAACTTGCCCTTCCCGTCGCTTTTGTCCGCGATTTTCGATCCATCGTCCCATTGCTTCCTCCACCCTTTCAACCTGGAAGTTACGGATACCACTAGCACCTTGCGGGCCACGTCAAAAAGCCTGCCCACTAGATCAGGTAGCCAAGTTCCGCCTTCCGCTTTCCGAGGTCCGCTCTATTCATAGCGTCAGCTCCGGTCGCATTCCGTTCGTTTAGGTTCCGGTTCACTCACGAGAAGCTTCTTCGACTCATCTTCCCTTCCTTCCCTTCTTTCTCGGCCAATTTTATCGGTCCGACCTGGAACATCAGCCACGGATCTCGAAGCTTTGCGGTGCCTGCGGCCTGCATCCACCTCGCTTGCGCATTACGCCGTTACCTTTACTCCATACATTCTCACCTTTCAAAAGCATTGGCACCCTTGACCCCTGGACGACCTGCAGCTGTTCCTTGCACCCCTTCTTGGTAATCTTCGAATGACAAGCTCTTCGGCCTTGGCGACAACCTCAGATCACCTTTCGTATTCCTGTATTATCTGCCAGGCCCTCCTGTGAGAGAGCGATAAGAGGTATTGACAAAGAGAGCGCGTTTTTCAGGTCAACTCGGGCTCTGGAAGCGTGTCGTCCGGGAAAGGGGTTCTGGCATTTCCCCCGCGCCTCGTCAGCGCCTACGGTGAAGTGGACGTCACGGCGCATCGAGTTGTCAGGCATGTCATGCCAGAAAGAAGAGGTCCAGCAAAGGCGTGAGTCAGAACTCACCATATCAACAGCAGCAACAACAACACACCTAAGGGAAGAGGGGGTGGTGGGGGTGGGGGAGACGGAACGAGTTTCGTCTCCGTTTTCAACGAAGCCGCTGCCGCCGCCGTAGCGCGCTAGGGGCAGCAGCACCCCGCTCGACCCGCCAGACACGACAAAGGCACTCTGTCCCATGGCGCGAAGGCCCAGCGATGCCTTCTCCCAGCGCAGCGTCGGCAGCGAGGCGCCGTCGGGCCGCCCGCGCCGCATGTCGATGGAGGAGGACATGTACTACCGGGAGCTCATGACGTCGCGGCCCGTCAAGCCCCCAAGCTACGAGTCGGCCATGAAGGCGGCACTCGCCGCCCAGAGGAGAGCGGCGCTGGCCGCAGCCCGGCAGGGGGCGCTCGCGGCCGGCGTGCCCGATGACGTGCTGCCGCAGTACACGTGCGACATCCACTTGGAGGGCGTGTTTATGCGCAAGATGGAGATCGAGGAGACGACCAAGCGGGCCGAGTATCGCGATTGGAGGATGGTGTACGTGGAGCTTCGGGGCACTGCGCTCAACATCTACTCGGTCAAGAAGGAGCGCGGGTGGTGGTCGTCGACAAAACACGACGGGCCCGACATCTCGCCCGACAATCCGCCGTGGGTCAAAAAGTCGTCGTTGGAAAGGAGCTACAGCCTGCTCCATGCGGATGCGGGGATTGCCGCTGACTACCGCAAGTGCGTACCGCCTGATTCCAGAGAAATAGGCGTGACCCGCTTTCAGGCTTGAATACTAACAAGAACTAGGCGGCGGTACGTTATCCGCATGAGGGTAGAGACCGACCAGTTCCTCTTATCGTGCGTCGAGATTGGGACGTTTGTCACGTGGCTGGACGGCATCTTCGCTGCCATCAACATCTCGCCACCGATCGATGAGCGCGACTTCCCCAGAGACTTCAGCATACCACGGATCCAGAGGATACGATGGCTACGAGGCCAGCGGCCACGACCCGAAGACAGCGTGGGCTTCCAGCGACTCACCGAGCAGCAGAGGCAGGAAGGGAGCGACGAGGACGAGGACGGAGGCGACGAAGGCGGCGAACCCCCAGATCCAGGCGGCTACGGAGGAGGGGACGAACAAGGCGGGCCGGGGTACGGCCCGCGGACGGACCATCCGATCGTTGGGAGGCTGTCGACGACGTCGTATCCGAACGAGAGCATCGACCCCGTGACGGGCAAATGGAAGCCGCAGCACGGATGGACGGTGACGCACGACCAGCTGTACGCCCGGCTGTGCTACAGCGTGCTGCTGTTCAAGAGCCCGCGCAAGAGCAACTACGTGATCGCGCGCGGCAAGCGCTGGTACGTCGACTGGGAATCGGGCCGCATGGTGCGCGTGCTGCCGCCGGCATACGGCGAGGTGGATGTCATGGGGCCGTGGCAGGTCATTCATGTTGGGAAACAGTCTGGTTCAAGTCCGCCAGAATCCAACATGGGGCCGTGGCAGGTCATTATGCCGGAGAACAGGCTGTTGTAAGCCCATATTCCCCGGTTGGGCTTGCAGCACGCCCAGCTCCGACGGTTCAATCCAGGATCAAGGACCGTGCCACATTTTGGGGGAGGTCCTCATCTTCTTGCGCTACGGCGACTCAGTTAGCTATACCCCTTTGCTTTCCTTTTTTTTTCGTCATGTCAGCGGCGTGGAGTTTGTTTTATTGGGTACAGGCGGAGCATCTGGATACATCTGGCAAGCTTTCCTTTGCATACCCCTTAGCATGGCACTTGGATGTCGAGGCAGTTCGGGCGGGAGAGGCGGGTCAAGCATATATACCATTTCCTTGATGTAGCGGATCTTCATAGGCCGAAGGGAGGTTATCTGAGGTGGACATACCAGTATACATGTGTAGATTTGCGAGAACGCAAGGGTAATTGATACCACTTGATTTCACTTGACCTGCGATTTCAACGGACCCGTGTTTTCTTTCATATTGACCCGGAATACAGTCATCAACGCCCCGACACCTGGTATCCAACACGCCCATATCCCAAACATCGAGCCCATGCTTGCCTCGCTTGTGTCTTTGCCTTGCTAACCGCCGTACACCAAACAGCTGCCCTCCCACTTCTTGTTATGTCCGGTTTTGCCCCAAGTGCTCTCAGAGCCCGCCGCACCCTCGGCTCATGGCTTATTATTCACCCTCCTATATTCCTGTCAAGAACGGCCCTCACGTCCCCATCCGCTGCCCGCGTCTCGACAGCTATCTCGTCGACTACCTCGGAAAGCAGCTCGTTCGCCCCGTCCATGTCGTGCACGGCCTTCTCGACGTCTGCCACCAGCGCTTCCATCTCGGCCCGCTGCGACTGGATCTCGTCCCAGAGCTGGGCGTTGGCGGACCGTGTTGTTTGGAGGAGGGTGGTGAGGCGGGTTCGGTGGGTTTGGAGGTGCGGGCGCAGGTGCGCTTGGAGGATGGTCGCGGCTGGGAGGGTGTGTGGGCTGGTTCTGGGGGTTAAAACATATACTTGGGGAAGCGGTAGGGGAAATATATGTGTGGTGAGGCGATTGAAGAGACGTACGCTACAGGTGGTGAGCTCGGGTCGGTCGAGTCCATCCTCCGCCTAGTGGCGTCGGCAACGAGCGCTTCAAGCTCGTTGAGCCGTGCTACGACCTGCCGGTTGGCCATGATTGTTTCGAATTCTTTCTGTGGTGTTGTCAGCGTGGCTCACACATCTAACGGTAACTGTCAGCCAGAACCCGGCGTAGTAGCCAGCCCAGTAGATTCCCCTGTGGCACACCTCTGTGCTCAGAACCCTCCATCAAGCTCCTCCTCATCCAAAAACTCGACCTGCAAACCCAGCCACCATCTCCCCTCCCTGATTCTCCCTCCGCCCTTCCCCGTTCCGAGACCAGCACATCCCACCCCCAAGCCAGAACAGCCCCAGTCCACGCCAACGAACAACACCATCGAAGGCCCACACCAACCAGATTGACCGAGGACAACCGCAGGGAGAAGGGAGAACGGATCAAGAAGAAAACCCAGGAAGCGAGACTGAAGAAAAAGAACGTACATTCCACAACCCCCCCAACCGCTCAACCATCTGCCTCTGCACAAACTCAAGCGTGTGCGGTGCCTTGGCCGCGACGGTCGGAAAACAGGCGGCAAAATTGTCTTTGTTGATCTTATCCAGTGTGTGCTTGGCCGTTGAGGCGAAGAGCGCTTGCAGGCGGGCGGCGCGGGGACCTGGGGCTGGCGGGGGAGTCTTTTCTTTCTGCTCTTGTTGTTGTTGCCTTTCTATTAGTGTTGTTTGGTTTGCTGTTGATCGTTGTTCTTGGGTTGCCGGATCAAAAGAGGAGGAGGCATTTCCGTTGATTGATTGTGGTGCGGCGGATGGTGGTTCTGCGGCTGCCGTTGAGGGTCGGTCGGGCATTTCGGTGTCTGCGTCTCGGGGTCGTCGCTGCGGATCGGCCGCTGGACCGGGGTCTTGTTCGGAAGACATGTTGGAGTGTCGCGGCTGTCAGTTATAAGGACGGGAAAATAAGGCAAAGTACCAAGGTCGAGTAGGCGTACTGTGGTGTCGTGTTCTGGGAGCTGTCGATGTTGAACAAAAGAACATGTTCACATCGTGTCGCGTTTATGATCCTCGGCCGGATTGCGGCGCATCTCGGCAGGACTTGGCTCTGGGATGCAGGGGTCAGCGACGGAACGGCGGAGCTTGTATGCCGCACCGAGCCTCAGGGCGCACGGTCCATATACAAAGATACTCCAAGGCTTCCTGTTCTGGAGAAAAACAACCACAACCACCCGTGACCTCGACTCGAAAAGAAATCCACGAGAAGCCGCGAGATTATTTATATTCACCAAGGGTAGTCTTACCAGGACGCTTGGTACTCCGTTCGGACTCTTCATTAGGAGCAAAACCACAAGACTTATGCGATGCAGACGGCAGACAATAACACGGGTCTTTCAGCAAGAATTCAATCGTCAACGCGGATTGATACTGGCATGGCCCGACCAGCACGGGAAAGGACGCGAGTTCGCGTCGTGATCCGGCTCGAAGTTAATTCACCTCAGCTCAGGCTCGCCCGCCAACGCGGTTGAGTCGGGATGAGCTGCCGTAGGCACGTTAGATGATGCTCGCTCCTCGCGCTTTCGTGCTCGCGCGAGGCTGCCGAGCCGGACCAAAAAGCGGGTGATGCGGCACAGCCAGGAGTTGTTGCATGTGCATGCAACCCTCTCGAGAAACGAGCAATAGGAGATACTGCATATAACGCAAATATTCACTTCCCTCCGAAATCCTGCAACTTCACTGCGAAGTGCTTCGACCGAGCATGGTTGGCCGCCCTGCGACATACCCATCTGAGCTGGATGTTGACGCGCCAGCATCGGCCTCTGCAGTCTTGCTGGACCACCTCCCGTCCTCCCATAACTCGGGCCGGGTAGTTGTGACCCCGTCTACAGAGTAAGCAAGCGAGATGGGCCCCGTCAACCTACCTTACGTTACGCCCCTTAATACCGTCTGAGGCCCTCCTCCTTTCGCGCTAGGCTCAGGTCTACGTCTTCTTCATCATCACGCCGTACTGTGGTTTCAGGCTCGTTCAGGTACAAGAACAGGGAGCCGGCACAGCGCAGACAAGAGGAGAACCGAGCCCTAGCGGTTACCAATCGCCATGGCCTTCATTACAACCGCAATCAGCCCGGTCTTGTCACTGTATGCCAGCAAAGCCATGGCCTGGTCATACACCCGATACTACAGCCCGTCTACACATCCCATAAATAAGACGCCGAAATACCACGAGGTTCAACCGTTCGGTTCCGTCTCAGCCACCCAAACCGATGTCACCACCGGGCAGTACAACCAGTACGGGGGCTTCCTGGATAACGAGGTCACCATGAACGTGACGGTGACCAATATCTACTTGGCCTCCGGCAGCGCCTCGGCCTGCAAGACTGGCGAGCCCTGCACAGCCGCGGGCACCACCACAAACAGCGAGGAAATCGACACGAGCATCTACGCCCCCATCGTCGTCACCAACGAGCCCTCATGCACCCTCACGAGTTACAGCTACACCACGTCCGGGGCTGGCATGCCAGGCCCCGTGACCTCGGATCTATTTGACTGGATCTACGACATATGGGATCAGGCGACAGACAGGTGGCCTGAGGGCCCCACCCTGGCTGTCTCGACGTACGACGTCACCCTTCGCGCCAAGCTCGGCGGGCAGGCCGTCACAACCAAGCGGTGCGACATCTTCCTCAAGCCGGGCCAGCTCAACGGCCTGGAGATTGACGATAACCAAATGAGCGAGTGTGTCGACCCGCGCCTCTTCGACTTCTATTAGGGGCCGGCTTGTTGCCCTTGTAATTGATGGTGTAGACGCAATGTACATATCCTTCAGGGACGTTTGACGCCTGATGGGAAGGCGATGGGGTACGATCTCCTGAACTTCGTACTCGGGAGGTAGCGTTGCGTGGTGGATTTGTTTTCGGAAGCATCTGAGTGTGCATCCTCATCTTAATCGCTCTTCTTTACCTACACACAACATTCGATACATACAAAGTAACACTCATATACCTCATTCCCACTCATGTCCTCATCTACCAGCACCCACGGATATGTAATGAGACCCTTTTACCAAACGCCGTGCGTACTTGGGTGAGCGCAACAACCGAAATAGCCTCAAGTACTTCATCACGAAAAATCCACCGTCGTCGCCTGGCGACTCGCGTCTCTCCGCTCCAACCTCCTCCTCCGCCTACGATCCGCCGCCGCCGCGTCCGTCAGCGGACCACTCGTAAACGTGGCGTGGCTCCCGCCGGGACTCAACAGCCCGCTCGTCCCCAAACTCGACATGGTCGCTCCGGCAGCAGGCACCGCGCCCGACGGCCCAGGCTGTCCCTGTCCAGCCGCGCCGGCACCCCCCGAGTAATACGCCGAGTCCTTCCCGCCAACGCCGCCAGCACCGCCGCCGGCGCGCCTGGCAAACGCCGGATTCGGCGGCGACAGCGGCGCAAGCGCTTCATTCTCAGCTTCGACGCGCTGCTCGGCGGCCGTCTCGGCCCTATGCACGCTGGACGAGTCGCGGCGGTAGCGGCGGCTGGTGGGCGTCTCGTTGCCCGAGTGGCTGCTGATGGAGTCGTTGCGCTGCCTGCGGCGGTGGTGCTCGCGGCGGGCCTCGTCCTCGGTGAGCTTGCGCAGCGTGATGGGGTGGCCCGGTTCGTCGCGGACGCGCACGTGCACGCTGATGGGCGCTGCTTGCGAGTGTGAATGCGGCGTCGGGTCGCGCGAGCGCTGCTGCTCGCCTCGCCGGCGGCGGTCTTCATCCTCGGCTAGGGCGAGGGCGCTGGCCGAGGCTGCCGCTGCCGCGGCGGCTGCGTCGACGTCTCGTCTCCGGGAGTTGTAAGCCTCGCTGCCGTCCGACGAGTGGTGAAAGATTCCGTGAGGATCTGAGGGCATTGGCGGCATTGACACTGGTTCAATCACGTCATATCGTGACTGCTGGCCTGATGGCGCGCTTGCTGGTGGGATCGGGGCCGGAACAGACACTGGCGGTGCGCCGCCACCATAAGCCGTTGGCAGAGGAGGTGCGGTTGGAGCCGGAGCCGGAGCAGGAGCCGGCGGAGGTGGGCGGACCCCTGGGGGTGCCGGATCATACGGCGTGTTGCCGCGCGGCTCAATTGAGGACTCCTCGGACATGACCGATGTCTCAGTCATGGTGACTCCCGATGGTGGAGGTCGCGCCCTGTGTGGGCGGCGCCTTGATTCCCGTCTCGACGGGCTTGGGTAGCCATCGCCAGTGTACCTCGAGTTCCGACGGCCGGCCCGTCTCTCCTCCTCCTCCTCCCTACGCCAGTCCTCCTCATCCCTCAGCCGTTCCTCTTCTCTCCGGTCCCGCTTGTCCTTACCCATCTTGGCTAGGAATCCCAACCCCATCCCAGCAAGCAGGCCCTTTCCGACACCCCCACTCTTCCGCCGCTCAGGAATCCTCCGCGAGGGACTCACGTATGATGAATAGTCGGAACCCTCAACCGTGCTATCAAGCCTCGAAGTTCCAGCATGCGAGCGTCGCGGAGTCATGGGCGGTCTGCCACCGGCAGGGGGTTGCCGAGGCGGCGGAAGGATGGAGGACTCGACATCATGACGGCCGGGATACCTACTGATATCCTCCGTCCTCTCTGTGAACTCGCTTTCGGTGAACTCGCTCCTAGCTGGGTGTCTGCGAACGCGGCTTGGCGTATCAGTCGCCACGGCCGAGTACTCATCATCGTGGCCTCTATCTCCGCGGTTCATCATCTTGGAGACCAGTGCGCCGGCGCCAAGCCCTGCTCCAGCTGCAAAAATCTTATTTATGAAGCCTCCGCCACTCGCGCGCTGCCGGGCTGGGTGTTTCTCGTCGTAGTAACTGTCTGATTCTCGGCGGGAAGAGATGACAGTAGCACGGTGGGAGCGGTCCACGGGACTCGGCGTGCGACTCATGGCCCTTTCTGCGTCCCGATTCTTCTTGCGGCCGCGGAGGAATGCCAACGCGGCTCCGCCAGCAGCCAGCGGCCCGAGCCACTTCATTGCGCCGCCAGACTTGGCCGTCACTCTGCTGCTTTCGTCTCCGACGCGACTGGGTTCGCGTCCCCTGGTATATTCTCGCCGCCCGTGGTCACGGTAGTCCAGAATGAAGTAGAGCAGCAGCAGGAAGCCCATCCACACAGCGTAGAGGATGAACAGGGACTTGGGCGAGCCGTATAGCGTGAGACCCAACGGAACCTGCGCGATTCCCAGCAGCGCAATTGTCCGGCCAAACCAGCGGTGGATGTGCAGCCGGAACGAGTGGCGGCCGGCAAGTTTCCGAACCAGGCGTCCACCCACGGCTTGGAGCAGGATGAGCACGTAGATAGCAACGCCGATGCCATGGTGGGGATTCGTCAAATTGCGCGGCGGGCCGACGGCAAAGAAGCCCAAGACGAACACGACGGTGCTGAGGCCGACAGCGAGAACCTGGAGGTAGGCATGGTAGCGAACGGCGCTCCCCGGCTGGCGGGTGTAGAACCGGGCGAGTAGCACGGCAATGGGTATGATGAACAGAAATGTTATCGCGGCGATCACGCCGTGGCCGAGAATCAGGGAGTGGTAGTCTGTCAGTGTCGCGAAGCGGTTGCCCATGCCTGTTTGCCCGGGTTTTTAGTGTGGCGGGCTTGGAGGAGAAGAGGTCTAAGACGCAGGACATACCATTGTATCGCATTGTCTCATAATTCAACCCTACAAGGTTGGGCAAGAGGAAGGTGTTCTTGGTGAAGTCCCATGTCCCGTCGCCCACGGTCAGGGTGTCGGACGAGTAGGAACTCGACCCCGGCGGGGACAGGTTGTCCGCCGGCGCCATGACGGCGATGCGCGGCCGTGAGGCCCTGATTGGGCTGGGAAGGAATGTGAAGCAAGGGACTCAATCAGTTCTCGTGACGCACCAAAGACACTTGAATCGAGCCTGCGGAATGTTGCAGCTGGACCCGACCGTTCGGCTGTGACGACCCAGGCAGAGATCTGACGGTCCTAGGAATGGCGGGGCAGTCGACGGTGTCAACGTTATTGGTTGGCGAAGCTGCTGTGTCTGTTGTTTGCGCATTGGCGATATTCATGGGAGACTCGATGCCGACCGCTAATGGCAGAAAACTCCAAGAGATCGAAAGTGCAACATCATCATCTCAATGCACGAGGCAGCAATCTCCAGAAAACCAAAGCATGTCCCTGGACCTTGTGATGAGCTGGCCCAGCGCAACCAAGGGACGCCAAGGCCAACAGCTGGTTGCCGGGAAACCAGGCATATCAGTCCAGCCCGGATTCAGGGCTTGGCAGCGAATGTGGATCCGTCTGAAGAGCTGTCAAATGTGGGTCTGTCTGGGGTAGCTTCCGCCTGCCAATCAGCTTCCGAGAAGAAATACGTTGCATCCAAGCCACGCTACGCCACAATCGAATCTCTCCACGGCTCCCGTTGATGCAACAGTCGCAGACTGCGAGTCTCGTCAGCATGGGCTGAGCATGTGCTGTTAGTCTTCCCAATGGGAATGGCTCCTGCAACCATGCTCCGGTAAGCTGAAATGATGGATGCGACAAGAAAATTGCCTTGTCGACCAATTGCGAAGTCATAAAGAGCCAGCCAGCCCGGCTCATCTGTAGTTTCTATAGTCCTTCTTATCGTCGGTCATTCAGCCCACCAACATAACATCACACACCCACGACCACCACCATGGTCACACCCACAACACCCCTCTCGCCCGTCTCTTCATCCTCCTCCAACATCACCACCACCAACCCCTTCTTCTCTTCCGTTCCCCCTCCCCGCTCGGGCCACTCCAGCTTCGCAGTCCTCTCCTTCCACAAAACCGACACCATCCGCCTCCTCGCCTTCCCCGAGGTCGTAACATCGGCCATCGAGTCTGTCATCCTCGCCTCCTGGCCGCCGGGCATCGACTCGTGCGGCGCCTTCGAGCAGTCCTACCAGTACAAGCTCAAGGGCGCCCCGTTCGGCTACTTCCGCAGCCAGCAGTACGTCGGCGGCATCCGCCTCGTCCGCGACGTGCTGGCATTTCTGCACAGCCAAGGCTGGGAGCTCGCCTCGTCCGTTCTGTGCAGCCGCCGCTACACGGCCAAGGACACGCTCATTTTTCGGCGGGCGGCATCTGGCAACCAGTTGCCCGCCGTGGAGTGGATGAGCTTGGCGCCGATGGGGACTGACAAGTTGAGGGTGGTGTATGACGCCGACAGGGTGACGCTGGGCGGCGGGGAGAGTGATCAGGATTACTTGGGGGTGTTGATCACGGAGATCAAGAAGATGCTGGAGGGGTTGGATTATTTTCAGAAGGGGGATTGGAGTCACGACTTGTTTGAATTTCAGTTGAAGGGCAGCCCTTGGAAGTCCAGAGGCGAGGCGAGTGTCAAGATGCGGGTCATGCTGATGAGGCTGTTGGAGACGGTCGAGGGACACGGGTGGAAGCTGTACACGACCATTGTGCAGCGGACGGGGACAGACGAAGATAGGATCCTGGATACGTGGTACTTTGTCCGGGAGCGGGGCAGGTCATGGAAGGGTGACACCGGAGGCGACGTCAAGTCGTGATCTGTAAGTGGTGGTGTGGTGGAATTGAAATTACCCTTTGGACACCGCTCGCTTTTGATGAGCTGTCTGGTGAGGGGAGCAGGCAGATTGAACGAGGGTTTGCGCTTTCCCAACACCTCTCGGGGAAGTCAAGTCCATCTGGCTATTTCATTCAACTCTGCTGGGTTCCGTCCGTTCTTGACTGTCGTAATCGAAGGTGGCTTCAGTGCCCCGGTCGGCCATGGGCCAAGTCCACAGTATCCAGAGTGAAGTCAAAGCAGAGGGAGGTGCCTGTGTGTGGAAGCGGGCAATAGAAAGAGAACCCTCGGGCCGGCCAAACCGCCAGATGCAGGGAGGCGAGCACCGTGGCTGGCTCCTTCCACGGATTGAAGCTTTATGCTGCCAGTGGCGGCCATTCGCTGTGCAGGAAGAAGACACTTCACGTGCGGAATGCAGGAAACGGAATCAGTCAACACGGCGAGACTTGGGAGATTCTCGTCTTCTACCGGCTGTTGATCTCCAAACCAAACAGGCGCCAATTTGAACATGAGAGTCGAAAGGTTCGAGGGCGAAAGCCCCTCTTCCAGGTTTGCACTCCTCTCCGAGCTTGCATCATCTACCTGCAGTTCGTGACAATTCAATCGTGGAGGAAAGCGGCCTGGCAGAGGTGCTACCCGGGACTCTGTCTGGCGCCGTGTCCTCGGTAAGTCCACACGCCATCTTCACCCACGCTTTCCATACACACTGGGACTTCAGCTGATCAACTTGAGAGAGAAAGGAAACTTGATTTGAAAATTCCGAGCAGAAACAGCCAGGCAGTCCCTGCCGAGTGCACGTGTGATATCCTGCGAGAGGGGAAGTCGGGTTTGGACCCAAGCTTGCTTCAACATCACCGGGCCGCAGACCTTCCTGCTCTTTAAGTTCTTCGGGTTGCTACCGGCCACCTTCTCCATCGTGAGCTTGCACCTTCCATCCCCAAATCGCCATGGAAGAAGTTGCGTGTCCCGATGGCATGACCATTTATACCCAACCATCTCTTCTGGTTCTCTTCTCGAACTTCTTCCCTTTCTTACCAGACAATCATCGACGTGGAGCAGCATATCCCTTTTTTGGCCTTCAAAGCATCTCACCATCATCTTGCTTCATTTTTTGCTTTTGCCAGACCATCAGCTTCTCATCATCACAATCATCCGCCACCACCATGAAATCGGCACTCTCGGCCGGCCTTGTTGCCGCCCTCCTCTGTCCCACGTCTGTCATCGCAGGATCGACATGTCCGAAGCTCGCCTACGGCTCGAAACGTGTGACCTGCATCCTTGAAGTTGACCATACCACCGTCCACGATCATGACCTCGAGCACCTTGACGGCAAACATCATGGCCACAAACATCACGGCCACAAGCATCACGGCCACAAAGACGTTGACCAGATTACCACCATTGTCCGCACAACCAACGTCTACGCCTATTCATTCATCTGGAACTACTTCATCAAGGACGGCTGCCCCAAGACCGAGGCCTTCTTCAGGCCCATCTTGCCCATGCTCGACCAGACGCAGCACACCATCAACTGCCGAGTTGAAGCCAGATGGAGCCCCGACAAGCACGCGCCCGGAAACTACTCGGTCGACTACGCCGGCCTGGGCTTGGTCGACTGGAAATCCCTCCCTGCCAGAATGGAATGGCCCTTTGTCGGACACTACGACCCTCCCACTCACTCCAGCCTGCAGGGCTTGAGCGCCAAGTACCAGCGGGCCGAGGACAAAGCCCTGTCCACCCTTGATGTAAGTCCATATTTTCCGCCTGCCTTTTTCTATGAACCCGCTGACGAGGTATCGTTAGGTTCACAGCGGCCACGGCAACGACTTTTCTCACTGCTGGGGCCAGCCGGAACAAGACAGCAAAGGCCGCTCAGGCGGGTCCCATGGCGATGGCGGACACGACCACGATGGCCACGGCCAGGACGACAACAAGGACGGGCTGAAGGACAAGGCCTCACAGGACATCCAGCACGAGCATGGCCAGCACGGCCCGCACCAGTCCTTGGTCTCGGTGCAGAAGTCACACAACAAGTTTGGCGGCCACTACAACACCCACAAGCTGCATTCATGCTGGGTCTTCGAGAAGTACCACATCGGTATTCGCCATGAGACCTACCATGTGACTGCAGACCACGGAGACAAGCACAAGAAGGGAGACAAGGACAAGAAGAAAGACAAGGACAAGAAGGGAGACAAGGACAAGAAGGAAGACAAGGACAAAAAGGGAGACAAGGGCAAGGATGGCGACAAGGGGAAGCAACGGCGGCAGTTCGGTGGCTTCGGTGGCTTTGGCGGCGGCAACGGCGGCAAGGGCGGCAAGGACGGCAAGGACGGCAAGGACGGCAAGGACAGCAAGGACAGCAAGGACAGCAAGGACGGCGGCAGCTTTGGCGGCGGCAGTGGCAGCTTCGGTGGCATGGTCAACAACGACATCAACGGGGACGATGGATACTATGGCAATTGGTTTGACTACTACAAGGGCAACGGCGGCAACCAGCGCACCAAGGACATTGACGGCATCCTGAGCATCATCGGCAAAGATGGCGACAAGGGCAACCACGGTGACAACGGACATGGTCAGGGTGTTGGATATGGCCAGAGCGGCGTCCACCGGCCGCTCCCGGGCTTCCCCTTTTACCCTCAGGCTTGGTCGACGTGCCAGCCCGAGTTCCTTGCCCTTTGCGTCGAGGATGATGACCACCACGGCGATGAGCAGAAGAAGCAGGGTGCCGACCTGAGGAAGGAGGAGGACGACAGTTGCAAGGACGGGTCCTGCAGCGACCAAGGGCCGAATGAGGACGGCGGGGAGGACGGCGGGGAGGACGGCGGTGACGATGAGTGTGAAGGGGAGGACTGTGGTGATGACGAGCATAATGAGAAGAAGGATGATGGATGCGATTGTTAGACAGCAGGATGTAGATATAAGGGGCTAATGCCCGTGTCATCGTTTACAGGGTGGGCGTTCATCGGGTAGAGTTCTAGGATTATGGAATCAGACAACTGCTTTCTCTGGGTGGCCGATGCTTCGCCTGTGAGGTGTCAGTCCGCGTGTCTTTGTTCAAATGCCTGTCATACTTGGCTTAAATTCAGGCTAGGTGTGCTCACTTCAATGAAATAAAGGTACCAGTCGGCATGTCCTGGGTTGTCTTTGCCAAACTGTTGGACATCAATGACGACGGCGATGGTGACGCCAACCCGAAGTCAATGTTTTGGCTCACGCGTCCTGTTGAAGCTAACTTTGGAGGGTGTGCTTGGAGAGGCAGAGAGCCGCTGCTGCTCTCGTGGGATGGTTGTATGGCATCGGTTAGCACGGCTGGGCGTAGTGTAGTGGCATGGTGGGGGTTCCGGGGTTTCAGGGCCCAAGGGCGAGGCCTGGTAACTTGATGTGCGGTTGTGTCGACGGTCGGTACCAACCTGAGTTATGAGAAATGAAGTACAGTATGCGGGTCCAGAGAAGGAATGCAGGCAAACCAGTAAAGACTGTTGGACTCGGGAGGGAGGGAGTTGATGAACGGAGTTGAGGGGGTGGCGGGTGGTACACTGCAGTGATTCTGGGAATGGACGCGTGGACCGATAACCTCCCTCATCCTTGGAGATGGAAATGCTTGATGTATTGGGGGCGGCAATGGTATAGCAGTTGGGTGCTGTTTCCGTGTGGGGTGAGTGGGTAGATTGTTCGGGGGGCTGCGTGAGAGCTGATGTCGACATGACCTGTCGGGCTGTGTTGAGAAGGAGTCGGGCCGAACTTGGTTGAAGGAGATGGGGCTCCTTATGGCGATACTCCTGCTAAGAAGTTGTTGTACTCGGTCTTTGACTCTTGTCCAGTGGCAGCGGTGGCTTGCTTTCTTGGTTCCATGAACTGCTGTGGGGGGATTCAAAGGTGCATGTCTCCGGTGATGATATTATGTTGTGGTTCATCCCGACCGTGTGAACCACGTCCAACTACTTGATGTTGCCGCAGCGTAACCAACAATGCTGTCCTGTCGGTGTCAAGGTCGCATCAGGAGCCGTTTGGATCAAGGCCGAGGGTCGGATTTCGTGGTTTTTTCTTGTTTTTCCGCGGCCTGATGCCTTATGTCTCTTCTTCTAGTGCTTCGACATCCAGTGTACCGTGATAGCGCAGGTGCTGGGTCGCGGCGGTTTGACGAGGCCCTGACCGGGCTGGAGAAGGCAAAGGAGTGACTGAACCGAGCCACAAAGGGACGTTGCCATACCCATCATACTGGAACTTCATGTGTGTTGATGCTTCTGGCCTTGATGTAAGTGAGACGAGAGCTTGTGGGACGCTTTACGCTTGTGGTTGCAGCGCAGAGAGGTTGGGTAGACCTTCGACCGATGCAATGCCTAGCCGGCAAACGACGGGAACGGCCCGAATAGCGCTTAAGCACATAACCAAGGCTATGCCCATTGCACCAGCTTGCTCTTGATCGAGGCTAGCAGAAGGCCCTGACTTGAGCAACCTGTTAGGTCTGTTGCGTGGCAGTCCCTCTCGGCTCAGAACAGGCGGGTTTCTGTCACGTCGTTGCGGGAGCGTCTAGATTGAGATAGCAAATTAGCCAGGCGCTTGAGTCGTCTCCGTAGCGCATGAGGGACAGCGCAAAAAGCTGGGTCGCACACAGGACAATTGGATAGAAGATGGCTGCAAACTATCGAAACAAGGCGACTACCGGGGCCGGCTGCTTTGGTCACCTCGATTCCGGGCGCGGGCGCTAGCCAAGGTGAAGGGAGCAAACGAATTGTGGTGTTCAAGGCGCAAAGTGTCCACGTAATCGAGGTCGAGACCAGTCTGCTTGATAAGCGCAGCCTCGTGTCATGGCAAACGTCTTGAGCCCCCATCAGGTGAGGCCGCCTGACCGATATCCTAGCCTTGAACCGCATAATACTGCTTCCTCGTGCCTTCCTTCGGCGTTGCGGCCTCAGCCCATCATGACCCGGGCTCACGTGAACTTGCATTCATGAGGATAGCGGCATCAGTTGTGCTACCCCTTTCAATATGGCAATGGATGCCGGGTCTCGACCAACTTTGACGCTATGTAGCGCCGGGCGCGAAGACACTGCAGCCGGGCAACGGGAAAGTGGCAACCGGGATGCCGATGTCGTGCAGATACTACGCTGCGTGCTGCTGGGAGCTGCACGCTCATGCAGAGTCCAGACTCATGCAGACGCCAAGGCATAGCGACTGCCAGTTAGTCAGCTGCACGGCGGACAACTGCGTCCAGGCAGATCAATTGGGAGTAGTTGTGGAAGGAAGGGCGGCCGGTAATTGAAACGGGAAACGGTGAAGGATATGATGAAAAGTGAAGCTGCAGCTGCATGCTAGGGGAGGTTCTAGGCCGAGGCGAGCTGGAAAAGGAGGTGGTAGGCATATCCTGTCTTGACTCTGTCGTCTTCACCTCGGCCTAGTCAGAAAGGGGCCAGTGTTCCGGGTTTCATCCCGGCGTGACCGAGCCTTGGGCACGGCGAAACTATCGAGGAAGCTCGGAACTGCGGTTGGACTTCTCAGCCATCCACGATTGCCTGATGACTTGTAAGTCGGAGAAGATTTGTACTTCGGGCATCAATGCCGCAATGCCTTTGTGGTACAGCGTGCCAACTGCATGTGCGACCTCGACCGGCACTGCGCTTGGTACGATGTGAGACAAACAAGGTTGGTTGTTTGTTGGGCAACTTACATACATCACCCAGGCAACTCCAAGTCGGTCAGCAGTGCAGATACCATGTTGGGGAAGCCGTGCTTCTGGAAGAGAGGAAAGAGAAGTACAAGGTAGGTATCGTAGGTAACCAGAACTGTCGAACCTCTAATTGCAGGTCTAACGTTCAAACACAGCAATGGCCACGACGGTGATGGAGATGGAGGGTCGTCTTTGTAGATGAAGGAGGGCCGGAAATGCGGGGTTGTTGACGGGGCGAGATACGGCGCAGCAGGGCACCCTCCTCCCATACCGAGACCAGAACTTCCGGGTTATTCCAGACCTGGGCGTTCTTGCCCGGAGATCAGGAGCAAGCAATCAACTTAGGTTGCAGGGCAATCACCATTCTCCGGCGCTCATGTTTTCAGGCAAGTTGCCCAGTTTAGCCTGGCCTGCTGAGGCCACGACCTAGCTTTCGGTTGCCACGTCGCTGCCCGGCCTCCGCCGAAGAAACAGATGAAGCACCAGTTCTAGGTTGGCTTTTGGTTCGCATTTTCTTCCATAATTCGCGTAAGTCAGAACATAAGCTCGACTTGCAGCCTCGATGCAGTTATCCGGTCCTGAGACTTGGCCATGAGCACTTAAAAAGACCACGGCGAGCAGCTGTATCTCGTACGTGCAAGCGGCTCGAAACAACAAACCGTCATGTATCCAGTACCTCGGAAAGCGTTTAACGCACACGGTCCGACATGTCCGGGGCACCACGCCAGTCCTTGCGTCATCCCATACCCGTCCCCATCCGGCTGACCGACCCTCGATAAGCTGAGCTCACGGCGTTGCTCGGTAATCTCTGCATACGCATAGCCTCCGGCTGCCTCGTCTTGGCGCTCCATCCATTTCGTCTGCCCACTGCACCATGATGATGGGTCTTAAGAATCGCCGGTGTCACGGCATAGATTTGCAGCCTCCTCCGCCACGCCCGTCCCTTCCCCGAGCAAGATGAGGAGACAAACCTTCCCGGATCCCATCCGGCCTGAAGTTTGAATGCTGGCTTGCGTAACCCTGAGGCGGTTCTTTCACGTCGGTAGCAAAGACGGGCGAGGCTATAAGACTACCATCTAGTTGCCCGATTTCTTTGGCTGCTCTCCGCGTTGCCGAAGCTGGAGATTCTTCGTTGCCCTGCTACGCCCCGATTCACCCTGATCAGTATCACTTGGAGTGAATATCCACCTGGTATAAGTTAGTTGGCCACTCATTCATTGCCTCTCCTACCTTGCTGGAACTGCAAAGGATATTATTCCCCTCAGACTGTGCCATACCCACAGGCTTGGGACTTTGAAGGTCGACCGTCTTACCACCTTCCTCTTGTCGGTGCTGTTGGAGAGATCACCATGCCCGGTGAAGGTTTCATCACCATCCACGGAGCCCAGCCTTCACGGCAGCCAGGAACGGCAGCGGCTAACCGGCCTCCGCCTCCTCCCCCCGGCTATGCTGGCCAACAACCAGCGCGTCAGCCAGCCGGCAGACAGCAATATCGCCCGCAGCAGCCCGGTCCGCAGCACCAAACTAGGCCAGACTGGCCAGCTCCCTCACAGAGTCATGCCAACCAGGCATCGCAACAGTACACAGTACCCCAGGCCAACACTCACGTCAAGATCTCCGACCTCCGCAGGGAACGGCCGCCCACAGCCGAGGAAGCCCGCGAAGCCACCTCCGAGTACTATGTGTTTCGCTTCACAAGGGCCGATGAGGGCGGCTACGCCAGCGACGGCTCGAAGCGGAAACCTTCTTGGAAACGGGCACTGCGCGTCGAAGTTCCCGGCATCACCAACCAAGAAGCCGCTCGCACGGTGCGCAACCTCAACCGCACCACCATCCCCGCGGCCGAGAAAAAGAAGTCCCTCAGCGAGGAGGAGCAGCGCCAAATCGAGATCGCCCTCGAGGACCTACAGAAGAAGCACGACGACGCCTTGTTCCAGACGACGCTGGTCCAGCTGGACGACCGGGTCAGAGAGAAGCCCAAGGAGAAGGAAAAGAGGCGTGAAAAGGAGAGGGAGGGGGAGAAGGATCGGAGGAAGGAAAGGTACCGCAAGGACTATGGCTTGTATAGCGTGACCAGAGTACCCTCCAAGACACACCACAGGCCCAAGGAGACAAACAAGGTCGTGACCGAGCGGGTGAGCATTACCGCCTACTTCAAGCGGGCTCCCCGGCCGGGAGTCGACCCCATTGCCATCCTGCAGCACCGCGATACCCAGCGGAATGCTCAGCTCAGGGGCATGCAACAGCCATACGCCCAGCACGCCCAGCTCGCCCGGCCTGTGGCTCGACCTGAGGTTGCACCCCTACCTCCGTCGCCGCAGACTATCCCTCCCCCCAGAGCTGCCGGAACCAGAGGCCCAAGTCCGGGCCGGCACACCCAGACCTATTACCGAGGCCACGGCGTGGCCATTGTTCAGCCTGCTCCCCAGAGAGGCACCCACGCCACCGTCCGACGAGCATCTCCCAGTCGGCCCTCTCCTCGCCGACCATCGCCTCGCATCCGCCAGGGCGCCCGCAGTCCACCGAGCACGGACGAGTCCAGCTACTCCGAAACATTCTCGGTCCTCGACGGCGAGGACACGGACTGCACCTCTCCAACCACAGCCTCTTACCTCTCGAGCCGCGATTCCTTCGAGCGATTGCGGAAACCTCGTCCCCAGTACAGGGAGGGCCCAGCACACTACGGGATTCAGCCCAACTTCAACGGTGGCACTTCCCAAGTGCCTGTACACATCCAACCACACCGCACCCATGATCGACCGCTCAGTCCCAGGCGGCGAAACTCCATGTCCGCCCCCAACCGAGCCCCCTTTCCTCCCCATCCCACATCCACCACACCGCCAGGCTTCCTTCCTCCCAGACCAGCCAATGTTGCCGGCACCGGAACCGTCCCGCCCATGCCGCCCTCTCCGCCAGCTCCAATCCGGATGCCAACTGGAGAAGGGATAGGTATGGGAGGATCAGTTCAAAATCCGCCGCCGCCGCGAACCGCCGGCCATGTCCCAGGCCATCACTTCCCACCTCCTCCTCCAGGGCACATCCCGCCCCTGCCCCAGGACTCTGCCCCTAATCAAACTGGGATCACAGGCCAGATTTCCCCACCGCCACCCCAACTCCAACCAGGCAAAACCCCAGTGGTGGTAAACCAGATCTACGCCGAAGCCTACGCTGCCGGCCGCGAGGAAGCCCTCTCCATAGCGGAGCGTGTCGTCGCAGCCGCATCAACTAAGACAACTCGAGGCGGATCGCCCGTGCCGGTTGTAATCCAGCACGACCGTCCCAAGTGCGGCCGTGATGATCACGACAAGTATGACCACCACGACCATCATGATAGGGATCATGGCCGGGGAAGGAGCAGGAGTTTGGACAGGGGGCGGGAGAGGCGTCGATACCGGAGTCGGAGTCTCGACCGTGATCAGGAGAGATCTCTGTCGAGTTCGAGCTTGAGCTCAAGGTCCAGTCCGTGGTCGAAGAGTAGAGGGCTCGACCATCGACGGGCTCGTCCTCGTCACCACCACCATCACCACGACCACCATCATGTACGAGACGGGCGGAGTAGAAGTCTGGATAGGGGCCGAGGTCGGTCGCTGAGTCTAGATAGATACAGGACAAGGGGCAGAACCAGGACCAGGAGTAGGAGCCTCGATTACAGAATCCGTGACCGCGGTCGAGACAGAAGTAGGGAGAGGGAGCAAAGCGGTAAAGATAGGCACTGGGACCGGGGCAGGAATCGCAGCCTAGACGGCAGAGACCGAGCTCGACCGCCCTCTCCGAGGGTGCTGCCAGGGCAGTCACGGCCACGGTCTGGCGTGAGGATTGTCCGCCCGGAGGACGGGTACACTCGCCACCGGGTGGGGATGGATAGGGAGGGGCTGGAGAGGGTTATGGATCGGCTATGGCTGGGTGGTGACCATCACCACCGGCACCACCACCATGCTGTGGACCACCGCGGTGAGTTGGTGTATGAACAGCAGCCGCAGCAACGTGGTGGACAGTACCAGTACCACGGCGGTGGACGGACGTCAACGACACGAACTTGGACAAGGGAAGTTCCCGGCGACACTGGCACAGACAGAGACGATGAACTGCGGTATGAGAGGCTGCGGAGGGAGGACGCGGACCGGATGATACGGGAGGAGAAGGAGAGAGAGCGGAGGGCGAAGGGTGAGTTTATGCGGAGGAGGGACTCTGGACCGATATCAGGCCGCCATTTGGGAACTCGAGTAACCCCTTCGCGCCACGGCCGGGGTTGAAAACGAGGACAGGCGCAACAGTGGGAAGAGGAGGAGCTTACGCATAATGGGGTTGCCAAAGGTGGAATGGGATGGGCTTGTTGGGGCTCTGTGATGTAGGGGCTTGATCTAACTTGATGTTCCTGATACGTTGCTTAGTAATGTCGCTAATGGTTGTTATCCGTTCTCCAAGAGAGGCCTGGATGTACTGTCTGCTTGGCCTAGCGGTTGATGACGTTGAGTTCTCACTTCCCGGGGGGAAGCCTTCTAAATCTGGAGTTGAGATATGCAGAGGGCCGAAATATGAGATATGAGAGTTCGAAAGATGGTCGTATTACGGAGTATGTACGGGGTTTCACTAGCGTTACGCTTTCGCTTTTGAAGACTACAGCTTGATCCAAGACTTGTTCCCCCGTCATGGATACCCCATATGAATTCCCGCTGGCAAGCCCAACCTTTTCTGTCACGCAGGAGCGCTTTACTGGGCCAAGAGTAGAAAGGGAGCAACGAGAATGATTTATACATAGCATACATGTCTAAATTACAGTCAACACAAACCCAGCGAGAAGCACACTCGCTTGCTATGCTCCCAGTCTCCGTCACTCCCTCTCGCCGGCTTTACCTCACCTCCATCATGCCCTGCACGCTGTGGTAGTAATCTTTGCGCAGCAGCACCTTGAGTTCCTCGCGGGTGAGCCACTTGAAGTCCGTCAGGCCGTGCTTGTTCCCCGCGAGGTCGGCCTGGCCGGCCATGATGCGGCCTTTGAGGAAGAAGGTCTTTTCGCCGGGCTGCAGCACCGACGGGGCGTCGCCATGGCTCAGCAAGGGCTTGACGACGTGGTGCGCGACAGGCACGCGGCCGACGATCCACGTGTTCATGTTGACGCCGACCGACTCCCTCAGCACGCGGGCGGCCGTCTGTTCGTGCTGTCAGCCTCACCATCTCCATCTCACTGATTCATAAAGAGAAAAAGGGAGGATGAGAGAATCATGTGCGGGTGGACTCACCTCATGCAGCGTCTCCTCCGTCCGCACCGCCCCCGTAGGAAACTCCCACACGGCCCGCTCGCCCTCCCCCCTCTTCACCACAAGGTACAGCGTCCTATCCAACGCCCGATCCAACCTCTTCACAAAGCGCTTCTCATCCGCCTCGGTCCTCCGAGGCATGGGCCTCTCCACAGGCACCCTCTCCTCGGTCGCGATCGGCTCGCCGTCCTCGCTCACGCGGACCTCGGCGTCGCGCAGCAGCCGCTCCACCATGTGGTTCGGGTCGCTCGTCGTGCTGCCCACCAGCACCTCGTCGTTCCAGCCCATGCGGCTGCGCGGGTTGTACCGGCCAATGTCCTTGGCGGGCACGCCGTGGCGCTCCTTCAGCTTGATGCCGAAGTCGAGGTCGGCCGCCGTGTCGGGCTTGAAGTAGAAGGCGCGGCGGAACGGGGCGGTGAGGCGCTCGTTGAGGCGCTTCTGGTAGAGATAGAAGGCCGACTCGAACGGGGTTTGCTCGCGCGTCAGGAGGGGGGGCCGGGTGAGTATCAGGGAGGATTTGATGCGGTAGTGGGAGCCGGCGGATGGGCTGGGTTCAGGGGTGGTGGTGGTTACTGGAGGAGGTGGTGTTGGTTGGAAGGTGGACGTGGCGGCGGTCGCTTCGGCGGCGTAGTAGCGACGGGAGGTCAGGGAACGGATGGCCGGGGAGGGAATGGGTCGGAAGGTAGGTGGTGTTGTTCGTATCGTCGGTGGTGCTGGGCGAGCGCACTGGGAGCAGACTCTCTGCGAACCTGGAATGGAGTCAGTGGCTTTGCAATTGATATTATTGTGATGATAGTTGAGTCGCTTACTCCTCAGCAAAGCTGACCCTCTACCCGGCGCCGACATCATGGTGGTGTGACACTTCCTCGGACGCCAACGCGATCGCGCTGATACAGCTGTCTTTTCGGGATGGACTTCTGCTCGACTCGCTCCAAGTCGCGGCAGCCAAAACCGTGAACTTTTTCCATCGCCGAACAGGCCCACTTTTCATTGCACCGCCTTCCATATCTTGCCTAGTGCCAAGTAAAACGCACGGGCCGCTTTGGAAGTCAACTTCAATTCTGACGACTCTCCGACAACTTTCTTTCTCTTCCTTCCTTCTTCACGGCACCAATCCTTATCATCAAGACTGTTTCTCACTTCCAAAACGTCCTGATCATTTACCGGTGCCCAGAGGGACAAGCAGCTGATTCGCTAGCGGTGCCTGCGCCGAGAGGCTTACTATCCACCGGGTTGCTGTTAGATAGTTGCTGCTGAAATTTTTGCTCTTGAAATCATTGAAACTCGACAAGACATTCCTGCCTGCGGCTTCACCCGCCCTTTGAAAAGCAAAATCGTAACAGGGCACCTGGGGCAGGAAGTCACGGTTCGTGACGGTTGCTTGCCACAACCGTTACTGGCGAAGTAGCCATCATATACGGATCCGTACCCAAGACGTTCAAGTCTCTGAGCCATAAGTACGTACTTCTTGCTGATCCTAAGCTGCGCCCGTCAGTCCGCCTTCTGTTTTAGGATGTTGCACTGCGTCTTTGCCGGCATACTGATTCTGATGCCTGTTGGCATGAGCCCCCTGCTCCTAGCAGGATCACCGCGAACTCTTCTTCTTCCTCTTCAACCAGTTGCTCCAGCTCCATTTGGGCCCGGACGTGTCTTGTTCCCAGGCACAGGGCATACATTCCGAGCAATTCTGCCTGGTGTGGTTGACACAGTAGTTCCGGTTGCAGTCTCTGCTGGCGCAGTGGTGCTCGTCCGCTACCTTGTCGTAAATTGTGTTTGCTCTTGATGTTCTGACTGGACTCAGGCGGCGTGTGTGGGTGATCAGGCGAGAGCTCCCTCCGGGTGATGGTAAAGAGTCAGAGGCTGACTTTGAAGAATTCATACCCGGTCAGTTGACGTGGTCACCCCTATGCCAACAATGGTGACTTTGTCTAGAGCAATCGTATGTATCGGATCCGACTGCTGCCGATCACAATGTATGCCGCGGCTGTCCTTGACAAGGCCAGGATGCTGATGAAGGCCAGCTGGGTCAGTAGGGACAACCGGGCAATGACGAGACGGAGGTTTAGAAGCCACAACGCCTCTTGACCTAGCCTTGGCTGTGACTTTGCAATGTCTCTTTGAAATGTCAAGCAGGGCGTGGCGGTCCAATTTCCAGAAGAGAGCGTGATTCTACACTAGCCATGGCTCTGTGACACCATGACAAAGGTACTCACCAGTTCCTTGAAGTTGTCAAGCAGGCTCTGCCTGTCAGGGAATGTCTAGGGAAAGGTATAAAGCCATCCCATTGCCGACTTGTGGTGTATGGTATGCGTGATCCTCCCCCAACTCGCTACCCGTACCTCTGGAAGTACACAAAACTCCCCCTCACGAAGAACAACACAAAAAACAGTAACTCTACAATCAACATATCGTCATCAAACATGTCAAGCAACACCACAGACAACAACAGCAACAACCAGGACAGCACGGACAAGTCCAAGTCCTCCGACTCGTCCACCTCCTCTACAAGCATCATCACATCTGTTGGCGGCGGCCAGGCCCGTTTCCCTAGCGGCGGCGGCGGCAGTTTCAACAGGTTCTCGTGCAAGCGCAGAATCACCCACAACTGTAACAATGATGTGTACTGCAACGGCCACGCCTGCGCCATGTGTCCGGCCAATCTGACAACCAACCAAATCCCCCCCCCACTCCCCCCGCGCTTTGCACGCCGCAATTACAGGTACATTTAACAAGCTGCTGTAGGCTTCAGGTCGTGAATGAGCGGGGTCCGAGCCATCATCACGACTCCGTGGGTATTCCTTGATAGGTACCTGCTGGCGGCTCCTGCGAGCTTCTGGGTTGGTCCGGGTTGAGCCTTTCTAGGTAGTAGTAGTTTCAAGTTCTGAGCATGGTGGTGATGCCTCGATTTTCATGGCCTACATTGCTTGATCTAGCGTGTAGCGTTTCTACTTTTGTTGAATATAAAGTGAGTCTTGCTGTTTGGCTTTTGAGTACCGACCCATACCAATGTCTAGTGTGAAGGAGAAATGATTTGAGTGGCCATGGGGGTGTCGGCGGAGAAAGCCCACGGCCACATCCATCATCATCAACGGAACTCTAGACCTGGAGTTCAGGGCAATTGAGAAACAGGGCGTGAATATCTTGTCATGTCCTTGGATAGGAATCTTTGGCAGTCTTCAGGAGGCGCTGGATGGCTTCCTTCCCCTGTATCCGTGAGCTTGACTACTTTGGCCATGTCAAGGGTGGTCGCACGTAAAAGACAACGAGACAGACTCCTGAACCTCATGCAGACAGTGGCAATGATGCTGCTCCATATGCCCTGGCAGCCGGTATCTTTAATATTCCCTTCAGTCACTGCTGGAAGACCTCCCTACCACACTGAGGCTTTATCCCTATAGTACAGTCAACACCACTTTTCCATCACGCCCAGCCAACCACAGCCAACATCGCATACTCCTCCGTACGAGAACCTGTCCTTCGTCAGCAACATGCACATTGCCTGATACCCGAAAGCTGAACTTAATATGCCCCTCCAACCCCGTTCGACACCGATACCAATGCAAAGCTTGTAACAGACAAGACTACGATGACAACTAACACCATGAAATCGCTGCAAATATCCTTGTACCTAGAAACCCCCGAGTCCGATGCCATCCGTACCTACCATGCCCATTCAGATCCAGGCGGGGGGGTATTCTAACCAGATCCCGCTACCCATTCCAACCTATGAACCCCATTGCACCGATAAATCCAACCCCAGACCCAAGTCAACCGTTAACCCCGGAAATGAAACGCCGCTGCCCCAAGGTTCCACAGCCGAGATGTATGTAAAGCAAACAACCAACCACCCCATCCACCCGTCATCTCGGTCATGATCTATCATGCAACATACGTGCGTGCTGTGTTCCGTTGCATGGGTCCACGGCAAAGTACAACAGCAAGCGGGGCTAAGCCTTCAGCAAAGCTACAGCACGGGCGACCTGCTGCATAGCCAGCCTCTCCCAGTTCTGCTGCATGTCCGCGTTGATCTCGGGCTCCTTCACCTCCTCGTATAGTTTTCGGGAAATGTCGCGGTTGATGGTCTCGTACTGCTCCGCCGTCAACTGCTTCGAGCGCCAATAGGGCTTGAGCACGCCGCGCACAATCTTAGTGATGCTCTCCTTCAGTTCGCGCGTCAGTGGGCCTGGTGGCGCCGGAGATGTGTTGTGCGACCTGGACACGGCGGCGCTCTGCGTCCGTCGGGGCTGCGGTTGCCGGAGCTCTAGCGTGCTGTGCTGCTGTTGGCCGGCCGGGCGCGACCGTCGCCCCCGATGCTCCGAGTCACTATTCTCAGGTGAGGACTGGCGCTCTCGTATTTGCGGTGCGTTGCGGATCGATGATGATGGCCCGAGTGCTTCAGCCGACTCCAACGACAGCCCTCTTGTCGGGGAGTAGCATGATGCGGCGTAAATGGGCGCGATGTGTGAGCTCAGCGTCATTACCGGTGAGCTGGAGCGGTTGGGCGGTGTGATGGACCCGTGACTATGTGCAGGCGAGCGGGCGGGCGATGGGGCGTCATTAGCACCCGGAATCGGCCCAAACATCTGCACAAGAGTGTGCTCGTCCGACGGGGTGCTCATCTCGACCTCCCTGAGCAGGGACGACAAGAATGAAGGGGGCGCCTCGTCGGCACTTGATGATGAGCCGCCCTGTTGTGGTCGGTTCAATGGCCCAGGGTCCCGCGCAGCAGATGCTGACGACTCGCCGTTCTGGGGTAGCACCCGTCGAGTGCGCGGTCGTTTTAGTTTTCTCTCGGGTTCGGGATGAGGCTCCTCCTGCGGCTCGGCCGTGGCTGAGCGCGACTTGCGCTTCCGGGAGTCCGTTTCTCTGGCCTTCTCCAGGGCACCCCAGGCGAGCCGTTCCTCACGCGTCTCTTGTGTTGGTTGCGGGCGGTCGATCCGCCGCCCGAAGTTGTTCAGAAACACGTCTCTTGCTCCTAAACGCTCGACAATTTGCAGGCGCTGCTGCCAGCGCTCATGCTCCTCCCGCTCCCGCTCCCGCAACTGTCGAGACCTGTGCAGGCCCTCAAACACGTCCGAGTCTTCCTCGTCCTGGTAGTCGAGGTCCAACTCAATCGCGTCCCACACACGGCCTGTGATGCGACCCCACGCCCCCTGCCACTCGTCCGACCGAGCCCGTTGCCTCGCACGCCGCATGCTAGCCTGGGTGCGCGGGAAGTAATAGCTCCGGCCGAGGAAACCGCCATCCCGACCAGGCACGTTGTTGACCGGCTGGATGATGTCCGGACCGAGGGCATGCACGCACTCCATGCAGAACCAGGGACCCCTCGGCACCTCGTCGAGTTCGACGCAGTGGGTGTGGTAGGCGGCATCGCAGCTATCGCAGAGCAGCAGCACTTCCTCGTCTTCGGCCGAGTTACACACGGGACAACGCCGGTCGATCAAGTCTGGCTGCTCGGGAAACTCGTCCATCCACTCCCGCGGGTCGAAGGCGGGTACCACAGGTGCTTGCTTCTTGTCCTCAACCTGACGGGTCGACAGAGCCTTGCCTGCAAACGATCGTGTCAGTATGCCCAAACCATAGTTGCAGATCGGCTAGGACGGGGTATGGCGAACTTACCTCCAACCTTGTCGTAAACAGTGACGCTATGAAATGTCTGGCGGCAAATGGGACAGCTATTTGCCTTGTCGGTCCATTCCCGCAAACATGCGTCGTGCAGCATGTGCCCGCAGACCTCAATCTTGGCCACATTGTCGTGGTTGACGTGATCCGGGCCGGTTTGGTGGGTTTCTTTGGCGAGCGCATCCGCATCCTCAATGGCGAGGCGTTCGTGGTTGAGCTTGTCTTGCTGGAGCTGTGCTGCAGCTGCGGGCGCACTGGCCTCGACCTCCAGCAGCTCCAGGCAGACGATGCACTGATCAGCCATGGCCGATGGCTGACCGAGTAACAAAGTCGGAACTCAATATTGACGTATATGAAAAGACTTAAAAAAATGATTGACGGTAATGAATCTGTGTGAAAACTGGCAGCAAAGGCTGAGGCGTGCTCAACTTTCCGTCTCGATTGTTGTAGCGTCCAAGTGTGCTGCCATTCGGGTGCTGCCTTGTAGTGGCTGCAGCTAGTTGGCGAAAGGCGACAGTGGACCGTCGGTTTGGGGAAGCGCTGCAAAAGTGAGAGAAAGGGAAGAAAGAATGGCTGGCCAGAGAGGTGCTCTTTTTGGGTCGTTCCGTGTTAGCATAAGCCTAGGGCGGCGAGCCAATCAGACGCTGCCCACAGTGCAGAGTGCCTGCGGCGCCAGCGAGCCTGGCGAGCAATTCCGGGGCCAGCTGACAGACTAAACTCTTCCCCCAGGAACCTGGTATTTGACGGTGAGTGGGGTGAGGAGAATTGTGTGGCAGCACACTTGGCGATCTCTGAAGCGATGTTGACGAATGATGCTGGCGCCGATGATGATGGTGCTTGAGACGTCTGAGATATAACGTCGACGCTTCTAGGGATAAGAGCTGCGGACGATGACACTCTCCTTGTGAGAAATGAATACATGCGTAATTTAGTCCCGCCTCGATATACCACAATGCACACCTCAGTCAGCGAACTCGAGCACTTCGACGGATAACGGAGAGGTACTCGTCATCTCCACTCTTTTGAGAGAGACCCTCGACGCAGACACTGACGGACTGGTGGCTCGCTACCATCTCAAGTCAAGCTCTCGCACGGCTTACACGCAACGTCGCATTCTACAGTGGTAGCTCAACCACCAGTACGGATGAGTTAAGTTACCCCATGCTTCGCTTGTGATCCGAGCCCAGCTGGAGTCCATTTGCTTCGTCCCAGCGAACTTCGTTCCCGCTCGCCCCTCACTTCATCCAGATCAGGAGTGGGCGGACGGCACGTTTGAGACAGGCAAACCGGCTGCCAAGCCGAGACTGGGCATCTGATTCCGTCATTCTTCCGCACCATTCCTGTGGTTCGCTCGACCTGCTTCATGTCAGGTACATACATCAGGTACCAGGCCATGTGAATCTCGACACGGTCACATCTGAGACTCTCTCCGCCCAAGACAAGGTTCCTTAATCATCACATCGCTCCTGGCCTATCGTGGGGGTGCCTACCCATAAGTTGCCCTTGGTGTAGAAGCCCTTGGAGCCGCGGATACACCACGTAGATCTGAGCGTGAATTCACACTCGGCACTTGTGACTGATGTGGCGTGCCAGGCACAGCAGGGCTGAAGTATGGGACCGGCATTCGTCGCCATCCAGACTTCATCAAAAGCGCAATTGGGACGTTCAGAAACGTTCGGGCCGATGGAAAGTGTCATGGTTATTTTTGACAACTGCAAGGCCCTCAATCCGGCGGCTGAAGTGGCCTCTCCCCAACTGTCGTCGAATTGGGGGACCACAGTGGCCGTTTGCTTCTCGTCCACTTCATAAGAGTGAGAGCGTGCCTTGGGACGGACTCGTCGTTGCTCAAAGAACTTGTCATTGATGGACCTGCCGCACCCAGCGGCTGAATGTGTATTGCAGAGCCTCCGTTGTCCTTTTCCATGACACCAAAACCGAAAGCAAAAGCACGCCAAATGATTCTCCCTTAAACCTCGGTGATCTCGCGGAGACGGCGGAGGGTTGACCGCATAGCAGCCGCAGCAGGGGTCCTGGTTCGTCGGTTAGCAATGGAAGGCAGCACTGGGAGGTCAAGGTTCACTCACGCAACTGTGTAAGCACCACCAGCCATGGTCTTCTTGCACGACTTGCACGACTGCAAACATCGAATCAGTCATACTCGGCCAACCAATCTCGCCGAGGTCCGACATCGAAATTTGGTATCGTCCAGAGACGTGACTGGAAATATTGGAGACATACCCAGATGCCAACGGCAGACCGACGGACGGTGTTCTTGCCGCAGAAAGCTGCACAAAAGGATTCGACGTCAGCAAATCGGAGCAAAAGAAGTCGTGTGCCATATCGAGGCCGCTCCTCTTAAGGCGTTGCGTAGGCGTTGTAAGTGACTATCGTCTTGGGAGTACATACTGCAAGTGTACCGCGCGTGCTGGGCAACTTCCTGCTCTGTGGGCTAGTTAGCAAGCGGTGTTGGCTGAGCTGGCCATAATGCGACTTACTCTTCACCAGCTTACGGAGCGAGGCACCGTATCTGAGCTTGCTGTCAGCATCATGTCCCACTCAAGTCGTTCGTTGCGCCCTCGACAACATATCCAAGGTATCCCCATCGGCTTCGGGTCCGATTGCCAGTAGGTTGTCGAGCCGCTCAGCTCCATACGCTGCTAAATGGACGGTGAACCGCGGAGCCCAAACGGTCCAACCACTCCAGCCCGGTGCGCTCAACGTCCTGCAAATGGTGACTTCATCCGCACATTTCCCACGTTTTTCTGACTTCGTCAAATGTACACGATCCCTCCAGCTGCTGTCGGACTGGGCGCAGCTCTCCGGTAGCTCTCTCCTAGCAGAACTCGACTCGAATAACCGATCGGATAACCGGAAACAATGATATGGTCGAGGGCGCACCGATCATCAGGTAGGAGATGTTGGGCCACGAACCTTGTGCCGTACTGATTTCGAGAGTCAGCAATTCGGCATAGATCCATACTGGGAGAGGATGAAGAGTGCTGCTGTTACGTACCTTGCCGGAGATGCCGACCTTCTTCGTGCGCTTGGACATCTTGACTGATTTGAAGGGTGATGGACTCGGTCTTCAAATGGGCAACTCGCTGGGTGTTGGCGGCGACGACGATTTTGAGAAATGTGCCTTTCAAAATTCTGGTGTGCGACAGGGGCCTCGGGTGGGGCTTGGAAGCGCGGGCCTGGCGCAACCCTTTTCCCGAGAGAATAGTGAAAAGCGGGGCAGGAGTCAGTGCCTGCCGCGGCCGCCTTTGGTGGATCGCATCGATACAAACTTGCTGTTTCGGTACGGAGGCGCGACGTTGTTGCATTCATCAAGGGGTAAACGTACCGTATGGAGCTGTACAGATCTAAGTGCGGGTCAAAAACCGGCGATTTCCGCCGATTTCGCAATTCATGGCCGAATTCAACAAGCCTCAAGCTTCCTGATCATTCGTGTCAATGTGTCAGTCTTTGATTTATACAAGAAAAACTGTGAAAAGCGCATTCTATTCAAGTTCTGCCGTATTAAGGTACCAGGTGCATTAACTCTTTTGCAATCTTGGAATAGTTTCATACTGTTGGACTGCGTTGCAGTGTGGATACTATCTCACGTCAGACATCTTGACAATGCCGCTCAAACAACACAGCCGCCAATACGACCTAGTCGTCCTTGGTGCTACTGGTGAGTAGCCTAACCCTGTAATATGAATCCAACCAATGCTAATCAGCTTCAGGCTACACCGGGAAATACACGTCCCAGTACATTACCACCCACCTGCCGACCGATCTCAAGTGGGCCGTAGCAGGCCGCTCGCGGTCCAAGCTCGAGGATGTAGTCGCCGAGTGCAAGAAGTTGAACCCAGACCGTGTGCAGCCCGGCATCGAGATCTGCAGCTTGACAGACGAGGATCTGGCCAGCCTCGCCAAGAAGACCTTCGTCCTCATCACCACCGTCGGCCCGTACGGCAAGCTGGGCGAGCCGGCCTTCAAGGCCTGCGCCGAGAATGGCACGCACTACCTCGACGTGACGGGCGAGGTCCCCTTCGTAGCCAGGATGCTCAAGAAACACGAATTGGCCGCCCAAGCCTCAGGCGCCCTCTTGTTCCCCCAGATCGGCATCGAGTCCGCCCCGCCTGACCTCGTCACTTGGTCTCTTGCCTCCTTCATCCGCGACTCCTACTCCTCCCCAATCCGGGACGTAACCGTGTCCATCCACAATCTCAAGTATTTCCTCCCCTTATTGCCCCGCCCCCCCGAGATATCTCAAACTAACCACTCCACGCCTACCAGATCCGCCCCATCAGGCGGCACCCTCTCCACAGCGCTCACCATCCTAGAGAACTTTACCCTCTCGGACCTCCGCACATCCTACAAGCCCTACGCCCTCTCCCCCCTCCCTCGCCCATCCACCACCCGGTCCCCCAAACCCTCCCTGCTCACCCGCCTCACGGGTCTGACCACCGTCCCCAACCTCGGCCTGCTAACCACCTCCCCCGCCGGAACAACCGACGCCGCGATAGTCCAGCGAACCTGGGGCTTACTGGGCACTGTGCCCTCGCGCAAGGCCCAGTTCTACGGCTCGCGCTTCACCTTCCGCGAGTACATGCGGCCGCGGAACTGGCTGACGGGCATGGCGGTGCATTTCGGACTGGTGTTGTTCGGCCTGGTGGTGGCGACACCGTGGCTGCGGAGAGCGCTGGCGCGGTGGGTGTACCAGCCTGGCGAAGGGCCTGAGGCGGAGGTGGCGAGCGGGGATGAAATTGAGTACCGTGGGGTTGGGTACGTCGATCGTGATGATGATGAGGGAGGCGGGAGAGGGGAGGCGGTGATGTGTCGGGCTTGGTTTCGGGGAAGTACCTATTATCGTGAGTCATCTATTCTCTCTTTCCCTTCTTTTTAGAACGCTCTTAGGGGGCGGATAGCGTACTAACGTGCGATTGTGGGCAGTGACGGGTATCTTGCTGGCTGAGGCTGCGGCTACGCTGCTTCAGGAGGACGTTGACCTTCCTGGCGGGGTGTACACGCCTGCGTGTCTGGGTCAGCCGTTCATTGACCGGCTGGAGCGGGGTGGGTTTCAATTCGAGACCAAGCGCTTGGAGCCGTAAGGGAGTTGAAGGGGGCCAGTCCAAGTGGAACACTATTGACAAGGTCAGACAGAACCCGACAGGATGTAATTATGCTGTAGAGGCTTTATACTCAAAGAACTAAGGGTATCATGCAATGACTCTATCCACAATCTGATCAATGCACACTTAATCCAGAAACCGACGTAGTTCTCCCCTTCGGTCTCCTCCACCACCGAGACCACCACACTCCCGCTCCTCCTCCCCTCACCGCAGGCTCACGATCCTGCACCGACCTAACTTGCCCCATCCCAAACCCATCAAGCCTATAGTCCCCCACCAATGAAGCCAACACCAGGACCGGCCCACACGCGACCAGGGCAACCCACAACAAGACGGTAATAGTCTCCTGATACGACCTAGCAATGGCCTCCCTTTCGGGGCTGCCCCACGCATAGCTGCATGCAACGACGACACTCGCGTAGATCTTAGCCGCTTCGCCCTTCACGTGGTCGGGCAAATACTCGGCCAGCTTGGCCGGGACAAGCCTGCCCCACACGGCGCCCGACACCGCCGCGCCGACCGCCGAGCCGGCCTGACCCATAGTCAGGAAGGACGCCGTAGCGACGCCGACGTACTGCTGCGCGTGCCCGTGCGCGATATTCGTGCTGCTGGCCGCCGCCTGCACGACCAGCTGGGTCGCAACATGCATCAGGCCGGCGCCAGCGCCGAGGGTGGTCTGGGCGAGAAAGAGGGAGAGGATAGAGGCGCCACGCGTGCGGGTGCGCAGAAGGACCGCGATGGCGGCAGTGTAAAGGGCGGCACCGGTTAAGATGAACGGTCGGGGACGGGGGACGGAGAGGCGCCGGATAATGAGGGATGCTAGTAAGGCGGCGATTGTGGAGGCGAATGAGAAGGTTTGTGTGATAGGCCCGGCTTGGGAGACGGGCAGGTTCAGGGCCACGAGGAGATACGAGTAGAAGTAGGGCTGAACGGCGATGTAAAAGACGGCGAAGTAGAAGAAGCCGAGAGCGCAGCCGGTGCAGAAGGTGCGGGATTTGAGAAGCTGCAGAGGGAGGAGGGGGTGAGGGGCGAGGTGCGGGCGGGATTCCCAGAAGGGAAAGAGGACGAGGAGAACGAGGCCTGTGAACATCATGACCAGCAGCTTGGGATCATGCCATCCGGAGGGAGAGCGAGAGACAAGGGTTAAAGGGATCAGCATCAGGGAGAGGCCACCGGAGAGGAGGAGAGTGCCCCCCATGTCGAGGTCGTGGAAGAGCCGCTTTGCTGTTGCGCGAGGGGACTCGTCGTCGTCGCTGCTGGGTTCCCGATGACGCTTTCTTTTCAGCAGACCCATCCGCTCGGCTTTCCGTTGGTTGATGAACAAGCTCATAGCTAGAGGTAAGAAGGCGATGGGTAGGATGAAGGCCCAAATGGCGTAGCCTACTCGCCATGATGAGTTGGCGAGAATGGCAGCGGCAATAGCAGGGCCGATCCACACCGTCACGAGGAACGGGCTATCAGGAAGGCTGGAGAGGAGGGCGCGGTTGAGGAAGTCACTCGTATCAGCGATGAAGACCTGGTGCAGAATCTGCAGCCCGGTTGATCCAGCTGAGTAGAGAATCTGCGCAAACGCGTATGTCTCGACATTCTCTGAAGCGGCCATCTGGATGTAGCCCAGAACGCAGAGGAGGACACAGATGCAGAAGGCCTCGAGGCGGCCAAACACGTCTGCTATCTTGGCCATGGGCGGCTTGATGACAGCTGTGGCATATTAGCTGGGAAGCTGTGGTCGCCGTCTCTGGCATACCGTTGACAACACCCTGCACGACATAGACGGTCGACAGCAGGGAGTGATTGTTGAATGAGCTGACAGCAAACGCGGCCAGGGAGTAGGTGACCTGTCCTTCCAGGGAAACGGTGAAAGCCATGAGAAAAATGCTGTCGCCGTGTTAGCAAACTTGGCTGGCAGTTGGCCTTGATCATGCGGTTTGCTAACCTCATGTAAGCAATCACCAACGCCCATTTCGACCATGTCCGAGCAACAGCTTCGATGCGCCTAACGCCGTCCTGCACATCGGAACTGGTGTCGCTAACACTACAGCTCGCGGAGCTGTCCAGGTCGGCGCGTATTCCCGCGCCATACTCGGCGATGTCAGGTTGCCCGGTTAGGAGCAGCGTGCGGGCGTCATCATCGGCTGCCCTCATGGTCCCGTCGTGTTCCTGATGGGATTCTCTGTGTTCCACAGGCATCCGTGGACTCCCGTGCCCGACTAGTCGAAGCGTGTCGGTTGGCGGACAGCGTCCAAAGCGACCGCATGAATCAAGTTTGGGGCGCCAAGCTCTATCGTGCCGATGTGAGGAGAAAACCGAAAAGAAGGGGAAAGCCCCATGGAGAAACGAGGCTTGATGCAAGGCGCAAGATCGGCCGTTAATACTTCGGATTCGGCATCCTTGACTCACTCAAGCAGCTGAGCCCCCGTCAGGCTAGGTAACCGTCCGGTATCCCCCACGTCCAAAAAAGGTCGGGCGCAGGTTTCAGGTCTCTTGACTCCAGAGCGCCTTTTGCACGCAGATGCCGAATGCCCGCACACACAAGAGGGAATGGAATGCTCCGTACATGGGGACAGCCGAGGGATTCGCCACGCCCGCGTGGAATAGACGACCACGCACCTGCCCAACTCGACTCGCAACCCCATCTTCGGGCAGCCAAAATTGGATTCTCAACGTTGCTTGTGGCAGGGCGTCAGCGGACCTGGACCCGCAGGATCACCGGATCTTGAATGGATCCCCTGCTTTGGTTGGCCGCAGATTATCGCAATGATCTGATAACTCGCTTATTGATGTGTCTGCGACCCACTTGTTCCCGGCCGCGCTGTTTGCGTTTTCAAGTGTTGTTCCAGTGGAACGCTTGTTTTCTGCGCATTTGCCAAATGGATAATGGCCCGGCCTTACGCTAAGATCGACCACCTGAATGAGTGTTGCACTAAGCACCGTCTTACGGGCCACACAGCATTCGGAGTCAGGTAATGAGCTTGTCTCGGGCCAACTCGCACTTACTTTTCACCATGGATGAAGCGGTACATCCATGCATTCCTTGTTCTCCCGAACCGGAGACCCGGCAGCCGCGCCTGCGGCCCGTTCCGAACTTCCGTCAATGTCGTCGGGTCGTCGGTAGCCGGCTCCTTTCGATGGACGAAGGACAAAGCCGGGTCGGTAAGAGGTAAAAGAGGACCGGACATGAATACGGGGAATGAAAATAAACAGAGAACCACAAGCGCCAATACGGAGTCGGTTGAGGTGTTTAGTCCTGATCTACCTCTGTACCTTAACTACCCGTCTAAGATCCCATATACAAAGACATCAGCGAACCATGAAACCAGCACCACGACAGTCTATATGCCAATGACTCCAATCCAGGACTCTCAGTTTGAGAACAAGAAGACCCTAGAACATGACCAAAGAACCTAGAAGTCGCAGCTCCATTGCGATACAATCATGACCCTCGCAAACCCCTCACTCGCCATCGCGCTCCCCCGACACCTCCAGATCTCCTCTCCGTATCCTGCCCCGTATCAGAGAGGCATCGAAGCACAACCAAGGACCTGAGTCATCGCATCGCATTCCATAACCATGAAGCATAAGAATTATTTCTTTTATCTTGCCCTCATCCGCTTCTGAGCTCATCCATTCCAAGAAGCCCATCCACAATGCTCCCCACGACCACACAGATACCGACATCACCCAGCCCAACGACGGGGGCCACCTACGTTGCCCAACCACTTCCACGGCCAAATATTAGCCATACATACATACAAGTAGAAAGTGTTGTGTGCGTGAAAAATGTAGTAAAGAAGTAAAAGTTAAGTAGGCAGGGTAGGATATATCTAGCAAAGAATTCAAAAAGAACAGAGCTAAGACGCAAGAAAAACCAAGAAGCAGAATGGTATCTTCCCAGCGCTGACCGGTGCATCAAAATAAAAGTATGCCAACCAGGTGCACGAAAAAAAAAGGGCCCAGAAACTCAATAAAGAAACAGATGACGAGAACCATTCCACGTGCACCGATAGTAAAAGAGGGCAAGGGGCGAAGAATCAAGCCTCCTCCATAATCCCCCCTTCCCCGCCGCCTTCCTCCCTCCACTCTCGACTCTTCTCCGTCAACCTCCTGACCCCGCTGATCCTCCCGGCCCAAAGGCTCTCGATCGGCGTGCGGAACGTGAACGCCCGCTGCGAGCTGATGACCCCAATCGCCTGCAGTACCGCCTTGCGCGAGTCGCGGCCAAACACGGCCGGGTGGTTGATCCACTCCAGGCTCGATTCGAGCTCGGCATCGAGCGCCGCGACAGTGTTGGCGTCAATGCCCGTCGTCGTCGGCGGGCCGGTGACGAGACCCAGGGCGTCGTTGGAGCGGCTGCGGGCGATGGATTGTTGTTGGTGGGCTGCTGCTGCTAGCGCAGCCGGGTTGGTGGCGGATGTCGGGGACGGCGAGTTTTTCCTGTCTGGGGTTCCGGCGACGGTGGGGGAGCCCTCGGCGCCTGGGTGGGGCGTTGACGGTTGCGACTTGCCGGCCGGGACGGGGGGCACGGGAGGGAGGCCGCCCTTTCCGAGGCCCTTGAGGATGGAACGTGTCTCGTTCAAGAGGGTGTGGGCGCGGTCGTGCTGCCCTCTGCTGACCAGGGTCAGGGCGCGGGTCAACATGTCTGACGTCAGGAGCTCCATCCGCCGCTGGACGATGTGAGGGTGTGGGGGGATTGGCGGCGTGTTGGCCCACGGCTTCTTCGAATTGGAGGATGCGGGCAGCATCGTGATGGCGAGGAGGCTGGGTCGTGTGTGCTGGGAGGTGCCGTCCCGCAAGATGTCACCCCAGCTGAGCTCGGCTTGGATCAAGGGCACCTCCTCCACCGAAACCGTCCTGTGATCCTCTTGGTCTACCGGACCGCCCAGAGCCTCCAACCCAGACACGATATTGTCCCAAGGGTCCTGCGGCAGTTGCTCTTGCGACGCCGTGTCCGGCATGATGACGAGTTGCACGAGAATGTCGCGCTTATCGCCAAACCGGAGGTCGCCAAGGGAAGCCTCCGCGTCACGGCCCGTGGCGCGTTTCGTGATTTGGAGCGCGCCGCTGATCTTATGGAACTTTGCCGGCGAGCCCTCGGGTAGCCTGAGCTTGAGCTTGACGTTTTGGTGCGACAGCGTCTGCATGGAACCAAGGCACCCAGCTAGACACTCACGGAGCATCATCCAGTCCTTGACGTATGTGTATGAAGCCTTGGTTCTCGTAGAGAGTTCGATCATGGTGTCTGGCTTGTGGGTCATTCCAAGGCCGAAGGAATGGATCGTGATTCTAGACAGTCATATTAGCCTTGCCTAATAATCAGATAAGATGGGGAGAGGAAACCGACTTGGCCGCTTCTGCCCGCGACACAACAAAGTCAACGCTATCAGCATCGGACGTTGAGGCATCGCTAATAAGCATAATCGTAGCAATTGGGTTGTTGTACTTCCGGCCCATAAGGAGATCCATGGCCACGTTGGCCCCTTCGACGACATCGGCGCGGTGGCTCTTCTGTCCGACGGGCTTGATCGAGCCGAGCACATTACTCCAACCCGGCCATGCCTTGGTAGTCATGCCGACGATAGGGACACCGCCGCCCGAAGACCCAAACGTCACCAAGCCCATGCGGTCGCGTTCTCCGAGGGCTTGTACCATGAACCGTAAAGCATCCCGGACCAGGTTGATCTTGACCCCTTGCATAGAGGCCGAGATGGGCACCACAACCACCACGTCCACAGGCACATGAATTGAAGGTAGCAACGGGCTCCGTGCAAAGTTGGTGTATTCGGTGGGAGCGGTTGTCGCCGACTTCGCTCCGCCCCACGACGAAGCCACGGACGACACGCGCTGTGGCCGCCCAGACCCATTCCGTTGCCAGTCGTCCTCGTCGGGTTCCGAATACTCACCACGGTCGTAGTCGGGACCGCGTACGGGTGAGGTCTCGACAGCGTTGAGATCAAGGAGGGCTTGCTGCCAAAGCTTGAGCTGGTTGCGGTTTTCGAAGCGGAGATGGAACTGCGGTAGCTCAGCAACCGACAGGCTGAGGGTGAGAATGTTCTCATCCAGATTGCCGGTTTCTGAAACCTCGTTAAGGTGCTTCTTGATGAGAATAGAGCCCTTGAGCGTGCAGCGGGCCGGTTTGCGTGGAGCAGAGTCATCTCCCCATTGCCCCTGCGGCGCGTGCGTGTGCTTCTTCTCCTTGACGCAGATGAGCATCTCGGCAAAGAGGTAGCACTCCAACTCCTGCCAGGACACCTTGTCCTTGCCAACACGGAGAGTGCCGTAGAGCCGAAGCTTACCGAACCTATCGTTGCGTATTAGTCGTTCGTCGTCCGAAATCACTGAACCCGAACCGCGGCCTCCCTCACTTACCGGCCAAAATCCAGTCCATGCCAATTGTCTACTCGGTTGCGAAGGTTCTCGGTCATCTCAGCCAGTACCTCGGGAGATTCATAGGGGTAAAAGCGAGGTGCACTTCGGGCAGGGGACGGCACGCGGATTGATTCTTCTATCCTGGGCAGCGCCAGGGGCGGCACACTCTGCAGATCCTCGGGATCCGGCCGCCACTTGTTATCGGGCACCTCAACTGTGACGAGGCAAGTGAGGGTTTGCTGTTGCCTCGACCTGTTGATGGTTGGGAATTCGGAGCGAACCGTAACAGTTGGTGCAGGGATGGGATTCCGGGTGACGGCCCGAGGGCTGGACAGCGATGTCTCCATCGCTTGGACGTCATAATCGTGGCGCCGTGGCGGCCCGCTTTGTGTCGTCTCGGGATACCCTCCCGAAGACGCAACGCCTGTGGCCTCGCTGTCGCTCCGCATGTGTCGTTGCCCGTTGTAGCGATGCTCTGACGACGGGCCCTCGCGACTCTCACGGCTGTCTCGCTGGCTGCCTCTGGGGACACTCTCTCGCACCGCGCCGTGGCCGGGCCTGGCCCCCGAGCCGCGGCTATGTGGCCTCCCCGGCTGGTCTTCCCAGTGGGGAGTTGGGGTAGGAGTAGCTTGTGACCGCGAATCGCTCACGGATACCGCGCGTACCATACTGCTGATTTTCTCTGCCGGCTTGTCAGCATGGTGTCGTCTCGTGGTCCACGGTACGAGCTCACCTATATCCAATACATTCCCACCTCGACTTGTGTCCAGATGCAGCGGGGCATTGCATGCCGGGCAGTACTGCGACTCGAATTCTCGAATGAGCTCGTAAAAGCATGCCTCATGCGAGACGTGAGCACACGAGAACTGTAATATCCTCTCGCCGCGCAGCGTGTGTTCGAGTGGCTCCTCGCAGACAGCGCACTCGGCGCCAACAAAGGTGCGCTCACGGCGCGACCGACTCCTGTCTGAATTCATAATGCTCCGCGCTGTCGATGGTGTCCTTGAACTGCTTCGGCGCGATTTGCGAGAGCTAATCGAGGTGGTGAAGTGATGGGATGGTGGGCCAAGAGTCCCAGAAGCGATGGAAAAACCTGCTGCTTCCCAGCACAGATTAGCCGCCTGTCCTTAGGCGTCACCGTGAAGTCACCGTGTGACAAGCTTCGCTCACTGGGCTGCCAGTGCTAGAGTGTTATGGAGAACGGCAGCAAGGCGCGGGCGAAATCAGAGAAAGTCGTCCTCGCCAGGACGCAGTCAGGAAATGCAGGGCGCAACGACAGAACGTACTCTTCTCCAGGTATGACGGAACGGGGTAGACTCTAGCAGACGTGATGCTACTAGCGTTGTCGTACGTCCTTCGGTCGAGGTCTGCTCTCCGTGCACTGCGGCCGCCAGACCGAGCCGTCCGGGAAGTGGCACTGACAAATCCTAGCTCAGCGAGCAACGACGGAGAGGCGTTGCGAGTATTCGGTTCCTGGTATTGGGCAAAACCGTGAGTCTTGCTGCTGCGAGATGCGTCAGATCTACTGCTGAACATGTAGTGGCGGAATGGTATATGGTTTGCCCGAGCGTTGATTTGCGTCTGCTTGTTCGTCCGGGCGAAATCAACTGTGGACAGGCAGGCGAACCTCAATGCGATTATCGTGAGATCACGATGAGAGAGTGGTGGCTGCCGGGCCGTGTCGTCGGTGCGGTTCGTTCGCCCTGAAATCTGCTGCCTGTTGGCCGGGTATTGTCGCAGCCAGAAGTATATCGCTTGCTTCCGTCCCGGATGGGAAGCGCCGCACGATGGTTAAGGTCGAACCCTTGTAGGGGGCCCGTGTTTCAGACGTGGTATCAACAATGCGGGCGTCGGTCCGAGGGGAGGCGGGGCATGGCCACTCTGAGTTCGGTCGTAGAGAGGGAAAAAGAAGAACTCAGGACGGCGTGAAAAGGCAGAGTCGCCAGAAGAAAGGGCGAGGTTTGCTTTTTGCGCGGGTCGCGTCTCGTCAACGAATGGTGTAGATGCCGTATGCCCGTAGTCAGGGGCTACTACTTGAGGCCAACCGATCCTTCCTGCTGTTGAGGCGAGATCCTATTTTCCTGGAATCCGTGGGGGTTCAGTGCTGTGTCCGTGAAGTGCGCGAATCGTGAGTATATCCCGACTCTTGAATGAAGCAAAATGGGTGGCTTCTCTTTCGATGCAGGAGACAGTCATTGGTTGGTCAATGGATTTCGAAGGGAACGTCCAAAAGTGTGAGCCGAATGGTCAGAGAGTGAAAAAATTGGGCCCATAGAAGGCATTTATTATGATTCGAGGAGTCCAGCAAGACGAAGCTGGTCCCGTTCCTGCACCTGCGGCATCGCGCAACGAGGGGGGAGATGGGAATTTGGGGTGGATGGTCCAGTCTTGATGAATTCCGCCTGGTCAGTGGCTGGGCGGGACCGAATAGGGGAGGAGGAATCAAGCATCCTTGATCCTTGCACACAGCTTCCCTCGCTCTGTCTCCGCCCGTGGGGCTGACTGGTCAGTTCCATCGCACGAATGATTGATGAGCCGGACCTACTTGCAAAAAGCGGCCTCTCAGAGTGTCCAGGACTGCAGGGTTTGTAACTATTCGGCCCTGGTTGAACGAAGGACACATAACAGCATCTCCGTTGCACGAAAATCAGTTCAATCGAGTACCTCACGGGCATAGGATGGCAGGCAACGCTTAATCCCATTCTGCTTTGCTGGCTCGTAATGTCGAATCCGTCGACAAACAGAAGGGCAAGAATTCAGAGAGAAGCAAGGGAAAGGTTGCCATAGAGTCCTTGACGGAGCAGATTTTTTGTTGACCTGAGTCCCGAGACAGATCAGTTCCTGCCCGCATCGGCGGGATCTCGCGGTATGTTTAGCTGGTATAATACCGTACCATGAGACTGGAATGAAGCTTCTGAGGGAACTTGAAGTCCAACAACATGCACCATTCACCCTGTTGGGCCTTTGGTGCTCGATGCGATGAGACAGGAGCAAACTTGTGGTGCTCGCCGTTGTGAAGCAGAAAAATCATTGAATCCCCGTCCGATGATTTTCACAGCGAGAACCCGGAACAAGCCGCGCTCGTGGCCGCCAGCACGTGGCGTTGGGGTCTAACGTTATGGGGTTTGCCCATCTCCCGGGCTGGTGTCCCGTTATCGAATCATGGTCAAAAAAGCTGCGGCTGGCTGATAGCGCAATAGCATCTTTGGAATTTCTGCAGTATCCATACGACGAATGCCAAGAGCCGAAAGCTAAGAGCGGAAGTAACCTCCTTCACCGAAGATTGGCGCCGAGCTAGCGCGACATGTGTAAATCTCATTGACAGCAGTGGAACGCCGATCTCTTGCCCAACTTGTCTGCCTTCGCCGCTCCGGGCCTCCGATGCAAGTGACGGATCCACGTCAGGGACTCATCAGGGTTGCCCTTCTCGAAGGCCCGAAGAATCACAGCAATGAGATCATTGGCGGCTCTCTGTCCAGCCAACTTCACTGGTTGGTTGGAACGACGCCTTATCGTTTGTGCGTATATACTTTGGAATCCTGTCATGCTCAGAGAGTATAGCGAGTATCACGGTTCTCAATGATCAACATATGTCACTCAGAAAATTGCGCTTGAGACCGTTGATCAGCAACGCGGAGACGCCGCATTGTAGATCTTGAAGTTGCAAGGGCCTCAATGTGAACGAACTAAGTGGGCTAGGCGACCCACTCCGTGCAAGCCGCCCACTCCCTTGCAGAGAGTGGGTAACAAAAGCCAGAGACCCTATATAAGCTAGAGACAGTCCCACACAAAACTTTAGGTAGATAGATGTCTTCCTTTGAAGAGTGTTGGACAGCAACAGTTACAGGCTCGAATAGGCATAGACCAACCAGGTGACACTGCATCAATTGAGGCACAAGATGAAGCTTGAATTGACTGTCTGAACCATGCGTTAGGTGTGTTTTTTTGCTTGAAAGAACCGAGGGCTTCGGGACCCTCGCCAGACCCTGCTTTTGGGTGGGTGACGAGTCTTCCACGCTTACTGCATTGGGCAACAGTGCCCAGCACCTGAATCCAGGTGCCAAGGAGCCAGTTCAGTTCAACAAAGAGACTAACATCTTCGAATAATAATACCATAACTATTATTATTATTACTCCTATACCGCTATACCCTAGGACTCGCCAGACTCTCTATTACTGATTACAAAGGAAAACCATGCCTGTAGAGCTGATTTAAAAACTCATATCTTCCTTATATCAGTCTGAAGTTTTGAATCTATCCACTATAGCGAAAAGAAAGGCGTAAATAGCTAACTATGCTATTGAACTAGCCTATACTCTAAGAGCCTCCTATAGCATAGTAGCTACCTAATCACCTTTCTTACAAGTCTTCTCTCTCTATTTCCCTACTTGTCGAGAGCCTTGTACAGGTCTCTCTGTGAGTGTATCTCTGTAGCTGGCCAGATTTTTAGCTTCAATAGTTGGCGGCACTATACAGCTACGTGTTCCACTATTTCCTTGCCTTAGCTGCTTTCGGAGTAGAGAGTAGGTATTCGAGAGACTCTAGCCCAGAAGAGGAAGTCCTTGATACCTATAGCTCCGGCTGAGCCTGGGTTAGTAGAGAGCTCTCGGCCTTTATAAGGCCCTCGTGTCTTTCTAGCGCCCTTTTGTCAAGTTTCAGTTAATAATCAGTTAGTTGTATGGTAGGTAGAGACTGATTCCAGGCCCTATACCATTATAGTTAGTTGATAATCTCTTAGGCCTAGCTAGCCTTATTGAGAGACTCTGTAGAGTCCTTGCCTTAGGCTCTCTAGGCTGCAATAGCCTCTAGCTTCTTCTATTGCTAGAGGATACATTGGCTCTCTGGCTCTTTATAGTCCTTGGAAGCAGTTGCGGATCCTATTGCAGGCCTCCTCGACTAGCAAGCTGGAAGGCCGGTAGCTTAGAAGAGGAGGCTTTATTGCAGGCCCTATTTCAGGCCTTATTGTCAGCTGGGAAGGCTGAGGAGTTAGGAGGATAGGCTTCTAGAGCCTGTCTTCGAAGTCGGCTAGTCTTTATTGAAATAAAGGTTAAGTGGAGGAACCTACGTCTCAGCTTCGAGTGTCGGGTTGGGGTAGCCTTATTGGCCCCGGCCACTATCTGTAAGCTCCTGTTCTAGGCCTTCTAGAGGTCTTTTGCAATGCCTTGTGGCTGACCTCTAATAGGGGTAGGCTGGTGGAAGCTTGAAGCCCCGTAGACTAGGGCATTGCGAATGCACTTGGTATAGACCTCCATAGCCTTGGCTAGAGCTGGGCCTCAGGTCTTAGCAGCTATTCTAAATAGTGCAAAGTCCTATATTTGCAGCTTTCATTCGATAGCTTCCCGGTAGAGTCTTCTAATCTAGCTTCTAATCTAGCTTCTAATCTAACCAGACTCTAAGGAACTAGCTAGAAGGCATACGCTGTATAGCATTGAAGCCTTGGCCCTGTGGGTGAGCCAGGTTGACTAAGTTTTGCTATTGCCTTCAGCCTTTATTAAAGTAGATCAGCTCGCTCTTTTCTTCGGGAAAGACCATCCCTCTTGACTCGGCCCACTATGTAACGGTCCCAGGAGTATATTGCAACTAGCTGGTGACGACTCTACGAGTTTGTCTCGAATGGAGAGAGAAGAAGAAAAAGAGTGAAACACTATGCGAGATACCTGCCGTCTTATACCTCCACATCCTTGGCCTGTGCGCCGATATCGAACAAGATAGAAGTCCACCGAATCTCGAGTCTTGGCCGAGAGTTTGCCGAGGCCTTTACGGGCCAAGCCCGTTACAACTATAGACAAGTCTTCCAGGCCTCTTCTAGTTGCCGGCAGTTGGCCTGGGGGCCTCGGCTAAAGGCTAGGAGATTAGCATCGTCTGTAAAGCTCACTATAGCTATCCCGAGATATTTCTCCTTCAACGCCCTATATAGGGAAGCAATATAATGAATAAAGAGGATTAGAAATAGTAGGGAGCTCTATAGAACCCTATCTTTAACTAGTATAAGCTCTGTAGCTTATCTGTCAAAATAGAACGTAGCCGTTCTATCCTCAAGCCAGGCCTTAGTCTACTGCACTAGCCACTTAGAGAAGCCGCAGACCCGAAAGTATCTAGTAGCCTTATAGAGTTAACTACATCGAAGGCTCTAGATATATCTAGCTATTGTAAGGAGATAGTTACTCTCTATCTCTAAGCTTTCTAGATCTGATATCTTTGGTATATTAACTTAAGATACTAAAAAGCCTAATATTCATTAGTTAAGTGTAGTATAATGAATATAGTAGAAAGAAGTTAAGAAAAGTATTGAACTATAGACAATATTGAAAGAAAATAAGATTATAGTAAGCTCAAAAGGCTATATATAACTGATAGCCTATACAGATAGTTCTTAAGACAAAGCCTTAAATATAGAAAGTCTTCTCGTATTGTAGTATTTGGCTATATAAAATTATTGGATTTAGCATTGTAATAGTGCTCACCAGAACTAAACTACTTTGTCGGATTAAATCATTTGTACCCTTTTCTGGGAACATGGCGCAATGGTCTAACTACACGTTGTATGCCGTGACATCCACTCTTTACAAGAGAGTGGGCGGCTTGAACGAAGTAGGTCGCCTAACCCACGGTTACTCTATCGTTGGCGCTTTCCCCGTGATGGTCGACGATGATCCGCATCGACAGGTGATCGGTATGATCTGTACCGTTCTGTCCAAGCAATTCGTTATTTCTTCGAGGTCCCGTGTTTTCCGCTGATCACAGGATTAACTTCTCCGCATTCCCAAAATGCCCAGTTTCGAGGCCCAGCAGAACCTCCCTCGGATGAGCGCTGAGAAGTCTGGTCAATGACGATGGGAACCTGGGCTCCCGGTCATGCGCGCTGCATTCTGCACTGTCCGTGCGCGATGCCAATAAACATGTTCCTCTTCCGGCCGCCGGGTCATCATCTTTGGTGGAGGACCTAGCGATGCAGGACCCAACGCTAACCATAGGCCTTCTCCACAAGGCCTCTCTGTGCTGGAAGTGCCGGTGAGGTCAAGGTTGCGAGTCCAACCTCGAATAGGCAAAGAGGCAATGGAGATATTTCCGATTCTAGTTACACGTTGACGATGGTACAAAACCGCACTGAACCTCGAACGCCAAATCCCCAATGCCTTCACTGATTTCACTTCCGTGCCGCTTGTTCGTGCGATATCCGTGCAGATATCCGTCCTAGATGACGATCAAGGCATTGATGGAGTCCGGGCACTTGGGTCCCTCCCCGCTCATCCACTCGTTCCAAAATAATCCTAGCCATGCAATGGATGGATCCTTCGCTAACACGCACAGGGTATGCTTTCCCGTGTCTTGGCCTGAATCAAGCCCAGAGCTTTGCTGCGTGTCCAAGGAGGCACAACTTGAGCGATCCGCCACCTGCAACCTGGATTGGCTCGTGTACGGACCTATGGATGACAAGAAATGCGTCGATCGACAGCAACAGCGTTGTCAAAACCTCGCCGGCCTGGCGTTTGAGAAGGCCATCAATCGGCCAGCCCGAGATCAGTGATCACATTTCACATATCACACAAGGGTCCGGTAAGGTACCTTACCTTACTACGACTCGTACGGAGTGCCATGGCTTGGCGGGTCCTCGAGTTTTACTTTCTCTACTGCACGCCTAGGTGCTCAAGAGCTCAGGTGCTCTTACTGCAACGTATCCAATGCCTTTACCCTTTCTTGGATTCCTGGTTCAAGGGCCTGACAGTCTATAGTCAAAGTTGAGAACTGGAAACTTCATGGCCAGCAGCTGAGCTTGGCGACTAACCCTGGCCTGGCTATTCGCTGGCTCTCCCGTCTCGGTCACTTTGGGAACAACATGGCTGAGCTGTCACTTCGGCCAGTCAGTTATCAATTCCAGGCCGGCATACAATCCCCGAGCACCAAGGTCCAGGTTTCAAGCCTCAGGGTGCCAACTTCACACGACATCGCTCTGCGTAAAGGTTTCGTCTTGTCGGGTCAGCAGATGGGGTCTACCAATCCCGGCGTTCTTCAGTCTCCGAATCCAATACCAACCCTTACTGTGTATTTGTTCGTTAGCGTGGCACATGGCTGGGCACTACCGTATGTATGTGTCATCATAGGATCTGGACAGCTCCACCCAGATAACCTACACAACCAGTCGCTGACAAAGACCTGCAAGGTCTGTGCATGCTGCAGAAAGCATAAGGACGACTGGAAGGGTGGAAAGGCTTTTGGTAGATCAGGACAGGAGGTGTCCATATGGAATGATTACATACGGTAAGTTAACTAGATATGAATGGAATAAAGGGAAGGAACGGAAGAAAACGAAAAAAAAAAAGGAATGCAAAGACAAAATATAAGATAAAGATAAAGGGTGAGAAGAAGAGGGAGAAGGAGAGGGAAGATGAAGATGAAGAGGAAGAGGAAGAGGAAGGGGAAGAGGAAGGGGAAGCAAGTAAGAAGAATATAAGAAGGTTAAAGTGAAGGCAATATGAGATATGATACTTATTATAGAAGTTCTATGCTGATAAACAAACCAGGGCTGAATTATAAACTATATAAAATAAGCTTGCAGAAGCAGCTTTCTTCATAGATATGTACTACTACACTACTACTTTGCCTCATCTGCCTGCTTGATGCAATGTAGTCGAATTTGACCTCCCTTCTTATTCTGATTGCTCACAACAACCTAGCTGGGACCTTCAACCTCTTCGTCGGGCATCTAGTCAGCGAGTCCTCCTTCTCGTTAATAAGGAAACTTGAAGCCTAGGCTCACCGCTCTCTTGGGTTACTTCCAATCTGTGAGGCGAGCAGCAACGGCCAGAGATTGAGACCTTGCCTGGCCGCCAATCACCAACAGATTGCAACAGGCATCGAAATGGCGCCATACCGCGGGTTTCGGAGTTGCAGCGCTGCAACAGTGCTGCTGCAAGAGCAAGGCCTGTTGTAACACCGCGAAAGCATCTATAATCTGTGTGCATGAGTCATGTTTCACTGCAGCTGTTTCTTCAAAACAGTCTTGGGTTCGTTGGCCCCCGTGAGTTGGATTTCCTTATAGTCATATGCACCTCCATTTCACGGAACCAGACAATAACGGGCGAGTCAGAACTCCCGGATTGGTATAACATGACGCATACAGGCTCACCAAGGAAGATGGACCGGATATACAACAGGAAGCAGACAAGACGACTGTACTGTTGTTGGATTTAGCAGGTGGTGGGAGGGCAGTTCGGTGGTGACTACTGGCTTGGCACCACGATTCTCAGGATCAGGAGACAGGGGTAACTTTTGGAACAACACGGACACCAGGATCATCATCAATTGAGTGGTTACCCATCCTTTGGTGCCCAACTACTACGGTACGGTAGATTCGTGGCTGTTGGCTTTCCAACAGCAATAGGAGGTGAGGGCAGATGCATATGAAATTTGCAGTGGTGTGCCTGAGCCTCGAAAAAAGTTAGGTGGGGGGGTTTGGCGGATGATCTGGCGCCCGCACCTGACAGTGGTAGAACAGCTTGCAAGATGCCGTTGCCCCGGTATCACTGCCGAAACCCCACTCCTCCGCCTCTAGGTACCGTACTGAGCGTACATGTGTCAGCGTTTGGGCCATCACATGCAGCCAGACCACACCGGGCTCTGTCTGCAGGTCGTCACCACAAACGGTTCAACGGAGAAACGGGTGGTGACCCTCAGCCCCGCCATCCCGCCCTTTCGATGACCCCTTTCAACGTGGTCGTTGATCCCATTGCCCTATCCCGCGTATCTGCTCATCGCCATGACATGAAGACACCCTGAGACACCTTGGACGGGAAAGGCGTGGCTTTGACCCATGCGGCGAACTAGACGTCTAATCGCCAATACATCTCTTCCGTATTCGAGCCATGCTTGCGAACCTCCGGTACTAGTTGGGAAGTTCGACTCTGCCTTGCTGGTCAAATGGGAGTGTTACGAATGCTGCGCGGTCAGGTGCGGTTTGCGCTCAAGCATGTCGCCACACCTGCAAGTGCGGGTTGGGCGGGCGAGTGCCGGCCTTCTAGAAGGCCGCTCTAGGCTGAAATCCGGTAAATATTAACTGGTAGAGGCCATGCGTGATGGTGTGGCGGACTGTCTGTGTGTTGACTATGTATTTGGCTGCTGGCCATGCAGGAGAGAGCGCACTCTGGGCAATGATGTGTCCGCTTCGTTGAGGGCAGATTGTGCATTCCGCTTCGTTGATGAAGGAACTCTAGCTGTCAGGGCTATATTCGGGAAGAAAACGAAAAGTTTCGAAGGAAAGGCCCATGGCATTGCTGGAGATGGGTTGATGACGGGAGAACGAGCAGTGCTCACATCTAGCATTCATATGAGACGGCTTCATAAACAACATCCGTACCATATCCTGTATATTATCCTGTCACTGAGCAGGGCCGGAAAGGGTAGCGGGATGTTGACAGAGAATGTACACTTTGAGAAAGCGGATCTCGTAGGAGAAGACAGGAGGAACTGTTCTGGTCTGGATTCGGCCCCTTGATTGTCAAGACAGAACCACTGCTGTGGAACATCCAGTCTAGAATGCCTGGCACCAACAGGAACCCGTAAGCTTCTCCAGATCTTGCATAGTTTGTTGATTTGGTGGTGAGCATTCGTCATATTCCATGCAGCTCTGTTGTAGCAACGAACGAAGGCGGTGGGCTGATAGTCGGACATATCGACTGGCAGGGAAAGAGAGAAGTTCTCTTTCCACCTATTCTCGTCAACAGATCGGTATATCAAGCTAGTAGGCAGACACAGACGACCTGGGCACTGAGCCGGGCATGTCTAGGTGGTCGAAGAGATGGGTGCAGCCGCCTGTCTCGGCGTCGGGTCGGAGCACAGAATTGGGTGAGTAGAATGAGAGAACGGAGGTCTCCCGGCTTTTTGACCAGCAGGCACCGTTCTTTCTCATTAAAATAGTGCAAGGACAATATGTAGAATGCGGCAAGGGCAAAGCGAGATCTCAGGTCGGTGGTGTTACTCAAGCCAGTCACATCAGGCTAGGTGCCACAGTCATATGGACATGTCATTAGGACTAAATCCGAGCATGCCACTGTTGCGAGACAGCCAGGCAAGACCAGCAAAACTCCCCTTGCTTAGACTCTCTCAGACTCAGTCCTCATCCCAGTTCTATCACACGCGACGAGTTAGAGTTTGTCATGAGACTAAGGGGCAAACGGGAATACTCACAGGGTTGGGTCCAGGCGGCTTCGGCCCGCCAGCTTGCCGGGCAACAATAATCTGGTCAACCGACAAAATTGTCCGGGCAGCCTCAGTGGCAAGCTTGATAGCCCACTGCTTGCTCACAAGCAGGTCAAGGATACCCTCGTCCTCAGCATCGAGGATTCCCGTGTTATCCTGGTTCTGGAGGCGCAATTAGCAACCGCTCAGGGTTTGTGTGTTCCTGGCCACCTACCTCGATATCGACACCAGTAGACCAGCCGTCCTCCTTCTGATGGGCAGCATACAGCCGGCTGAGAACCTCGGTGGCATCCAGACCCGCGCTCTCAGCCAAGGTCCGCGGCACCACCTCAAAGGCCTCGCCAAACTTTTTGATCGAGTACTGCGCCAGCCCCTGCGTCTTGTCGCCGACAGCCTGTATCCTCTCGACGAGCTCAATCTCTGTCGCACCAGCACCAGGGACCAGACGGGCGTCCTTGGTGATAGCCTTGATAACATTGACGCCGTCATCCACGGCCCGCTCAATGTCATCCAGGTGGTTCTGGGTGGCGCCGCGAAGGACGAGCGTTGCCGTCCTTGTGGCCTCGTCCTCCTGCCGGAAGACGGTCACCCGGTCGCCGCCAATCTCCTGCGTCTCAACCACGTCGATGCTACCCATCTCGTCCGGCATGGGCGCACCTAGCCGGGCCAGGGGGGTGGCGCCTACGACCCGGCACACTCGCCGCAGCTCAAACTTGCTGAGGATCTTGATGAACAGGATGCCGTAGCGGTTGAGGTAGTGCATGGCCAACTCGCCGACGGTGGAGCCCGCTATGACGACACGCACGCCGACGTCGTGCAGCTCCTTAATGGTGGCCTCGAGGCGCTCCTCCTCGCCCTTGGAGAACTCAAGCATATCCTTTGCGTTTTTCAATAATACGGTGCCCTTGGTCTCTGTCTGGCTGATGTCGATGGGGCAGGTGAAGACGCCGACCTTGGCCTTCTTTGCCTTCTTGACGGATCCATCAGGCTCTTTGCCGAACACCATCCCCTTGACCACGCGGCTCTGGTCGAGGCTGCCGCCCATGATCTTGACGACGCGGATGTTGTCAACGTTGAAATTGGCCGGGTTCTTGGGTAGCACCGACAGAACGGCCTCGGCGACGAGACTGGCCAGCAACTCCTCGTTGCCGTTTTGCTTGCTGCCGATGACGGTCCGGATGGCCTTGCTGAGCTCCTCCTGTGACCGCAAGTTCCCAACCTTGTCAATCTCGAGTTCCTCGAGCGTGTCGAGAGCAATCTTTTGCGCGCGCTCGTAGCCAGTGACGATGTCAGATGTCTTGAGCCCCATGCGTAATAGATCCTCGGCTTTCTTGAGCAGCTCGCCGGCGAGGACGATGACGAGGTTTGTGGCGTCGCCCATCTCGGACTCTTGCTGCTGGCTGGCCATGACGAGCAGCTTGGCGGCGGGGTGGACTACATCAAGCTCGCGCAGGATGGTAGCGGCGTCAGAGGTGAGAATCATCTTCTGGAGGTGGTTAATGACGATCTTGTTGCGGCCGTAGGGACCCAGCGACGTCTGGACCGTCGACGAGATGGCCCGACAGGCGTCGATGTTGCGCAGAACTGCCCCATCTTCCGAGTCATAGCTGCGATGAGCAAAGAGCGGGCTCGTCAGCTATAATACTAGACTTGCTTTAGGGTTGCGGTGGGTGTACAAGGCTGGCACCCCATCAGAGTTATGGCGGGGTGAGGGGGGTTACAAAGGAGGTAGAGTACTCAGTAATAATAGCGTAATACTCACTTTTGATAGCCCTGCTTGAACAAGCCAGCATTCGGGGCGCCGGGAATATTCAGCGACATGTTGGTGGTGGTTCGGAGCTGCTCGTGGGGTTGTCTGGCTGAAGTGTCGTCGACTCGCAAGTTGACCTCGCGACTTCAAGCTTCAAGTTCCCGCTGCTGCCCACTCCTGGCGACCCATAAAAAAAAGTTGGGTGAAGCAAATCGAAGTCAACACAGTTGTCTGCAGCCTTGGCCCCGCAGCTACGGCGGGATCCAATGGAGAGAGAGCCCAGCGCAGGGGGGTTGGTACTTACTGAGTGGATCCTTTGCCTCAGCCTTGCTGTGTGTTCCCTTTGATCCAGTATCGCGGCAGACTACCGGTCCACGTGCTCTCAACTTCCTGGCAGCTAACTACCTTCAGTTCCAATCGAATTCCATTTTTATCACTTCGCCCAAAGACGTTACTTCAATAACGCATTCCGCCGGTCGCTCCAAAGCCTCTCTATTCACACATCGTACTTCCATCGATAACCACACACATATCTTAACACTCAATACTTCAGACGTCTGAGCGACATGGCACCTGGTACGTTCAAGGCTTGCTCCATCAGCAGCTTGTGGAGCGTATCGACTGAAACATTCAATCGATTTGGTCCACTCTCAATGCCATGCAAAGCATTTTCACCATGGAATCCGTTGCTAACCAGGAACGACCTCTCCATTAGCGACGTCCGTCCCGCCTGCGCTCCCTCCCTCGGTGGAGGAGGCCTACCGGCGAAAGTGCATCCAGCTGAAGCAGCGGACGAGCGAAGTCGAAGATGCCAACGATGCCGCCAGACTGCGCCTTGCGCGCCTCAAGCGTCAGGTTGAGAAGATGCGGTTAGAGCGTGCCTTCCTGCTCGAGCAGCTCGCCAAGCGGACAAGCACAAACGTGGAGGATTCGGACGGCAGCCCGAGCCCACCGCCGACAGTAAGTTCCCAGCCGGACAGCTGACTCTCCGGCATCGGCCAGCAACGGCCCCCCTCCACGAGGACACCAACCGTTGACACCACCGCTCCGCCACCACAGCCCAAGGAGAAGCCGTTGCGTATCAAGAGAGGCCACCGCAAGCCATCGGCGTTTCCCGGCCTCGATGCCCCCTCCTCTGTCAACGCCGGCACCCCGGGCTCGACCTTCATCAGCCAGAACCTGCTTGTGCACTCGCCCAGCTCGGACGCCTTCTCCGCCGCGGCGGGGAGCACGACCAACGGCGTGCACCGGGGCGCCCCCAAGAGGCCCGGCAGCGCATTCGATCTCTACTGCGCCGAAGCCGGGCCATCCGTGAAGGACAAGGCCAAGGAAGGGGACAACGTAGAAGAGGAGCTATCCCGCCGCTGGAAGGAGCTGCCCGACAGCCGGCGTGACGAGTACCAGACGCGCGCCGACGATCAGATGGCTGAGTACGAACAGGAGAAGGACGCATATGACGAGGCAAAAGCACAAGAACAAGAAGCTAGCGCCAAGGTAGACAGCAACAAGGCCGAATCAACCGAGTCAGACCGGCCAGCCGGGGCCGGAGGAGAGGGGAGGAGTACGTCACGGCAACAGGACGACGTCGACATGACAAACTACGACACGGACCAGGAGACACAAGGGGAGCGGCTCGAGGAGTAGTGTTACTCGTCTTGCTGCGCGCTCCGCCCTCTGCAGCCGCCATCTCCTATGATTCCGTGACGCCGCGAGTGGAGACATGTCAGGGCGGCCTAGTGTGTCGATTCCGTCGGAGCGGCATGGCGAGGAAGTGCCCATGCTGAGGATCATTTAGGATGTGCCATGCCTCTCCGCCAGCTACAACGGGATCGGTTGGGGTTCGGCCCATGGTGGAGGTGCCGGTTGCGTTTCCCATCCGATTAAGGCAGACGATAACTGCCTCTTAATTACTTGCGAGAGACAGGGTGGAACAATTTTTGGCTTCCTGACTCCTCGAAGGGCTTGGCCGGCAGTCAATATGACGAGGGATTCCACGGGTTCCTCTCCGTTTTCTCATTGCTACACACTTTCGTTATGGATTGGGATAGGAGGACGAGTGATGGCGCATTATGAGCCCGGCGTGCTTTTGGTTTGGGACACTTATCACTGGCTCTGAAATACACAAGAGCACTTAGAATCACCCGTGGCAGAGTTTCTCATGATGCTCTGCAGAGATGAATGTCGTATCCAGCTTATGTTTGACGCCATCGTTGTCCAAATACGTATATCCAACCGGGCAAACCAACTACAACGAGACAACTAAGAAAGCAATATCAGGTGACGAATGTTCATCCATTTTGGTACACATATGCGGCCTGTGTGCTTGCCGTGAAGCGCTTCTCTATCTGCAATACATAGTATGTTAACGTTATACATATATAGAGTACAGTAAAGTGCTGTGGTCTGACGCTGATGAGCTATGCTGCCTTGCCTCGAGGCAACCGTTCCCCATGGCATCGTGGAAAACGGTGAGGAGGAAAGAGAAGGTCTCCGAATCACACAATTTCTCCGAATCAAAGGACCCCCAGCCAACCCATGGAACAATGGACGGCTTTTCCGTCTTGGAACTCCATACGCCAGGCCAAATGAACCGAGTAAAGTCAAGAACTCCTTGATGAAATCAGGGTCACTCAACGCCCACGTACAAGTCGACAATAATGTTGACCAAGGCCACGACAATCTCCGCGGCGATGAGGATAATTACTTGTTTCCACAGTCAGCATTCATTCATCCCTTTTCACACACACACACACACACACAACAAGAAGAGAAGGGGCGAAAGCATACCAATCCACTCCAACTTCTCGCCGTGGCCATGACTCAACTGCTCCTTGAGCACGGCCAGCAAATCGGCAATGACATCCAGCCGCTCCGTCAGCAGCCCGACGCGCTGGTCCATCTCGAGGTAGCTGCGCACGGCCTGGTAGACGGGCTCGAGCTGGGGCTCGACCCAGAACAACTCGGGCGTGTCGAGCACGGAGCCGTTGAGGTGGATGCTTATCCTCAAGATGAAGAGCTCGCCGATCTGCATGTTGATTTGCGAGCGCGACAGCGCGATGGTGCCGGTCAGGGCGAGCTGCGCGGGAATGTCCTTGCACGTGTCGATGGTGGAGGCGATGAGTTCCTCGAAGAGGGAGGTCTACTCTCAGACGGGTTAGATGCTGTTCGGGGACGGGGGAACCCAAAGGACAGGGGAAGAGGTAGGCAGACCTTGACGCTCTGGGCCAGGGCGTGCGAGATGGCGAGCTTGCTCATGTAGTTGTTCTTGTCGCGCAGGGCGATAAAATCGTTGTAGATGCGGGCTTGGTACTCGTGGGTATAGTAAAAGTTGAATTTCTCCGTCTCAACGTCGTCCGGTGCGAGTTTCTCGACTTCGAACTTTGAGATCTCCTTGAGAAAACGCTGCTCGTGGGCTGCTGACATGCCCCATATTACAACGACGCCGTAGTCGAACAGGAAAACTTCGGGGGTGTGGACGTGTATGTCAAAGTCGGCAGGTTCGCCGACCGGCATGTCGTCTGTAATTTGGTGTTCATGGACGAGGATGTCGTCGTCTGCGGTATCTTGGCTTTCCGAAAGCCCGTCGCCGAGGGTGGAATGGCTGCTTTCGCTGACAAGGTCGTGGATATTCCCTGTCGAGTGTCGTCGTTCCGGGTTCGACTGCACGTCCAAGAACCTCTCCTTCCGTGCGGCCTCGACCTGCTTCGAGCTGTAGCTGTAGGGCGTGTAGATGCACTCGTCGATCAGCTTGGGGTTCGCCCCCCTGGCCTTCCCCTTCCCCTTCAGAAAGCGCTGTAGGCCGTCCATCTGGTAGCGGTTTGCTGTGCAGTAAGCCGTAACGCGCGGTAACCGGTCGCGGTCTGCTTTGCCGAGGCGAGCGGCGTCTCGCCGGGCCGTGGGGTCCTTGATGCGGGTGTACTGCGCGTAGACATCGCGGCCGCTCTCCTCGTCGACAATGTCTTCCAGCTCGGGGTTTGGGAGTAGTTTGAGTTTCTGGGCATTCTTGGTACTGCGTTGCGGGCCAATCTTGGGCAATGCCGCGTTGGACGCAACCACGGGCAAGCCAGCGCTGTTTGGGCCCGGAGAGGAGCCGCCATGGCTGTTCCGTCGGCGCAGTCTGCTGTTCAGGGCGGACAGCATGGGAGGGCCGCCGCCTAGGCCGCCGGTGCTGATGGCTGAGGGACTCGGAGGGCCTACTGGCAACCGGTGTGGGTGTGGTTGGTGGGGGTGGTGGTACGCAACATCGGGCTCAATAGTCTTGGTGACGGGGTTCGGATTGAAGGTGACGTTCCGAGGGGGCCTCGTTGGGCGGGCGGGTCCGGATGACGGACCGGAGGACAGGAGGGGTGTGTCCTCGGACACGGTTCTCTCAGCCATGGCGGCGGACGACGGGTGACAGCTGATCGCCCTCTGTTTCCTGTCCAACAAATAGTACTAAATACCAACTACCTTAGTTATTGCGCTGCCATCTGTTGAGCGCAACCCGTAGGCGATCTGCCGTCGACCAATTATTTGGGCATGCTGCGGGAGAGGTTCTTATGGTTTTGTCGGGGCGGAATGGGGGTTTGGGTTCGAACTTTCGATTCGCAGTTGGTGAAATCCAGGTCTATAACATTCAATCGCATCGCGATGCTTGATGACGTCGGGTCGGCCTCCTCCCCGAAACCTAAGGGCTCTTCCGATTCAGGGCAGGCCTTCCCCACTGCAGGGGTTGCGCTAATCCAAACGTGGGCTGCACGTGTTAGTGGTTTGCCCCACCAAACGGCCGTTGAAAGAGTGGCCGCCTGGCCACCAATTTTCGGTTGGATTGACATTGCACAGCATCAGTTGGTAGCCGTAACAAACCCGACGAGGCAGGTGGTTGATCTCTTGCGGCGACGGCTCAAAAGAAGTGGGCTTGGTCCAAGGCGGCCATTCAACATGTGTCAGTTTCGAGTGTTGCGACGCGAACCATTACCATTGCATTAACAATACCTGGTTTACCCGGTCAATGATAGCAGATATCCACTTGTACGATCGTTAAGACGGACAGGTTGGTTTGTTGCAGTCTCAACGTCAAATTTACTGTACCCAGCCCTCTCATACTGTTTATCGGACGACCGACCCCTTTGTCTCAGCGCAACCACGAAGTCTCTCCTTGGAGGAGTCGTCAAAATTTGGTCATGGTTGATTCTGCCGGTAGTCATGGTTAAGAAGGATATGCTCTCTCGTCCCTGCTGTATACACATGGTCAGACATCCAATCCCCTATATCTCCACCACCCCCAATTTTCGTATCTCTCCCGTCCGGGATCACTCCTCCTCGCTACCCTCTACATCTGATCCTCCTCAATCGGGCTCGGCAGCGTCCTGACCTCCTTGGTCCCCTTACTCACCAGTTCGTCCCTCTACCCAGCCACATTTACCCTCCCAACACTACCCCCGCCGAACTTGCGTTGTCACCACCACCACCACCCGTTCCCTCCCCAACAATCAAGTCTCCAAGATCCACCGGCCCCTCGAGCTCAGTCACAACAACCTCCACCTCCAGCCTCAAAAACCCCCACCGGTATTGCTTGCCCGTGGGTGGGTTCCATTCGATTTCTGCCGCTGCCGTGCAGTCGCTACGCCCCAGACCTGCCTGCTCAAACTGCTCCTCGTAGTGGTCCTTGACATAGTATCTGTGGTAATTGTTGTCTTCCATAGCCGAGTTTAGGGGCCTGGCCAGGTTCAGGAAAGGCATTGAGGGCCGCGCGGCTGGCTGCTGGCATAGTTGTGTAACTGCCATGGAGCTTGCTCGTGATTGTGGCAATCAGAAGCTGGGCCATAAGAGATATTATATCCGGCGGGTGAGGTGAGTTTCTTTCGGTGTTGGCGTCGGTATCTGTGGGCTGGTTGCTGCTGGACTGATACCATGCTCGGCAGGAGTGCTGTTGGGGAGGTTGTCGTCGTCTCCGCTTTCATCCGCCGTGTCGTCTGGTTCTTCTACCTCTGTTGCGTAGGTTGTTGATGTGTTCCGGGAAGTCTGGAGTGTGAAGTCTGCGGTGGGTTGATGGTGGACCTGGCGGCATCTCCATTTGCTTCTTCCCTTGTCTCTTCTTGTGTGATTGAAAAGTCGAACCCGCTCGGGGAGTGTCCATCCTCGTCTCCAGTTCCGGTATCAGGTCTTTCCACCTCGGAGCTGATCTCATCCAATCAATCCACCCCCCCTTCCATCATCCCATCCTTACTTCCCTCACTTTCACCCTCAACCATGTCCTCAACTCTCACCCCATCACCATCACCTCCCTCTTCACGATTCCCTTCCTTGTCCTCCCCAGCACAGTCAAACACAGCCCTCTGCCCTTTGCCGCCCCTAGGCTACACGTCCCGGCCCAAGTAGACCCGGGACCACACATCATACCTCTTACGTTTGTAGATCGTCACCCATTGTCAACCCTCACCCAGCCTTCCGCCCGCGCCATGTCTGCCGCTGCGATGTCAGGCACGGCTCCGCCCAGGTTCTGTGTCTCTGTCTCGATCCTAAAGAACTGCACATCGCCGTTGTCGAAAGACACTTGGCCTGAGTAGAGCATCGGGCCTGCTGATTGTGTTGAGGCCTGCGGCTGGGGTTGTCCTGCTGCTCCCCCCGCCACCGCCGCTGTGTTGGAGTCGGAGGGGAGAGAAGAGGAGGATGTCGATGCGACCATGCATCACCCCTTCCCCACGACGCCCTCCATCAGGCTGTCCAGACGTGCCGCCGCCCATATGAGTTGGCTTGGACTAGGGAGGGTGAGTCATCGCAACGGACTCTTCTTTCGTCTCGAATTCTGTGAAGGGGTTCCTCCTCTGACGTAGTGGCCGTGCTGTCGTTATTACTACCCTGGGGAATGGACGTGGGAGGTGCGAAGCGCGGGGTGGGAAAGACGACGTATCGAATCACGGTGCGGTCTGCGCCCAACGCTTCATGGGCTGAGATGGTTTCTCGTGGTGGGAGATGGACGGCGGCTTGGGCCTCCTCTCTGAGGGGTAGGGGCGGGAGCAGTCGTTGCTGCTGCTGCTGTCTACGTAGGGGAAGGGGGAAGAAATCGGATGCCTGGCGTTCATTCAGTTGCCGTACCGCGCGTGCTTGTGTGTGGGATTTGGCGGTTGGCGGGGGTTGGAAAATATTCTTGGACTGGGCCAAGTGACTGACTTGACTTCTACCGCTGGGAACGTGTGTGGGTCGTAGAGAAGGCACTTGGCTAGTTCCACGCGGACCGAGCTGCTTGTTGCTGGTCGGTAGGATCGAGACAAACTGAGTAGCTCGTTTCTCCGGCTCTTGGGAAGCGAAATGCTGAAAGAGATCAGCATCGTTTTCCAGCCCAGCGACTGAGAGGTGGCCAGTCTAAGCTTGCTCGGTAGCCTTGATCTGTGTGAGCTAAGCCCTGGCTTTCTCAGCCGCTGTAGGCGCGCGATACTTGATGGCGTTGACGGTTTTCTTGTCACTTATTTCGGTAATGTCAATGTTGGCGCGGCCGAGTCCATTGTGCTGGTCAAGTTGGTTGTTCAGCGGGGCTTGCTGGTCTCTTTGCCTTCTGGACCTTGTTTAAGTCCTGCGTAGTCGTATTTCGCTAGGAAGATGCTTTAAGTGAGGCTGGAAGGCTTCTGTGAGTTGGGTTCATTCTTCGTCCCATCAATCGCTGATTTGTTTTGGGATGGAAACTCTCACAGTCCGCTCCTGGCAAGGTTGGGTGGCGTATTAGTCGCTACAGCCCCTGACGGGAAAGAGATCGCTTGGCTGTTTGCCGGTTTGGTAGGCGCAACACTATTTGACTTGTGTCTGCGGAAGGCTGCCAGGAGGTTGTAATCATCGTCGTCTGGATTTCATCCTTGACAGAGCTGAGTGTCTGGCTCTCGTTGGAAGAGACTGTCCCCGTTGTTGCTTCCATGGTTAGTCAGTGACGGGCCCTTTGCCTTTGATAGATGAAAATGATTTATTTACCGGCAGTGGGTGATTACTGACACGGGCCTTCAGTCTCACTCAGTCGACTCCCGGTCGATTTCGGGATGGAAAGTTCAGGAACGGGCTCTTGAGACTTTGCTAAATCAACAGCGTCTGCGCCCTGCTGCGACACTGGCTGGACACTTCCCGAAAAGGCGGGCCTTACAGATGCCGCGTCAGCAGCAACCCCGGCAAAGGTCCAGCTCTGGGCCAGCGTAAGGTTCGTCACTGGTTAAGTTGGTTCTTGCATGACATGGTCTTGGTCTTGCAAGAGACTTGCCAAGTCCTGCGGAAACGAGTTTACGTATGCCTCGCCGCTCAATGCCTTCGGAGAGCAGCCGGGCGAAATGGGCGAATCTGGTGCCGCGGCCATGGGAGTTGGTTGCGCGGGAGTGTTTGGTAAATGAGAAGATGGGACAGGAGATGGGGAAATAACTGGCAAAGGGAAGTGGGTCAGGATATATGAAAACGAGGGCACAAGGCAGGTGTGCGAAGGCAGGAAGTGGAAGTGGAAGAGGAAGCGGAAGTGGAAGAGGAAGCGGAAGTGGAAGAGGAAGTGGAAGTGGAAGAGGAAGTGGAAGTGGAAGTGGAAGTGGAAGTGGAAGAGGAAGTGGAAGTGGAAGAGGAAGTGGAAGTGGAAGTGGAAGTGGAAGTGGAAGTGGAAGTGGAAGTGGAAGAGAAGCTCGAAGGGAAAGACGGGATAATGGAAGAAAGTAGTGGTGTGGAGGTAGATATGGGTTGCTTAAGAAGAATGCATGTGTCTATGACAGTTCCCTGAGTTTGAAAGAGTTCAGCTTTGGACTTGAAGCAGAAAGGATTGTGTCCTGAGTACGCGTAGATAAGGGAGGAATGAGAAAGGGGAGATGTGAATGGAAAGCAGCTTGGCAGGTATTGGCGGCGACAAAGTTTGAGCCGAAATTTGGGAAGTTGCTGTTGGTTAGAAGGTAGAAAGATTGAAATCTGTCTTATGAGATGGGTAATTAGACCCTTCAATGATGGGGATTTGTGTTGGCACTCACCACGTAGACGGCGAAGGCGAAGCTCGGATACTCTCATTGACAGCTGGGGAATCGGTAACATCTCAAACCACTGGATATTAAACAAGACACATGTACTCCCATTAACCATCCTGACCCTTACTCCGGGTCATCCGCATATTGGCCTGCCCTGCCTTGCTCCTCAAGCTGCTTGATCTTCTCCTTGCCCTCATCAGTGGTGGCATCAATGATCTCCTCCTCCAAGCTCAGAATGCCAGCCTAGCGAACTGTTAGTGTCACTCAAAGCAATGTCACCTAAACAGACAAGGAAAGAAGTGAAAAAAAAAAGGGAAAGAAAAAAGAAAGAAAGTGACTCACCTCTCCCAACTTCCCCACCACCTCCTCAGCCTCCGCAACCGGCATCTCCCCAAGCACCTTATTCACTTCCTCCAGCTTCCCCGTCTCCAACGCGCTCTTCATCTCCTCGCTAAACCCCTCAAAGATCTCCCTCCCCCTCCTGACTTCCTCATCCTGACTATCCTTCTCCGGAATCCGGATATTAATCACCGTGCCCGGTTCGACAGCATGCAGCTGAATCTGCTCCACCTCACCCTGAGTCTTCCCCTCTGCCTCGTCCTTGGCCCGCTGCAGTACAATCTCCCTAGCTCTCGTCTTGATGCGTGCGTACGTGTCCTGCACGTCCTTGTGGAACACCTCCTGCGCCTGGTGGCCGGGCGTGGTGATGCGCTTGAAGAAGAGGGCCACGCCGTCGCGCCCCAGCGCGCGGCAGTACTGCAGGAGGAGCGCCTGGTGCACGCAGTTGCGCGCAAAGTCGGAGCGGTTCTCGAGCTGCGCGTCGAAGGCGAGCACGAGGAGACCGTCTGTCTCCTTTTCGGTCAGGATTTGCGGGTGTTGCGAGAGGAAGGCGAGTGAGTCGCGGTAGGAGGTGGACTTGATTTGGGCGAATTCCTTGGCGAGAGGGGAAGCGGTAATCTCGTCGTCGTCGTTTTTGTCGTCGGTTCTGGACGATGAGGAGGCCGGAAGGGAGGTAGTCTCGGCGAAATTGGGGTTGAGGAGCTCGACCTTGGAGGAGTCCTTGGCTCCGCCGGAGGAGGACGAAGTCGACTTGTTGATATGTGAGCTGTCAAAGCCGGTGTGGATGCTCTCGCTGGTGATTTTGCGCGACTCCTCCTTCTCGAGCTCGGTGAGCCTCTTGATCAAGTCGTCCTGCAGGCTGTTGACCTTCTTGAGGTGGTCCTCGATCTCGGCCACCATGCCGTCGTATCGCTTGTCTTGTTCGATCTTCTTCTCGTCGAGAGTCTTGTTTACCTGGTCGAGGAGCGTCGCCATCATCTTGGTGTACGTGGGCAGCGGCTCCTCGGCGTTGTGGACGCCCTCGGGACGCGGGGGAGGCTGGTCGTCCTTGGGGTCTGGCCCTGCGGCCGACTCCATAACGGCCCGAAAGGCCACCTCTCCCGGGTTCCCACTCCTCGCATCAGACGCATGTGCTTTCAAGGAATCGATCAGGGACGAGATGCGCTTGATCAGGGTATCGTTGATGATGCGCTCGTACTTGAGCGTCTCGATCTCGTGCTTGCGTTTCTGCCGTTCCATATGGATCTGGTTCTGTTTGGCGCGGATGAAGGATCGCTTGTCAACATTGGGATGCACCTCGATGTCCGAGTCATCGCTGAGCTCAAGGGCATCCTAAGAGATGTTAGTGAACCGCTGACGGTAGGTACATGTCCGTGTAAGGGACAGGGAGCTTCTGATGAAGTGACCATACCCACTTGCTGTAGTCAACCGGCATGGTGCGTGTCTGTGAATGTTTGGTACGCGTTGCGATCACAGTTAGCCGTCTACGATGCCGGGAACGGAAGCAGCTGAGGTTTAAGCTACAAATTCACATGGGTTGTTGGTCTCTTGAGGTTTTTGAGGTTCTTGAGGTTCTTGAGATTCTTGAGATTCTTGAGATTCTTGAGGTGTGAAAGAGTGGAGGGGTAGCTTCTGGAAGCAAGAGTGGGGCAGAATGACATCGAATCCAAGCTCAACAGTTGGAGACACGCTCTGAAGGGAGAGTGGCCCCGTCGGTATTCAGTTGTAGCTAGCTGTGTCTTGAAATGGCACTCGATTGTATGATCAATCTGATATCGGACACGATCACGATTAACTACCACTGGGCATTCAACATGCTCTAGGAGACATATACCCCTCAGGCCATTGTCCAGACCAGACACGGGTAATTGATAGAATAGGGAACCTCAAATAGGAATGCGAGGACGAACGAACGCAACAAGCCACCTACAACCATGGGGATATTCGCTGCTAGTACACGCTGGATCTCAAGTGGCCCTTTTGCCGAAGCAAAGACGTCCAACACGCCAGACCCTCCTACCCCCCCTGGGCACCGTGTGATATTCATCAACAAATACATCGCCGGCCACCTCCCATTGCCGAATCCACCGTGCCTCCCATAACTCATCCACCCCGACAGAGAGTTAGAGAGTTTTCACTTCTTCTGCCCCTCGACAAAATTCAGCGCCTCCTCGGTCGGTACGCAGTCAATCGTGCTCGTCTTATTGTGGAACGTGACGCCATAGCACTTGTCCGCGACATGCACAATCTCCGGGCGGAACGTGGTGCAGATGAACTGCGTCCCCTGCTCCCGCGAGATGCTCTTGAGCAGACTGGCGACCGCCGTGCGGTACTGTGCGTCCAAATTGGCGTCAACCTCGTCAAAGATGACGAACGGGCTCGACTCGGCCGCCTGCAGCGCGAAGATGAGGCAGAGGGCGCACAGGCCTAAGGAGATCTGGAGTTAGCGATGTGTGACTGTCAAAGAATGATTGGAAGAGGCTTACTCTTTTGCCCGCCGCTGAGCTGCTGAATCTTCTGCTGCTCGTCCATGACCTTGGAGTTGAACGAGACGCTGATTCCAACGCCCGTGTAGCTCTCCACGCCCGTCGGCTCCTCGTCCGACTCCTCCGCGGGGTTGTTGCCCTTTTTGCCACGGTCCGCCTTGCGCTGGATTACGAGACGGCCATGGCCGGCGGGGACCAGCTTCTCGAATATGGTCGCAAACTCCCGCGAGACCTGCTTGAACGTCCGCTCAATCGCCTCGTCCTTCTCCTGGTCGAGGTGCTCGATTAGCGCTTCGATTGACTTCTGTGATGTGTCGAGCTCCTTCCGCCGCTTAAGGAGCTGGTCCCGCTGGGTCGTGAAGCTGTTGTACTGGTCGAACGCCTTCTTGTTGATGTGCTTGTACTTCTTGAGGGCTTCATTGACCTTCCGCAGCCTCGACTCAATCTGCAGTCGTCAGTTGGATTGCTGACGCATATTCAGAAATACGAACGCACCTGCTCCGGCTTCATCTTCTCGTACTTGCCAAAGGCCTCTTCTGGCAGGATACCCAGATCCCGGATGTTCTTCGCATACTCGGCCGCCTGGCTGACAAGGCGGGCTCTCATCTGAATGTTCTTCTCCATCTTCTTTTGGTGCTGGTCGATGCGCTTCTGCAACTCTTGCAGCTCCTGTTCCTTTTGGCTCCTCTGAGCCTCGAACTGTGCGAGTTCGCCGCTGACCTTGTCTGCCTTTTGCTCATTGTCCTGCAATTGTTTTTCGAGTTCAGCCAGGGCTTTCTGTGCCTTCTTGAGCTCCCTTTGGGCATCCTTGTAGTTCTCGCCGCCGCTAGTTGCCGAGTTCTCAAAGGCCTGGCTTCGAAGTTGATCCTCCTGTGGCCGGAGATGGCTCTGTAGCTCCGTCTCTAAAAGCTTCTTGTGGCCTTCCAGCTCAAACCGCTTCTTGCTCACGTCCTTTAGTTCGCGCTGCAGCCTATGTACTTCGGCCGTGAACTCCTCGAGCTGGCGCTCCTCGCTTGCCGACAAGGCCTTCTTGAAATCTTGGGAGAGCTCGGTCTGGTAGGTCGAGATAGAGTCGTCCAACTCTTTTAGGTTCTTCTCTACCTGGGCCTGTCGTTCCAGGGCCGCCTCAAGATGAGCTCGTTCGCGCTCAAGCTGCGCATTCTTTGTCCGGAACTCCAGCTTCAGCGGCTCAAAGCCCATCTCCAACTGGCGCATCTGCTGCTCGAGCTTGTGCTCTTCGCCGCTGGCACCCGTAACCTTCTGATCGATGACTTCGATCTCTTTTCGGATCTTGTCAAGGTCGGCCAGCTGCTCTTCGTACAAATCGCGCATTTTGCTGACTCTTTGCACAGCATCGAGGCGAGACCTCCTGGCGTCCACATAGCCTCCAGTCATGGCGCCCCGCTTGTTGGTTGTGTCGCCCTCTGGTGTGATGGCGTCCAAACCGTGGGACCGGGCATACTGGGAGGCAATAGTAAGATTGGGGCAGACGATGGTGCGGCCAAATACCTGTTGGAACGCCTTCTCATACTCTGGCTCATACTCAATCTTGCTGATGAGTGGTTGAGCGTCCGACGCTCTAGGCATCTTAACCTGCCTCGGCCGTAATTGCTCGAGAGGCATGAATGTGAGCCGCCCGCCGTACGTCTTGTAGAGATGGTCCGAAAGCATGGTTGCCGTCTTGTCGTTGTCAACGACGTAATGAAAAAGGCTGTTGCCAGCCACCTGCTCGACTGGCAACTTGTAGGCTTCGACTGGCACGCTCATCAATTCTGCCAGAGTGCCGTAGGCACCGGGAATATCCCTTTCCCGCTTCAACCGCCTAATGGTTGCAAGGCCCTTGGCGGTGGCCGAGTCCATAGACTGTGAAAGCGAAGACTCGGCTTGGTCCCTCTCTCCCCGAGTATTCGAGAGAAGGGAGCCGAGTTTGTCCTCCTCGCGGCGGAGCCTCTTCCGCTCCTCATGCAGCTGCTCGCGGGCCTCTTGAGCCTTGGTGAGCTTCTCAGCAAGGGCGACCCGGTTCCCGCCGTAGCCTTCAATGTTATGACGAATCTCCTGAATGGCCTTCTCGAGCTGGGCAATCGAGGCCTCCACCGACTTGACCTGCTCCTGTGCATCCATGGCATTGGCCTTCTGCACGCCCAGAGAGGTTGTGGCGTCGTCAATCTCTTGCTTGAGGTAGTTGTCACGCTCCGCTTTCGTTTTGAATTGGGAACTCCGGGTCTGCTTGGTAAGGAGACGGTTCTTTCCGGCCACCGCATCGTCCCGCTGCATCCTGATATGCGCTTCTTCGTTCTTCCATTTCTCGTACTCTGGCATGATCTTGGAGAGGTCGGACTCGGCAGCCTGGATTTTCCGCCTCACCTCCTGCAAGTCTGCCTCCTGCTTCTGCCGCGCTTGTTCGTGTACATACCTCGTCTCATCCAGGTTTTTTGCCTTCAGCTCTGCCTTGGCGCGTGCCCTTGCGGCGTCTTTGCGGTCTTCGTCGAGCTGTCGCCTCTCCATAGAGAGCAATTCCAGGTTTTGCTTTAGCTCGTGGGTCTTCTGGTCCAGCACGCCAATCTCCTTTTCTGTCTTTTGAAGCTGCGCGCGGTCTTTGCTCGTGGCGCCGGCACCTCCTTGCCTCGATTCCTCTAGCTGCTCCAGGGTTTCGGCATTGGCCGCCTGCAGGCGATGCCAGTGCGCATACTCGAGACACCTCCGTTCCCTGTCCTTGTCCTGGAAGTCGCGCAGCTCATCCTTCTCCTCCTCCAGCTCGGCCAGGCGCTCCTTGATGTAGGCCAGTGTCTCGTCGATCTTGTCCCGTTTGCTGTTGGTCTCGGCCATGATCTTGAGCGACTGTATCCTGCGATCGTCGTACGTGTTGGTTCCCGCAATCTCCTTGAGGAGGTTCAACCTCTCGGACTCCTTCATGTTCGTTATGGCGGCAATGCGGCCTTGGGGGACAATGTAGAAGGGGTTCTCCTTTGCAAAGCCGGCCGTCTCGAGGATCTTCAGAACATCTGCCCGAGTCTGAACCTTCCTATCCACCGAATACTCGTCTTTCTTGAGGCCGATTGTCCGGCGGATCACCACCTCGTCACCGGGCTCGCTGAAGCGCTTGTCGGCGTTGTCGAAGATGATCTCGACGTACGCGGACATGACTGCGGAGCCGGAGCCCTCGTGAAGTAGGGCCTGCCGCTCCTCGCGGCTCATGTTTGTGTAGGCATCGCTGAGAACAAACCGGATAGCGGCAAAGAAATTACTCTTGCCTGAGCCGTTTCGGCCGACGATGACATTGGTCCCTGGAGAAAAGGGCTCGATGACGGTCTGGTCCTTGTAGCTATGCGCGCAAGCGGATGTTAGCGACCGTCACAACGCTGCAATTTGGGGCACTCAGTAGGGTCCGGCCGCACCTTTTGAAGCCCTGAATAATTATCTGCTTGATGTGCATCTTTGTGGTGGTGCTGTCGACTCAACAGCCGAGTTAAAAGATGAAAGGAAATAAGTTCGCGGCCAGTCGTACTCTGAGTAGTGTAGGCTTGCGTCAATATCGTGGCCGATTGCTTTGATAGGGTGTAATTGCTATGCATCCTCGAGCCATCCTCGAGATAAATCGCGGCTTGACAACTGCAGAGGGGAACCGAAACGCGTCTCGTCCTGTCGCGCAGTCGCACCTGTGGGTCCTGACTTCCAGGCCCGGCGTTGCGCCAGTTCGATTTGGAGGCACCGGCAAAAGCAGCATCACGTGATTTGAGCCCGATCGAAAGGTCAGTTTAGACACACAGTGCATCTTGCTTGTTTTTAGCTCATTCAGTCCCGTCTACCTCAACTAGTCGCCTTTGGTATGAGATGGCAAGCTGTGAACCGGTCGTCACATGAGAAAACTGTTGAAGCGAGGAAAAGAGGTGATATTAACCTCATACAGATGGAGAGCAACTCAAGAAGAACGGGTATATGGATAAGAACACCTACCCATGAAAACACGGGAGGCTGGCGGCAGTTTTGCAGACGAACTGTCAGACTAAGCCCCGAGCAGCAGGCCCTGGTTACCTATAAAATGGGCATGTCGAATGCAGCCCAACGGCATGCCAACCAGGCAGGCATTCACGATTGACAACTATCGTCGGGCAATTTGGAAGCTCGCGTCTCCAAATCCTAGGCTCCACCAAGGACCTTTCTCCGTTCAAAAGTGATCCGGAAAATCGTAAGATGGCATGATGGTGTGATGGGATGGTTAACACACTAGTGATGTGGTAGAAATGTGGAAGGTCTTGTTGGCAGAGGCATGTTTGCCCCCCTGCCTTGTGAGAACTGTAAGCTGCCGTGTCCCATTCCAATATGCAATTACCGGGCTCAGACAACAGGAGAAGTCAACAATGATCTGACATCTCATCTTTTGGCAGGCTTGCGATCAAGCGGGGGCCTTGTTCAACGGGCGGCAACGGTTGGCCTGCCGTGCCTGGCAAAAAGGCTCTCTTGGCTGGCCGTCTGATTCACACGTTCAATAAAGGCAGCGACATGGCCAACAAGCTCCCACATGATCCAACAAGTTGAACACGTTCCAGGGTGGCAGGTACTTAAGAAAGTGGCGGACCTGGGAGTGCTGGCTTGCTGATGCTGCAGCGGGGGAATAATATTATTCTTACGCGCAGGGAAAATGTGAGGAAAGGGAGTACGGATTAAGGTATTTACAGACCTCCAGCTCCCAGGTTCTTATGTTGCCAGCAGACTGTTTGGGTTGGATGAACGCGACTCCATGGATTTGTGTCAATGAATTCTGATGACTGGGGAAGGGGCACGGGACTTGTGGATGGGCGGCGCAGGGACAGGGATGCAAAGAATGGCGCTAAAACGCGCAAGATCCCGGGAGGAGCGTTGGGAACAGCCCGCTGTCTATAAATTTAAACCAATATTCTTTATAGACAGCCCGCACGCCCTCCACCTGAAATCTCCCAGTGTCACTGCGCTCCCTCGCCCTGCCGCCTTGACCAGCCGACCCCGCCCACACAAACTTGCAGCCCGTCACACCTGGCAAATTCATCTTAGTTTACATCAACAAGCGAGCGTGTGCACAGCCGCTAACACTTGGCACCTTCACCCGGGGTACCGACCCACCCTTTTCTTCACCTTAACTTCACCGATAGGTACTTAAGCAGTTGGTATCCCTGTTGTTTCGCCGCGATGGTTTACAAGATGGAAGCGAAGCTTTGCATCTTCAGTGAGACCTCCTTGGCTGATTTTATCATAGCGCATAAAGAATCGAACGAGTCAAGGCGCTCTCAAAGCTCACAAACACACCTCCCCGAGACTTGCATTCTCGGCCAAGTCCAGGTCAGTGCCACACCCGATTTGATCAGCGCCGCCAGCTGTGACCAGCTGGGCCGCTGTAACCCAGATCAACCCGTCGGTCTGCTTCTGGCAGTCCATTTTCTTTTGTCCCTATTGGGCAGGTTTCGGTATGAAGTTGCTGTTGCTTCTTATGTTGCAGTGCAACCACGAGATGTGAAGATAGAGATAACTGGCCAATCCTAGCCTTGCTGTTGTCTTACGTCCCAATAGCATCGTTTTGTTATTTCTGGTTAGAAGATGTCGGACGTGGTAGCTAACAAAGACGCAGTGCCATGGTCTTCGCCTTTTAGTGGTACCACGACATCGTTGACATGAAACAAGAATGGCGTCTCGGTGAGTTCCATCACACCTGTATCAACTCGTCTTGTTTTGTACTAACACCTGTTTGTTTCTAGGCTTGACCGACTCGTTACGTAAGCTTCTTTGGACAATTCAATGCTGATCTCGAGTGACTTTTGATACTAACCTCTCTCTCTCTCTCTCAGCATCCTCGAAACCGGCAGCACCCGATTGATTCGGGATACAGCTGTCAACCAGCTTGCTGACTGGCAGAAGCAGCACCCCGAAGAACTCTTCAACCTGCTGACGAGGGTCGTCCCATACCTCCGGCACAAGGAATGGGAAACCAGGAACACTGCTGCCAAAGCGATAGGGAAGATCGTCGAGAACGCGCCGCTCTATGACCCTAATTTCGACGATAAGTCCCCCCCGGCAGACCCGGCTGGCGAAAATGGCTTTGTCAAGAAGGAGGAGCAAAAAGATCTTGCCTTTGACCATGATGAGCTCTTCAAGCTCGACACCCTTGACGTCACAGCCATCCTCAGGTATGGGCGGCCGTTGCTCCGTGGCGGCCCGGTGGACTTTGGACTCGCTTCCCTAGACCCACAGAAGCGGCTCGCCCATCAGAAGAAGACACTGAACGGCAGGCTTGGGCTTCTTGGTCGAGTCTTTGACGACGACGAGATGCCAGTTATCAGCGATCATGCCAACAGTCCGGGAACTCCGCACGAAAGTGCAAACGGCTTTGGACGACAGGACAGCATTGCCAACGACGGCCAGAGCCAAAATCAGGACGAGAGTAAGTTGAGCACGCGACAACTCAACGTTCTCAAGAGGAAGCGAAAGCGGGAGGCTCAGAAGGCCGCCCAGGGAAAGAGCGGGTTCGGCGATCTGACCCTCCGGCGGACGACAACGGCAGGTTCCGACGGATTCGCCGACGACGCACCCATGCCGGATGCCGACTCGAAGAAGAACGGAAAGATGTCGGATTACTTCAGCCTCGACAGACCCGCCGATGTGGACGAGGACACCAAGGTTGTGTCCGAATTTAAAGGACCCCTCCTCCCCATCAAATCGGAGCTCGAGGCCGACGAGAACCTGGAAGGTGCCGAATGGCCGTACGAGCGCCTCTGCGATTTCCTCAAAATTGATCTCTTCGATCCCCAGTGGGAGACTCGCCACGGCGCCGCCATGGGCTTGAGAGAAATCATCCGAGTCCACGGCGCGGGTGCCGGAAGGCGCAGGGACAAGTCGCGCAGCGAGAACAACGAGCTCAACCGCCAATGGTTAGATGACCTGGCATGCCGCCTCTGCTGCGTGCTCATGCTCGACAAGTTCACCGACTACAGCTCCGACACATCGGTAGCCCCCATTAGAGAGACGGTTGGGCAAACCCTTGGATCGGTCCTCCGTCACATCCCAGCGCAGTCGGTTTATGCCGTCTACCGCTTGCTGTACCGGATGGTGATGCAAGAAGATCTGCAATTGGATCATAATGTCTGGGCCGTCTGCCATGGAGGCATGGTGGGCTTGAGGTATGTCGTTGCTGTGCGTAAGGACCTTCTTCTCCAAGATGGAGACATGATCGACGGTGTTATCCGTTCCGTCATGAAAGGCCTTGGCGACATTGACGACGATGTCCGCTCGGTTAGTGCGGCAACCCTGATCCCGATGGCCAAGGAATTTGTCATGATGCGCCGAGGAGCACTCGAGGGCCTCATCAACATCGTGTGGGAGAGTCTTTCCAACCTGGGCGACGACCTGAGCGCCTCGACTGGCAAGATCATGGACTTGCTTGCCACCCTTTGCAGCTTCCCTGAAGTCTTGGAAGCGATGAAGCTTTCAGCTTCCCAAGATGAGGAGAGGTCGTTTACTCTCCTTGTTCCTCGGCTCTACCCCTTCCTCCGCCACACCATCACTTCGGTGCGGCTTGCCGTATTGAAAGCCTTGATGACTTTTGCGAATCTTGACGGCGATGCGTCCAAGGGTTGGCTCAAGGGGAGGCTATTGCGCCTCGTCTTCCAGAACGTTGTGGTGGAGAGGGATCAGGAGACTCTCGCCATGTCGCTCGAGTTGTGGGCGGCGCTTGTGCGTAACCTCGCCAAGCATCCAGCCGTTTTGGCGGATGAGTTCGAGGCGCATGTAGAACCGCTCATGCAGCTGGCACTCCATCCCATCGGTGTCCCACGTCACCCCATCCCCATGAACGGAGCTCTTTTCCAAAAGCCGTCTGGTGGCACGTATTTGTTACCTGGCGCTGCTCCCCACACGAGCAGGCGGTCGTCGCCTCCCGAAGGAGAGAGGGCTACCAAGCGGCGCAGGAAGTCGACCAAGGTCGACGAGGTTCCGGCTGCTACCCACAGTCACGATGTGGATGGCCATATGATGCAGGGCGATGTGGACCTGGTGGGCATGGACGTTTTGGTCCGCTCGCGTGTCTCGGCGGCCAAGGCTATGGGCCTCATCATGTCCCTGATCCCGCCTTCCAGCCTCGCGACGTACGACAGCTGCATCATGCAGGCTCTTAGTTCCCCATTCGCATCGACCCAGCTTGCCGCTGCCATGGTCATTGACGAATACGCCAAAAATTGCGGGACGAGCGAGACCGCCGCGCGTTTCATTGAACCCTTGCAGATGATCATTGACCAGGACCGGCCGTCGCACTATAGGGACTTGGTGAGCTACGTTCAGCGGGTTCGCTCCCAGTCGCAGCAGCTCGTCAACCTGTTCCGCGACCACGGCAAGGTCTCCCCCAGCAAATTGCCGAGTCTCGCTGTCGTGTGTCAAGGCGAGCCAGAAGCTGGCCCTGGTGCATTTTCCATCGCGAACGCCGAGAAGATTGTGGGGGATGACTTTGACAGGCTCAAAAAGGCCATGGTGCCTGGTCAGCGACTGATCGTCCTTCCGCAGCTCAATGAAGCTCGTGAAGTGACAGTGGCCGTGATTGAGGAAGCAAAGGCAGCCAAGGAAGCTCGGGATGCCCGCATTCGGGCTGCGGCCGCTTGCGCCTTGATTGCCATGAAAGTCCTTCCCAAGAAGCCGAGCCCTCTCATCAAGGCCATCATGGACAGCATTAAAACGGAGGAGAATCAAGAGCTGCAAGGCCGCTCGGCGGCGACAATAGCACGTCTGGTGCAGCTCTTCACCGACTCCGGCCGGCGTGGTCCGGCCGATAAGGTGGTATCGAACTTAGTAAAGTTCTCATGTGTCGAAGTTGCGGAAACACCCGAGTTTCCCAGCCACGCACACAAGACCAACGTTATCCTCTCGATGCAGAAGGAGGAGGACCGCGTTGACCACCCCGACGCCGCTAAGTTCGCACGGGAGGCGAGGGCGGCCCGCATCACCCGCCGTGGTGCCAAAGAAGCGCTCGAGATACTCTCGCAGACGTTTGGCGCCGAGCTTCTTGCCCGTGTCCCAAGTTTGCAGACATTCATGGAGGAACCTCTTGTGAAGGCCTTTTCGGGCGAGCTGCCGGCTGAAGCTAGGGATCCGGAGAACACGTTCGGCCAGGAAATCGTCGACGCTCTTTCGGTTATCCGGACAATGGTTCCTACTTTGCATTCCGCTCTTCATCCTTTCGTCATGCGCCAAGTGCCTCTGGTCATCCAGGCTCTGCGATCCGACCTGTCGGTCTTCCGCTACATGGCGGCTAAGTGCATGGCGACCATTTGCAGCGTCATCACTGTCGACGCCATGACTGCGCTGGTGGAGAAGGTCCTCCCGTCCATCAACAACCCTCTCGATCTCAGCTTCCGGCAGGGCGCCATTGAAGTCATCTACCACCTCATTGCTGTCATGGGCGATGCCATCCTCCCCTACGTCATTTTTCTGATTGTCCCAGTACTCGGCCGAATGAGCGACTCGGACAATCAGATTCGGCTAATTGCTACCACGTCTTTCGCTACTTTAGTGAAGCTCGTCCCGCTCGAGGCTGGTATCCCTGACCCGCCAGGCTTGTCGGAGGAGCTGCTGAAGGGCCGCGACCGAGAGCGCACGTTCATCGCTCAGCTCTTGGACCCGAAGAAGGTCGAGCCGTTCCAGATTCCCGTCTCCATCAAAGCTGAACTCCGCTCGTACCAGCAAGAGGGTGTCAACTGGCTCCACTTCCTCAACAAATACCACCTGCACGGCATCCTTTGTGATGACATGGGTCTGGGCAAGACTCTACAGACGATATGCATCGTGGCAAGCGATCATCACCAGCGGGCTGAAGAATTTGCCAAGACGGGCGCGCCCGATGTCAGAAGGCTCCCCTCTCTGATTGTCTGCCCCCCGACACTCTCCGGGCATTGGCAGCAGGAGATCAAGACGTACGCTCCGTTCCTCAGCGTTACGGCGTATGTGGGTCCTCCCGCCGAGCGCAAAGCCGTGCGGGATGCGCTGGACAAGACCGACATTGTCATCACGTCGTACGACGTCTGCAGAAATGACATTGAGGTCATTGAGAAGTACAACTGGAACTACGTTGTTCTCGACGAGGGTCATTTGATCAAGAACCCGAAGGCCAAGATCACAATGGCGGTCAAGAGACTGGCCAGCAATCACCGGCTGATTTTAACCGGCACGCCGATCCAGAACAACGTTTTGGAGTTATGGTCCCTCTTCGACTTCCTGATGCCGGGCTTCTTAGGTGCCGAGAAAGTCTTCCTTGACCGGTTTGCCAAGCCAATCGCAAACAGTCGGTATAGCAAGGCGTCGTCAAAGGAGCAAGAAGCCGGGGCGCTAGCCATCGAGGCGCTGCACAAGCAGGTTTTGCCGTTCCTCCTCCGGCGTCTCAAGGAAGAAGTGCTGGACGATCTGCCGCCCAAGATCCTGCAGAACTACTACTGCGATCTCAGCGACCTGCAGCTCAAGCTCTTCGAGGACTTTACCAAGCGAGAGGGCAAGAAGCTGTCTGAGGAAGCCGGTAAAGACGACAAGGAAGCCAAGCAGCACATTTTCCAAGCGCTGCAGTACATGCGCAAGCTCTGCAACTCGCCGGCTCTCGTCATGAAACCAGGCCACAAGGCATACGAAGACACGCAGAAATTCCTGGCCAAGCAGAACACCAGCCTTGAGGATCCGGCACACGCGCCGAAGCTGACGGCTCTCCGGGATCTCCTCGTCGACTGCGGCATTGGCATCGAAGGCCAAGATTCGTCAGACCCGCTATACACGCCCATCAAACCGCACCGGGCGCTCGTATTTTGCCAGATGAAGGAGATGCTCGACATGGTGCAGAACACGGTGCTTAAGAGCATGCTCCCGTCGGTGCAGTACCTGCGCTTGGACGGGTCGGTCGAGGCCAACCGGCGCCAGGACATCGTCAACAAGTTCAACAGCGACCCGTCATACGACGTGCTGCTCCTGACGACGAGCGTCGGCGGTCTGGGCCTGAACCTGACGGGCGCCGACACGGTCATCTTTGTCGAGCACGACTGGAACCCGCAAAGGGACCTGCAGGCCATGGATCGTGCGCACCGCATCGGGCAGAAGAAGGTGGTCAACGTGTACCGGCTCATCACGCGCGGCACGCTCGAGGAGAAGATTTTGAGTCTGCAGCGCTTCAAGATTGACGTCGCCAGCACTGTGGTTAACCAGCAGAACGCGGGGCTGGCTACCATGGACACGGATCAGATTCTGGATCTGTTCAACCTCGGCGAATCGGGCCCGAGTCTCATTTCGGACAACAAGGGCAAAGAAAACCTCGAGGGCCGCGAGGAGGACATGGTGGATATCGAGACGGGCGATGTCAGGCAGCCGGGCAAGAAGGCGGCTTGGCTGGAGGGCCTGGGCGAGCTATGGGATAACACGCAGTATGAGGAGAGTTTTGATCTGGATGGGTTCTTGAAGACGATGCAGTAGAGGGGAGAGAGGCTACGCCAGGGGGAATATTTTGGGTTTGCTTTGTGGGAGGGGCTAGGATATTGGTTTCGGCGGTACGATGGAACGGCACCAAGGGGGCGTTGGGATGAGTGCAAACTGGGGGTAATGGACGGGACTTTTGGTTCGATTGTACGAGTGTAGTCTGTACTGGGCGAAGCATGCGTTGTTTTGTAGTTGTAAACTTACCGGGGAGGTATGGCGGTTTGAGAAGCCATCAAGTCATCGACCATGGGGTGAGTTACCCCTTTTTTGCTGGTGTATGAGTTGAATCCAATTGAGGTTTAGCTTACATATTGGTGCATGACGATCCCCCGCGATTCAAGGAGGTGCCCCTGCTTCAGTGACGTTTGGGCTGGAAATGACGTCAAGCCACCCAACCATAGTTCAGGGCCATGTGAGCGGTTTCAAAAGGAGGAGCAGGTATACGCGTATCGGTTCATTGTTCTCGGTGTGCTTAGGTATCAAAGCAAGTCGGCTTCTGCTTTCAAGTGTTGAAAGCAGGATCCAACAATCTTTCCACAGAGTTCTTGACTTGGAGACCAATATCCCGCCCATCAATTCGTGTGGCTCCAGCGCTGAAGATTGGAGCAGGTTACAGAGATATTAACGTCAGTCTAGTGAGCAAACATGGCCAACTTTGATCCTTGCCTACCTACCTGATTCGGGAACCGCTTACACTGTAATTTCAGGCCAGATACTCAAAACTACGCTATCTTCAAGTTTCAAGTCCGCGTTCGCTGTGAGCATTCAAGTTTGTGCCAGCTACTCTGCTCAGTTGGTTCCTGGATGACGCGTACAACAAGGTTGAGCCCCTGCTGTGCCAATCCTACAAAACAAATTGAACCCAACACAACGAAAGCACACAAAACCGACCTCTTGAAATTCATTCTCCCCCTTCCCGGTACCTTATATCCCGACCATACGGAGCACCGATCGCTCAGAACAGCCATTACGTATTGCACGAAGCCAATTTCTACCTTCCACACCACAACATCCTCAACACCGTATACCTTTAATACTCTCCTTTTCCACTGAAAGAAGAAACGCCGGCAAAGGAAAATAAAAGGAAAGAAACATGTCCCACTACGCCCCCTTCAAATCCCTCTCCCACATCTCCTGGACAAGCGACATCGTCCAGCGCGACCCGTCCTCCCTAGCCGACCTGCTCACCACGACGCTGAGCGAAGCCCAGCTCCTCATCGACTCCATCCCGACTCCCACCCCACCTTCTGTCTCATCGAGCACGCACCCGTCCAGCGGACGGGCAAGATCCCACACCGACTCGTCCGTCCGGCCCCCTTCCTCTTCCGGAAGCGCAAAGGGGGATACCGGCGCGGCGGTGAAAGAGGAACTGGTACAGAAAAGAACAGAGCAGGACAAGGAGACGGTGCGCAAGCTGCAGCGCGAGTGGAAGGACCTCAAGGTGCCGCAGGGCGACAAGGGCGGAAACCCGCACTCCATCACCATGTACAAGATGGCGGCCAAGGACGGCAAATACGCGTGGTTTGCACGGAGGAGCCTGCATCGGTCCGAGGGCGGCGGCATGGGCGGGTTCGAGAAGTGGGAGGCGGCGCTGCGGAGGGAGATGCAAGCCACCCTGGACAGGGTTGCCGAGACGCCGGGAAAGGAGCCTGGGACGGGGAATATCAGGGGGATTGGGGCTGAGAGGAGGGTTGAGACGATCGAGTGTGAGGCCGGGAGGATGGATGGTAAGTACTTTAATGATTGAGTTTTTGTGATGAGGAGTCGCTTACGCGCGGTAGTCTATCATGTCTCGGCGAGATTTCCCGGTCCTACAACCCCCAGGGACTTTGTCGCGCTGATTATGACGCCCAAAGGGGAGAAGAAGGATAAGCGAGCCCGGGCGCCGAGACAGTTCATGGTTGTCTCGAGACCATGCGATCACCCCGACTGTCCGCCTAGAGCGGGATTCATCCGCGGCACCTACGAGTCGGTCGAGCTCATTCGGGAGGTGCCTGTCGACAAGCCGCTGCGGAAGGTCAGATCGTCGATCGATCTGAACAGAGACGACGTAAAGAGGCCTTCGGACGGAGAGCGCAGGAGCAAGGAGGCGGTGCTGCGGGCTGCGAAGCGGGCGACGGGTGATGAAGTCGAGTCGGAGGGCGAGGGCAGGACTGCGTCGTCTCGGCTGGCTGATGACGGCGACCAGGGAGACACGGAGATGGCAATCGAGTGGCTGATGGTTACTCGTAGTGACCCGGGCGGCAGCGTTCCCCGCTTCATGGTCGAGAAGGGGACACCAGGAGGGATCATCAACGACGCGGGGAAGTTTCTCAAGTGGCTTTCTGCTCAGACGATGGACGACCTCACGAAATCAATCTCGTCTCATTCTGATCAGCGGGAAACGAAGACGACCGGAGAGTCACCGGCCCAGGAACAACCCGGCCAACTCCCGACAGACACATCGGCCGAAGACCACCTTCCAGACGGAGAAGCTGAGCCTCGGGAGCAACCATCCGCCAACAACAGCGGAATCTACGGCATGGTCAGCAGTGCTCTTGGCATGGCCACCTCAGCTGTCGCCAGCAGGGTAGCTGCATTCGCCCCCAAACTGACTGACTCAGACAGGAGTGACGACGAGAGCGACACGTCAGAAGCCAGCTTCGCCTCCGCGGCCGAAGAGGGCTCCCACCCGGAGTCTACAATTCGAGATCACAATAATGCCGAGACAGCCTCGCCAACCGACGGGGCCTCCACCCACTCCGCACCGTCAACTCTCTCGGAACAGGACGCACAAACCCTATCGCTGACACCGTCAGCAACCTTCTTGCAAGTGAAGTCCCAACACGAAAAGGAACTCGGCAAACTCCAAAGCCGCATGCGTAAAGCTCAAGAAAAACTCGAGCGTGCCCAGGCCCGCAGACAAGCCAAGAACAACAACACCACGGCTGCCGCCGCCGCCAGCAAAGGTGACTCGGCCTCCGACGAAACCAAGCAAAAACAAAAGGAAAAAGACGACCAAGCGCTGGCCAAGCTGCGCGAAAAACACGAAAAAGAGATAGCGAAGCAGGAAGAGAAATTCCGCCGTGAGCTGCAGCGCCTGGCCGACAAGCGGGCGGCCGAGGAGCGCAAGGCCGAGGCGCGGCGCAAGAAGGCGGCCGAGCGTGAGGAGCGCGGCAACCTGGCCATGGAGCTGGAGCGGGTCAAGGCGGAGCGGGACGTGGCGCGCAAGGAGGTCGACATGCTGCGCGAGCGGGTCGGCGAGTTGCAGGGGCAGTGCACCATGCTTGTTGCGCGGCTTGGGAAGGAGGGGATTGATGTCGCGGAGCTGAAGAAGGATGTTGGGATAAAGGGGTGAGGGAGAGAAGGGTGGCGATTTTTCTATGGTGATTTTATGTTGCGGAAGCGGTTGATCTTTGACCTGTATCTCACAGACGGTTTAGCGTTTTATTCCCACTCACGAGGACATGTGTGTACGATATATTGACGAGCATTTATATCCGTTTCCAACAAGACCGACTGAAGCAACGCCGGAAAGCAGAGTGACACGCAGAGGAGGTAACGGACGGGGTACATGATATCTGACCTACTAGGTATGTTGTTAAAGGTGCTAGCTAGTATTAGTATTTGCCCCTATTCCCTGTTTCATCTTATGGTAGCTTTGTGCGGATAAGAGGAGAAGGGAACGCCAGCCCAGAATCGAACTGGGACTCAACAGTCCTGGGCACCGCTAGCTTACAGCACCGCAAGATCATGGCGATGACGCCCCTCACTCAGCTGCGCGCCTTCTACACTCCCAAGCGTTGCTTTATCTCACTGTCGCTCGCCATCGTGAACTGCCATCCACTATCTCGCACATCAACAGACTGAACATACATCCTTCCGATCCTACGTGGAAAGCAACGTGACACAAAAAGACTCAAAAGGTTAATCCCACACACCTTAGGGAATGATGTGATGGACGAGCTGGGAATCGAACCCAGGACCTTTCGCATACACCAGTGCATGCTAAGCGAACGCTCTACCAACTGAGCCACACGCCCTGTGGTGTTTGAGGCTAAAGTAATTAAACTATGTTCTTCTCATCCTTGTTGGCGGCTCTTGGGAAATAACTCGGAGCGGGCAAGAGACGGAACGAAACCGTCGTGTGTCAACATTGGGCCCGAACAATAACCCATGCGGTCCAGGTCACGTTTTCTTTCACCCGACCAAGGCGGTGATTCTTGGATAGTGACGTGCTACTCGAACGTAGGCGCTTTGCAGATTGTATCACTTCCATGCTGTTCGTGGACCGAAGCCCAACGTAAGTGACACAGTCCCTGTTCCTCAAGAGGTACTCCTTTTCATCTCAACTCTCCTCCTGATGTCATCCCCCCAAGGATTCATCCTCTGCCAAACCCTCCGCAACCGGTTCATTCCCTGCCGCTCTACACAACAGCATGCACCCCAAGCACAACAACATCATTCCCCTTTTCTCTACCGCTCCTATACTCCCCTAAACTCCTCAACTCCTCAACCCCCTCTTCCGCACTGCACCACCCTGCACCAGGCTCAACCCAGAAAGAGGAAAGATGTGAAAGAACCAAACGCCACCCGCTAGCGAGCACCTCGCTCCCCTCCATTCACCTTCCTCCCGCCAGCACTCCCATCCACCACAACCGGCGTCATTTTCCTCTTCCACCGCCCTCCGCTCCCATCCACAATCACAGGACGCTCTTCCTTCTTGTTCTTCTCCTGGACGCCGGCCTCTCTCACAGCCACAGCCATCGAGGCGCTAGAGCCCGACGACCCAAGAGAGCCCGAAGCTCCCAATGACGACGGATGCCCCTGTGAGTGCGACGGCTTCGACAACCCGCCAGCGTCCTTCCCAAACCTCGATAATGATGCGCCCGCACCCGAAGAAGGCTTGCTTTGCATCATCCGCCTCCCACGCCGGCTACCTCCGCCGACTCCTCCGAGTGCCGTGCTCCCCTCGCCGAGCACACGCGCCGACAACTTGCTTCCGCCCACCACGCACCCGTCTAGTGATGCGACGGCTGCAGCGGCTAGTCCTGCCGCGCTGAACGTGACAAAGGCCCTTGGCCTCCCGCTGCTGCTGGCAGACAGCTCGATCTTCTCGACCTGGCCTGGTGTTGCTGTGTCAATGCCTGTGAGCCGGACGAGATGAGACATGACGACGGCCTCGGAGAGGTTTTCGCGCTCGAGGTTGTAGATGACGATCTTCCGCTGCTGTTCCTTGGCGGCGGCGCCTGGTTGCTCTTTGATGTTGCGAGAGGTGGTGGTGGTGACAATCTGTTCTAGCTGTGATGGCGCCGATGCAGCTGCGTCGGGCAGCCAGGGTAAGTAGCTCGTGCCTTCGGGAGGCCGCTGGTAATATCTGGCGTAGGTTTGTCCTTCCACACTGTACGCGGCTCCTGGCGGGAAGTTTGAGGCGGAGGCGTCGTATTGTGCCGCCGCGGGATGGGTGATGACGGACAATGGGCCTGGGGCCGTCCGGTACATTACAGACGGGGTGCTTGTGGGGAGAGGACCGGTCGCCACCGGCCAGATAAAGCCGTGGTTCGAGGGTGCCATCACCTGGTATGCCATGGGGCCAGATGATATGAGGGTTGTGCTCGGCATCGCCGGTTGGTAGTCTTCGTCGGGGACATAAGAGGAAGCCATAACATAACGCCACTTCACGTCTGCCTGTGGCGCTGCGTCGAGTGCCGAGCTGGCGCTGCCCTGGTAATCCAAATATGAATTCCCACTTCCAGCGCTTGTTCCGTGGGAAAATGGTTCAGGAGAAACATTGGGGTCTAAGGCTGGAGCGTCGGGCTCGTCGAACACTCTCACACTACCACCTCGACGGATTCTCTCCGCGTGGAAGTCGTTTGGAGGCAGCTTGACGACAGTCGGCTGATTCAAGTTCCTCCCATCCGCCTGAAGAGCGCGGTACTCGAGCGTGTTGCCATCGAGATACCCTGCCATTGATTGTTAGGGCGGGACAAGAGCAAGACGGATAAAGATAGGGGTGGCTTACTGATTGCCTTCTCGAAATTGGCCCGGCCCTTTACCCGAACGAAACCAGAGGTCGGAGGGTAAACCTCAGCATGATCCACTTCGCAGGCTTGGGAAGCAAATGCCTTTAGATCCCTCCAAGTCGTCCGATGAGCGAGCTAGACGCGTCCGATCAGCCACACTTAGCGGGATGAACTGGGTGGGAGCTCCCCACGTACGTTGGCAACCAAAATGTAGTACAACCCGGTCTCGGTTCCCGGTTCTACCGTGTAGGTTTCCAAGTGTCGATTGTGCTGATGGTGGCGATGCATTCTGGGCTTAGGTGGTCAGGGGTGGGGTTACGTCGAACCACCCTGAAAGCAAGTACAACAGTGCCTCTGCCTGTTCAGTACGTGCCAGTGCTGGCAAATTCGGCTTGTATACTGGACTGCTGCGTGGCGTGCTGAACAGATTGGCACGCCATCAATGGCAAGGGCCAGGACCTCCCGACCCGTTATGCGTGTAGTAAGAAGCTGAAGTCAAAGTATGGAGTGTTAGGATAGAACCACTGTTGCGATCACGGATCCAACGTGAGATGGCGCGCCTGAAGATGCAAGTAGCTGAAGCAGTCAACTTTTCATGGGCAATGGAGGTACAACTGGAAAGAGCCAGGCAACAAGTACCTGCTGTCGAAACAGCTTTGGTGTGGCAAGGAGTGACGAGCCTAGAACCAAAAATACCTTGTTATGCGGAGCTCAAAAGCAGTCCTGACATCAGCTTTAAGAGAGTTCCTGTACCTTGGCAGGTTCGAGTGGCCCCTTAGGCAAATGCGATTTCAGCGAGCCCTCGGTTGCCCCCCATATTCATCTCCGGGAGACACAGCAAGCCGCAGAATGCCGGATTGGCGACTTGTCACATCTGACACTAAGGTGGGTTATCGAGTCCCAGGACACACAAGGCAGGTTTGGGGTGAACCGGACAGCTTTTCGCTCCTGTCGAGGCTGCTGAAGCCACGCCCTGGCGGCCCTTCCCGGGCCGAAGTGCATCAACCGGCACGGTGAAGATCGCCGGATACCAAGAGGACCGGTCCATCCCGCGACCAGGGACGACAAGCGTGTGTCGATGACCCAAAAGCAGCGAAGAAATTCTTGTCGAGAACGTCGCAATGAGAAGACCTGTTGGCCGTAATGAGTTCGAAGTGGCGTCGAAGTCACTCCGACCGCGCTCCCTGGCCAGTCCAATCATTACATAGGGAAGACTCGAGCGCGGGACCGGAAACGGGGCCCGAATGCTTAGTGCCAACAGGGTATCTTGATTATGCGAAGAAGCGCCTCATTGATCAATGAGAGACGGTTGGAGATGTTGATGTCCCGAATGTGTGAAAGATCGGGGCGCAGACAAGGGGCACTCCATGGTCAGCCCTGCGGAGAGCTGCACAAGCGCAGCTGCACGGAGCGGAAAGGAATCCTGGTGGCACTCCTGTAGCCTGCTGAGGCCGACAACCACTGTGAATCTGTCTTCGAAGCAAGACACGCTTCCACCCTCGCTCATTATCGATAGCAACAGCTAGGCCTGGCCCTGAAGGCACTCACCGCCAGGCAGATGTGCTGCGGGTTCCCGACTCCTTGCATTCTGGGATTGACAAGTGATGTTTGCCGGCGGACAAAGATACGTCCACGTCGTCGGGAGGGACAAACTGAACTCGACCCCACTTGGCAAAGACCGAAGAAGTCGCCTGGATGTGGTAATATCAGGCGAGAGCTCTTGTTGGCAGACGCCTCTGACTGAATTCCGGGCAGTCCACCGCAGCGCCCTGCCCGACAAAGCTGACAAGTTCGCGGAGATCTACGTGAGCAAGACTCTGCCAGGAAAATTTGAGTCAAAAAGTGGTATCGTATGCACACTGCAGCTTTCCAGACGATCCATCGAACCGATGGAATCGTCCATATTGAGAACCCTGGAGCGGTGATGTTGGGGGCTCCCGCTTCCAATCCCTTTTCGGCTAAGGGAAAAACAAGGAATAAGCAACAGTGACTTGAGGCTATCTGCGGGGTTTGAAGCGGTCTTCCCGTTCGGTTGGATGACTCGAATCGCCAAGGTTGGAGTCTTGTTGCTGGTTTCGTCCTCGCTCTTTTCCAAATGGGAGGCAGCTTGCATACGCTACGTTAACTTCAATCACTGTCGAGAGGGGGACATCCGAATCAACGGCTGTTGTGCCGCCTTCCCCGCTGGTCCGAGCCCAGGAGGCAAACCCAGGTTGTCGGGTTTGCGTGCCTCTTGGATCCCATCGGGGACCGCATCCAAGACCAAACTGCGACACACGCGGCTTGCTGCATGCGCTAATCAACGCTTGTGCACGAAAGTGTCCTCCAGCTCGCTGCAGCCATCGACGTCTTCTGATTCTGGTACTCCGGATCTCATCCCGAATGCCGGAACCAGATGAAGAGGTGATTCTTCACGTCGCTCGTGCAGCTCTCCCGACAGGCTCGGTTCAGCAGACTCAGCTTCACCCCACGGAGTCACGCCCTGGTCCGCGGCGCCAAGACATGCGAGCACGTAGTTCTGAGCGTCCGAGAAGAAAACAGACGGATGGCTTGAGATGTCAGACCCAAGCCACAAGGTACGGACCCGGCCGACAGCCTTTGCGCCAGGCAAGTGCGGCGCAAAGTCGACCGAACGGGGTCCTTCCGAGAGGGGATCCCAGACAAAGATCAAGCCATTGTACTCGTCACCTTCGCATCTGACAAGCAGGGTTTCCGGAATGCGTGGATGCCATGAAAGGGTGGCGACGTTTCCGTGGAAGAGGAGCACCGCACGGAGCTCTGCAGCCTGCACATCCCAGATCCAGACGGTACCGGGCGAATCGTCCTGGCGGGTGGCGAAGAGGACTGACGAGGGATCAAAAGAAATCGACGCGCACCCAGATACTGGCTCTGAAATGTCGCGCAGAGCAGGCGCCGGGGAGATGGCCTGTGTAGTACGCAGAAAGGTATGGATGATGGGTCCCGCATGCGACACGGTAATCTGCTCTTGCCAGACCTGTGCACAGCGCAGTTGGTTAGCGGGGAAGGTAGCCGACAGGCACATTGCCGCGCTCACCTGCAGGGTCTCTTTAGGAACAACAGTCTTCGGGTGCCGGAGCCGGATCGTCTCTGTGACTGACGACATGCCGAGCAGGCTGACTGATCTGCTGAAATCACCAATGGCAAGATGTTGGGCGTCCACAGAAAACTCGACCGACTTGATGCCCCCGCCAAGAATATAGTCTCTGTCCTCGGGGTATGGATCGGCAGGCCCTGACCACGTCTTGAAGGCATGCCCATCGGAAGTGTAGAAGAGGATTTTGTGGCCATGGGCGGGTGAGTCCCAAACCACCAGCCATCTTCCGTCGGGGCTCCAGGCCAGCGCCTGGGCATCAATTGTATTGGGTGCCCAGGATCTCTGCAGCTCTCTTAACGGGTAGCCGTGTATGCTCACCATGTCTTTACCCGAAGTCCTAGTGAGCAGGGCAAGGTGACGTGTCTCGGGCCGGAAGGAGAAGCACCTCGACGCGGAAGAGGAGGAGAACACCTTGGGGCTGCCAATCTCGGTCGCTTTCGACGATGCCAGGTCGATCACGGTAAACTTGAGGCCGAATGAGGAGATGACACAAATCTCGGCGTCGGAGGCGCCGAAGCCAACGTATGCTGGCTTCGTGCCGGCGGCAATATGGTTCCGAACGATGGCACTAAAGCTGTCATCCAAGGCCGACGCGACGCGAATTCTTTCAGCATCGGCAATGAGCAGCAGCCGTGAGGAGGGCGACCATTGGAAGCTCAGAACGGGACCTGCAAAGTCCTGACCAAGCTTGACGACGTTAATCACTTCGAGTCTAGATACCGCTCGAACGTTGACAACAGGCCCGAAAACTGTGGCAACATATCTCCCATCTGGACTTGGGAGAGATTGGGTCGAGGCTTTGGCTCATTAGCAGTGGCCGTTCTTGCCGTAAATACCAGAAGGCTTACATTTCATTGCTTTCGAGAATTGCATCGCGTATATCGTCAGGAATTTAGTTGGGGCCGAATCAATGTTAGAGAGATATGAGAGGAAACTGGAATTGCGAGAGAGTCTCTTCAATTTCACCTCAGTCGCGTCAGGCACTCGCCCGTGTCAAGTTGTTGCGTACCTTCCTCTTCCCACATTTGTCGCGAGCCTGTGGTTGAGACTGCCAGATACGGTCTGTGCGGGCAAACAAAACAATCAGGGCCCGCTGTCCGAGTGACCGACAGTGGCAAACTGCCGCCGAAGTCCCACTCTATCGGTCTGTGCCAAGACACCTCAAAGGTGGACGTTGAATCTGGCATCTTCGCCGAACCGATGGCGGGGATCCGCAACCTCCGTGTTCCGCGGAGACCTGGCCACTCTTGCTGACTCACCGTTGCCGCCACCGCTCACTTCGATCATGCAAATCGGGTCATCTGCAATCGCATCCCCACGATTGGGGAGACAACGAATCTCCGTGGACTACGGATCCGTAGACTGGCGAAAACCGCATAATAGCCTTCCGATCTCACGGCTATGCCCGCCCTCCTACAGTTCACGTAACTCTGTCAATTGGAAGGATGGCACTGCCTGTGCGTTGCGTCACTCGCAGTCTCCGGGCCGGCGCGCTGCAGATACCAAGGCCGCATCGGACCGTCAAGTCGCAAGCGAGGCGTATTACTTCGGAATCGCCCGCTGTTCAGACACCCGAACATGTGCCGCCACAGCGCCCTCTCTTGTTAGCAACCCAGCCCGGCGCTCTCATACAGGATCCGAATCAGGATGGCTCTGTACCCTCCCGTAGGGACCGCATCCGGGACGCCAAGCCCTATTCCGACTTCCTCACCGACACCTTCCACCGTCAACACGATTACCTGCGTATCTCGGTCACGGAGCGGTGCAATCTGAGATGCCTGTACTGCATGCCAGAGGAAGGCGTGCCGCTATCGCCACCAAAGGAGTTACTTACAACGCCCGAAATCGTCATGTTGTCGTCTCTCTTCGTCTCACAAGGCGTGACCAAGGTTCGGCTTACTGGAGGCGAGCCAACCGTCCGACGGGACATTGTGCCTCTGATGCAGCAAATCGGAGCACTGCGCGCCCATGGCCTGCGCGAGCTGTGCCTGACCACCAACGGTCTCTCGCTGCACCGCAAGCTGGAGCCCATGGTTGACGCTGGGCTGACGGGCGTCAACCTCTCGCTCGATACGCTGGATCCATGGCAGTTCCAGCTGATGACGCGACGCGCAGGGTTCGGCGCTGTCCAGAAGACCATCGATCGGATCTTTGAGCTGAATCGGGCGGGTGCAGGCATCAAGTTTAAGATCAACTGCGTCGTCATGCGTGGGCTGAACGATCGTGAGATCCTCCCGTTCGTGGAGCTGACGCGCGAGAAGAAAGTCGAGGTGCGCTTTATCGAGTACATGCCGTTTGACGGCAACAAGTGGAGTGAGGGCAAGATGTTTAGCTATCAGGAGATGCTGGACCGGATCCGTTCTCGGTACCCGGACTTGCAGCGTGTCAAGGGCCACAAGAATGACACCAGCAAGACCTTCCAGGTCCCCGGCTTTGTGGGCAAACTTGGTTTCATCACGAGCATGACCAACAACTTCTGCGGGACGTGCAACAGACTTCGCATCACGAGCGACGGAAATCTGAAGGTATGCCTATTTGGCAATGCCGAGGTCTCCCTGCGAGACATTATACGAAAAGTGAACCGAGGCGACCCTATCGATGACGCGGCTTTTAAGGCGTTGGAGCAGGCAGCATTGGAAAGGATAGGCAGGCTGCCGCCGTCTAGCTCTCAATCACTGGTGGTACCAAATTCGGAGGAGCTGCTCAACGTCATCGGCATGGCTGTCAAGCGGAAGAAGGAGAAACACGCTGGCCTCGGAGAGCTAGAGCACATGAAGAACAGGCCAATGATATTGATCGGTGGGTGATAAGTCCTTGTTTTCTTCACTTGCTGTCACATTGGTCGGAGTTTTGGAGCCTGGCATGGCATGGCATGGATGTATATGGAGCATTTCGAGTTCGTCGGATACCATCAGGCGGTTGCATAGCATGTATGGGCAGGCTAGCTGAGTAGAAACTTGTAGATTCAACAACGTCATCCCAACGCCGTCTCCAAAGTTACCCGCGGCGGTCTCAATTCGGATTCTCACCAACCTTCCGCCCACCCGGTAGACTCCTATTCCCTCTCCCAAGCGTTACAGCCGCCAACCAAATCACCGCCGGGGAACTCCGACTCTTCTCGACCACCACCCGGCGACACCTCCCTAACGACGACGATGAGAAGCTCAAACTAACCCACGTCACCGCCTCGGGTGCAGCACATATGGTGTCCATCTCCGAGAAACCCCCCACCAAACGTATCGCCAGAGCAAAATGCACCGTCCGTTTCTCCTCGCCCACCCCGCTCGCCCTCATCCGCGACAACCAGATCAAAAAGGGCGACGTGCTCGGCGTGGCGCGCATCGCGGGCATCATGGCGGCCAAGCGCACGCCAGAACTTATCCCGCTATGTCACCCCGTCGCGCTGACGCATGCCGAGGTGACACTCGTGCCGCGCAGCAGCAGCAGCAGCAACAGCAGCAGCAGTGGGGATGGGGAAGGGAAGGGGGAAAGGGAGCAGGAGGAGGGCGGGAGGGATGAGATTGAGATTACGGCTACCGTCTCGTGCGACGGCAAGACGGGCGTCGAAATGGAGGCGCTTACTGCCGCTGGGGCGGCTGCGCTGACCGTGTTTGATATGTGCAAGGCGGTGGATACGGGGATGGTTATTGAGGGGTTGAGGGTGGTCCTAAAGGAGGGTGGGAAGAGTGGGCGGTGGGTTGAGGAGGAGAAGGTTGAGTGATGGTGTTTTGGTGTATGCGGTTAATAAGAGAGGAAGAGCATGCTTGCTTGGAAAAAGGGTCAGGGATAGGTCAAGGACATGAAGACGACACTCGATCTTCGTTTCAGTTGCTAGAAGCAGGTGACCTAATACGGATTCGGGGATTCTTATAAATCTTAGCTGGAAATCCATACCCCCGTGCATTTGTCCTACTAGCTATAACGTTATATTAAACATCGGATACTGTTGAGAGATAGAATTGTTGTTTCAGCATAGCGTATATCAACAACAATCTCCTGAATACAGGTTCCTACCTAGAATAATAGGTAATCCTCTTCGCAACACCACCTCATCCCCCCCTGCTTTTATCATTTTCGTAACATATTACAAAATGTGCAAGCTTCTGCAAATACTCCGTAACATACCCAACTTTCCCCTAGGTCTTATCAGAGCTGTTCAATCCTTCCTGGCCTGGGCTCGATGAGCATTTCTGGCCCGCCCCTGTTTGTCATGATGTAACAAGAATCAACGGTCCCCACAGCAGTCATGCGCCGACACAAAGCGCACCTCTACGTTTTCCCCAATCTGGTGCAGAACCCTTGATGCTGTAGAAGCCTCTACTTTGCTTGTCATTACATGTCACTCCAAAACAGCACGTATAGACCGTACCTTCACCGCTGTCAAGCACATGCTGTGTGGTTGAATCCAACAACACGATTCCTATGTTGGATGTGAAATGTGGAATGACGGGCGAATTCCGGTGCTCGGCCTATCGTTGTCCTCCAATCGCCCCTCGCCATCCCTCAAGTAGCACTTCATTGTGTAGCTCAACCAATCACCATTTGACGATAACCTTCTCTTCAACACAGCCAATCGAATTCCGTACCTCCGTTCAATTCTGCAACCGGTAGGCCAGTGGAGTCTCATGCAGTGACACATCTTGGCAGAACCTGGAACAGCTATTTCCTTCCTCCGCTCCCTTCCGCGACCACCGCCAATGTCCAACCAGCGAGTCAAGAAAGAGGCAAAAGGCAATGAGCTAAAGCTGGAATGTTACCAACTATAAATAGTGCTTGGATACTGGGGCCTTTCCACTGCACTGATCACCTTCACAATCGAATGACAGTAGGCAAGCCATTCACTACCACATCATCATTTTAACACTGGATCCGCATCGACATGGCTCCCAATCAATGCGGGTTGCAGCTCTTACGGTACGTCATCTGGAGAAGATATATAGTATAACCGTGTTGAATGCGCCTAAAGAAAGAAACGTGCTTGAAATAGCAGCAAAACGATATTAGCGATAAACCAATCTATCTGTAAGCTATCTGCATATTGAGTATGCAGAGTAAGTAGATATGCTTATATAAGAGCGCACCGGTAGACGAATATCACGCAGCCTACCATGTGAAAGCCCCTTCCAGCTAGACAGTCCGTACAGGTTATATAGTACAGAGTAGATCAGTGATTTTTAAGTCCCAACTAGTGTAAGGGAACGATTAATCACTTTCCGAGATGCAGCTAACTCTGCTTGCTGAAGTTGGACTTTACCATGATTCCATGATCAAAGGGCCTGTCTTGCTTACACTATACATCTGACGAGACGCTAGTAGTTACGTATATTCATTAAGGTATCATGATATAGACCCAGAACCTTCTCCCTGCCCCACCGGTACCGCTATCAAAGCAATTGGTCCACCGGCCCTTTTCCAAGCGATATGCTGAAAGGAACAGCGCCTTCTCCATGCTCGAAACCGGCCTCGGTGTACCATACCTAGTTGAAATACCAGACAAAAGCAATCGATCTCTCTGTAGAACGGTCTTATGAGAACGACCCAACTCGGGAGGATACAGACAAGAAGGTGACTCAGGAGGGCGGGATGTTTCGTAGTTCCCATAAGCGGTGTTGTTTTTGCGCCCCTCCACATTACATCACGATGCAGCACGAGTTCTGCTTCTTGGCTGACTTGTAAAACATCTTGCTTTGTGCGCTCAAGTCAGAGCTCTTGGCCACGAGGTCGTCGAGTTTCTCGCCGCGTTGCAGGACCTGCCTGGAGTTTAGCACTCCGCTTGAAAACCGAATATAGACCAAGGAAAGGGGAGGCAGACGCTATCAATGGCCTTGTGGAGGACGATCTTAGTCTCGTCCAGCTCCTGCTGGATCTTGGCGATGCTACTCGCTTGGTTCGCGTCTTGGTAGTTGTTCAAGTAGTCGTTCAGGGCCGGGAACGATACGTCGCCGTCCTTGGCGGCGGCCCGGATGCTGGCGAGCGGGACTTCGGACAGGAACTGGTCCATGAGCTTGGAGAGCACGCTGTGCGCTGCGAGGTTGGGGTAGTCCTTGGTGATGACGACACCGGCGACGCCCTCGGAGCGGGCATAACAGTGAACGACGTAATCTATCACAGCAGCGTGTGAGCGGGATCCAAGCATACATCGTCAGCGTAATGTCTCAGATGTCTGCGCACCTCCCTCTGTAACACTCTGCCTCTGACCGGCCCCCGTCCGCTCGGCCACCGTCTTGCTGATCATGGTCATGAAGTTGCCATAGTCATTTCTGGTAAATCGGGAGAATTCGCTGAGCTCGTGCGCCGCGCATAGCTGTACTGCGGGCTTCTTGGAGTTGTCGAGGACCTGCCTGGTCGTCAGCCCGCGGCCCATGCGCGCAGGGAACATGTGGGACATACGCCGACGTAGTAGAGCTTCATGGCGCCGACAGTGCTTGGTTCTGAGCGGCAATATCGGGGCCCGGGTGTACAGACGGCGATCAGACGGCTAGTGGAGCTTTCACAGGCAAGGGACGGGTGCGAGCTTTCGTCGGGGCCGGCGATGCCTTCGGTGGGACTCGGTGTTGTGGGGCGGTTGCACAGGACTGAAGGGGCGCCGCCGACTCAACTTTGTGGCTTGTATTCACCGTCGGCTTGCTTATATTTGTACAGAATCTTGGTCGAAACAGCCGAGGGTTCTGTGACTGCACCGGCAGTGTTGTAGGTTGGAGATACGCTTCGTTGAGAGGTGATGCCGTTGTCTGCCTGGCCAACAACGACGCTTGCGGTCTGGCCAGGGGTGGCGCAGACCAAGCCCGGCAGAAAGTTTACCCTCACCGAATGTGGGGACGCCGAGGGCAAGTAATCGCTCAACTGCATAGCTGGTGCCGCTCGGTACTTACCAGATACACGAGTACCTCCATAATCCGCCGAGACGAAGCCGGAGATTCATGAGCCGCGCTCACCACAAATACTTACCTCTTGTTCCAATGACAGGGCACAGCACTTCATCTCAGGCTTTTCCGCACGCTCTCTCTCTTGAGTCTCTCTGACTGAGTGAGAATGCATACCGACGGAGCCGAGCTATGAGCGAGGGAGTCAGGACACCGCCAACTTCGTGGCGAAAGGTGAAAGTATCTCGAGATACCGTGGTGGACATGTCAGGGTCCAACCTTCTTTTTAAATCTACGGAGCATGATCGTTTGGCTTCTTAGCCTGGACTGGATACGACGACACAATGTCACCGCACTTCCCTCTTACTCTCTGGGATGCCAAGCCGGAACAAGTGTACAGGACCCTCAATGTCATGTCATGGTGACGGGAGGCAATACTCAGTTACGAACAGCTGATAAAGTCTACCAGGATGCAGACATGTTGGAAGGCTCCGATAGATGCTTATCAGACTTCAACCTGCACGAGTCCAGCGTGGAGCATGAGCACTTGCCGTTCATGTCCACCTTGACAAGGTCCAGGGTCTCACAAGTGGACATCCCTCCGCTATGCTCGCCATGCATTGCTTCCTCCTGGTTCCACCGCTACTTTTCTTGCAAGACCGAGATCTGGTGCTCAAAAGCATCGGATCCATAAATATAATGGAGCCCTTCTCATTCGGTGTGCTCGACCCACCTCTGTAATAAGAAAAGATAACGCCCACTTGCTGTTCGTCTTCACCTCTCACCTCTCCCAAACCGGTGCTGTGCTTTTTGTTTGTTATTTCGATACCCACCACCCGTCTAACAGTGATCCTAGTCCGTGCAAGACCGAACTAGAAGACCGATTCGCTAGTCGTATGAGCGACCGTGACAAGGCCGATACCTGTCCAAGTTGTCCTCTGGGTGTTTTCTGAGCGTCTGTTCCGGTCCGCCTTGATTAGTTACCGGCTCGTTCTTGCCACTGCAATCTTTCAAACCCGAGTCTTTGACCGCCAGCGACTTAAGTCCTCTTTGGAACCCATTTTACAGATAAATCCAAACCTCAATAACCTCTTGGTTGCGGCCCTACTTGGGTGTGAAGTACCCTCTCACGTCAGGTACTGTGTCTCGGCGCAGGTTCGGTTGACCCCCACAGCCAGTCTTATCGTCGTTGGCGCATCTCACTTGCAACCCGAAGACCAAGAGCACGCCGGCGATTGCCTCATGGCGACCGATTTCATAATGCCGCGGGCACCGGGCGAGCAGCCACCAAACATCTACTATTCGCCTACCCAGCGCCAGCGCCAACAGTATCGAGCACAGCAGCAAGCCGTATTTCAACCATCCCCCATCGCGACCGCCTACCCCGCGTCCACACAGTACAACTCACCGGTCTCGCCGCTTGGTACTCCAGGGACCATCTCACCGGTCGCCTCCAAGAACCGCCCCTTGTATGTCCCCGCCGTGTTGCGCCCGACCGAGTTTCCGTCCAAGGAACCGCCCGTCCGCGCAAAGCCACAAGATGATGACTTTGTCGACCCTGTCGAGCAAGGCTTGCGGCCCAACAGCAGCTTCATGAGCTTGGGCGGCCTGAGCCCATTCGGCCGACTCAGTAGGCGGTCGACCGCCGACAGCGCCAAATGCGTCGACGGCAACTGGAATCTCGACCGGTTCCCCAAGCCCACCGGCGCACCCACTCGCAAGCATTGGAAGGTCTGTATCCCCGCACACACCCGAATGCACTACTTTCTCTTTGACGAGACTATCAGTGGCGCTGACATCACGTCTTTCCTATCGCAGCCCGACCACGAGTCCACCATGTGCGATCATACCACCTGCAAGCGATACTTCAGCTACTTCACGCGGCGCCACCACTGCCGCAGATGTGGCAACATTTTCTGCGACCAGCACAGCGCCTTCGAGGTACCATTGGACCAGGACGCCAACTTCAATCCGCGGGGCGTCCCCAGCCGTGCGTGCGGCCACTGCTATGCCCAGTTTAAGGAATGGCGCAACCGGTCCGCCACCTCGCCGTCCCGCCAGCAGGACTCGCCCGATGCCGACCGCCACCAGCAGCAGCATCAGCAGATCGACAGCCCCGCGACACCCCTCGCAGCTTCCCCGACCACATCAGACCTCGGCGCTCTACCAGTTCACACACCTGGCGCGTTGGCCGCGCGTGCCCCGGAGGTGGCCCACAGCGTGCCGAGCGATTGGAATTGGAGCACATTCTGAGAGGTCTTATGCAAAGCATGCGGGTTGCGGGCCTCATGAGTACTTGTTTCATAGCTCGCCCATTATTCCTTTTCTTTAATCACCCTTTTCTTTTCCCGACTCCACCCGGCAGCAGCGCCCTCAACTTTTTCAATAAACAACAACGAACATGGCCGAACGGACAGTGCACTGGCCGGCCACTACATTGAATCTTAGACGGCAGGGGAGGCGCAGAATGAGACAGATTGGAGGTTTAGAAGGCTACGGCATAGATTGGACGGGCGGGGTCGGCGAATTCCCATTTAGACTCTTCACCTGTCGAGAGCTACTCGAGGCGGCTAGATTTCTGTGTCGCAGGCAGTGTTGGGGAGAATCATCCAAGCAATTCCTTTACATCGATACCACCACAGCATACTGAAGGGGAGGATGGGGATATCGGAGGATATACCCTTGTGGAGAAACGAGGAAACAGGTTGGGGTACCTTTCTCTTGATCATCCTAAGTGGCTGATTGCAGAGTCTGAGATGACATGCTTGGGGATTTTGCTCTGGTTTCTTTGTCTACCCTAATCTGGGTTTCACAGTGGACAAGGCTGTGAGGTGTTTGGCGACCTACTGTCTGTCAAGCCTTGCTACATACGTCGGGTTTGGCATCGGCCAGGTTGGCACATATGGGGTCTGAGTACGTGGAGCATACAGCATTCTGTGCCGAGGCGTTTGGGAGGGGGCTAGGGTGGTCAGGTCATGCATTTGGCTTCGATGCCTTGTTGACTTCGTGTCTTTGTGTCTAGAAGGCCAAAGCAGGTGGGGTATATAGGACATGTTGTCGTTTCTGATGGGTCCCGATGAGCATGGGGATGGAGACGAGGATGATATGCGATGTTATCTCGCTCTCGGTTGGGTGTTGACTACCTACGTAATGTCGGGGGCTTTTTACGGATTAACGGCATCTTTGCCTATCTAGCTGGATGTGGCAAATGGCAACTGTGCTGAATCTGGCAGAACTGCTTAGAGTTGGGGAATGGCCTGATAAGCATCCAAACATCTACCACAGTGATCGTCTCTGCGATCGACCTAAACCACATCATTGAGTGTGGATATCATGATCTCCTAGGCACTCCAGTTTTGACTGGCTTGTACTCCGAGTCAACGTCACGGACCGTAGCATAGTTGATCATTGAAATATTCCCTCTCGTTTCCTGCTTGAGATAAGGTACAACATTTAAAAACAACACCAAGTTTGATGCGAACAATCACGCTCCATGGTCCCATTTTGTCTTCGCCAACCTACCGGCCGAACCCCTCTAAAAGGACAAAAATGTATAAGTGAAATGAAACGCAATGCACCGTCCCCGAACACCCGACGCTGTGCGCCTCATGATACCTCTCTATCCGAGGTTAGTTGCTGCCTTCGACTCCCATCATTCCAACCCTTGAAGCTCGAAGTCTTCTGGCTGCACCGCGAGATTTAGGCAGTTCCTCGGCTCATCAACTCGACACAATGTCCGGGACTCTTGTCGGCGCTCTTCTCGCATCTGTCTCGACCTCGTCCCCGTGTCTTCAACAAAGTCCCTTTCACTTAGTGTGACACACACATTCCCTCGCGAACACCAGCTGGCTCACAACAGTCAACTCCATCATCGGCTTACGCCTTCCTGCTTCGAAGGACCCGGCCGTTGGAAGCAGCGGATTTGCCGTTGGTGTGGCCTGTAATCTCCTCGGCGACCGCCTCCTCGTTGCTCTCGCCGTACACCTCGCGCTCGACGTTTTTGGCCGCCTCCCAGCCGGCCTTCTCGGCAAGCTGGACGCTGTTACTCAGACGGCGGGCGGGAGCGCCGGGGTTGGCCGTGCCCTTCCTGCAACTTTGGTTGGCGCTGCTGCGGCGGATGTAGCTCTCGACGAAGAAGGAGACGAAGAGGTAGGTGAGCGGCGCGAGATAGAAGACGTTAAGCCAGACAGCAAAGGTTTCGCCGCTCGAGGTGATGCAGGGCATCTTTCGAAATTCGTATGTGCCCTTCACGTTCTTCACGTTCTCGGCGGTAGCGGCTACCACAGAACCGTTGGCCGCAGCGGAGGATGAAGCCTTAGGGGCACCAGTGCTCTGGGAAGCAGAAATGACCGGGACGCGGTAGTTGATGAAGGAGTGCACCATGGCGCAGGACGCGCCGACCACGAACTGCGTGATTTGCATCGTCGTTAGGCTGCGCTTGATCAACATGGGCACACGGATGTTGAACGCCGTCACGGTGTAGTACGTGTACTGCAGAGTTTGGTCAAGTTATGTCGAGCTCTCTCGCTGCCTTTGGGCGGGGAAACTCACCATGACTGCATGGATAAACGAGTTGAAGAAAACAAAGATCCAGATGGGCACCGACATGTAGCGGATCCCAGCCCACATGCACATCATGGCGCCCGCGTGGTGGTATGTCTGGAGAGTCGAGCTGAGTTTGCCCTTGGCGAGGATGATGAGAGTGTCGAAAACCTCGTAGAACTTGCTGAGGTAAAAGAGCCAGCCGTAGAAGGCGAGGCCTTCGTTCCACATCCGGCCAGAAGCGAACCGACTCGGGAGGCCATCCTCGCCCAGCACCGGCTCGGTTGAGTACGTCTGCCACGAATTGATCTCGTCGTTAAAGAAGGCGGCGTTGCCGAGGCCACCCGGTCCGTTGACTCGGCACAGCGAGTCGACGAATCCCGAAACTCCCTGAGGTCCCAACGGGCTGACCATGGTGCGCTTCAGGGTGCCGAACATTCCCCACCAGGTCCACGCCGAGTAAACGGCCAGGAAGACATTGTGGGCGATGACGAACCAGCGGAAGGCGAGCGTCTTGCTGATAGCCCAGGGCCTCTTCCCGGTGGACTTGTTGTAAGCATTCAGTGCCTTGGCTGTTACCGCGTAGACGGCAGCGATGGTGATTGGCACTTTCGGGTCGAGGAAGGCGAAGTAAATGTTGTCTGGGATGTTGACTGGTGGGGCAAAAGTCGTGCTCCCAGCGGGCGGAGGGGGTACAAATCCCGAGTTGGGGTTTGGAGGGAACCGAAAGCGTGATGCCGAAGGCATCGACACTGATACTGATTCGAAAGCCATGGTATTAACTTCTGGGCGGACTGCGGAACGAGGAGATGTTTCCGGAAGGAGATCGTGTACGACGAGTTCTTTTTTTTTTTTTTTTTTTTAGAAAACGGAAATCAAGTTCCTCAACGGTTTTCCGCCAATGCGTCAGTTGCCGGGGTCGTGTGGACTCGCCTTCAGGCTAGAGTGAGACGACGACTGCGTTCAAGTTGATGGAAGGATGGAAGCCAGGAGAAGTAATGGGGCGAGAGAGCGAGAAAGGAGGAAAGAGGAAGAGGCAATGGGAAAGAGGGACCTTATGGATGAAAAGGGGGGAAACATCTAAGCGTGATAAAGCGGCTACCGTGAGCCATTCTTTACATCCATAACCGCACATTGGCACTCTGGCAGTGGGCGTATGGAGTACACAGTATTTATAAATACATAATTATTCCCGTGCCGGTCTAAATTGGTAAATTAAGGCAGATGTGCGTCGTGGGTCAGGTCTTTGCAGCCCGGCCTCAAACACTTTCACAGACATAGGGGTGTATTTGGCCTCATCCGGCTTCACGGCCAGGCGAGTTTGAATTCGCCTTGTTGGGGAGAGCCAAACGTGAAATGAGGAATGCTGCCGACCAACCACAATACAGTTCCGTTTGTGAAAGATCTGCAATTGGGGACTGTCGACGTGATGTCGTGCGCATTCTGTCTGGATTGAGGTATGTTGCAGTACACGGAGGTTGCAGCTCTCGAGCCAACGTTTCTATTAAACGGAGTTACCTGACCGTCTTACTGACGGCAACGCATGGAATCAGCCAGCAGAAAACGGCTATTGAAGTGCAATTGCAGAGGCGTTCTCGCATCTTTGAGTTGTAACTGTCACATGCCTCATAACCAAAGCAAGAAAATGATGTTGGCCCAGCCGGCTGATCCACTCTCAAGTCGATCTACAATCCAACCTTGGCATGTCCGTTAGCATGGCACATGGGGGGGCACTTAGACATAAAATAGGATAAATGAAACCAAGGAATATAAGAAAAACCAGAAGGATGAAAAAATACTAGATTATCCAAAGATAAAAAGTAAGAGGAGGAAATAGGAAAAAGATAGAGGAAGAGGAAGATAAAGATAGAGTGGAAGAAAAAAAAAATAAAAACAATTTTACCAAGTAGTGCAAGTCAAGGTGCGGTACCTACCACGTAAGTCTCGCACTAACAAACTTATCAGGGTCAACATGTACTCTAGCAAGGCCGTGTTTTGAGGGAAATCTGTTTAATGTAATTGGACAATGGATTCAACAAAACTGACTTTTGCCCCAACACCAAGGCCCTGGTTGTCTTGGCACAGTTCTGGAAGGCGGGCTCGCTTGCTGGCTCGACATTGCAATAAGCAAGCGACAACCCACATCACTGCAACGCTAAGATACGGCTTCGAATCACGGGCCTGCGGTGTCCGCGGCACTCTCGTAATGTAGTTTACACGTGTGATGTACCTTCCTTTTCTGGCGTTTCCCATCTCAACACTCTCGGCAACGAGGAAGCAATTGGCATGTGACAATCATGACGCTTACATGTTCCTCCGGTGGACAGTCAGCCTTGCTCCCGTCAGGCCGTCACGCCGCTGTCCGGGCCAAGGCTGTATCCCTTCAGTGGGTGTGACCCGGTCGTTTTGGGAATCGTGGACATCACCCGCAGGCTGTACCCCTCAGCTTCCGGTTGTGTCGGCTTCACCGAGTACGCGGCCCCTAGATCCATTGAGAATATCGTTTATTCAGCATGGACCAAGACTTCCATTCTAGCCGACCTCAAGGACTGGCTGTCTATGTTTGGGTCTCACAGAGGAAGGTATGCTGTACGCCATTTGCAATGTAAGTGACTGACGAGGCGGCACGCTGATTGGTCAAGACATAGGCCGAACTATCAGAAAGGGCAGGTGATGGACAATGCTTCACTCACAAGCAGCTCGTCGCTATCACAGTCCACGGGGGACTGTAAGGCCTAACCTTGCTCTGGCAGGATCATGACAGGAGTAGTGTTCTATCTCTTCCATTCGAAATCTAGGACAACACTCTGTGAGAGACTCGCACATGTTGGCACCCACGCCCGCCAACCGGAAGGCAATATATTCCAAGCCACCCAATAACGATCTAGTGGAGAAAAGGAATTGTAGAAACAAAGAAGTCAAATAGTTAATATTATTATTATTCCTACTCCGCTATGCCCTAGGGCGTGCTCAGATAGTTAATAAACTAGGGGAAGAAAGGGGAGATATAGAATATTAAAATAGAAGTAGAAGACAAGAACGACTGAGAATCAAAGTAAAGATACAAAGGAAATGAGAAAGAAAACGATGTGAAACTAGAAGTCGAAGCAGGAAGAACTTAGATCCAGAGAGTGAACACCCCAATCTCACATGAATACCAAACATACTCCAAACTCTGATGTTTCTCAAGTCTCAAGAAGCACTGGGTATTAGGAAGAAGCCTATGGAAGACTCCGGTCACCATCTCGAACTCATGATGTGATTCATGCCGATTACGTTATATATTGCTGGACTGTTGTTTGGCCCGTAGAAACGTGCACCTAGAAGTGTTCCAGTTTTATGCGCCTGAGATGATCCTCTACCTTAGATTACGCCTGAAAAACCCCACAGCTACCTGTACTCAAAGCTGCAGTTTGTACAAATGCTTAGCTTGACTTTGGCTCAACCCGAGATCATCTCAGGCGTGCAAGTTGACATTCGAAGCCAGATGGTGCAGTATCAAAATATCAGGTACGTTCCTTACGCAAGGGGTTGTCCCATACATTAATGAGAAGACGTAGAATTATGCGCCGCGAGTGATGATTGTGACACTGGATTTTCCACACCATTCCAACATGACTACCTACTGGTACATAAGATAGCCTAAGGTATCTTGTAAGTGAAAGCCATCGATTTTGGTTGAATTGTAGTGATACTTAAGAGGGCTCTATTCTCATATGTTGGCAGCACATCATACGGCTGTTCGTGTTTCTGGACGTTTCTGACCTGATACTTCAACGAAGCAGCGTCTCCTACCCAGGTGACTAAGGTGACAGCTCTCCACGCTAACAGAGACCGGTACAATACCTTATACCGAATTCTTTTCGAGTATCTCTCACTATACACTGTTGCAATCTGGCATTGCAACAATTTCTCTTCGAAAGGCATCACAACCAGCTGCTCACCACCAGTGTACGGCGGATTTCCGGCATACCGGAAGAGGCCGGATTTCCTAGGGCAGAACCAAAAGTGCATCAACTCCCGGTTATGGAAGCCAGGCGCGGGCCAATGAAGCCTGCGATATCCCTTCCTGGTGGTTATGGGATATTGCCAGTTCTTGAAGACGTGTGCACGAATAAGCTGCCGCCAAGAGTCAGGATGGACTGAAAGTGATTAAAGATCTTCCACGTTTACCAGAGAAAAGAAAATGGAAATGATGAACAAGCTGAGCGTTCAAATATAGAATCGTCTTACCAAAGTGTATAATCAGTGTTCTATTCCATCGCTGTGTGCAAGCTCCAAGTAAGAAAGGAAACGGAAATGGTGGTGAGTTGAAGTCGTCCAACCGGAATCGCCCTGGATGGATGGGGGGGTCCGAGGACAGGTTGTTGCAAGACTGTTTTGGCTAGAACAGACTATTGGTGACAGGAACTGGTAGAACCTGGGCCTAACAGATGGAAAACAAAGATATTCTTGCCAACATTCCAAAAATGCCTTCCCAGACTGTTCAACCAGCATTATTTCAATATAAAAACAATTCTCTTTTAGCGGATTCAGACTTGCCAAGGCCAATATTCGGTTTCACAGATAACAGACTGTCCAGGCTTCGACAACTGTTATACCCTCAGCCCAGAGTGGGGTATATAGACAAGGGGTTAGAGCAGGCCTGTCCTACCGACATTCTGTTCTACACCTGTAAGACTTGCCGTAACCCTGTTCTTAGACCCCCCCGATCCTCCATGGCGGTTCCGGAGTGAGGTTTTTTTCAGCCGCTAGCCTCGAGCGAGCTTTTGCCCGGGATTCTTCACTGGGCGGTGGACATGGGGTGATTGCCCCGCGTTTCGTGACTTCAGCGCTCGGTAACTGGTGACTCAGGGACTGCCCCACCAACCCCGCGTGTCTTGGAGGGACTTCAAACTTCCAGGTTCGCAACAAAAAAATCCCCGCCGACGAGCGGATTGCGAATTGACAGTCATTCTTTCCGGGTTCCATTTGGCCTCTTATGAACATGGCAACCATCATTCTGGGTTCCCAATGGGGTAGGTTCTAGTTTCATGGCGGAATTGGCCCTGGATTTTCCGCTAACTGTGAGATTTTCTGGTCAGGGGACGAGGGCAAGGGAAAGCTGAGCGACATTCTCTGCCAAAGGGCCGATGTTTGCGCCCGTGCCGCCGGCGGCCATAACGCGGGTCACTCTGTCGTGTACGTTTGCGATGCAGGGTATGGTGTAGTACGAAGCTAATTGACTTGAATGTAGTGCCAATGGCGTGTCCTACGAGTACGAAACCGTCAGTCTATTGTAGCGCCTGTCCCAGTCGCTGACCTCACGTCTCATCAGCTTCCACCTCCTGCCCTCAGGCCTAGTCAACCCCAACTGCACCAACTTGATTGGCTCGGGCGTCGTCTTCAATGTCCAGGCCTTCTTCAAGGAACTCGCCGCGCTCGAAGAGAAGGGGCTCACACATGCGCGCCGTCAACTGCTTGTCAGCGACCGCGCCCAGGTCAACCTTGAACTGCACGCCCGCGTCGACGGCCTGGAGGAGAGGGAGTTGGCGGGCAACAAGATCGGCACGACCGGCCGCGGTATCGGCCCCTCGTACTCGAACAAGGCGGCGCGCAACGGGATTCGGGTGCACGAGATCTTCGACCAGGAAGTCTTTGAGGCCAAGCTGCGAAAGCTGGCGGCCGGCTATAAGAAGCGCTTCGGCGACCTGCTCGAATATGACGTCGAGGAGGAGATAGCACGCTTCCGCGAGTACCGCCGGAAGCTGCCAGAGTTTGTCGTCGATGCCGTCAGCTACATGCACGCCGCCCAGAAGCAGGGGCGGAACATTCTGATTGAGGGCGCAAATGCGCTGATGTTGGATATCGATTACGGTGCGATTAATTTACGAATTTTCCCTTAGATAGTGGGCAGGGTACTAACAGTGTCCTAGGCACATATCCGTTCGTCACCAGCAGCAACACCGGGCTGGGTGGTGTCATTACCGGTCTGGCGGTTAACCCGAGGAAGATCAAGTGAGTTGGTCTGACACGTATTGGCATCCAGATCACCGCTAACACTTCTCAATCTAGGGAAATTATTGGGTAAGTTCTGGAAGATGGGTCGATTCTGCGACTGTTTACTAACCTCCTTGTTAGCGTTGCCAAGGCGTACACAGTATGTATCTCCTCCTGATTTCAACTGCGCTTTTCTCACAATTTACAGACTAGAGTTGGCGAGGGCATCTTCAAGACGGAAGATATCGGCGAGGTCGGCCAGAAGCTGCAGCAAATTGGCCGGGAATGGGGTGTCTCGACCGGCAGGAAACGGAGATGCGGCTGGCTTGACCTCGTCGTGCTGAAGTACTCGGCGTCGGTCAATTACTACACGGCCTGGAACCTGACCAGTAAGTCCACTGCTGCCATTCAAACGAGGGCGACTGGTTACTGATACGATAACAGAGTTGGATGTCCTCGATACGTTTCCCACCATCAAGGTCGCAGTCGCTTACAAGGACCCGGAGACTGGCAGTGAACTTGACTATTTCCCCGCCGACCTTGGCTTCCTCGAGAGGTGTGAGGTTGTCTACAAGGAATTTGAGGGCTGGCAGTCACCAACAACAGCCGTGAAGAAATTTGTATGCCCCTCCTGGCTTGTGAGAGATGAACTGGACAGTCGCTAATGTTGTCTAGGAGGACTTGCCGCCGCAAGCGCAGGCGTACGTGAAGTTTGTGGAGGAGTACACGGGGGTCCCGGTTAAGTGGATCGGGACAGGCCGTAAGCAGACCCTCATCTTTACTTATTTTGTTACAGGCGGGCGATACGTGGGCTTGAGACTGACCCGCTGCAGCGGCTCGTGACGACATGATCTACCTTTGAGCAGTTGCTAAATTTTCGTGGTATTGACGGTGAAATGAGCGTGCCGACATGATTGCTCAATGACCAACGTTGAACACTGTTTTGCCTAGGAGATAGACCCATTTGATACCTTGATTTGGCTGGTCTTCTGCGAGAAGTCATAGACCGGATCCCCTTTGAGGCCGTGCCTTACCATTAGGCGAAGTTCTCATGGTTTGGCAAGGGAAGGAGGAACAGCAATGGATCTTTCGAATACCGGCAATATAGAGATAATAGACTATTTGATTCCAAACCGGGTACTCGGTATCAAAATGTCTACTGTGGAGTTCATCGCCTCCCAAACCACTAAGTTTGGGCAGAGATACCCTAACCCTACTTGTACCTCCCAAGGCCGCAACCCTACCAGCTGCAAACAGCTGGTCGAATACTAAAGTTTTGAGTCTCCCAAAATTTGCTTTAGAGATTCCTATTTTCAGCACCAACCTGACAGTCAACGACACTGTGTTCCCTTCTGAGACGGTAACAACCCCTCTCGCTGGCATTTCTGCCACGGCATTTGAGTATGCTGAGACCCTGCTTCAGTCGCGGGTATTTTCTGCGTCCATGGTAATATGGACGAGTGGTCTTGTTTGACTTGGGCCATTCTCGAATACGTGGTCGTCCCAGGATCGAGAGGTGAGATAAGATGCCCTTACATCGGTCGTTCGCCCGACAATCTCAATCATCTTCAAAGATCTCCTTGGTTGTCTTACTTTACTGGTCTTCTGCCTGATTCGTTCAGCCATGCCGCCCCGCGGCTGTTCTTGAGCCAGGATGCGCAGCCGTGTCCTTCTTGGAAGCGCTCAGCCGCGTATCAGACAAGAGCAAGTATTGCAACGTTTTTGAGTACGGGACCTTCTTTCTCGCTGGGGGCTTTCGTAATTTATCTGTTGCGACATTCTTTTTGTTGCTATTCGATCTGTGACAGACCATTGCAGAAGTCACGAGAATCGTCTGACGTTACATATCCCGAGTTGAATTCCGATCCCTAGGGTATCCGTATATCCGTATTATCATCACTCTTCAGTCTCCCCAGAACAACGACGACGAACAGCTATAGCAGTCCCATGACCGTCCGCCCAGCTATCTGACCCACCGCCGCCAGCACCACCACCATCACCATTCCAACTGAACATTCCCAGCCTGCAACCTGCTCCCAGCAGACCGGCCAACAGGCGCGAGCCCATTCACCCGATTCGCCACCGCAATCGCCGGCCCACGGCGAAAGAAATCGACCAGCACAAACACAGGCTTCCACTCCTTTCCACATCATCACGCTTACTATCCACAGTCCACTGAGCCATACACTGCCGCACATGCCGTCCTCAGCGCCCTGGACGCATGCTCGTCGGGACTATTGGTGCCGTCAACGACCCCGTTGCGGGTGAACATGGAACCGCTTGTCCAATTGAGGTAGGTGAAGTGGTTGACCAGCGGTAACAGGCCGGCCGAGAGCGGGCGGTCGACGTCGCATTCGAATTCCGGGCCCGGCCACGCAAGGGGGGCGTCAAAGTATGGGATAACGTTGTAGTAGGGTGTTTCGAAGACGTAAGGTAGGTGAATTCGTCGAGGTAAGCGTGTTTCGGGTCGGGTGCGAGGGGGCTGATGAGGGTTTTGACGCGCGTGTTGGCGGCGATGAGGAATTCGAGGTGGGCCAGGTTGGCGAGCTCGGAGTCGCGGTGGCGGTTGCCGAGGTGGTTGTCGTTGAGATAGTAGTTGTGAAGATGGATGAGGAAGAGGAGGCGGGCGGCGGAGGCGTTCAGGCATACTTGGAGATGCGGGAGTGGTGCCAAAGGCGGACGCCGGTTGGTTGTCAGCGTTGACGAGAGGAGGGTGATGACATCGTTCGGGTTGGCGTCGACTCAGCATTTGATGTGGGCGAGCCAGTTTTCGAGCGGGCCGCCGTCCATGAAGCTGCTGTCGCTGTCGCGGAGCACGAGTGTGTTGTCCGCGGAGACGTGGACCTCGGCTTGGAGCAGGCGGATGCCAGCCGACAGGGCAACGGTGGCATTGTAGTACTGGTTGCCCACGATGTTCTCGTTGCTCGCGATGTGGTGGGCACGGACAAAGGCGGCACCATGGACCCCCATGTGGAGGATGTCGCTGTAGACCCGCGCGCGGAGATCGGGGAAGTTATTGCAGGCTATGGGTGGTGAGCTCGCAGGTGTTGGCGGCGCAGGGGTTGCCCTTGTGCCATTGTCGCGCTGCGAGACAACGCTCGATGCCATTGACACAAAGGGTTATCAAAGCCCGGAGCGGTAATGGACGAGAAACCACGCACTAGAGCTTGAACCATGTATTTGATCGAGCCAGCCAGACAGCCCTGCCTCTCCATCCTCATTACCTATGCATCGTGCACTTAGCGCAGTATTCAATCCTGATACTACACAGCATTCCTAGCCAAGCCGTGCCATCGTCTTACCCACGTTTACAGCTTCCTCCCTGCCCGGGAGAATATCAACCGTCCTGGTGCAGTGCCCGCTCAATGTTGACCGAGAGCTTGTGTCTCACAGGCATCCATCTTATGCTATCGTCCCTGAACCGTGGCCGCGAGGACTCCAGGCGGGTACTCTGCGGAACATAACGGCAGGGGTCAACAAGAGGGCTGACGCAGGGAGACCCTATCGGCAAAGAGGAGAGCGCGCCCTGGCGTATGGCTTCTCTCATCACTGGCAGCCCAAGGCCATGCGCATGTCATTCGCTGGGACCTGTATACCTGCATGCAATTGCAATTGATTACCTGAACCATACTCTAGGCACACACCTCAGAACACCATCCCCGACCTCTCGTGCATGGCCCTCTGCTCGGCCATACAGCTCGTACAATACTCGGCAAACCACTCTCTCAACGCCGCCCGCCGTTTGCCATCCCCGCCCTCACCATCCCCCGACCGCGCTCCGGGGACGATACTCTGCGCTGAGCCAGGCCCGACACCGTCCCTCATCAGCAGCTCCCTGGCCAGCTCGCACCGCCTCGCCTCCCCCGCCAGCCAGCTTTCCCACTCGGAGCGCACCATCTCGAGCTCGATTTTGTTGACGATGCGCATGGCCACGAGCAGGTCGTGCCGGTAGGCGCCCATGCGCTGGCGCACCCGCCCCAGCCGGCGCGCCGTCACCTGGCTGGTGGTCGATGCGAAGCCCGAATCGGACGCGGATACGGGAGCAACGTCCTGATAGGGGGCGTCGAGGCTGATGGTGGCGTTGACGAGGGATTGGAAGGTGTCGTAGCTGTGATGTAGTGGTAAGTACCAGTCCAGATCGTTGAACAGTTGAAGCAGAAGATGGAAAAAGGAAGAGAAACGAACCATTGGCTCCCACCAACCTCTCGCAGCACTGCATTGCCGCCAGTCCGCGCAGCCGCCTCGTCCAAATCCGCCAGATAAATTGCCTTGCTCATCATCACATTCGGCCCGACGCCCAGCCGCTTCATGTACCGCGCCGACCTGCGCTCAACCCACCACGTGGCACTCGTCTGAGATATGACGAGCAGGTTATACGCGGCGCTCGCCGCCAGCAGCAGCAGAATTACCCTGTTGGCGCTCACAATCTTGAACACCTTGCGCACGGCCGCAAACGCCCACATCATGACACTCGTGATGGCGCTCTCCATGAACGACCGCCCCGTCTCAAGCATCATGTCGGTCAGCGTGCGTGGGCGCACCGCTGCCCCCGGGCCGGATTTGTGTTGCCCGTCCGCGACGGCCTCCGGCGAGAAGACGACGGCCTGCGTCTGCTGGCCGACGTTGCCGTAAAGCTGGATGGCACGCTTGGTGCGGCTGTGCGGGCCCAGCTTGCGCACGTGGTCCGTGGCCAGGTCGGCGAGCTCGTCGGCGTCGTTGGCCGCGTCGTCGAGCGCCTGCCGCTGCACCATGTTCTTGGCGAAGGGCGGCGCCTTGGACCAGTCGGCCTTGGTGTAGATGGCGAGCTTGCATTTGGACTTGGCCAGGTGCGTGATGGCCACCTTCGTGACGAGCTTGAAGGCCTGCGAGTGCGGGAGGTGCCAAGGGGTCTTGATGTGCGTGACGACGTAGGTGATGTGGTCGTTGAAGATGTCGATGGTCTGAGTGTCGACCACGTCGCCGGGCTTCTTCCGGCCCAGCATGTCGGCGTAGTCGACCTTGAAGCGGAACTGCCGCCGCATGCGGCCGTGGTCTTGCAATTCCCAGGGGCCTTGGGCGATACCCTTGGCGCCGCGCCCAAAGTAGAGCTTGGGGAAAATGAAGCTTTTGTCGCCGAAGAGGACGTGGAAGCAGGACTTGGCGCTGATCTCGAAATGTCGCTCCGCCACGCTCTTGCCCATGTCCTGCGGCTCGTACATGACGGGGTGCGTGGGGAGCTGAAGCTTATGTGGCGGCTTTTTTAGGCCACGCGACGACCTGGACCGGCCATGGGAGTCGTGTCTTCGCCTGAAGACAGGCCTGCCAAAGGGCGTGCCATCGTCGGCGGGTGTGTTGGCCGATACCTCCTCCCAGCTCTCGACGCTGGGGCTCCTCTTGTCGTCCTGCTCTTTGTTCAGAATGGACAGCGCCGCAATGATCTCGGACACCTCCATTGGCTCTGCCGCCTGGAGATCATCAACTAGGAGGTTTAGCCGAGACTGCAGGAGAGAGAAGTCCTCCAGGAACACCTTGATGGTGATTCGTGAGTATGCGATGTCCGGCATGTTCTTATTCAAGTGCAAAAAGATAAAATCGCAGTCGCGGCCCGGTGCCGCTGTCAGCTCGGTGATGCTGTCGAGGTTGATGGCGTAGGCCACGACCAGGCCCATTTGATGACCATAGAAGTACATGCGGTCCGGTGTGACATAGACACGACCGTTCCCAGCCATGCCTGTTTCCTTGCCGTCGGAAGAGGCGCTGGACCAGGCGGCGTTGAAGACCAAGACCGGTTTGTCATCGACAGGTGCCGTTGGAAAGAACAGTCTGAACTGCGCATACTGCGCCCTGAGCTCAGGCGGATAATTCAGCGGAAACTGCTCCTGCTCCGCCGACACCTGCTCCCGGGCCCTGAGGTCAGCAGCGGTAGCGTCCACGCTCATCGTCTTCCGGTGGAGACTCGCCGGCGCCGGCGACCTCTCCACGGTCGGCGTGCGCGGCAGGGCGGTAGCTACAAATGGGTCGCTCATATCAGGCTTGGGAGTGTGAGGCACCGACGGGCCGGGACAATACATGGAAGTGTAAGGCCGGCTCCCCCAGTAGTTGGCCAGGACGGCGCTCGGCAAGGCACGAGTCGCTCCTGCGTTGGCGCTTACGAGGACAGCGGTTTTGCTGAGATTCGTTGCAATGGGAGGCCTAGCCAGCGTCACCGGAGCCAGGCTTCCCGGATGCTGATCCAAGGGATTAGGTATGCGCAGTGGAGGCGGCTGCCCAATTTGAGGTGATGTCGCCGTGCTCGATGTCAAGCCCTGGCCGGCAGTCCCCGAGGTAGACGCGTCGATGGCGTTCGCTACAGTAGCCTTGCGGTGCAGATCCAGCTTCTGCATGATCCGTGCGGCGTGCTCCCTCCCAGTCTCGCCGTCTTCCCGGCCAAGGTGACTGGTAATCGCCCGACGAGGAGGCGCATCAAAGCTCGGGCGCACACCGTCTTGGCCGGGAACAGCAAGGTTTCCTGGCTTCTCAGCGGAACTACCGGCTTCATCGAGATTGTCGAGCATCTTAGCTGAGAATTCTGGAATCGACGGCGGAGTAATGGAGAAGACAGGGTCGGCACTGCCAGCCGGGACGCTCTGATCTCGGCCCATGCTGGCCTCGATGGCCTTCTTCTTGGCCACCTCAAACACCTCGAGCCACTCGATCAGCTCCGCCTGCGTCTCGGCCTGCAGCATGATGGTTTGTGTCTTGGTCTTGATGTCGAAGCAGAACCGGCGCTCCTCTTGGACAGCGGGCCTAGCGCTGCACAGGAGCACACCGATCTCGTCGCCCTGTAGGACCCCCTGGGGCCCCTGCACCAGCCACCCAAAGATGCCATCGCGGCAGTAGTACCACCGTCGGATCCAGGTCGTCCTGACAGGCTTCCCCGTCAGCACCCGCAGGAACAGCCAGCCCTGCTTCTCGGATATGACGGCGACCTGGTTCTTCCGCTGCATGCTCATCGGTCCCTTGGAGCCGAGGAACGGCACGGTCGAGATGCTATAATCCTCCAACTCCCTCGACGGCTTGTACACGGCAAGCGTGCTCTCGCCGATATCCCTCCTCGCCATCTGCAGCTCTCTCTTAAACACAGCCTCAGCCATCTCCATCTCCCTCGCCCACCCCCGGATCCTCTCCAGCTCATCCCCCCACGCGTTCTGCCCCACCACGCCTGTCGCCTCCCTCGCCCGCCTCACCTCCCTCGCAACATCCGCACAGACCCTCACGAGCAGCTTGTCCAGCCCGGCCCTCACCTGGGGCGCCATCTGGCAGTAATCCATGCTCGCCTTCAGGTACACGCGGCGCGTTTCAAACACGGCAAACGCGTCCTCGCGCAGCGAGCTGGGCTCCTTGGTCTTGCTCTGCGCGACGTACCGCGCCAGGGTGCCATCAAACGCCCTCTGCGCGGCGTCGAGCGCGCGCCTCGTCTCGCGGAACGCGCGCAGCTCTCCCCCAATAAACTGCCGGACGGGCTCAACGCTCGCGGGCTCGAGGCGACGCACGACGGCCAGAATGCCGCCCCACCAGTCGCGGGCTCCGTCGCCTGCGCGGCGCAGAGCGGGCAGCGTGTAGTCTGCGTCGAGGACGGGCGAGTCGGCCGGGGAGGCGATGGCGGGCGGTGAGATCTTGGCGAGGTAGGAGGATATGGTTTCCTCGAGGGCGAGCACGTCGTGCACCAGCTTGGAGGTGCTGCGGGCGTAGCTGTCGAGCCAGCGCTCAATGGCGTCGAGCTGGTCTGAGAAGTGGACGGCAGTCGCGCGGAAGCTCGGCGAGTCGAGGGCAGCTTCGTTGAGGGCCACCGGGATGGCAGGGCCGGCGTGGGAGGGCCTGGATGTGGGTGGTTGTTGCGGTTGCGAGAATTGTGATGGCGGTGGTAGTTGGGATGCTGAGTCGGAGGAGGTTGTCGCTGACGACCTCAGTCCTGCCAGGGCGGCTGGTGGCGGTACCGTTGGTTCATTCATCTTGAGGCCGGAGTCTTATCTTTGGTTCCTGTGTTACGTTCGGAAAGGCTGTTTGCGAGACTCGGAGTCCCGTTGTTTGGTGGTCGGAGCAACGTCGTCACTGTACGGATGTGACAGTCGCTGTCCGGCGGCTGAACCTCCCCAACTATCCAAAGCTGCGCATTGTTAGAAAACCGGTACTATTAAGCCCTGTATGTACGTGATGAGCAGCAGTTGTCGGTAAGGTATGAAGTGCCCGACTAAGGTATCATCAACAACTTGGAATGTGGTAGCTTTGTTGGTTGTTACAAGCAGAACTGAAACGGGAATCATTGAAGCCGATAACTTTGTGTTTCAGTTGGAAGCAGCTTTGCAGTAACGGTGCTGTGCCTTACTTTCCGCAGTATCATAACGTTACAGTAGTTCTAATCCAATCCACTGTTGAACTGCAGGACTGGGCCACCGCTGACGGGACGGCTAGGGTATCCACGTGAAAGGTAAGATATGTTACAAATCCCGCGCCCAGACACAGTGCGGCACATCACATTTTGTTCTTCCGTACTTTTTCGTACCACGCCCCAACCCAACAACGCACACTCAGGGGTGACTGAGCAACGGACATTCTCTGACCTGGCGGTGTCGGAATAATGTTGGTAGTGAGAGGCTTTCACAATGTCTATAAACCCAATACCGGTCATTGCCGCACAGGCCTCACATGTCCCTTTCCTCCATAGCATACGTTTTAGGTAAGTCAAGCGCCGTAATCTCTCCGCCGTCGAGCCCTTCATTCCCCTCCACCCCGAAATATCAATACGCAGTTGTAATCATTGATTCTCTTCTGGGAGCTCATATATCTTGTACATGGCCCTATCGCGCCCAAGAAGACAGACGCGTGCTGCTATCTCGCCACGGAGCTTGCTCGCCCTCTGAACCTCCATCCGGATAGGAGTGAAGCCAGACATGGAGGTGAACGCGAAACATGAGCTGATTCCCTCACTGCCTGTACCGTCGAGCTGGAACGTTGAGGGCCGTTGTCCCACTGTATACTCCTCGTAGCGAATACGGGCCGACTGATACGCGATCCGGACAACAATTGACTTTGGTTCCTCTGCTACTTGTTAGATCAACCTTCAGCTTTGCGCAGTCATCGATCCATACCTTTTTGAGTGCATAGCACCAGGAGGTACTTGTCGTCGAGAAAATTGAAGTCCACGATAGTCAGGCCCTGCGGCAGCCCAATTCCACAGGCCGTCGACGCCGGACCAGTGGCCTCAGTTTCGGCCGGGGCATGAGACCGGAGGATGTATACTAGACGACATGTCAGCCCTGGTGCTGAAATGTTGTGGATCGAAGCAAAGTACCCTTGTGCTTGTCGTCTTCAGGCACTATCGCCACGAATACACCGGATGAGCCATCCTAGATCCATCCATTAGCCATGTAACATTCCCGGATGCCAGCAGCGCGAACATGAGCTCACCTTCTTGGTAGGCCGACTCATATGGACGTCATGCCTCCAAATCTTACTCCCGATGGACACTTCGGTCGCCCTACCGAACTGGACACCCTCCTTCTGTGCGTCGGCGATGCCTTTCAAGACGCAATTGGCCCTCGACGACAAAAAGTTGAGCAAGAAGTCTACCCGTGGCGGGACCTTCATAAACGGCCGGCAGGCGGCCTGTTCCTGCAATTGTTTGTCAAGCAGATCCAGAAGAGATATGCCGGGCTCGACTAGCTCTTGGTCCTTGATGTAATCCTCCTTGTCGACCTCATCGAAAAAGAGTGCCAGAGGGCTCCCATCCAAGTAGTACTGGATGTACAGCAACACTCTAGGGTGGTCCATTGTCGCTTCTTTCTCCAAGAGCTCCTCGCTGACCGTCGACGACCCTTGCTTGTCAATCTCGAGGCGCAGCCAGATCGAAAAGGCATTGAAGTGCTCCAGCTCGTCCATGACCGCCGTGAGCACTTTATGGGCCACCATCATCAGACACGAAACGATGTCCATGAGCTTGTTGATCTGGGCTTCATCAAATCCAGTGCTCTCGTCGGAGCCATGGAAGCGAGCAATCCCGAGTAGGCGGCTGAGGATGACACCGCATCTCTCTAGAGCTGGGATGAAGTTCTCGTGCACCAACCCCCGGAGACTGGTCAGGCCAGACACCACAGCCTTCTCCCAACGTTTGTGTCCCTGAAAGGTAATCAGCCGCGACTTGGAAATGTTAACTGGAGGCTGATACTCACTCGATCACCAACGGTGTCCACCAGCCACTCTTTCACGGGCGGATAGACGTGACCCGTTACCACGGTGTGGTACAGAGCCTGTACTATCGTCATGTTCCCATTCGGCAGTTTCTTCAGATCGTCCTTTACCCCGGCCATGAACCTGCCTGGCAGCTCCCTGGTCGACTTCCACTCGCTAACCATGTGTGACTGTGTCTGCTTCAGATAGCGCAGCAGATTCTGCAGCGCCGTGGTCTTAGACGCCAAAAGCGACAGGTTGATAGGCGGATACTCGAGAAAGCTGAGGCGCATAGGCACCAGATACAGCACCGTGCCACCTCCCTTCTGCGGCCGAAGAAGCAACATGTGGTTGGGGCTCTCCGGGTGTGAGCCGTGCCCGCACAGCTGAAAGACCCCATTCCCTCGGGGTGAGTGCCTCACCGTGCCGATGACAAAAGAGTCGTAGATGCTGAGGTGGATCCCGCCGTCCGCCATGCCAACAACCATGACATGCACGTCGTCTGTGTCCTCGGCCCTGCAAGGGCGAAATACAGCCTCGAGCGATGCCGTCGACGAAAACAGGAACATGTCATCCCTGCACCCGTCAGCCCTTCTCCCTCATACATCAACCTTAAAGGTCAGCCAAAGAGCACTCACCCCGACCCGCCCGAGACAGGCAACGGGCTCAGCTTGGGCAGCGCCGTCTCCACCTCCAGGAACATCAACTCATGCGGCAGATCGACCGCCACATCGCTGGTCCTCTCCCCGTCCAACAAAATCTTCCTCCCCGACCCAAGCCTCTCCCTCTTCTTCACCTTTTCCCTCCTCCTCCTCCTCCCCTCCCCAGTACTATTCCGCTCCCAAGCAATGAACTCTATCCTCTGCACATCCCCATTACTACCACCACCCTCCCCCTCAAACACCCGAATATGGTGCACCGCCTTGGTGCTCTCCAACCCCATCAGCCTCACCACGCCGTCACTCCATCCCGCAGCGAGGTACTGCCCTATTTCGCTGTCAGCACCACCCACCGCAACCTGTTCATAGTCTCGTCTCCCAGCCCCTCATTCAGAGAAAACCACCACAGCGATCTTCGCATCACCATCATTTTCAAGCAAAATACGGGAAACCAAAGGCGTGTGAAAAGTAGCAAGGACAGGAGAGAAAACGCACCGTCCCCCTTCCACCGCACAGCCTCCACTCTCCTTCCACGTTCCACATACTTGGACACGCTCTGGTCGCCGCACCGCCAGACATGCAGTGCCGCGCCCCCATCACCCACAGCAGCGGTCAGGTCGATGACCGGATTGCAGGCGAGGTACTGGTGCTGTTGATGTTGTTGACCGCTGCCGCCGCCGGTGGTGGTAGATGGGACAGGGGACGAGAGGGCGGTGGTACCAAAGAGGGCGAGTTTCGGTAGGGTTGGCGTGGTGCTGGTAGTGTCGGTTGCCATACTGTTTGTGTTTGGTTTGCTTCTTCCTGTCTTTCGGGGTATTGTCAAGTACAACACCTGGTTCTCAAATGTGGTTTGCTGTAGGAGGTGCTTGGGTGGTTGCGACACTGTATGTACTCCGGTGCCCGGCTCGAGGATAATCCAGACCGATGCTTTGGTCAGTGATTTCGTTGATCGGGTCCTCGCGCTTTATTATGAGGGCAGTCAGGCGGAAGGAGGAGCATAGAAGATTGGAGGAGTTGCAAATTTGAACCGGCTACTCTTGCCTGGTGGCTGTTCATGGACTCTGCAGGTTGGAGGTTGTTGTCGGGAAGGTCAGGATATTCACACTGTGCTGCACGTGGTCGGGCAATCAACTGACATCCAGCAGATGGGAGCTTGCAAAGGTCTAACATTGGTAAATTGACTTGTTAGAACAGCTTAGGTATGGTAAGAGACAAAGTCTTTAAAACCAACTATTTTCCCTGCCGCGTCTGAAGGCGCCGCGCACGAAAGATACAGTTCCGCTCAAGCGCCCAACATGACCGTCGTCCTATAATTGATTGCCTAACCGTCCCTGAAGCCATCTACTCGATTACAAACGACTCGGCAACCGACTTGATCTCCTTGGTGAATGTAACCTCTTCGTTCATCTCGATCAGCTCAACCGATTCGACCTGCGCAAGTTAGCCACTGCTGCATGCCAACGCCGAGCCAGACTGCTCCAACTTACATCGACATCCACCAACGGCGACGTCTTGGAGAAGCGCACTTGCATCGGGAAGAACTCATTCTCGTCGTTCGTCTGCGCCTCAAACTCAAACGCCCCGCTGGGGTTCTCTTCGCTGACCGTGCCAATCATCCACTCAAGGCTGTCGCCCGATACCTCGTAGACAGCATCGAAACTGGAAATGGACGGCTCAGCGCTAGTGAAGGGCACAACGACACTGACATCCTTCAGCGTGTCGCCGCTAGACAGCTCGTACTCGACCGTCAGCGTGCAATTGCCATCCGAGCCTCTGTTGACCCAAACGGTAAACGTAATGGGCAGCGCGCCGGTGTCGTCCGTCCTAGGGGCCGCCCTCCACTTGAGAACTGCCACCGCGTTGTTCGCCGGGAAGCCCCGCGCCAGGTTGGCCATTTGGATGGCCTTGGAGCTGTTGAACGCGTTCCTGTCCACGTTAGGGTGCGTCCTGAACTGGGCACCGTGCGATGGGGTTGCGTTAAGGTTCAGTTTGAGCCTGGTGAGCGAGGGATCCGACACGCGCAGTGTCAGGTCACCGGTGACAGAAAACGAATTGAGCGCGCCGTCTCGGGATATCTTTGCTGAGATGGCCTCGTTGAGCGTCACGTGGATCGCGTCCCGATCTAAGGAGGACGATACCCGAGTAGCGGCAGCCGGTTCTGGGGCAGAAGGGGTGGCGACGGGTACCAGGGGCGTATCGTCCACGGGTCCGAGCTCTGTCTTTACCCGCTCAAACATATCTGTGGTTTTAGACTTCTTACCCAGCTGCATACCCTTGCCCTTCGGCGCGGTGAATCTTCCTCAGTCAGTTTGTCATGCTCAGGCACGGCGCAGGGTTAAAGGGTGGCATACTTTGACTTGTTCTTCTCGGCCTCGTAAGTGTCGTATGTTTCGGTCACGGCCGGTCGTACTGGTGGGGTGTAGGTCGGGTATACGGGCGGACGGTTCATACCACCGGCGCGGCCACTTCTCCCAGACTCCTTGCGCTGCATCTCCAGCTGTTTGGCCTTCCTCTTACGCTCTTCGGTAGCCTCCAGCTCCTTGTTCTGTAGTGCTGTTGCGTCAGAAACCGGAATCTAGACAACAGCAGCCCGCGCCAACGTACCCGAGCAATAATTTCCTGGATCCGCTCCTCGTGACTTTCCATCTCCAAAAACGTCTTGATCTGGCTGATCGTCAAGTTCTCCCGGTATCCGAGCGTCACCAGCTCGTCGAAGGCGCTAATAAGCTCATAGGCATTTCGCAGAATCTCCCGCTCGTCGAGGCTCTTGCAAGTGCTGGTTACGACTTGGGCAAACAGGTGCAGCGAGTCGATGTCCTGTAAAATGTTGGACTGCTTGTTGGTGATGAGCACCATGTAGAGCTCGTCCAGCGGCTGGTAGACAAATCGGACATTGTCTTGTTCGACGGTCGTGTGCTGAGTGCCAGAGCTCGCCGCCTTCGGGAAGGATGCAAGGAGGGCCTCGATGCGTGACCGTTTGATGTCGTGGAATGCCCGCGCCAGGACGGCCTTACCGCCACGGGTGCAGATGGACGCAGCTAGGACAACCTGGCAATTCTTATCAGCATGGTTTCACGACAAGAGGAGCATGGGGTCAATTTACCATCTTGTCTCTGAGGATAAGCTGCGGGTGGACTGTTGGTGGGAGCGTCCTGGTACGGTTACGGTAGTTGAAGCTCGACTCCTGGCAAGCCGCTTCACTAACGACCCGAACTGGGAATTGATTAATCTGGCTTCTGACGGTCTGCTGTCGAGGGGTGACAGCTGGCAGATTGAGCCTGGGCTGGCCATGCATGCACGTGCGTTGGCGACCTACGGTGGGGCTGTCACAAACACTGGACTGGACCTTCCTTCTCATTGCAAAGCTGCCCTGTGCTCCTTTTCGCGTTTCTGACTTGCAGCCTTCATCAACCTGGAACCTACAGGCTGTCATGACTCTCCTTCTGCATCAGAGAGACATACTGTCGACGCAACGCGACGCCTCCAGACTCTCAGCGGCCATACCTCCTCGCGTTCCACCGACCCCTCGTATTTTTCCCTCGAGGGCACATTTCACCCGCCATTAGATTTCAGCCTTTGGTCGCTGCAGTTCCTACATACCTGAACCCTCTGCGGAGATCTCGCCTTGAGATCCTCATCAGACCAGACATTCGACTTCATTGGTCTCCTCAGCATTGCGGCCCATTTGCACTGCCGCGTGTTCTGAATTCACAAACGCGAGGCACCGACGCGTCGAAATATTCTAATTGCCGCCATCTACGGAGATTGGCAACTCTGGCGTCATCGCGTCCTCGACCACTCTATCATCATCATCCCTTCTGTTATCTGGGCGTCGCTCTGGAAGCCTGTGAACCCCTAGTGTCAGGAGCTTGGCAGAATTAATAGGACATTGCGAGACGTAGCTGATGTCGACGAGGCTCCGGTAATTGAGACAACTATCCGACCCAAACCGCAACTGTTCACAGACTTTCCACAACGCCGATTCCTTGTGGGTACGAGAAACGTGCCATGGAGCATGCCGGAACTCCGGTAGCGGCTGGGCCGCCGGAACCGTTGGACCAAAGCTACCAGTTAGACTTTGACCCCAACGCCGGGTTTGACGTGGAGCGACTCGAACTTGGCCTAGACGGATCATATGAAGAGGTGGAACACATCCTCGTAGCAGGTACATTCGACGATGGCGCAACGTTGGACGTGGATCCCGAGCACGATGTTGCGCTTCAAGAGGCACATACTTCCTTCTCGGACGACGACCAAACGGAAACGACAAAAGCCGCCGAAGATGCTGATCATAACGACGAAGTGGACTACCAGGATGAGATTGGGTACGAGGATGATGACTTGGCAATCACCGACTTCAATGTCGGTTCCAGTGCCACAAAACCTGGTGGGGCAGACGATGGCTTGCAAAGTGCAGCCTCGGAGGTTCATGCAGGCAACATCGAACCAGTCGATAAGAGGACCCAGGACGCGTCGACCCAGGAGAATGATTCGTCCTGGGATCAGGAACTCGACTTTGAGGAGCAGGACGCGAGCTTCTACCGTCCGGACAAGCTGGTCGACGTCGCCGAGGAACAGGCTGCCGAGGAACAGGCCGCCGAAGAAGAGACAGACGGCCATGTAGATGAAAACGATCTGATTGTCGATGACTTCGATAACTGGGCTGGCCACGAGCAGTCCGCTGTCGATCAGCAGGATTCGGAGTTTGGCAACGCCCTGGAAGACCTCTCGCAGTTTGTTCCTCCAGTTCCCCGGATAGAGGTTCTCTATGACGACTCCTCTTACGCTTTAGTTGGGGCTCCGGGTGATGACCCGGATTCCTACTTCCTGTCCGAAGCCAAAGAGCTTGATCATCCGCTGTCGCAATTCCTCTCTGCACTTCGCGCCGTCATATCCGACGAAATCTCGACAGCAGACGAGCTAGTGATCCGCTTTGATCCTCTCGACCTGGAGTTCGGCGAGCGGTCGAACGAGAATTTCTTGAACCGCAGCTTCCGTGAAATCCTTGATTGCCATGCAACGCTCAGCCAAGTCCGTGGCGTATCTGCGCATCCTGTCATCCAGCTGTCTGTACGGCGTGACGCCGAGGAGCATTTCCTTGAACTTCTTGGCGAAGCGAAGCTGGTTAAGGGCGTGCCCCATGACGCAGAGGACTCCGAGATGTCAGAAGACTCGGACGACGTCCCCGCCGACGCCGCCGCCGATGATGGGCACGCGGAAGATGCGGCGTTCAAGGGCGAGGCCCTAGATGATTACCAGGTTGTGGGTGAGGATATTGCCACGGACAATGTCGAGGATCAGAACGAACCCCAGCTCGCCGTTTCAGGTCAGAATGATGTGGCGGGGGAACCAGGAATTTCGCAGTCTCGTACCAGTGCGCCTCAGTCTCCGGGCGTTACGGCAGAGGCCATTCAGAGCGAGGAGCATCCGGACGATATCCAACCTGAAGCTCATTATCATGAGTCTGGCGAGGACGAGGCTGGGGAACAGGAATCCTGGGATGAAGAGGCGGCGGAGGGCGATGCAGCACTTCAGCCAGATGCCCAGACACCTGTTGACATATCTTCTGAGCAGACCTGGGTTGCAACTGGACAGCAGGAGAGCTATGGGTCTCTTCAGGCTGAGATATCGACTGAGATGTTCGACGAGCAAACATATGAGCCGACTGAACAACAAATGAGCGACGAGTCTCTTCAGCCTGCGAAGTTGGTTGCAAGGGACAATGTACCAGACCCACAACAAGCTGAGAGCACCCCCGAATTGTCTGCTGAGCAGGCACACGAAGCCGGTGAAAAAGAGAGCGATGCACTTCCTGAGATCATAGTTGAGAAAGCTGCTGCCCCTGAGGATGGCGGGTTTGAACAAGAAGCATATACTAACGGTAAATACCCTCCTCTTTTTGATTCAGCATCTCGTATCTCCAGGATTCGAAAATTGCCGGCCACGATCTCGCCCCTCCGCGGCAATGAGGGTGCGAGTGTCTTCGCCGGCAAGAAGGTTTATGACCCCGTCCCTTCGGCTGGGGCAGGATGGAAGCAATCAAGCGCTTCACAGCAACCTGCCGCGCAAGCATTGGGCTCGGCCACAAATCCTGAAGGGGAAGAAGTTTGGGAAATCGATTATTCGGATGACGAGCATGAACCGACTCCCAGCAACAGCCCGGAGGCTGGTGCATCGTCAGCATATCTGCCGCAAGCTCGTTGTGCGGTTTCCATAGGAGCTGAGACCAATCCCACGTGGATCCGTCCTCGTTTCGTCGACTCATTCCACACCAACATGACTGAGTCTAGTGGCGTCAGTTTGACACGCTCATTCGATACTGATGCTAACCAAGATGCCGCTCAAGATGAAGATTTTGTACTCGCGTTCGACGAAGAACCCGCCGCTTCTACCATCTGTGAGGAAGCGGATGTGCAAGATTATACGATCACATACGAGGCCTCGGATGTCGGCCATGATGCAGAGGGCATGCCAGATGCCAATGCTGCCGAGGCTGCCGACGAATCTCTCAGTAAGAATACAGACAACGGAGTCGATGCTCGCACAGCAGCGGAAACGTCCTCCATCCATACCAGCACGACCATCAATGGCGACGAGATTGACTATGAGGAGGACAATGTCGCGGGCGACTCGCTCACGCAGGCAGACGACGGCGTGCGCCAGTCAGCAGCGGCCCCTTGCATCAACAATGACGAGATCGACTGGGAGAACGACGAAGATGGGTACGAGCAGCAGCCGGTGGATGATTATGTCGGTGCCGAGTCGGAGGAGTCGAAGGCGGCTGCCTTGACCCCACCGAGCATTGCCAGTAAACGAAGCAGGACTGACGAGACAGAGAGTCTGGCCGATGAGACTGGTATGCCGGCTTGTCCCCCCCCGACAAACGGACGCGCATCCGCTAATGCCAATGCCATCACAGACTACAAGCGTCGTCGGACTTGAGGGCCAGACTCGTCACAGCGCCCTTTTGACTTATTCTTGATTGCGGACCGGTTGTAGTACAACCGCACCTCTGGTGGTCCGCAGATGATCGAGAGCTCCCTTTGTCAGCCCCCTTTCTCCTTCTTTCGACATCAACAGGTATTATTCTCGACCAACACGGCAGCAACGCTGTGGACTTATAGGTAAGGTAAGTTCCAGCTCGACAACGGCAAGGTCAACGACGACATGACGGGTTTGGCGGAGTATCTCGTCGATTGCAGTCTGTTTGCATCTCACAACACACCGGCTCTGAACGTACCACGACAGGCAGCCAGACAACATCAGAACTATGACATCAAATCAACGTTGAGCCGAAACAGCGTTTGGCAACGTCTAGTACAGCACCTTACCAGCCTGTTTTACTTGTAGGACCGTTAACATTCTCGGAAGCGGTGGATTTGAAAGGGAGTGGGGGGGACGGGGAGGGGAGGGGACGTTTTGATTGAGTGGACATTGCTTCTTGGAGCTTGGAGTTGTGATTTGGGTCGGCGTTTGGAGGAATCCTGGCACGGAGGCTCAAGGTTGTCTCGTCCACCCGAGCTGGCGCTTATGATTGTCCAAGCTGCGGTGAGGCATGAACGCCGTTGATGGGTTGATGGATGGAGGTCGAGTGCGACTGGGGGATGGACTGGTATCATTTTCCTTCACTTGTTACCTGGCCGGCGGCGAGTGGCGGCATTTGCTTGTTTATTATCGAAAAACCTGGCTTGTGTGTGTTGATAGAAAACCGGCCGCTCCATCTGGGGAGAGCATGGCGAGAAATACTACGCTGGTTGTTAAGTCTACTAGTACATTGTTTGACACTGGCCTCTTGTAGTTGCAACTACCATCTGACCATCACTGCTGTGAGCTAGACATATGTTTTCAGCGCTGTCAACTCATGTGATCATATACCTGATACGTAGACGGAAACAGACAACAAACCTGGGATGATTTTAGAACTATCTCAAACTTCGATTCAACAACTGAGGGGTTTTACACAATCCACAGCAGAGCTCAGCAAAGAGAGGGCAAGACTGACGTGGACTTGTGGCCACAATGTGGATTCTCTAGAGATTGAGAGACCGAGGAAGGTTGTAATCAGGCCCACATATGCACGTACCTGTAAGTGAAATTGCTCGAATCCGGAGTCTCGACACGGCCATCTGCTGCATAAGAAATCGCGTATAGAGATTGCATCTCTTTGTACAAGTTGACTAACAATCGATTTTTTTTTTGTTTGCTTTCCCGCTTTCTTGCTGGAGATCGATCTGGGAAGACTGGAACTGGCTGCCATTTCGAGACACAGGGCCCTGGACGCACAGGCCAAGGCACCGCGCGCCACAGCCAAGACAGGGGGCCAGTCTCCGACAGGGGTTACTCCGTACTCATGATTCTTGAAACGCCGCTCCATCCCCAGACTTTCCTCGCACCATTCTCGGCGCGGAGGGGGCACTGAATGCAACTCAGATCACCACGGCGCGAAAGAGAGCTGTTGCCGGTTACTGCATCGCTGTCGTCGCACGGGAACGGGAGAGGGGACCTCGGTCGTTTTCTGTGGTTTTGGACGGCGGCGACTGTGCTCGCTTTTCCAATTTGTCGGACGCCAGCAAACGAGGGGCCTGTTGCGCGCGACAAGCACAAGACTCGACTCGACTTCTGTCCTCTTCTGACGAGCGAACAAAAAACGGACGACACAATCCCACGACATCGGGAACAACGAGCACGACGGCCGCGAGTGGCAGTAGACGGATGCATCCTTGGCAAAGACCGTGCTAAATCCCTCCAAATTGATTTTCCTTCCGAGTCTCGCCCGGCGCGAGCGCACGCCCGCCCTCTCTCATTGTCCTCGGGTCATCACCAACCTCGGTCTGTCGCTTACACCACTAATCGACCAGTGCATACTCGCTGCCGAGACTCCGCTCGTTTTTCCTTTCTGTCTTTGATGTTAGGAAACATGCTGGAAGACAAGTGCGGCCCCTTTCATGAGAACTGTCCTCTGTGCGACACAGGGCCGGCTGGGCGCGCGCTTCTGCTGACATTACGGTTTCGCTGGCAGGTATATCGGTCTGGCCCTAGCCATGACCTCTAGTTTAGCAATCGGTATGTCCCTTGCCACGCGAATCCACCAACGGATACTGAGGGGTTTGCTAATGCTGTGTGTGACAGGCACCAGCTTCGTGATCACTAAAAAGGTAGGGTTTTCTCAACCTTTGGAACGGGTCGCGCCGCGAAGCCATGACGAACCTGCATGCCGACTGAGCGGATTTGCTGACCGCGAACTCGTCTGATATAGGGGTTAATGCACGCAGAAGAACGGCATGGCTTCGAGGGCGACGGCTTCGTCTACTTGCGGAGTCCCATGTGGTGGGCCGGCATCATCTGCTGTACGGACGGGCCCAATTTCGACTGCGGCATACTTCGAACCAACTCGCTAACGACGGTTTACAGTGGTCCTTGGGGAGATCTTCAACTTTGCAGCATACGCCTTCGCGCCCGCGATTCTCGTCACTCCGCTAGGGGCGCTGTCAGTATTGATAGGAGCTGTGCTAGGTTCCTATGTCCTGAAGGAAGAGCTAGGGACGCTGGGCAAGCTAGGGAGCGCCATCTGTTTGATTGGAGCAGTCATTATCGTCTTGCACGCGCCTCCTGATGAGGAGATCGAGACGATCGACCAAATCCTCAACTATGCGATTCAACCAGGCATGTCACGCAACAAACCACAGGGCGGTTTCCTGAGCCCCTTGCTAACTCCGCATAGGGTTCCTGTTCTATTGTCTCGCTGTCTGTGTCTTCGCGGGCGTGATGATCTACAAGGTCAGCCCAGCCTACGGCAAAAGGAATCCCCTCATTTACCTGAGCATCTGCTCTACCGTCGGGTCCGTCTCGGTCATGGCCGTGAAAGCCTTTGGAATTGCCTTGAAGTTGACCTTTGCCGGTCACAACCAATTCACTCACCCCTCGACCTATGTCTTCATGATCATCACCGCGGTCTGCATCCTGACCCAGATGAACTACTTTAACAAAGCGCTGAGCCAGTTTCCCACCAACATGTACAGTCTCGAACTCCTTTCCTCCTACCTCCTGATATGCTGACGCCCAGCAGTGTAAATCCCCTCTACTACGTCACCTTCACCACTGCGACGCTATGCGCGTCTTTCATTCTTTTCAAGGGATTCAACACAACCGAAACAGTCAACACCCTCTCGCTGATCTGCGGCTTCCTCGTCACCTTCACAGGCGTCTACCTCCTCAACCTCAGCCGCGGCGACCCGGACGGCACCAAGGCGCTCGCCCGCCGCGGCGCCGGCGACATCACGGGCACCGACATGGTGTCGAGCATCCAGACGCGCATCAGCATGGAGGCGCGGCGGTCGCATACGCAGGCTCACCGCATGAGCATCGGCAGCAACCGGGCCCACGGCGACCGCGACGGCTTGATGCGCGCTTACGACGAGGAGGAGTTGGCCGGGTTCGGTCTGACGGACCTCGCCGAGGACACCGACGAGGAATCCTCCGACGACCCGCGGTCACCCATGATTCCCAGTTTCCCACCCGCCCGCGGCAACGGCCACCCGCCACCACCATCGAACGGGACTCACCTCGGGGTTAAGAACGCGAGCGAGTCAATAGAGCTGCAGAATAGGAAGTCGGGCGGGGAGAGGTGATGATGTGCCCTTTTTTTCTGTGTGCAGCGTTGTTCCCCCTATTGTCTTTCCAACCGCGTACATTGTTTCTTTCCTTGGGGTTTAAAACACGAGTCGGAGTTCATGGGTTCAGTCGACTGATTCATGATGGAAACGGCGCGCGTGAGGCACAGATTTTCGTGGGGGTGCGTAGATGAGGCGCGGAGGGGTGGGATCGACGCGAGGGTGAATGAATTGCAAGGCAGGGCAGGGCAGGGCAGGAAGAGGTGCACGTGAGGAGTCTGGGCGGTTCCTGTTCGCCCGTTACTTTACCTGTTTCACAATATCGCGCTCTGGAGGACGGGGGGCAGCACAGCACTGCACATACTAGGCGTTATTCGTTTTGGGATAGTGGATTGATTTTGGGGTCATTTATCTTTCTACATTTTCCTTCCCTCCCCTCTCGTCTGGGTTGCTTCTACGGCATGGAAGGGACGCTGCTGCTTGTTGTCCTCGTGTTGTTGTGTGTATACGATGTTCATGATTCTTGTTTCCCTGACAGCCTTGTCTACTCAAATCTGGCGTCTTCGGCTGTTAACGTTGGAATCCTAAGCCAAGAAGCGGACTTACCAATAGTTGGGGCCGTTCCCCGGTTCAGGCAAACGGCTGTCACGATCTCTCAGCGGCGTGATATCTGATGGCAGTGACGGAGTAATGTCGATTCGGTTATGCCAAAATGGGGAGACTCTAAGTGTCCATATAAGAACCAGTCATTGGCACCAGCGCGAAATCTCACAAGACGGACAGGTTGTTTTGAGGTTTATTCCTCGAGCGAGTTCAGGATCGTCCAACGTTAACTGCCCCGTCCATGAGGCTTTGCCTGGAGAGCCTGGGTAGCTACAGATCCACCCTCCCCCAAAGCGACATTCCGTCCGTTTTCCCATTTCGCAGACTCAATGCAATATGCTCAAAAGTTGACGCCGAATTGACCCATCCATCCCGCAACCATACTGCTGAGCGTGTGGCGCGCTCGATAAAACCCTCCCAGCCAGGGGTTGCCTTCCCTCACGATTACCAACTGCCATCGCCAACGGGGGCATCCTCCGTAACCGGAGAAGGAGCAACATCACCAACGTCGCCGCTACCCTATTGCTCGACGGGGGCGGGCTCCTCCTCCCCGGCTTGCTCCTCCTGGCGGGCAGCCTCAGCAGCAGCCTGGGCAGCGGCGGCCTTAGCGCCGTAGTCCTGGCTCATGGGCTGAACAACCGGGGTCTCCTCCTTGGGCTCGATGATGGTGACGGCGTCAGGCAGCGACTTCTGCGGGCCGGCTTTGCCCTCGGGGTCGCTGCCGCGCATGATCTTGACCTTGATACCAAGCACACCCTGGCGGAGCAGGACGTGGCGGGTAGCACTGTCGATAAAGTCCTTGGCCGGCTGGCCGGAGTGGATCATGAAGCCGTCGGTGAACTTCATGCTCTTGGCGCGGGCGGCGCGCAGCTTGCCGGAAACGACAACCTCGCAGCCCTTGGCGCCACTCTCCATGATGAAGCGGAGGACACCGTAGCAGGCACGGCGGACGGCGAGACCGTTGAGGAGCTTGTAGCGGAGCGACTCGCACTGGGCGACGGCCGAGAGACCGCGGTTCTGGACCTTGGCGGCATAGAGGGAGACCGAGTTCTCGGGGAACTTGAAGCGCTTTTGAATGAGGCTGGTAAGCTCACGGATGCGGCGTCCCTGCTCGCCGAGGACCTCCTGGGTGTGTGTGGCGCGGATGATGATGTCGGTGACGGTCGGGGTGACGCGGACTTCGACACCGGAGTAGCCCTCCTCGGCCAGCTCGCGCTGGAAGAACTCGTTCAGCTCGGCGTAGAAAACACCATCGGCGACGAACTTTCTCCGCTTGGAACTGCAAACAACAAGCAGGTCAGTCTCGAAATCACCTCCAATATCGGCTTGCACCCCCACCGGCCAGCGATTTCAGTGCCTCTAGACTGCCTCTCTCGCCAGCTCGTCGTCCACCGCATCGCCAAGGGAATTTCTTTCTGCTTACATCTGAGTGCCAGGAACAGCCATGCTTGCGGTTTGGCGATGAGCTTCCTCACGACTTCAATTGTTGCAGAGGTTGAGGCACGGCCTTGTCGCTGTGTTCACCCGACTTTTTTTCAGTCTTGGGGAAATTCGACTTGCACACTGCTTTTTGCGAATTCGTGGTGGGTTGTCTTGCCCGTTCTGGGCACAAAGTGGAGTAGGGTTTATAATGACCAATCAGATACTGCCGATGGAACCGGAGGGGTGTGGCTCGCTCCCTGGCCTGGAATGGCGGCAGCAGCTTCTCCCAGCCTTGACAGCCTGGGCTGCGGCAGCTCGGTCGGTCACCTCGGGCCCGCAGGTCTTTGGTGGGGCCTGGCGACGTCAAGCGCCGTCCTTGTGAGTTTGCTCCTTCATCAGGCCGCATTTCATGCAAGCAAGAACGAGGGTTGTGTAATACCTTACGGCCACCTCCTCGCTACTAAGCAGTTGCGGTTTCACGATAAAGCAGCCTACAAAGGAACATTCGCCATCTCCCATGGCAGACAACATGTGCTGACCATGCCGAACCAAGCCGTTTCCTGCCCTGTTCGACCTTCCCGCGGATGATTCTCACAATTGCCCGGCCACCCACCCAAGTCTCCCTGCGAACTCTCCATCTCCCGGGTTACTTCGTCATATCTGCCACCCCTGCTCCTCGTTCGCCATGTCGGCTCCGCATAGTAAGCATGTACGCGTTCCCTCCGCGCTGCCGTCCCGGGACAGGACTCATCCTGTGCCAGGTGTACTTCAATGTGCATGCCCTGCGGGGCGGGAAGCCCGAGCTCGGCGATGTTGCCCTTAACGACTACCACCTCGTCTTCCGGTTTCCCCCCGATTCCAAAACCTCTGCCGCATCGGAGTTGAAGAAACAGGTCAAGCAAGTGTGGTTCGCGTTCCACGTCATCGCTCAATGCACCCTCCGGCCGACTCCGCCGTCAAGTGGTGTGCCGTCGTCGATACGCATTCGGTTTCGAGACTTCACCTATGTCAGCTTCAACTTTCCCGACGATAGGCAGGCCCGGGACGCCTTCGAGTTCATCCGTGCGAGAACGTGCAGGTTGGGAAGCATAGAGAACCTCCTGGCCTTTCACTACGCTCCTCCGCCAGGCTCCCCGGAGAATAAGATTGACGGCTGGGACTTGTACGATGTGAGAGCCGAGTTCAGGCGGCAAGGTATCAGCGAGAAGTCGGCAGACCTGGGGTGGAGGATATCCACCATCAACAAGGACTACTCCTTCTCCCCGACCTACCCGGCGCTACTGGTGGTGCCGTCCAAGATCTCGGATAACACGCTGAAGTACGCCGCCAACTTTCGCTCCCGCGCTCGGATACCGACGCTTAGCTACCTTCATCCTGTCAACAATTGCACCATAACCCGCAGCTCGCAGCCGTTTGTGGGACTTCGAATGAAGCGCAGCATTCAGGATGAGCGTCTCGTCGGAGCCTGCTTCTCCGCCTCTATGGACTCGCTGGACAGCACTTCTCCCGCAGTCTCGGAGCAGAGCCCGTCCTCCAGCCACGTGGATCTCAGCGCCGACAGCGTGGATGCCGAGCTATCGCTCTCGGAGACGGAGCGCATGCGGATGGAAGATGAACTCATCGCTGGCGCCAGCGCGCAGTACGACGAAAAGACTGGGAAGCGTCTCGTGTACGGCGCCCAGCAACACAACCTGATTGTCGACGCGCGGCCTGCAATCAATTCCTATGCCATGCAGGCAATAGGAATGGGGTCGGAGAACATGGACTATTACAGATTTGCCAAGAAGGTCTTCCTAAATATAGACAACATTCACGTCATGAGGGACTCACTAGACAAGGTTGTCAACGCCATCAAGGACGCCGACATTTCTCCCTTCCCGCCCAACCGAGAGCTCCTGGCCAAGAGCAAGTGGCTAAAGCATATTGGCGGCATCTTGGACGGTTCGGCTATTATTGCGCGGCAGGTTGGTATCCAACATTCTCACGTGCTGATTCACTGTTCCGATGGCTGGGACCGGACGAGCCAGCTCAGTGCATTGGCTCAACTGATGCTGGACCCTTACTACCGAACCATTGACGGCTTCATTGTGCTGGTGGAGAAGGACTGGCTCTCTTTCGGACACATGTTCCAGCTGCGATCGGGCCATATGGGCCATGAGAGTTGGTTTACGGTGGATAACGACGCGCTGGCCGGGTCGACAATTCGGCCCGGCGACAGCGAGGGTCGAGGAGACGCAATTGAGAACGCTTTCGCGAGCGCAAAACGATTTTGGAACAAAAGCATGGGCGGTGAGAAAGATGCATCCACCTCGGATGCCGAAGACCCCTCGGTGGACGAGGCAAAACAAGCCACTGCGCCCGTCACCGAGGATCAGGCGACCAGGCCCAAAGACGTCTCCCCGGTCTTCCACCAGTTCCTCGATGCGACGTACCAGCTTCTCCGGCAACACCCAACACGCTTTGAGTTCAACGAACGGTTTCTCCGGCGTTTGCTCTATCACGTGTACTCGTGCCAATACGGCACTTTCCTATTCAACAACGAGCGGCAGCGACACGAGGCGAAATTGCGAGAGCGCACGCGCAGCGTGTGGGCCTACTTTTTGAGTCGTCGACAGGAGTTCGCCAACGACCAGTATGACCCGACCATCGACGACCACACAAAGGGGAGAGAACGGCTCATTTTTCCGCGGTTGGGTGAGGTGCGGTGGTGGCATCAGGTCTTCAACCGCACCGACGATGAGATGAACGGGGATATCAACGCCTCTATTGCTACGGCGGAGCGTGTCGCGGCATATTCGTCACTGCTACCTGAGGTTGCTACTGGTGGCAGTGGTGGTGGTGGTTCACCGGCAGAAGCGACTGCCCCAAGCTCGGGGAGCCCATCCCGAAGCCCGCAGCCTCCGGCCTTGACGGCGAGCCAGTCGGTCCTCACGGGTGTCGAAACTGCTCATGAGACTCTTACACAGGATAATACCAGAGCGACAGCGTCGCTCAATCGAAGCGCCAGCTCTGGCGGCATGCCCGGTGCCCTCGGCGCGTTACAGGATAGGCTATCCGGTCTGGCCATCGGGAAGGGGGTTTTTGGCGGCGATGGAAACCCGAGTACACGTAGAAAGGACGGCGGAGAACAGGAGATGAAGAGCATGGATGAGCTAGACCCGGCTGTATGAAGCGGGTGCGTCAGCGATGTAAGGGTGAGCGCGTGCCGGGCCCAAGGATGTCTGGTATTAAAACAGAGAACGGACATATAATCCAACGCTTGATGTTTGTTCTCACAGATCTCAGGCTCAGTAAGGAGACGGGACAGACTACCTATCATTGAGCCCTGAGTATTTGAGCCTTTGTTGATCTTTCATGTTTACTTTCTCTCTACGTTTTTCTTTTCCCTTCTCTTACATCCTTTCTACTTTCATATTTTTCCCGTTCGCCGGTTTTTTCTTTATTTTCCCCCTAATTTTCTCTATATCATCTTCTTACATTTTCTCTTCTCTAATTATACTATTTCATTTTGGTTTCCTCAAAAGTGGCTATTTCTCAGGTATGAAACTTGTTTTATCTCCTTTTCGGTTAAGTTGGCTCATTCTTATATCTTTTTGCCTCTCTTGATGGATATCACGTTGTGTCACCCTCTGGAAGTGCACAGCGATTCATATTTGGTTGCAAAATACTTCTAAACTTCCATGTTGTGAATCTTGTGGGAGTAAGGTACCTTAGTCTGATGGCTTGGTCTGTCATGTGCTGTCTTGCGTGAAACATTCGACTGAAATTGAGGAGGCGCCTGTGCCGCCCCTGAAACCGTGAGCTGCTTGGGAGTTGGGACAGCCTTCCTCCTTTTCGACCCCACCTGACAGCAACAGCCCCGCACACAGCTGGCTTCGCTGCTTTCAGGTTGGGTTTGCTCATTGGGCTCGTGCACAGCGCACTGGCCGTCCAAGCTGGCAGTGACCAAACGGGCATGCCTGGATTATGTTAGACCTTGTTCCTGGGCCCGCACCCCAGGACTGACTGGATGGGGGCTTGCCTCGAACCTCCATCCCACTCGCATTCCATCTGCTACCCATCCAACCCTCATCAGCGAATCCCACCAAACAGCGCCGGGCGGCTCCGTTTCTTGTTCGCCATCTTGCTAGAGTGTTGCCATGGTCGCCGGGGCTTGCACTGCGACTTTGCGCTAAACCATACCCTATTTTTCCAGCCGCGAGTGACGGCAAACGGCATCGAAAAAGCGAACATCCAGCAAGTTGGGACGGCGGCAGCCCACTTTGTTGGAGTTATTCGTCAATCGACGCCCGGTCGGCCAACACCCGCTTTCCCATTGCATCACAGCCCGCAGCACACGCGATCCCAGCCGCCCAGCCCAGCCCAGCGCCTGCCCAAAAATCCAGCCCTGAATCCCCGCCGAACAACAAAACAAACCACTTTGGGATTTCTTGCGACAGCTGCGCTCTTTCTCTTTTCCACAGTCGCCCACCATGGCTGACGCGACGAACACCAACGATGAACTCTACCCCATTGCCGTGCTGATCGATGAATTGAAGGTATGGACCTGACCTTCCCCCACTCCTGACTGCCGTGATTAACCATCGATGGTGACCAGCACGACGACGTCCTGCTCCGACTCAATGCCATCCACCGCCTGTCGACCATTGCTCTGGCCTTGGGCGCCGAGCGGACTCGCGACGAGCTGATCCCCTTCCTTGATGGTCAGCCTGCCCCGCCTTGGCCCCCGACCTCGCGGACTCGCCTATCGCTAACACATGTGCCCCCGCTACAGAGTCTGTTGAGGATGAGGACGAGGTCCTCGTTGCCCTGAGCGAGGAACTGGGGAGCTTTATCGACTACGTCGGCGGCCCTCAGTGGGGCCACGTCCTTCTCTCCCCGCTCGAGAACCTAGCCGCGATCGAGGAGCCCGTCGTGCGAGACAAGGTACGCGCGGAGTCTGCAGTGCCGCCGGTGAATCAACACGTCAACTAACCCGTCATCACTTTTTGGCAGGCTGTCGAGTCGCTAAACAAGATCTGCGGCGAGCTGTCGCCTGAACAAGTCGAACAGTATTTCATCCCTCTCACGATCCGCCTCTCCAAGGCCGACTGGTTCACGTCCAAAGTGTCGGGGTGCGGCCTGTACACGGCGCCCTATTCCAAGGTCTCGCCACCGGTTCAAGAACAACTCCGGCAGCAGTTTGGTCAGCTGGTCCACGATGACACACCCATGGTGCGCCGCCAGGCGGCCACCAACCTGGCCAAGTTCGTGAAGGAGATGCCCGCCGCCATTGTTGTCGAAGAGATGATACCCATGTTTCAGCACCTCGTTCAGGACGACCAAGACAGCGTCCGGCTGCTCACGGTCGAGGTCCTTATCTCGATTGCAGAAGTCGTACCCAAGGAGCAGCAAGCCAGCCACGGGGTGCTGCTGACCTCGCTGCGCAGCTTGATAGAGGACAAGAGCTGGAGAGTTCGGTACATGATCGCCGACAGATTTGAAAAGGTCCGTCACAACGACAACGTGAGGCTTCAGTTAGGGCACGACTGACGATGTGTCTAGATCGCCAAGGCAGTCGACGAGGAGGTTGTTGCCAGGGATCTCGTGCCTGCCTTTGTAAAACTACTCAAGGACGGCGAGGCCGAGGTACGGACGGCCATTGCCGGCCAGATCCCCGGCTTCTGCGCCCTGGTCGACCGGAACACCCTCCTCAGTGAGATCATGGGCACGGTGGAGAACCTGGTGTCGGACAGCTCGCAGCACGTGCGCGCGGCCCTGGGAACCCAGATCAGCGGCCTGGCCCCGATCCTGGGCAAGCAAGAGTATGTCTTGGACTTGAATCACAGCGCGAGCAGATGGTTAACTCCTTTTGCAGGACTATCGATCACTTGCTGCCCATGTTTCTCCAGATGCTCAAGGACGAGTTTCCCGAGGTTAGGCTCCACATCATTTCGAAACTGGAGCTGGTAAATCAGGTTATCGGCATCGATCTACTTGCGCAGTCCCTTCTTCCTGCCATCGTCCAGCTCGCCGAGGACAAGCAATGGCGCGTGCGGCTCGCTATTATTGGCCACATGCCTCTGCTCGCCAGCCAGCTGGGCGTCCAATTTTTTGACGAGAAGCTCAGCCAGCTGTGCATGGGCTGGCTCGGCGACACTGTCTTCTCCATCCGGGAGGCGGCAACGCACAACCTCAAGAAGCTAACCGAGGTATTTGGCGTCGAATGGGCCAGCGAGGCCATCATTCCCAAGGTCATGGCGATGGGCGGCCACCCCAACTACCTTTACAGGATGACAACATGCTTCGCGATCTCGGTGAGTTGCGCTCTATTTCAGGGAGGATCTGCCAATCGTGACGTGACTGACAGGCGAGGTAGACACTGGCTAGCGTCGTGACCATGGACGTGATCGCCAAGTCGATCCTGCCCATGCTAGAAAAGCTCGCGAGCGACGAGATCCCCAACATCCGGTTCAACGTCGCAAAGACGTACTCGGCACTGATTAGCGTGCTGCGCCGGCTGCCGGAGCAGGGTACCATCTACGCGCTGGAGCAGGCCAAGACGCCGTTCGCTGCGTCGCCCAAGGGGCAGCAGTTGGTCGACGAGCGGATCATGCCCATCCTGGAGAAGCTCCAAAAGGATGACGATGTGGATGTGCGGTACTTCGCGACCATCGCGGCGGCCGCAGCGACGGGAGCGGCCGGGGGTACGGGAGAGCCCATGAATACATCACCATAGAAGAAGAGAGTCATAATGAAGCAATTCCGTTCTTGCCGTTAGGCTCAGCGCATTCCAGGCCAGAGTGGACAGGCCTTAAGAGTGGAGTAGAAAGACGTTGACAGCCGATTAGATCCCTCCATTTGGCGCTGATCACATCTCATTTATCCATCCCCGGATAGCCTCTATTTCGTCTTTTAAAGTGGCCAAAGCGCAGCTACCTACCCCCAACCTTCTCAAAGCACAGCGTACTAATCGTCTGCCCCTTGACGCCGCCAAAGCTGAAGCTGGGGTACTCTATCCTGCTTGCGAGCCTCAGCCGCGCCCCTGATTCGGGGGCCTGCGTCTTGCTCTCGAACCACTCGCGCAGCTCAGCCTCGGTCCAGTTGCAGCTCGTCACGAGGAATATGCCGCGCTTCCGAAGCAGCTGCAGCACCCTTTCGCCATAACCTTCGCAGATTCTTCGCCCCTGAGCATCGCGCTCGCCGCTGAGGGAGACTGCGTCAAAGGTGCCCTTGTCGAGGACCAGGTCCCACCCGGCCGCAGTCTCGCTTGCTTCATCACTTCCCTCCCCACCTGTTGTTTCTGTGGTTGTTGTTGTTGTTGTCGATGCCAGGACGTCGCTGAGCGGTCCACTGAGGACATCCCACACCTTGAAGTCCACCTCCCTTTCCTCCTCCTCTTGATCCCCTACGGCCAGACCCCGCGAGACACCAACCCTCCTTGCCAACTCGACACTCCGCTCGCTGTAATCCACGCCTAGCAGTGCCCCGCGCCATCCGTCATCTCGCAGCGCAAACAACAGACTGCCGTTACCGCATCCAAGATCCAGCACGCGCGCGGTATCCCGGTCCAGGCCAAAGTCAGACTCGGCGTGCTCGTCGAGAAACGAGACAATCTTGTTCTCGGCGTCCGAGTCGTCGAACCAGACGGTGCCCTCGTCAGACGGGTTGTCGGCGTGGTTGGAGAGTTCCTTTTCGTAGAGCGTGTCCCAGCTTTTTCGGACAGAGGAGAGTTAGCTTGCGGAGCAGATAGCGGAGATCTTGGTGTAATGGAACACCAAAGGGGTCGGTCGGGGTCCGTCCGTTGCAGGGAAGGTAGGTTAAGGAAAAGGGACAGAGAGGGCTCACTATTCTTTTGTGCCGAGGGCAGAGGGGTCAAGATGGGCAGGTGTTGCTGGATCTAGCATTTCCAAGTAGTTGGTGATATCTGGAGTGAGCCGCTGTGGGTTGCTGTGTTGTCGAGAGGTTCCAGTCGGCCGTGTAACCTAAAGACGAGCGGGTGTCGTCGACAACAATCCTATCCCATTTTTGTCATGCCATGGCGGGGTCGTGGAGGGGCAGCTCTGGAGCGAGCGGAAGAGGAAGGCGGTGTAGAACTCCCCCTGTAAGGTATCACCGGAGGGATAGTACATACCAGTACCATGCCACACCACCTGCTCTGGGCGGCATTTGTACTGCGCTGCCAACCTGCCAGCTCCAATCACCCATCAGCACAAGTACCCAGGGTATATAGGCATGCATAGCATGAACAAAAAGGTAGATCCGCCATCCCTCGCAGGAGGGGACTCATCCTAATCGTCAATAAGGAAGAAAGCGAGAAGAATCCCTTGGTTCGTCCATCTGTCCATCCATCCATCCAACTAAACCAACCATTCTCCGGGCCTTCTTCCCCTTCGTGTCCCTTCCACCAGGCCCTCACTCCGGAAGCGATCCAACAACGCTTCTCCAGGACCACCGTGACGCCCTCCACCTTTTATCCACATCGCTACCAACGGTGACTCCTCCCGCCCGCCGCTCGCAAGCCTTCTGGTCGTTGAGCCATGCGCATCCCGCGCCAAGTCCTATAACGAAAACAAGTAAACATCCCACCCGCCAGACTGAATTCATAGCATTCTTACCCGGAACACCAAATAAACCGCCGAATCACCCCAGGGTCCACACCGGGGCCTTGCACAGCACCTGCCGACCGCGGACCTCGACGGCCACGAAGCCGGCAAAGCGCACCTTGTTGCCCGCGTCCTTGGGCGGTGGGGGAGCTGCTGCTTGAGAGATGCCGCGGTCAGCAACGCTGCCTTTTCTGCTTCCAGGACCATTGCCGCCTCCGCCTCCGCCGGAGGCGGCGGCAGCAGCAACAGCCCCCACAACACTCGACATACCCGTTCTCTTGTCACCACCCCGCCGGTCCTTGCCGCCGTCCTTGTTGGATGCTTCCTTACCTCCGCCAGCGCTACCAGCGCCGCCGCCGCCATCCTCTGCAGCACCGCCCTCCTCGCTCGCGTCCGAAGGCCGGGCCTCAAGCGCCGGAAGGCCTGTCTTCTCCACCTCCATTAGCTCCGGCTGAATCGGGGTCTCGGGCAGCGGGTAGATGATGTGCACGTCGCGGCTCTCGAGGGGCAGGTTGCTCGCGATGCCGACAGCGAGCTCAACAATCATGCTGGCGCTGCCGTCCACACCCGCGGGCGGCGGGTCCGCCAGGTGCTGGAAGAGCGACGCCGTCAGGTTGCTTGTCGCGCTGCGCGTGAATTCGTTCCTGTGGTTGACGCTCTCGGCGCTGCGGAGCACGTCCTGCAGTCCCTCGAGCGTCGCCATGCGCCAGCTGACCACCTTGCTCGTCAGCGCGTCGTACTCCTCCTGGCTGTTCATGGTGTAGCTAAAGTGCCTAATGTTAAGCTCGATAAGCTTGAGCTGCCTGCTGAGCTCCGGGTCCAGGCCCGGGTGGAAGCACCGGTTAAAGATCTCTTCTACGATCCAGCGCGTGATGACGGCCCGCCCGACCGCCGTCATCTCCTGCTTGCCCGTCTTGAGCGCGTCGGCACTCACAAAGGGGACTAGCCATTGCGGTAGCGTGACCCAGTCCTTGCGGATATTGAAGGATAGATTGTTAATGGCGCCGTTGAGGCGGTTGAAGCGCGTCGTGTACTCGCTGTCGTCGAGCGAGGTCCGGCTCTGCGACATGCGCTGGTTGGCGATGGCGTTTTGCAGCTGCTCAACCTGGCTGCTCAAGTGTTCAATTTCCTTTTTGCCGTCAAAGTAAAGTCGCTTAACATTTTTGTACTTGGTCACTGCGTGGCGCCAACCGTTAGCTGGGTCTGTATCTTATCGGGCAAGAGGGGATCCAACAAGTCGTACAAAGATCCTTGAAAGCCTTCTCAGGGTCCTCGCCGCCGCGGTCGCTAGAGGGAGGTTGCGGGCTGTTGCGCCCTTGAATTTCTCCTTGGCCTTCGAATTGCTGCCGGTCCGGTACGTTGCTGGCACGGAAGGTCGGGTTTGGCTGCCCCGCGTTCGGGGGTTGCGGCAGGGGGTTCATATTGGGTTGCTGACTCTGCCGGTAGCTGGGCGGTGGCCCTGACGGCGGCTGGACTTGTTGATCGCGCATCCTCTCGGCGTCCTGCGATCTCCGCCCCGGGGGCGGCCCGCCGGTTGGTGGGGCCATGGTCTGCGGCTGCGGGTTCTGGGCTTGAAGTGCGGGCGGTGGGTTTTGGCGTCCACCAAGATCCTGAGTATGCGGCAGGTAATTTATCGCAGGCGACTTCTGCACCTGCACCGTTTGTGCTGGTATATTGGTAGCAGAACGTTGATCCGAGTCAGTAACGGGCGACTCATGCGACAGCTGCGATACCGTCTCAGGGTTTTGCTGTTGCGGGTTGGCAAGATGGCCCGTGAAGTTTTGCTGACTGCCGCCCTGATACTGTGGTGGCTGCTGCTGCTGCTGATTCGTAATTTGGTACTGCTGCGGCTGCTGTTGAGGTGGAGCGGCGTCAAAAACCGCCTGGCCGTACTGCTGATGCTGCAATACCGGAGGGACGTGACCGTGCGACGGGATGTGGCTGCGGTGTTGGCGATACCCGGGATCCTCAGTCGGGTAGGGCGACGTCTCTGCGTCCGAAGGAGGAGCAGGCTTGATGGTGGGGTGCTGAATGTCCTGTGAAGTCTGCAGGTACAGCTCTTGGTCAGAACCTCCAATTGCGTACGATTGGAGGGAATCTCCTACACCTTGCAGAGGGGAGGGCTGTGTCGCAGGCCCTTGGTTCTGCCAGTCGCTCTGCTGCTGCTGATCGAGCGACACCTGGGAGACGCCGGTGTGAATTGCTGGAGGACACGGCGGGGGCAGGCTCACGCGTTTAGAATTCCGGCGGGCCGGGGTTGAGCCGCTGCCGTACTGGCTCTGCTGCGGCTGCTGTGAGAAGTCCTGGCCACGGGGATTCAGGATATTTTTGATCAGCCTCCGAGTGGACTGCTTGGGCTTCGGAGGTTGGGGCGGTTGGGGCTGTTGGTGACCGTAGGCGGGCTGGGGGCCGCCAAGAATGGGTGAGGAGATATTTGGGTGGCCGGTGACAGAGAGGTCCTCGACGGAGACGGACCCTGGCGGAGGTTGTGTTTGTTGTGCGTGCTGCTGTAGTTGTTGTTGCTGCTGCTGTAGTTGTTGTTGCTGCTGCTGTTGGAGGAGCAGTTGGGTAGCGGTGGGGGAGGGCTGGGTGTAGCGGTACGATTGAGAGCGCGTCACTTGGTCTGCGAACTCCTGCTGCTCCCGCTGGCGCGAGTCAAAAGTAGCTGAGACGCTGTTGGAATGCTGCAACTGGGGCGGGCCGGCGGCAGCGGTGCCGTAGATATTGGTGAGGTGTGGCGGCGGTGGGGGGGGTTGCTGTTGTTGTTGTGCGAGATTACTCCGGCCGGCGCTGGCGTCGGGCTGAAAGGATTCGCTGGAGCTGAGGGCCGAGTTGGGGGAGGCTGAGGGGTGGTTCGCAGCACCAGCACCCGCACTCAGGGGGTTCGCACCGGCAGCTGGGCCTGGCACAGGCGCCGAAGCAGAGTCCTCAACACCCGTCGACCCCACCAGGTTGTGTTGAGAGCGGTTGTTCCTGCCAGACCAATGGATCCTAGACGGCATTCTCGCGCCGGTAGGTCGATCTTTTTGTGCTGGGCGGTCTCACCCAGCAGCCCAAGGCCCGGTCGCTGAGGTGCTGCGACGGGGAGAAGGTTGGTCTTGTTGCCGGCCGTTTGAGAGGCGGACAACAGGTGTCCAGCGCGGGGAAGAGCCAAAAGCAACGCAAATGTTAAGCATAAAATGGGCGCAAAAAGCACCGTCAATCGCAACCAACAAAACGGCCAAGCGAGCAAGCTAGAAGGAGCTGGAGGCGCTGGCTGAATGGACGAGCAGGGAACGCTGCAACGTCCCGGCTCAACAACAAGTCACCGCTCCTAGCTGGGGAGAGAGTAAACTTTGCCAGCGCGCGATGGGTGTTAGCGACTGCGACAGACGCCTACCTTGATCGTGTGGAGGAGAAGATGAGACGAAATCGCATCGAAGGATGCAAGTGTTGCGTCCAATGCATTGGGCTGATGAGGAGCTGCTGCTGTGGCTGTCAGTCGGCGTACCCCTCACCTATAGCCAGCAGGGGTCCAGACAGGGGCCAAGTGGATTCGGCAAGAGAGCAAGCGGGCCATGGGCGGAGCTCTTCGACGACAACAACTCTGAGCGACTCCTTGACTCGCCAGCGTCGGTCGGGGCTGTGCTGTGTGCTTCACCAGATGTGGTCAGGAGCTAGCAATGAAAGGCCTCTATCGAGTAGCTGAGTATTCGCACCATCGTCAAACCACTCTCCTTATCGGGTCCGGTGGTCGATACGGCGGAAAGGGCTCAACTAAAGCAGGAACACAGCTCTCTCGCATCATACCTGGGCTGTAATAGCTATAAGGTACCAAGCTTACCAACCCAGTGCTGGTAAGGTCATACAATTGATGAAGAACCGACCAAGCCTGGTTACCGTACCTGGTAGGTCCTCAGTTCTCACAGACAGGGGAATGGAGAGTTTGAGATGGTCAGAGTTCCGGTCGAGCTCTGCTCCTGCCAGCCCTCGAACAGAAGCCCAGAAAGAAGAACGTCGCAGATCATGCCCCGTTTGGTTGCGGGGTTGATGGGTCACGAAGTCCAATGCAGCCTAAAATCTTAGGCGAACCCTCTAAGAATAGCAACAACGACTCCAGTAACACGTCCGAACCCAGATCCGGTGGTTCAGGAGCACAGCTGGTGGCGAGCGCTGAAATGCATCAAAGTTCAACATCATCACCGCCCGTACTTGTCCATCTCGGGATGACCATCACTCGGCCGTCAGGAATACGATGGAACTGATCTCTTTCAACAGCACTGAAAATCGTATGGCCTAATAACAGGTGGTACTTCAAGTTCGGGGTCTTGGTACCTGTCCGAGTGGCTAATATACCTTAACCTCCCGGGAGGTTTTTTTCCCCAAGGTCTGAGCAGGCCAAGCAAGTAAACCGCGAGGAGAGCCGCGTCGGCAACCCAAACGTTAGAGCGACTACGCCCTACGTTTCTGTTTGGTGGCTTTTCCGACCTTCGTCCGGCTACTGTTGGCCTGAGCAATTTGTCGAATACCAGCAAAACATGGACACAAGCCGGATCCGAGATTCTGCCATTTCCGACACCCTCGGGACTGTGGCTTCGTGCTCACATGTCAAGCACACGATGTCTCGAAAAGGTGATATCCGCCTTAGACATGCCCAAGCAATCTTGTGCCTGCAAGGGACCACGGCCGTTGGAACGGTCATCGCACCGTCACACATGCCGATAGGCGAATAGCTATGAGATTTAGGTGTCGGTGACTGGAGACCTTTGCTGGCAAAGTATCGTCAGGGTTGAGATGAGTGAAGTAGAGAATTGAGTGAAATGGGCGTGGTGCCGGAAAGAAGGACTAGTCGGAGCCGTCCCTTCACGCAGCGGTGCTACATCCAGTTACTCCGTCGTTTTTCGTGAGGCATTCAGTTATCAGGCCCCCCAGTGCCATTCCTTCGCCCCTGGCTTATCAACTGTCGGCCCCTCCCGGTTCAAGCCCGGAGACATCAAAATGGGATCCTCAAACTTCAGTGTCTGGTGACCCTCGTCTTCTCGCCTGGTCTAATTACAAATCAAGCCAAGGTATGCATCGGAAGTCAATCCACTCCGTTATTCCACATCCCAACACACATGTTGCGCCGTGACTGATCAGAAGGCAGGGTCTCCAGACGTATTCCCCTCCCACCTCGGCATGGAAGGGTTGCAATTCGTGATCCCCCTCAAGGACAACAAGTTACAGTCCTATACCCAGACACTGTAAGTGCAGGGCGCACCCTGAATGTCTCGGAGCTTTGCGCCTGTCATCCTCATCCGAGGTATCATGGGTCATCTCAGAAGCTCGCCCGGTTCCGTGCCGACAAAAACCAGATAATGACGGTTACAATATTCGCATCATTTCACAGACAGAGGCTGCGTGGCGAACGCACATTTCAATTGTGGGTTCATGATAAGGCCATAAGCTCGTGTGACAGCAAACAAGCTGTTGAGGTGAGCACTTGGAAGGCAGTTGGTTGTGGAAGCGTCCAGGCCGGATGAGGATAGACGATGACCTTGAAGCCTACGTAGGCCGCGACGGCCATGACTTCCTTCCAACGAGAAGTCGGGTTAAACTAGACTGAGAGATGCAAGGCTACCTCAACTGCCACTCAAGCGGTTATTGCTTCTTCCACCGGCACCTGGGGATCCCGAGCGAGTGATGTTCATTGAACCTCTCCCCACCCCGAAAGAACTGCAGCATGACTGAGCTGATTTGACCTGAAGCGCAGTGAGGCGAGGATCCTTAGTATCTGGAAGCGTTGTTTGCTAGCCAAACTTATCCTCTTGCGCTCAAATTCGCAGCCTGTGCAAGGTGCCAGCTGGGTCTGTGTCAGTACCACGAGAGGGGGCACCTGGGCAACTCTTCTGGCGCCATCCTCGGGTTCTGTGGCATCTACAGTAATCTGGGCACGTCTCTGACGAGTATAACATTTCCCCCTTAGCCGCCCTCCCCTTCCTCCGCCCTCGAAAGCCCCAAGCCAAAGGCCGTGACTTGTGATCGCCACTGCCCCAAGCATGCGCTCGCTCACCTGCGTGCTCTCCTTCGTCACCCTCGTGGACCTGTCACTTGTGGTCTCGTTTCCATACCACTCAAAACGCTTGCTGTACGACATCAGCAGCCAGCATACAGACGGAGCCTACTTCAATGATGTCTCCCAATTCAAGTTCGAGCCTTACAACATCACTGAAATCAGTATCTTCTGCGACCGACCGGGCCCAGCATTCGACTACTCCTGCAATCTTACATGTAAGAGAGAGACAGCCCGCACATGCCGTGCCATGTCGCCCGATTGATGCGCGAGTCAAAGAGCTAACTGACGACGTCAGTCAACTGGTTCGACCCCAACTCGGTCAGAGAGAACCGTGTCACGTCAGGTACCTGCCACATATCGTGGTCGTGGGACGGAACGACCAAGCACAATGCGACCTGGGACGGCAGCAACCCCGTCGCCAAATACTGGGGATGCTGGATCGACGAGGAGACCTACTTCAAGGCGGCTGTTCCCGGATTCTGGCATCCCGGCAACTTTTCGCTGGAACTTTCGCACCACTACAAGGACGACGAGTGAGCACCCCTTATCCTTAGAAGACGTTGTTACGTGCCGCCGACCACCAACTCCTCCTCTTGGAAACGGGAGAGGAGAATCAACTGACGCGTCCGTGATTTCACAGGAATTTCACCAAGCCATGGGACCACCCCACGGCCTTTGCTGAGGCCAAAATCGACATATACCACGAAGGGCCTTTGGAGAACAGCGTCTACCATTATGAACCTGGTCCGATCAACGGGACTGTAGTCGGGGTGGTTGACTGAGTGGGAGGTGACGGGGCTTGCTTCAACGTTTCCTCACACCTGACTTCCGCCATCGCCCTTCGTTGTGGTTTGTCGACATGTTGATATGCAAAGTAAATAGCTTGTTAATAGCCTTGCCTTGTCCAAGAGGGTTTCTGAAATTCGTCGTTGTCATGGACCTCCACAGGCAACTGCTTTGCTGCCAAGTCAACCAGACACAGCAACACCAGGCTGGCATGTTGTCGCCAACCAGGGCACTTGTGAAGTGAATAGCGGGGTCGAAGACACATAAACATCCGATGGAAAAGAACAACGGTTCATACTTGCAAAAAAAGAAGGTACGGAATCCTATAACCCACCCCCCCTCTTTCTCACTCTCGTTTCATGCTCACCTTCTCTTCCTCCCCGCATCACCATTCCAAGTGATGACGCAAACCGGAAACCCCAGGCAGGCCAAAGCGTGCATCTCGAATTCGACTGATGACCAAAAGATCTGGAATCCGCAACCCTATGAAGTACCTGGAGGAACAACATTTTATCTTGATCCGCCCACCTCTGCCAGTGTACTTTTTGCCATCAACCACGTCTGCACGCCTGTGGCTGTCCTGGTATTGGCTGGTAGGCTTCGCTTCAGTGACAAACCCCCGTTATTCGCAAGTTATATATGTACAAGCCCTCCGAGTCACTTGCCTTCAGCCCGACAGAGGATACGACGTCTCGGGAAGAGACTCGAGGTGTTTCCTATGGTGCTCATTCGCCTTAAAAGCAGATCCCACTGGGTCAGCACGCTCCATAATATTTCCTCCATGTGAAATGCCAGTGTAAGGATGGGACCCTATTTGTGAAAGGAGCACCTACAAAAGGCAACCCGCAATATCCGCACGTCGCAATCTCGGGCTTGTCGGTATTGATGAAGATCTTGGGGTGACCGGTCGGCCCACCGCCTCCGTCGCAGGCCACGACCCGGTCGTGTGTCCACCGCACCGGCTGCTGGTGGATGAGGTCGATGGCCGCGTAGGGTCGGGGCTAAACCACAACAAGACCATTACCCTTCGTCAGCAACCTTGTTTCTTCCACCCTCCATCTATCCTAGCTCGGCCCTATCCCTCAATCTCAACTCCTTCTTGGCTTGTTGGAGTAACCCACCTGCAGCGCGAAATCCGTCTGCTCAAACCGCGGGCCTGTCATGGCGACCGACCGCGGCCGCTGGCTGCGCGACCACACCTCGGCGCGGTTCGGTGCTTGAAGGACGGCTTCTGTCGGCGGCGGTGCCGGCTGGTCGGGCACGCCGGTCTGGCTGGCCGGGCCGGATGTCGTCGTCGGCGGGGACGGGTTTTGTTGTTGCTGGTAGTCCTGGCATTGGCGGGCCGTGGTGCTGAGGAATGCGGTGACGCGAGGCTTGTTGTTCGAGAGGTGCCGCGGCAGCAGCTCGCGGGCTGCGGCTGCTACCCGCAGGCGTGAGGCGTACATTGCGTGTATCTTGGGGGGGTTGTTGTGGTCGGGTGTCGGGATTGGGACCTCCGTGGAAGCGTCAATTGGGATCAAGTGAACTTGATTCCATTGGCTTGATGCTGGAGCTTCCGAGCTGCGACCGCCGGCTGAATATCGGGACTGCTTTGCCTAGGAGCGGCCGCCTTGGTCAGTGCTTTGGTTGGCCCCACGCTCACTGCAGTGGCAAGGGCTGGCTTGGCACTTGCTCTTGGCTTACCAGCATCGGTTCATCTTTTTTTTGAGATCGCGACCACCTTTTTCTGTTTGGCAACCGACCGTGACAACAGGAAAGATTGAGCGCAAGAAAACCCAACTCGCCGAGTATTTGGGGCGACCCGCCAGCAATTTACTAACCCAACGCCCAGACGACAAGGCAAACCTTTTTCTCAACATGCCGCCAACACCAACAACAGCGCTGCCGTCCATGGCGAAGCAGTCTACGCCCAAGACCATGTCTTCCCGTCTTATGACGATGAAGTTCATGCAGCGCGCTGCTGCTTCACAAGTAGTAAACACGCCAAAATCCACCTCGCCCGCAACCCCACAAAGCGACGACGGCTCAGCCAAGCGCCGCAAGGTCTCGCACACCTCCTCCGCCGCCAGCGGCTCGCCGGCGACGCCGCTCTACGACCAAAAGGCGATCCAAGCGGCGCTGAAGGAGGAGGAAAAGAAACGCCAGGCGGCCATCGAGAAGCGCGCCGCGGAGCTGGGAGACTCACACTGGGAGCTGCCGAGCGCAGCGAGCCTGCGCAAGCGGGCAGCGCGGCCGGCGCTAAGCGTGGTGCAAGTCGGGTTCGCCCAAATTGATTACGCAAGCGCGTCAGCCAGGGAGGACGGCGGTGGCGGCGACGATTCATTTGATTCAGGCAGCGTGCCGGGGCAAGTGCAGATCCGGGGATTTAACATGAAAAAATCAGAGGCATGTCTCCAGGGGAAAGGAATCTGGGCTGTAAGCTATGCATGCTGACATTGAGTTCACAGGCTGTCAAGAAACAGGACGATGATAGCGGTGGCAGTGACTCCGACGAGTCTGGCTCCGGCTCGGAGTCGGGAGAGGCATTCGAAGACGAGCGCTCCCCGGCGTCGGCGAGAGAAGAGCCCGGCCGCGGCCGGCGGAATGCACTGGGCGACGCAGAGCGCAAGCGTGCGCGGTCTAGCGTTTCGCGCAGGCGGGACGAGGAGCGGAAGAAGGCGCAGCAGCTCGCCGGGAAGCGTCGGAAAAAGGAGATCAAGCTGAACCAACTGACATCGATATCCTCGGCAGGCTCGCAGGCCTTCCAGCGGCCCTCGTCTACCCTTACTTGCCACGGCTGTGAGAAGCCCGGCCACAAGATTGCAGATTGCCCGAACAAGAAGCGTTGAGGGGTCGAAACCGCTCTCTGCTGTTGTGTTCATCATCACGAGCCTAGTCTTCCAGGTTCCTTTGGTGGTTGCCACACGATCATCCCTTATATTTGATTCCTTATCCCGGACTTCACTTCCTGCCCGTCCGTATCTGGACTCTGGCTAGGGTATTGGCCTTGCGCAATATGGCTCCCGATATAGCCCAGAGATCAGTCGTTACGGACGGCGTGCCTGCAATGCCCGGTTCAGTGCATAGAACCCGGGCGCTTAGAGAGATGGCTGCCCAGCGAAGGTTCTGAAAGTCTACGCAGCGTTGCATGCTCGTGCGAGCCAACCGTTACCATGGCAAGCTGCGGCTTCCCGAAATATCCGGTCTCCCCGTCCACCGAACAGCGAAGCCGCCAAATACCGATTCATTACCCTGCGAGGAGCGCAGGTCCGGGTGAAGGTCCATGTCGCCGGCAGGACGGCCGCATGGCACAGGAAAAAGTGTGACGGGGCGTGCATGAACACGGCTGGAGGATACCAGAGACCTTGGTTTCGGCCTTCATGGCTCGATTCTCTGCAGTAAGCCTGAAACGGGTACGGTGGGAGAAAGTAGCCATCTCGTCTCTGTCTTTCAGCAAACCCAACTGGTCTCAGAGTCGGCGAGACTTATGGGCTACCTCGACGATTGTTGAACGGGAGTGGGGGCGTGGTCAGACAAGGGGGCAGGAAATGTTTGAATTTTATACCACAGTCCCAGGCAGAACGGTTAGATGCACGTTGCCCCTTTTTCCGCCATTTCCGCACATCAATCCGATCGAGTGACGATGGGTGCAGCTCCGCTCTTCAAATGCCGTGAGCGGGCCAGCCAGCCGTGCCGTGTCCTGTCGACCCGGGTAAAGTCTGTCGGACGTGGCTGAGTTGTCTGGGGAATTTCATGTGGTGGTCCGCGGGGTGGTCTTCTGTTCCTTTGGGGTACATCACTTGAGTCAACAAGCCGGCTGGGTGTCAACATCACGGCTGTGGCCGCAACACCCTGCTCACGCCTCGAAGATCTGTGCATATCGCAGGATGATAATTCGACATCGGCCCGGATCGCTCCTTGATTTAGCCTCTCGGCCATGACCGAAGTCCCTCGGCAACAGGATGATCAGTGGTGATTCCCTGGTGGTGTATCCGTTCGTCACCCCTGAGCGCGTGCGTGGAATGCTGGCATCGTTTGGGGCGACATTCAGGTATGAACAGTCCACGTGTCAGGATGAGAGCCATGTGTCGGCGTTTCCGTGGCTACGGTACAGGTATCGTCCAAGGGCTGGAGTGGACTGCCATGTCTGAAGATCGCAGGTCCAGATCGGATTCCTGCAGACGCATGATGAATGGACATCCTGGGACGTACCGCATATTCCCGAACAAGGTCTGCTGCAGCTTGAAGTGCGGCGGCCACACCCCTGGCCATGTCCGTGCCCAAGCCAAGGTCAATCAAGGAGCCGATGGAAATGCGGTACGGAGTACAAGAGCACATCATTCCGGATGTGACCCGCCGTTGAGCCATATCTGGTTCGGCTCGCCCATCACACTGTCGCATCACTGCTATTTTGCGGGCTAAACGTACCGTGGACGCTGGAACAGGTCGCATGAGTCGGCCCATCATGTGTTTGCTTCCCCACCAAGCGTCAACGTCAGCTGTCGGCGCCGGCTGCATCGCAGTGCTCGAGATTAATGTTTTCCGCTTTCATTGGGGTGGACGGTATCTGGATCGTTCGTCAGTTTCACATGAACTGGATCTTGGTGCTGGGTTAGTCCCCCTGATCCGGCCAGACAAGCCTCTGCCGGCACGGGTGTACCTGATGAAGCCGGAAGATGGTGTATATCACCGAAAGAGCTACGGGAATCGTCCACGGGTTTGTTATGAACTGGTGAATCAGGCGCGGCAAGAGTCTCGGCGGCTGGCGGACTTTGAGGGACCTCAATCAGCGGAGGCAACAACAACTGGGGACAGTGGAGTGGTTCCGGCGGGTTTTGATGCCGTAAGTCATGTCGGGTGTAACAACAGTACGCATGTACGCACCCTTTTCCAGAGCAAGCGGCACGCATTTATTTTTCCGGGTCGACAGAGATCTAATGTTGCGCTGCAGAGAAACACACCGCTTCTGCCGCCAACGCGGCGGTGTTTGGCTGCTAATATGATCGCCAGGGGCACAACAGCCGGCCCGGATGGAACATGCGGCTGCATGTAACCTCTATCGCCATTGCCTTCAATCTGGAATGTCTGGCCGGCTGGCTGGATCTCCCTTTCGCGGGCCGACTTGCTCCTTGATGTCAACTAGTATGAGACGCTGTTGATTCTTTACAATTTGTGGCAGACAGATTCTGGCAGCTCACCCGGGTGTGAAGCAATCGGGGCTGGTCCGTTCCTGTTGAGTATGGCGAGTTCCGTTGAGATTGTGAGCCCGCATCTTGTGCTCCTGCGGGTGTTGCTATGTGGAAGATCAAGACGAGCGAGTATTGGGTGCGCGACCAGCCGACGTTATCAAAGCATCACCGAGGGGGGCGGCGGCTCGTGTGAGGAGGTGCTGGCTGATCCGCAGGCAACTGTCTCGATCTAGATTCAGGAGATGGATGGTGAGAGCTGACAAGGGCAGAAAATTGACGAGGGTGTGCATGGGCCAGTCCGCTCAGACTGTCCAGTGTCTTTCAAGGTTCTGACTGCGTTGGATGCCTAGTTAAACCTGGAAGTTATGGTATAACGGATAGTCCCAGGTACCTCCACGGAGTGACCTGCTAAAAAGGTGTAATCGAGAGGATGGTTTTTGCATACATTCTTATGGGCTGCACTAACAACTGAGATGGAGCGGTACTTGCGGGCATGCTTGCATGAGCTTCGCATTCAAGTTGGATTTCAGCCTAGCTGGCGGTGACAGCTTGCAAGATGGCCATGCTGGCCATGGGCACACCCCTCGTCGTTCCCAACTTGTGCAAGCGTTGCTCGAAATCTCAAAGGATTGAACCAGCTCACCAACTCCAGCCCTGAGGTGCGTAAGGTATCATACACAGTAAGCCGCAATGGCCAGTACCGAACGGCGCATGTTTTGCTCCCCTCAATTGTGTTCTTATTGTACCTTGAGAGTCAGATAAAAATAAAATACATGAAACAGTATGATAAACATGCGGCCTCCCAGTGAGGCCCTTGGCATCTCTTTACCGGGGGCGTTGGCCTGATGAGACGACCGCCAGCGACCCAACTCCGTTCGATCCTTCCAGGCTACAGGTAGTAGCGATGCTGCACCTACATCCAACGTTTTAAGTCAAAGTACCTTACTATGCGGGGCGCATTCGCATTTGGTTTCCGTGCCCCTTCCTCAGTAGCTATTAGCACTCGAATTGCCTGCTGTTGCAGTCTGGGTGCTGCTCGGCCACGGCCAGCACCTCAGTCCAAACACTTTGCCTTCCCTCCTGACCTCGAATTGTTGCCAGAGAATGAACCGGTCCAAGTTCACGGGAGCTTATTGGACTGCGATAGATAGGTACCTAAGGCATACTTGTTGCTCAAGGTTTGAGTGATTGATATCATGGGTCCACAGCAGAGTCGGCTTCAGCTGCAGTGGCCATTGGATTGTGTCATTGACCCATTCGACACGAACTTTGCTGGTAATGCATTTATTTGTACCGTACACCATGACATAGACTGATGGCACATTTGGCATTTGTCTGCACGTTTAGTATTGTGGAAGTACGGTATTTAATGACAGGGTATAAGAACACACATTGCAGAGGCCGGGAGGCGGTTTTCCATCCGTCCCGGAAATCTGAAATCCTCCACTCAGTTAACGCCCTCAGCCCTCCTGCTGTTGCGCCACCCCCCCCCCCCCTTGTCAATATTTGCCGCGGTGCTCATTCATACTTGAAGAACACCAGCCATTAAAACCACATTGTAGCGACACTCCTATTGTTGATTCAGGTACGCGCCGGCCGGCTTGCCGCCTCACAAACGATCCCATCATTTCCCCAGGCGCCGTTTCTGCTGCGGGTCACCGCTTGGAACAGCCATCCAGGTTCTCAGTACGGAGGAGTACTAGCCCACTCTCTCGTCAGCCTGGGCTGCGCGCATATAAGAGCCAAGCTCTCGACTCGCCAGCTTGAACTTATGAAGGCAGTTTCTCCGCTGAACCTGCTTGACTGCCCTGTCTACGATACTAGGCACCGGAAGACCAAGCGTCTTTCCAGCAGCGCTATTGAACCTCGACCCTTGAGGCAACAAGTGCTACACACCTCGTTGTCACCCTGGCTCGTGCAGCTCGGGACCCATAAGACGGACACCCGGCCACCACTAGCTCTCCGTCCCACCGGTTGCGACTCAACCCTACCAGCTTTTTTGGAATCCAACTCGCCGGTACCCTTCCTAGCGCTACACCATTCCCCACACGGGTGCGACCAACTTACTGGCCGGCTGGTTCTACGGAGGACCTACGACTGCCCGTATCACCTCTCTCCCGTCAACTAGCCTCGGCAGCTCACCCCGACCTTCTTCCTGCCTCCCCGTGCCGTGGCGGATTTGTACGTGCTTCTCTGTTGCTTTTCAAATCTCGGGCCCTGAGCATCTTTCTTGGCTAAACCCAATCATCAGCGAAACGTCACCATGTCTCGCCCGGGACGTCGGCACTCCGCCATGGCCCCTCCGCCTCCCGATCCGCGGTCTGCGGTGAACCCTCCGGCTGTCGGCGAGGTCGAGATTGTCACAGATGGCCTGGAGAAACCCTCATTGGACGACCGGTCATACCGGGTCATCCTTCTCCCTAACCAGCTCGAGGCTCTGATAGTCCATGATCCCGACACGGACAAGGCGAGCGCTGCTATGGATGTCAATGTCGGAAGCTTCAGTGATGAGGATGACATGCCGGGGATGGCCCATGCCGTTGAACATGTGAGAACTTGCAAGCCCTTACCTAGAGTGCCGCAGATCCTAGAAGCTGATCCCTGAATACAGCTCCTCTTCATGGGCAACAAGAAGTACCCGGTAGAAAATGCCTATCATCAATATGTATCAGCCCATTCGGGGCTGACTAATGCCTACACGGCAGCAACCTCCACCAACTATCACTTTGAGGTCTCCGCCAAACCGAGCAATGAGGAGGAGCCGTCAGCCACCAACCCGTCGCCGTTGTTGGGGGCGCTGGATCGTTTTGCCCAGTTCTTCATCGAACCGTTGTTCCTCGAGGACACCCTGGACCGCGAGTTGCGCGCGGTCGATTCGGAAAACAAGAAGAACCTGCAGAGCGATCAATGGCGTTTGCATCAGCTCAAAAAGTCCTTGTCGAATCCGAAGCATCCTTTTTGTCATTTTTCCACTGGCAACTTGGAGACATTGAAGACGGTTCCCGAGGCCCAGGGCGTCAATGTCCGTGACAAATTCATCGAGTTTTACGAGAAACACTATTCGGCCAACCGTATGAAGCTCTGTGTCTTGGGTCGGGAACCCTTGGACGTGTTGCAGTCTTGGGTGGTTGAGCACTTCACGGCCGTCCCTAACAAGAATCTTGCGCCGAACCGGTGGGATCAGGAGGTGCCTCTCACCAAGGAACAGCTCGGGACTCAGATTCTTGCGAAACCCGTCATGGATACGCGGGAACTTACCCTCACCTTTCCGTTTATTGAGCAGGACCACCTTTACGACTCGCAACCGAGTCGATACATTGCCCATCTTATTGGCCATGAAGGACCCGGGAGCATCATGTCCTACATCAAGTCGAAAGGCTGGGCCAACGGCTTGTATGCCGGAGCATGGCCGGTCAGCCCTGGCACCCCGGATGTCTTCGAGTGCCAGATTACGTTAACAAAAGAGGTATGAAACCGACTCGCCCCTTTTCGGACGAGGCGAGAGGAGGGCGTTTTGCTGACTGTTCACCAGGGATTGGAGAACTACAAGGAAGTCGTGAAGGCTGTTTTCGAATACATTGCTCTTCTGCGGGAGACGGAACCCCAGGAGTGGATTTTTGAGGAGCAGAAGGGTTTGGCCGAAGTGAACTTCAGGTTCAGGGAGAAGACACAGTCGTACCGCTTCACAAGCAAGCTCAGCTCGTTCATGCACAAACCGCTTCCGCGAGAGTACCTGCTGAGCGGGTACAGCCTTCTACGCAAGTTCGATCCCAAACTTATCAAGGACGGCCTTGAGTGCTTGCGGCCCGATAACTTCCGTCTGACGATCGTCTCACGGGACTTCCCGGGAAAATGGGAGAAAAAGGAGAAGTGGTACGGAACCGAGTACACGTGCCAGCCCATTCCCGCCGATCTTATGGAAGACATCAAGAAGGCGGCGGCTAGTGGCCCCGAGAGCCGGACCGCCAAACTCCATCTTCCGCATAAAAACGAGTTTGTACCAACAAAGCTAGAGGTCGAAAAGAAAGACGTCAAGGAGCCAGCACTTGCGCCCCGAATTATCCGGAACGACCCGTTAGTCCGCACCTGGTTCAAGAAGGACGACACCTTCTGGGTTCCGAAAGCGACATTGATCATCAGCTGCCGGAGTCCAGTCGCCACTGCTTCGGCGGCCGGCCGCGTGAAATCACGTCTCTTTACGGACCTCATCAAGGATGCGCTAGAGGAGTACTCGTACGATGCCGAGTTGGCTGGCTTGGAGTATACCGTGACCCTCGATTCGCGGGGTATCTACCTTGAGGTGTCTGGCTACAACGACAAGCTCGCGGTCCTCTTGCAGCACTTGCTCATCACCACGCGGGACCTCGAGATCCGCGATGACCGATTCGACATCATCAAGGAACGTATCAGCAGAGGATTCCGTAACTGGGAGCTCTCAGCGCCTTGGACCCAGATCGGTGACTACATGTCCTGGCTGAACGTCGACCAAGGCTATATCGTCGAGGAGCTTGAGGCCGAGCTGCCCCACATCACGCCTGATGACCTCCGTGTATTCCAAAAGGAGCTACTGGCCCAGATGCACATGGAGGTTCTTGCCCACGGGAACATCTACAAGGAAGATGCTCTTCGGCTGACAGACATGATCGAATCGACTTTGAAGCCCCGGGTGCTTCCGCAGGCGCAATGGAAGATCCGCCGCGGACTGATCCTTCCACCTGGATCCAACTACATCTGGAAGAAGAAGCTCAAAGACCCGGCCAATGTCAACCACTGCATCCAGTACTTCCTCCATGTGGGCTACAGGGGGAACTACAATGTCCGCGCGAAGGCGCTGCTCCTGGACCAGATTGTGCACGAGCCATGCTTCAACCAGCTTCGCACCAAGGAACAGCTCGGCTACATCGTCTACTCGGGCACATGGACCGGCGTCACCCAGTACGGTTTCTATTTCGTCATCCAGAGCGAGAAGACTGCTCCATACCTGGAAACCCGGATTGAGGAGTTCTTGAGGATGGTGGCAAAGACGCTCGAGGACATGAGCGACGCCGAGTTCGAAAGCAATAAGCGCAGTGTCATGGACAAGCGGCTGGAGAAACTCAAATATATGGAACAAGAAAGCAACAGGCACTGGTCCAATATCCATTCCGAGTTCTATACCTTCGATATCGGTAAGTCACAAGCACACACGCTCCCCACCTCAGATGAAATTTGTTCTCCTGATACTCATTTGCCAACTCGTTGAATAGCCCCCCAGGACGCAGCGCACATCAAGCCGCTCACCAAGGCGGACATGATTGAGTTTTTCAACCACTACATCCATCCGAGTTCGCCGTCGAGGGCGAAGCTTGCGGTCTACCTCGAGGCACAGGCCAGGAGCGACGTTTCCACCAAGGAGATTTCGGAGCTGGTGAAGACGCTAGAGCTGGACTCCACCGCTTCTGCCAGAGCCGCTACCGATCTCCAGGCCCGGCTGAGCGCCGCCAGCCCTGATGTTGACAAGGAAGTAGCAGGTCTCCGAGACTACCTGCTCCACGAGCTGAAGGTGCCGGAGGCCAAGATCGACGTTGCCGCCGAGGCGTGGCAGAAGATCCATGCCGCCCACGGGCCAGGGACTGAGGTGGTAAAGAACGCCGAACCGCCTTCGGCCAACGGGACCGTCCCGGTCTTCATCGATGATGTCCGGTCCTTCAAGGCTAGTCTTCCGGCCAGCAACGGGGCCAGACCTCTAAGGGACCTCAGCGAGTTTGAGGACCTGGAGGCAAAGCTCTGAGGACGATGGCTTGACAAGTTTTTGCATGTGTCAAGGCGCCGCCAACGCAGAGAGAGGAATCTGACGGTCGACAAGGCAGAGTTCACGGCTTGGTCTATTGGAGGCTGGAAATGTTGAGGGAAACTGGGCAATGCTAGTCCACTGTCGTTGGCGATATAGCCATGAGCATCACTGTCAGTGAGAAGCACGAGTTAGAGAGCTGTTACAACAAAAGATCTTGTTTTCTGAACTTGTCCATGATTGAGGTACCGTCTCTGCCATCATGTTCAGGTTGGTACTGACTTTGACGCAGGGCAGGCAACCGCTGCGAGGGGCTGCATTACGCGGCGGCTGTAGCCTCCATGAGGGAGGGCAGGCAAACAGGTAGGCTGGAAGTGTCAACGGCCAAAGCGGGGCAATGGAATGTTCTCCAGACTCCATCATTGAGCAGCATGTATTGGGAGAATCGCCCACAGTGCGAACAGAATCGAGGAGGGGGAGGTGGAGCGGCCAGCAGTAGGCGGCACATCTGGGGCCAACTGCTTGAAACCGAATCTACAGTAGCTGAGGTATAGTATGTAGGCCCAGTTTTTAGGAATCTCTTATGTCTGCAGCTCTTCTCTCCAGGCTGTGTTCTTTAATTCCCGATCTACGGAGTACATATCACGCGAGCGCTCTTCCCCTACCGATATCATGATGCCTATCTTCATCCACAGGGCTCTTCAAGAAACGAAGCTGCAAGCCGTGGGGTCCCACCAGAAACCTGGAAGCCCACAGCGCCAACAAGGTCAAAAATACAGTGTTTAGAATGCATCATGGCACGGTGTCTTGCACTTCGCCGTTCCCGATTGGAAACGAAGTTTAAAACCTGAACGTGCAACAACAGTTGCGGTTTGCAGGTAGCATATTCACGTTGCACAAAGCTCGATTTCTAGAGCTGGGGTGTCACACTCATTCACGGGCATCGCAACGTCTCTAAAAAAGTAAAGTTCTCAAACCAAGAAGGGGAAATGCGCCAGGGTCTGCCGACTCCTCACCTCGCCGCCCGCCTCTGACCACGCACCCTGTTGTTCGTCCTGGGCCGCCGATGCCCGCTGCGTCTACAGATTTCAACTCCCCCCCCGGGTTGTGCCCTCCGCCGCTGCCTTCGCCATCTGCCCGCTCGCGCCTTACCTCAGGGACCAAGCAAAGCCGCCAGCCTTTCTCCCTACGACGCCTTCTTGTTTGACGACGACCTTCTTCGCTGCACTTCTGCAAACCACGCATAACAAACAAGCAACCGACTAGGTATTCCTCGAGCTGCTCACGGGCAGCTCACCTTCACCACGTCTTCCCAAAAGAAACGGAGGATTACTCGCCAGTCGACAAGGGAGCAGCACCTCAAACCTGAGGATCTGGTGCTGCCCTCCACCGAAGAAGACGCCGATCCCACCTTCTCCTTCTCGGCAGCCTCCGTCTCGGATCTGGGCACGCCCACCTGCCTTCGTGCCGAATCACTTCCTGCCTCAGGCGTCCCACCCCGCTTGCAGAGCCACGGCACTTCGTTCGCCGACTCCCCGTCCTCCGCGGCAAGCTCTCCGTGCGCTGCCTCGGCCGATCTGTCGACTGATTTCGACCAGAACCCCGATTCGGCTGAAGACGGCTCCGCCTTGCCGTTGCCAGAGTACGTCACAGCAGGAGACCGCTCCCCCATCCATCAATCCGTTCGACGAGCTCTAATGGGTGGCGCTGCTGATCTCCCTCAACGATCCTCTTCCCCTCTCAAGCGCCGGGCATCCAGCATGGAACCAGAGCAGAACGCCGTGGAAGCGACAGAGGACATGGATATGAACGCAGCTCCGGACGCTCAGAGGACAGAGGCTGCCGGAGAGCGCAGGGAAGAAGACCGCAGGAAGGAGGCCGAGGATTCCAGGGCGGCCCCGGCCGATATGAAGCCAGAGCTGCCTTTGCGAAATGGTAAATACACACTGGCCTGGACTATTTTGGCATCCTCATGTTGACTGTCGGGACAGACATACCCCCGTTCGACCAGCAGATCAAGACCATCGAGATGCTCGTCAGCGCCTTCGCCGAGTCCCCCCTCAAAGAAGGCGAAGAAGCGTATCTCGTATCCCGACAGTGGCTCGGGAGGGCTCAAGCTTTTGGTTCCGATGCAAAGCACTCCAGCAAGGCGGCGCCAGAAGGCGCACTCGGTCCCGTCGACAACTCAGATATCATCCAAGCCATATTCACAGATTCCAAGGGTGAACGCTGCGTCAAGTTAAAACCTGGTATGGGCACCGAGAATTTCGAGTTATTTCCCAAGGATGCGTGGGACCTCCTTCTATCGTGGTACGGCTTGGTTTCTGGGCAATCGCCCATTATACGGATCGCCCACAACACAGCTCCTGATTCTGTGAGCGTCCCGACCATCCAGTTCGAGCTCCACCCTCCGGTGTTTACGATCCACCGGCTGTGGTCTGCCAACAGCCCCATTCCGATAGAACAGAAAACCAAGCTGGAGAAGCCGGCACCTCCCGTTGTAATCCAGAGCACCTCGTTCGGCTATCATAACTTTCTGAAACAAATCAAGGAGCTTGTCGGCGTGGCACCGGACAAGAAGGTCCGTGTCTGGAGACTGCTCCAAACCATTCCCGCCACGGAGCCCAGCTCTGAGCCGTCCGGGATGAAGACCCCTCCTGATTCACCAGGACGCGGCCCGGAAATCCTTACTCACCCCCCATCTGTCCCTGGAGCTTGGCCAGAGATGCTTGTCGACGTGGAGACGTTTTTGAAGTTGGAGAAGGACGTCGAGCGTGGCTTGGTGGACGCTGAAGACACCACGACCAACTCCAACTACAACGGCAGAAAGAGTCTCGCGTTGGTTGGTCTTGCTGTTGACCAGACACTTGTTCTGGACGAGCAGATTGACCGCGATGCGTACGTTTCCACCTACAGGGGCAGCGCCATCAAGGACAAGACGTTAGCGACTCGAGGCAGTTCGACCAGCCTGGTTGCTCAAACTCGTGATAATACCAGTGGACGCAGCAGCCCGGCGCCGCAGGGTGCTCAGACGAGAGGTCGGGCGCAGCAAAAGCCAGGGCGTCCTATGGGCTGCGTCGGTCTGCAGAACCTGGGCAACACTTGCTACATGAACTCGGCTCTGCAGTGTGTGAGAAGCGTCGAGGAGCTCACAAAGTACTTCCTCACGCACGAAGCTCACAAGGAGATCAACCCGGATAACCCGCTGTCCCATAACGGTGATGTTGCTGCGGCCTATGGGCGCCTGCTGGAAGAGATTTACAAAGATCCCGCGCCGGGATCGATCGCCCCGCGGCACTTCAAAAGCATCATCGGGCGGTATGCCCCTGCATTTTCTGGGTACGGGCAGCAGGATTCACAAGAGTTCCTCGGCTTCCTGCTTGACGGACTACAAGAGGACTTGAACCGCATCAAGAAGAAGCCATACATTGAGAAGCCGGACTCGACAGACGACATGATCAACAACCCGGCAGCAGTCCGCGAGATGGCTGCCAAAGTTTGGGACATCACCAAAAAGAGGGACGACTCGGTTATTGCTGATCTCTTCACCGGCATGTACAAGTCCACCCTCGTGTGTCCCGTCTGCGACAAAGTCAGCATCACGTTTGACCCCTTCAACAACCTTACTCTCCCGCTCCCGGTGGCCAACGTCTGGTCCCGCACCGTCAGGTTCTTCCCTCTTAACGATGCGCCGGTGGAAATGGTGGTCGACATCGATAAAAACAGCAGCATTAGGGTGATGAAACAGTACATCTCCGTCCGGGTTGGAGTTCCGGTCGAGCGTCTGTTTGCCGGCGAGGAATTTCATGGCAAATTCTTTAAGCTGTACGACGACGGGTCTGCAGTTTCCGAGGAAATCCAGTCCAACGACGTCGCTGTCGTGCACGAGCTCGAAGCCGCCCCGACCAATACCTCTGGATTCAAGAAGCAGGGCAAGAAGGAACGGCGGAGGTCACCGTCATACGACGAAGATGATACATCCCCGGTGGAGGATCCCAGGACGGAGCACATGCTCGTCCCGGTCCTCCATCGACTGGACCCCCAGGAACCGTCGTATCGGAAGCGATATGGGCGGAAGGGAAGCGATGGCACGCCACCACCACACTTTATCATCCTGACGCCGGAGGAGGCTCGTGACATGGAAGCTATTCGCCGCAAGATTTTGGAGAAGGTGGCCACCTTCACAACGTGGTCCCAGCTTGCGGAGGCTGAGGATGCTGACGTTGCCGAGGCGACGGACCCGGAGATGGTTAACATGGCGGCATCAGACGTGGACTCGTCAGGTAGCTCTAAGATTGTTGCCAAGTCGGTTGAGGGCGAGGACGACATGATCGATGTCACGATGCATGATGCAGCTGATGCACAAAAGGGATCGGCTGCCGCGCCGTCTGAAGGGTGAGCTTGCACATTGATCATATTACCGATTATAGCGTGACTAACCATCATATCAAGATCGTCTCACGTGCTGAGGCGGTTCAACCACCGACGGCCCAAGTGGGTCAATCCTCTCGAGTTCCTCGACCCAGAGCTGCAGAACCTCTTCGACTTGGCCTACTTCCACGAGTCAGGTACAGCCGTACCCACTGGCTGGAGTTCGACCACCGATGAGGCGCCTCTGCCTCGGTTGAGCTCCAGGCAGCCTAAGGTGGCCGTCTCGGACACCGAGATGCGAAGCCCTGAAGCGGCGGATGCAACCGATGAGAGTGGCAGCGAAGATTCTGGGATTGCTCCCACGGTCACGCGCATGAATGATGAGTCCAGCGACGGGGACGATTTTCTCAAAGCCAAGGTTTGTGACGACTGCTAGCTACCAAACCTGGATTGCAGTTTTGACTGACCGTGACTCCAGAGCTTCCAAGCTCGGACAAACAGCAAAGCTCGGGATAGGAAAAAGGGGAAGGCGGCCAGGACTTACGGGAAACAGGGCAAGAGACGCCACGAAAAGCAACGTCTCGGGCGCTTGCCGAAGCCGGTGTCTGAGACGACGCTGGAAACAGAGGATTTCCTTCCTGGAGGTCCTTTGATTCGCCTTGGCGAAGGCATCATGGTTGAGTGGAGCGAGGCAGCGTTCGATTATGTCTTTGGCGGCACATCACAGAATGATATGCGGGGCACCAGGACGTACGTCAACCTTCCGACACTGGAAGATCCCGCCTTGGAAGCCAAGCAGAAGGCGCGGCAACTGCGTAAGAAGCACGGCATTGCCCTGGACGACTGCCTGGACGAGTTCGAGAAGGAGGAGATCCTTTCGGAACAGGATACCTGGTACTGCCCTCGCTGTAAAGAGCATCGCCGTGCCAGCAAGAAGTTTGACCTCTGGAAGACGCCCGACATTCTCGTGGTCCACCTCAAGCGCTTCAGCTCTAGTGGTTGGCGCCGTGACAAGCTTGATATCCTTGTGGACTTTCCCGTCGAGGGGCTGGATCTGACAAAGCGCGTCATCGACAAGGAGACCGGCAAGCAGGAGATCTACGACCTGATCGCTGTGGACGACCACTGGGGCGGTTTGGGCGGCGGCCACTACACGGCCTTTGCCAAGAATTTTGTCGACGGCGAGTGGTACGAGTACAATGGTGAGTTGCTTTACATTTCGGTTCGTGTCCATGACTCGTAGGTACCCATGCTAACGTACGCTGCCAGACGCCACGGTTACGAAGCTTAAGGACACTTCGAGGGTGGTAACATCTGCCGCCTATCTGCTGTTCTACCGCCGCCGCTCAGATGTCCCCTTGGGCGGACCGAGATTTCAAGAGATCTTCGACCGCTTCAACAACCAGGCCAACCCCGACGGCAATGTTTCGGATTCGGGGGAAGGCCAGCGTCTCGGCCTAGGCTCCTCCCGACGTGGATCGCCGAGCGCTTTGACCGGAGCAGGTCCAACTCTCCCTCGCGAAGGTCGTGGCTGGGGTAGGCGCGGCGACGACAACGACACAGACATGAGCGCGTGGAGTAACCAGGACGCAATCCACAACAGCATCGAGGGCGACGGCGAGGACGAGGGCATCGGCCTCTCGGAATACGACACGGCCGGCCTTGCTGGCATGACTTCGGTCATTGGACCCAGCAACTGGAGCTTTGACAACCTCGTCGCCAAGCCCGGTTCTGAGGCCGGCGACGACGTTGACATTGCCAGCGACGTCGCGCAGAATGATGGTTCGTCGGTCAACGGCGATGTCTTTGAGGACGTCGCAATCGTTGGTGGTGGCAGCGGCGACATGGAGATGCTCCTGCAACAGGAGGAGCCTGGCGCGCGCTATGCCGAGGGCTCCGAGCCGGCGATCGAGTTCAGTGATGACTTCCAAGCCATCGTGCCGGCGTCCTCGTCCTACATCAGCCGGATGGCCGCCGAGACGTGGGTCAGGCAGCAGACGATCCATACTGTCCCGCCCGTGGGCGAGCTTGGCGCCGACGATGACGCGGCCAGCGATAAGGTCGCTGAAATTCATGTCGTGGAGCCCGAAGAGGATCGACAAGAGGAGGCGCCGGCGCCGGCGGACCCGCGTGCGTAGGTCGGTGGGCTCCTCGTGCGTGCTCTGGAGCGGGCGGCGGAAGGCCGTGGTATGATGACGGCTTGATTAGGTGGGTAGGCGTTAATTAGGGTAAGGGGACCATGTTAGAGTTCTACTGTCTCAAAAAAAACATCGCGCGTTTGTTTTACTCTCTTTTCGTCTTATCCTCTTCGACTATGCATATTTTCCCCGCTCAGCGAGCGGACATAGACAGAGGCGGACAGACATACAGAGGAAAGGGGTTGTTTGGCCTGTCCTTGGGAAGGAGGGAACACTCAAATAAGCGGAGGTCGGACGGAGAGGAGGGAGTGGTTGGAGGGTTGATGGTCTTGGCGGGGATGGTACGTGGTGGGAACGGATGACTTGGTGTAGAAAGAGTGGGATATGGGGTGGGAAGAGGGGTTTATGGAACGTGAGGAGCATGAAGTTTGCAAATGCAGATTATTGTACACTGCGAGATTGAACTGTTCCTATATCCGTCCGGGGTCAGGTTTTCTTAGTGTGAGGTATGACCTGATGTGTCGTGATCAAGTTCTCTAAAATTCTCCGTGTAGGGACACCGGAAACAGTGCCTCTGGTAATGTTGAAACTACCTATGTCTCGCCATGCCTCCCACAGAGCATCTTCATCCTGTACATATATTAAATGTTATTAAACAACAAAAATATCTGAGGCTAGTATGTAGCTCAGCCGAGGTTGGTCGATTTACAAACAGAACACACGACCTTGGAGAAGGCATGAATAAACTCGCTACGCTAGAAATGCCGTTCTAGCATGAGAATTCCCCGGGCGTTATCTAACAGGAGGTATAGGTGTTTCAGGTTTGAGGATCTACTACACATGCCTATCTTGAATCGATAGATAAGTATATTGGTTAGGTAGCTGCGCTATAAAGCTGCAATGGGGGTGTAAGTGGGTTTAGTTCGTATGCAGCTGTAACGGGATTAACAGGCCTGAAACAGTGTAGATATTTATAGTCTGTCCCATGTGCATATGTGTGTCGATGTGTGTGTGTCGATGTGTGTGTGTCGATGTGTGTGTGGGGGGTGTGTGTGTGTGGTGTGGGGGTGGGGGTGGGTGTGTATGTGCATTGGAAACACCACGACGGTTGAAGAGGCGATAAGTCAAGGAGGAACCAGACAGTCTACCTGACCCATGTTGACAGTTAAGTGAAATAACGCAGTTCCTGTCACTGCCTTCTGGGGACAGGTTTGAGTGGGTTGCGTAGCTACGCAGTGATTCATCAGAGTGGTTTAGACCCGAGCTATGGTATTGTACTTTGTATATGCAGCAGCACGAGATACTGCATACGCACCACACACAATTTGTTTGTCTGAGGGTACTGCTGCTGTGAGCGTGTTTGACGACTGAGGATGGAAGCCGTGTCTGAGGGTGTAGTGAGCTTGGTCTACCAGCTGTGGGCAGAATAGAATGCAGTGTGTGGCATGAACGGCGCCCCAGGTTGGCGAACAGACTCGAGACTTCCCAGCTTAGCTCAATGGATCGCCGGGTCGGGCCGTGGGCTCAACGGAACTGGAGCCCAGGTGAGCCCAGGCAAAACCGGCGCGGCAGCCCCCGAAAAGGCCGCGGGGACCTTCCAGTACGGGGTGGCGAGGAGACGGGATGCCCGATCTGCCGATTGATCGCCGGAGTTGGGAGTCGGGAACCCAAGGCCCATCCATGATGAGCTGTGCCCCCGACATCAGGTCTGTCCGCGGACCATCAAGATAGTCATGGGCAGGTTGGATGGTGCGAATTGAACCCTGTTCAGCCGCCTCTTGACTGAGTGAGCTGAAGAGTAAGCTGCTTCGATAAGACTGGTGACTGAGTTGGCGTGAGCAGGAGGTTGAGGAGTGGCACGGCTAAAATCATCAAAAGGCGCGGTCCTTGGCCGTCACAAATGTGATATGGGAAGCCTCTGATGGCTAACAAAATATTCGGTATATTCCAGTCGTCAAATACCTGCTTGATACTGGATACTACCAGTGCGCAAAACAAAAAAAAGAAAAAAAAGGAAAAAGAAAAAAAGAACCCAACCATGATGGCTAGACAGCAGACTCTGGATAGCCATGTCGGATGACTATTCAATGACCAGACTCAACCCCGCGACTACAACGGCTTGCACCGACTCGCGCAATTGCTCGCCTGATTTGCCTGCTTCGAGAACGGCCAAGCAGCGCTTGTGGGGTAGGCCAAGCCTCGAGGTTTCGTAGTCGCTCATTTTCAGGTTGACGGTTCTCGAAACTTTGTCGTTGGCCGTCTTCCCTCATCAGTGCCACTACAGTACAGGACAGGTACAGTAGGTTGTGATTTGCGATGCCCTGCAGAGAGTGCCCTAGGCCCCTGAAACTCGTTAAAAAGAAGATACCTACGGATAACCGGGCAGGCACTCGATTGTCCTGTCTCTGGATCTGCAGTGTTCCATGCGCACGGGCACCACTTGTAAGTGTTTCCATCCGAAAATCGGGTAGGACGAAGCGATGATCATCGTGATCTCCGGCACTTTCTAGGTTTGATCGTTTGGTGCTCATGCTGACTCTAGAAACAAGACGAGCAGCGAACTGCCTCCAGGTAACTTGGTCCCTGGTATCGGAGGTAGTACAAAGTACATGCTCTACTTTACCCAAGGCATAACTATCTTATGGGAGCGCTGGGCTGGCTATCCGGGCTCCATCCCTCCTCCACTATGCGATAGGAAGCCAATCAATGCCGAAAGCGAGTCGACACCCGACCCGTCCCATGTCTTTGTGCTGGATCCTTTCATTGTCTGCATTTCGGTCTCGCGGATGTGGAGGCTTCTCGGTGTTGCATAGGGAGAAAGGGTCCGAGCAACAACCTTGGAAAGTGGTTGCCAATTTTTGTGTGGTGCAGCGTCCTAGCGGGGGGTTTAGTTATTGACTTCATGAACAGCTGGCACTGTGCGGCCTGCATTTCCCTCCAGCTGAGGCAGTGGGCACGGGCGAGCTTGAGTGCTTTTGGTCTGCAGTAGCGTGCTCGGCGTGTTCGACGGGTTTTCGAGAAGACAGCCAGAAGGTCAGGGGACGGGCCATGGACCAGTGAGAGATCACCCCAGCTCTGCCTGAGATTGCACCTTTCCCGTTCACGCAGGTGTCCCCACACTGAGCAGGCGCTCTGACTGGTTCCCGCCACCTGAAGAGGGGCGCGCACCCACACCTTCCGCGCCTGCCCCGAAGAAAATGCCCCTTCCAATGCTCCCTTCCATCTCCACTTGGCCACTGTTCCATCCACCCATTTCGTCCGACCCGTCTGCCGTTCCAATTGTTGCGCTGCCAGTGTGTTCAAGTTGTGTGCCGCGCCGGCCACCGTTGTGAGGTCCTTGCTTTTCACCCTTCATAAAAAAGAAGACTAATCGTGGGGACAGGCCTCTCATCTCCGTCCCAATTGCCCATTCAATTTCCCAAATACCGAAGAACGCCCAGTGCCGTGGGCTGCGTCGGCGAGACGGTGCATCTAGAGATACCTTACACCAACCTGAGGTGTCTTGGTCTTTCTTTCGAGAGGGTCACAAGCTCAGGTCGCTGTCTTCCGTCATTGAGCCTCCCTTGGCAGGCAGCGCGAGCCTTGTCTAGGCGCATTTCACAAGAAACACCATCCATATCATTCTGATAAACTAGTTACATGCCAATATCTTATCAGTCCGTCTCCCCAGGTATTTCCTCCCTCCCCCTCCCATACACAGTACGCTCCACCACTCTCGCGCTTGTCTCCACCTCCCTGCCTCTCCCTGGGAAAATACCTTACTGCGGTACACAGCGAGCGACTCGTTCCACACGGCCCAGCTTGCCCTCAAGGCTCAGAGCCTCTCCTTCTTTCCCAAACATCCTAGCCGCTCCCTCGTCGCCAGCACTATTCCACAACGCGGCCCGCCACCCCAACAACCGCGCACAATCTCTAACCCAAGATATAGACTCCCAATTCCATTCGAGATACCGCCGACTTTGAAGACGACTGCCTTGTGCCCTCGACACACACGGTACTTCGTCCAGCGCACTCGGGGCATCGCTGCTGAGCCAGACAATCCGCGCTTTTGGTGCCCGAGGAGCCACGCTGTACTTTCCTAGCGTCCCCGGCCCGGCCCCGATTTATATTGAATCGCTGTCGCGTTCACCCCCGAGAAGCAACCGACTCGCTCGCCTCACCGAACGCGATTGGAGTCGACCCGCCGTCTGCTGTTCGGCTTGGGCCCGTCTTGACACTGGATACGTTCGCAAGATTGGCTGTCGTATCCGGGCCCTTTCTGGCTGCTCAGGCATCCAAACCCCGTGGCGGAAGCGTACCTGGTCGCAAGACTGGTCGCTTGTTAGGGCCACCATGGAGAAAGTCGCTTGCAATGTCATATACGTGGACCGGCTGGTATCTCAGGATCGGGACGTGAAAGCCGGCCAGCAAAATAGCGATAGGGATATTGTGCCGTGGGAGTCCCCGCGTATTGCTGAGAATGTTGGCCAGCTCCTCGACGTTTTTGACTCCGGTATATTTGCTTCCTGCTGCTACAGGCCCAGGGTGTTATGGCTGACTTGTTTGATTACAGTCCATTTGTGTAGCACAGGCGGCGCGTGCCTGAGTCAATGGCTGAGCCTGCACGAATCGTCAGCCATGGACCTCAAACCGACGGTCTTCATCCTCGACACCCCATACCAAGACCTCAACACCGAACAACATCGCTTGAGGGCTCCCTCGCCACTATCCCTGGTTGATGACGACGGCGATAACCGAGAAGAAGACCTGTACGGACTGGCCCTGTTGCGGAGGATCATTTCCGAGTCCTATGTCCGGAACGCATCTAAGCTCGTTGTCACGATTCCAATCATCGCCCATCCATATCCTGATCAGCTCGGCGAGAATGGCGCCAGCGAGGATCGTGTCGACTCGGACGAGGATCGCAGGGCGGCCAACAAGCGGATGCTGAGGAAATGTCTGGACCTGGGCGCCACAGATGTCATGGCGAGCCCGATAAACACCAAGTGTGTCACTAACCTCGAGGTGCACGCCTACCGCGCCCATCTAGACGCCGCTCGGGACCAGAAGGCCTTGATAGAGCTCCGCCGAGGGCGGAAACGCTCATGGGTCGGCATCTGCGAGGAGAAGCCGTTTGCGTACTTGCGGGAAGCCATGGTGTCCAAGCTGATGGGCTGGATTTGCCGCATAGGAAATGAGACGGAGGACGTGCTTGGTAGCATCAAGCTGTCCATTTCAGTTGAGAAGCAGGCTGAGGTCACATCGGCCGTTGGCCAGTGGCATTTTTGCGCCCATAGCTTTACGGATGACGAGCTTGTCGTTGCGGCCTTGGCCATGTTCAAACACGCATTGTCCATGACTGAGTTGGAGCCGTGGCGAATACCAACAGGTACGTCTGCGCCGTTATGACGATGACTTCCTGCAACACCCACACTGACCCGCCTCACTGATCAGATCAGCTACACCGCTTTCTTCTCGCCTGCCGGGCGGCCTACAACACATTCGTCCCATATCACAACTTCCGCCACGTGGTCGATGTCCTGCAGGCAACCTTCCACTTCCTTGTCCGCATTGGCTCCTTGCCCCCATACCGCTCTGCCAATGGTCTGCTGTCAGGGAATCCGAAGTCGCCAATGGCGAAGCTTCTGCAGCCGTTTGAGGCCTTGACGCTCCTCATCACGGCTATTGGTCACGATGTCGGCCATCCCGGAGTCAACAACGGCTTTTTGGTGACACTGAATGCGCCACTTGCCCAGCTGTACAACGATCGCTCCGTTCTTGAATCCTTCCACTGTGCCGCCTATTCGCAGATCCTGCGGCGATATTGGCCGTCTGTTTTCTGCGACAGCAAGATGCGCAGCCTCATGATCAGCTCTATCCTTGCCACGGATATGGGCCTCCACTTCGACTACATGAGGAAGCTGGGCCAGCTTCAGGACAGACTTCGCGCAAATGACCGCACCGAAGAGTGGGACGAGTGTATCAAGAACGAGCAAAAAGCGCTCACATGTGCTCTTCTCATCAAGTGTGCAGATATCAGCAATGTGGTAAGTACTGTCGCGTTGGCGCACTTGTACTTGAGGACGACTCTGACTCATGTAACTGATAGACACGCCGCCATGACACGGCACGTCAATGGATGCACATCCTGGCTGATGAGTTCTCCCGGCAAGCCACCATGGAGAATGAGCTGGCTATCAAAACATCACTCATGTCGGAGCCGAAAAAGGATATTGTCTCACTCTCCACCGCGCAGCTGAAGTTCATGACCTTATTCGCCCTGCCGCTATTCCAGGGCGTTGCGGATATTCTCCCGGCAATGCAATACTGCGTCGATGAGCTCCTCTTGAACAAAATCCAATTTGAGAAGTGTTTACGGGAAGAACAGGAGCGACAGTCAGCTACCGAACCGGTCCCAGGATTCGACGACAATGCGGTCTCGCCCAAATCGATCGACTTCACGACCTCGCCGGACCCGGCGACGGAAGCACACCCCGCAGTGGGATCTGTGCCCAAGGTCGTTGAACCCCAAGCCATCGAAGCCGCGGTTGTCCAGCAGACCGACACGTTCCACAGGCCGCATCCAAGCCCCAAACGACCTATCGGTGGACGGATGGTCAACGGCATCGTAACCAGTTTTCCGCCTGAGCCCGACTTCAGCCCTAGTGAGCAGTTCCAGCCGGATAGGAGTCATCACCATGGCCACAGCAGACAAAAATACAGTGAGACGACGGAGGGCAGCTCGGCACCAGCCAGCGGCGATTGGGGTTCACACTCCACAAGCGCTACGACAGGCAGGATGCCGTTATCGCCCAGCACGCAAGGGACCAGCATCGTGAGCCGTGACTCTTTTGACCGGCCGCACAGCTACAGCACCAATGTACCCGTGCCGAGCGTGGTGTCGCCGGACGAATCTACGACCACAGTTCCGGACTATACCACTTCTACCACTAGCAAGAGCCATGCCGAACCAAGAGTTGACAGCTACCCACCGCCCCTAGCGCTAGACGAGGAGCATGACACAACGCGAAACGGCCACCACCAGTGTGCAACTTGCGCGGCGGCGAAGAAGAACGGCGCTACATTAGAGCCTGTGGATCCCAACGGTCGGCAACTTAAGAAGAAACCGAGTCGGTTCAGGATTAACGGGCTGCAGAGCTTGTTCAGGAAGCACAAGAGCTCGAGCCCGCCGATGCAGGCTGCCGATACCGCTGGATAGAGTTCGGTGGAACCTGTTCGCCATGATCTTTTGTCGTCTCACCTTCCTCCGGTCCAGAAGGAGAACGATGGGGAATGACGAACGTTCCGAACCAGGCTAGCTTGCTTGGCCGAGCCGCTGTGCAAACAGTAGACGCTTTTGAGGTGAACGAGAGGCATCCACGCGTGGCGTTGAAGACCACGCGTCCGAGCCGAGTCCTATTACAGATGATGATTTGGCTTAACCTTGAACCGTGAGAGGAGATCCCGCTCACTTAAATATCTATGAAGGACTCCGGCGCTTTCGTTTGCGAGTGGCCGAGACACAAGCGTTCTGCAATCTATGGCATGGGATAGTCAAGCGCCAGCTCTGAAGCGTGTACCGACGACCGAGTTTGAACCTCGTTATGTCGTGTATGATACGGGATTGGAAAGCCATTTCTTTGTTTTCTTCCCTACGTATATACCCGTCTTGCCGGCCACATCATATGGGAGTGGAGTTTGAGGAGGCTGACGGCGGGAGCATGATACCGGAAATATAAAATTGGAGCTGAGTTCGCGGTGTAGTTGTCTAGGGCTGGGCGGAAAAGAAGGCAGGTTGGATGGGTGGGTGGTGAATTGGATGGCGGCGTGTGGATAGGTTGGTTTGTGTCCTCTTGTCCTGCCTGGTTCAGGAGCAGGCCGGCGTTCTTCGAGATCATTGGTTCTGGAGTATTGTTTTTCCTCTACATGAGTTGATTCCGCCTCCCAGGGATGGTTGGGAAGAGAAAAGAATGGAAGGGGGATGGAGTATGTGTGACGGAGATTGAGGGAGGGAGAGGAAGCACTTATGTTGTACTATACTTGCACGGCCTCCGCTGCTGGCTGACGTTTGGTCATGCGATGCTTGTTGATCTCTGGTTGAGGACGGAAGCGGACGACATCGGGCCTTGTATATGGTTGTGAATGTGACGAGCGGTGTAAAGTACAACGTTACGAATGTGCGATCCCATTCAAGGCGAACCTTATTGGTGAAACGAGGCCATGTCTGTTCAGTCCCTATAAACCAAGCTGTGCGAAGCCACATTATTCACTCCGTATCTTTTCCTGGCTTCGTGCAATGGTGAGAGCTCTCGGCGGTACTCGGTACAGCATTACGATCAAACTGGGCGCACAGGTGTTGCAAGGGGCAGACAGAGAGACCTTTGAGATGGCACCAATTACATGGGCACCAGGGACAGCAAGTACTTGGCAAGTTGACATACTATTCAATTAACAAAGAAAAAAGTGTGTACATATAGGAAGGCAACAATCCATGTACGTCATGATCTCTGGTCATCACGTTTCTGAGCTTCTAAGACTGAATGCGCGACAATGCAGTATTCGCTCAATACGCATCATGCCTAGTGCAAAGATGCTACAGCCACCGTCCGTCTCCTTTACTTGGCGAACCACTCGCCGCTCAACCACCTGTTCAGGAAGTCGAGCGAGTTCTCGGGCTGGTCCATGGGCACCATGTGACCAGCCTGGTACACGCGCATAAAGGTGAAGTTGCCAGAGGCCTTGACTTTGCCGTACTCCTTGTCGGCACCGGGGAGTTTCAAATCCTTGATCTTAGCATCGTTGAAGCCCTTCTTGCCGGGCCACTCAAGCGCATTGGTCCAGGCCTGGTTGCCAAGCCAGTTGCAAATGTAATCGGCATCACCGGCATAGATGAGGACGGGAATCTCCTTGAGGATGTTGGGAACAAGGCGGTGGAATGGCTGCATCCAGTCGCCCTGGAACAGAAAGTTGCGGTTGATGTCAAAGTTGCAGCTCTCGTAGCTCGAGACCTCAACGCCGAGAGCATCCATGACGGACTGCTGGTTCAGGTAATCGCTGATCCAACCGAGGCCGCTGTAGCAAAGGTTGCTGCTATCTTCACATTTGCCGCGGATGTCGTAGACGTTTTGGCCGGTACGCTGATAGGGGCCAATCATGGCGTTGTTACAGTAGATGGACGCGGGGACGCAGCTCCACACGCTGCCGCTATCGTAGCAGTTCTTGATGAGGGATTGGCACCGCGGCAGAGCGTTGTCCATGCTCCGGCACTCGGACTCGCTTAGGACAGCAGGATAACCGCCCTCACCGCAGGCCATGGGGCGGTAATACTCGTACTGAGTGAGACCATCGGTCAGGCCGTTGCCGATCAAGACGGACTTGAGATTAATGTTGCGGTTCTTATGCGCCAAGATCTCAGAGGCGAAGACGGGGATGTAGTGGCCAGCATAAGACTCGCCAGCGATGTGGAAGTCTTGCTTGGCGTACTCGGGGAATTGGTGGAAGAACAGGGTCAAAAGAGCGTAGACGTCCTTGCCAGCAGCGATGGTGTTGCTCACGGAGGAGCCGGAATACGAGTATCCGACATTGACGGGCTGATCCAGGAAGATGACGCTGGCATTATTGTTCCAGCTGAACTCATTGTTCACAACCTTGAGCTTCTTGTCAATCGACGAGGGACCGAGCTCGAGGAAGAGACCGGTCAGGGACGAGCAGCCGGGGCCGCCGTTGAGCCACAGGACGACCGGGTCGTTCTTGGGATCATTGCGCGATTCGAAGAACCCTGAAAAATTAGCAAGGGTGGGTTTATCAACAAACAGGCAAACGGAACCCACAGTAAAAGAGATGCTTGTCGTTGGCCTCGTCGTCAAGATAGCCGCTGTATTGCTTGACCGAATCGACACCGAGCTTGGAGGGGTCGACCGACTTGACGCGAAGGTTAAAGTTCTCAAGACGACCACCGACCTGGCGGTGGCTCTCGCCGTCGGCATCCTGTACCCACAGCTTCTGAACGTCGGCGCCCTTGACAATATGGTCCCAGTCGTGGCGCCGGCGATGCGGCTTAGGCTTGCTGAACCACTCAGACTTGAAGGCGCTCTCCGGGACGAGCAGCTTAATCTCGTCCCAAAGGGCCTTGGCCTCGGCCGTCATGCCCTGGAAAGCCTCCTCTATGCTCTCAAGGGGGCGAGCAGCGGCGTCGGCAAAAGCATCCGAGATGGGCCTCATGGAGCCACCCGAGAGCACCTGCTGGGCCTGCTGCCCAAATGACGCTGCCGAAGCAGCGCCGAGCAACACTGTGGAGGCAGCGATCCTCATTGCGGCGAATGTGAGGAGATAACGGTTCCCCCTTGTGGAATCTTCAGTGATCCTGACAAGGTAGACGGCGATGCGAGTTTGATGTGTTGAGGAGAGGAGGAAAGGAGAACAGAAGATGGGAACGGGAAGAGGAATGTGGAGAGGGAGCTTGGGGGTTGGTATCGGCTATGAAACAGCGGCGAAAACGAGCACCTGCCGGACTCGGGGAAGCGTCACCCAGGCGCAACAGGCAGGCGCTGATTGCGCCACGCCCGGTTGCTGGGGACTGGGTACCTTGCAGGACAGGTCACAAGGGGATTGTGCAAGCGGACCCAATGGACAGAAAACAGACTGTTGTGCGTATCTCGTTCGCCATTCTTTTGTAGCGGAATGCGCTCTTAGCCAATAAGCACGAAGGCCCCTTCACCTTGGCTCCATTATGAATGCGATACCTGTGTGGCTTGCCCGCTGCGTCATCGCTCCAACTAGGATGACTGGCCGAGCGGACCAATGTATCCGAGAGCTTCACAATGAGTTATTATGATTTGGAGAGAATCTGAGCAACTTGTGTTCCACTAGAGCTGAATTCACTCGGGCCCTTTCACCTGAGACTTCCTCATGACCAAAGAAATGGAGACGAGATCAAAGCCCGGGAACCGCAGCGATCGTCGCTCATCAGGTTCTCCTAAGGTACTTAGGTTCCGTCGGCGCCCACTCATCTGATGCCAGCAGGTTCCCCACGACCCACATGACCCATTTGGAGAAGTCATCCACCGTTCAGCGCAAGCAGAGCGCGGAGCAGTTTTGATAGAAAACCCATTTTTCTGAAGACACGGACAGCACAACAACGGAATACGTAGAGAATCACTCGCGTCGCTCTCCCTTACAATACCATTTCGGTGCGAATTAGGCGCGTGGACCCTTTTGATTCCTGTCTCCCTCATCGGCCCCTCCCAGCTGACGACTATCACCACAACTCACCCCACGCAAACCCCTCCGCAACCGCCACCATGGTAATTCAACAGCCCTCGAACCAAATCAAACTTACCAACGTGTCGCTGGTGCGCCTAAAGAAGGGCAAAAAGCGCTTCGAATTGGCTTGCTACAAAAACAAGGTCCTCGAATGGCGCTCCGGCATCGAAAAAGACCTGGACAACGTGCTCCAAATCCCCTCCGTCTTCCTCAACGTCTCGAAAGGCCAGACCGCACCCTCCGCCGAACTCGCCAAGGCCTTCGGAAAAGAAACTTCAGTCGACGACATCATTCTCGAAATCCTGCGCAAAGGCGAACTCCAAGTCGGCGAGAAAGAGCGCACAGCCCAGCTCGAGCGAGTCCACAACGAAGTCGTGTCCATCATTACCTCCAAGCTGGTCGACCCGCGCACCAAGCGCGTGTACACGCCGGGTATGATCGACAAGGCGCTCGATATGCTCAGTTCGATGGCCCATCAAAACCAGCAGCAACAACAACAACACACAGATAAGACGTCTAACCCCAGCACGGCACCCGGCACACCTTCGACGAGCGAACCAGGCGAGAGCAAACCCAACCGTCCAAGCCACCTGCCGACCTGGACAGGCGTGGTCACGACCAAGAGCGCAAAGTCGCAAGCGCTCGACGCGATGAAGGCGCTGATCGCGCACCAGCCGATCCCCGTGGCGCGAGCGCGCATGCGGCTGCGCATCACCTGCTCGACCAACGTCTTGAAGCAGCCCGTCAAGGCGCCCAAGGCGCCGGCGAGTGCTGAAGGAGGAGGAGACTCGGGGGAACATAAAGCACCAGGGACAGTCAAGGACAAGATTCTCAGCTTTGTTGAACAGGTGGAGAGCCAGGACGTCGTCGGTTCCGAGTGGGAGGTTGTCGGCTTTGTAGAACCAGGCGCCTTCAAGGGGCTGTCGGACTTTGTAGGGGGCGAGACGAAAGGGCAGGGGAGGGTTGAGGTTCTGGATATGGCTGTAACACATGAGGATTAAACAACCGTATGTCTAATAACCCCGGGTTTCCTTGGCCACATCGGGGCCGTCAGTGCCAGAAGCGTGCCACATACCGGCAGCAGATCGACATTGGGCTCCTTAGTGGCGTGGCGGAAGCATTTCCTCGCCGTGGTCACCCTCGGCGGTAGTCCACCCTCTCACCAGCATCCTTCCCCGTGGCAGAACATGCCATGCCTGCCGCAAATGAGTCCCGCACATTGCGTTCGTTGCCATGGTCACTCTCGGCTTGTCCGGAGACTCTTGACGCTTCACTCCGTACGAGGCGGCGAATTGGGCTTTGAGCCTCTCAAGCCTGGGCCTGACTCGTCTGCGGCTGGCATGGCATGCTTGACGCGGTGATGGACGGCCGCAGGACGTTGCACTAGCGCCGAGGGTGTCTACAGCAACGGAAGTCCTTCAACCCGCCTTGCCACGAAGACGCAGTCCAAGGTTGAGGAAGTCGCTACATATATCTAGCCTTCGGGGATTGGAATGCAAAAGATGATCTACTGCCGGTATATGGTATACTTGTCAGGTAGCTAATGCCGGAAGCTGACGATAGGCTTCATGCACACATCGGGTGCTTGGCAATAAAAAACGGGAAAATCACAAATTTGTTGGCACAGGTCATTACCTTTTCATACCCGCGCCTGTATTGTCATGCTGTGAATCATGGTGGTGCCCTGTGGCAATCCCCATACGGATTGCTCGAGTTTTCGCAAGGTAATAAAAATCAACCCGACCCGTCCATGACCACCCTTAGCCTTGGGATAACACCGCCAGAAAGCCAAGAACAGCAGTGCCAAAGAATGCCGCACGCCAGAGGAAACCCGCTTAGCCACCCTTCTTCTTGGACACACCAACCGTCCGGCCGCGGCGGCCAGTCGTCTTGGTGTGCTGGCCACGGACACGGAGGCCCCAGTAGTGACGGAGACCACGGTGGGCCCGGATCTTCTTCAGCCGCTCGAGATCATCACGGAGCTTCGAGTCGACACCGTTGGCAAGGATCTGCGAGTCCTTGCCGTCGACAATGTCGCGCTGCCTGTTGAGGAACCACTGTGCCAGGCTGTCAGTATGCAACTCCGCGCTCGGTAAAACCTGACGCAGAACGTACCGAAGGGATCTTGTAGGCAGTAGGGTTCTGGATGATGGTGACCAGGCGCTCAAGCTCTTCAGAGGTGAGCTCACCGGCGCGCTTCTTCAGGTCGACATCGGCCTTCTTGCAGACAAGGTTGGAGTAGCGACGACCGACACCCTTGATCTTGCTGGGGAACAACGGTTAGCTCAGATGTCGTCAGAGGCTGAAAGACGAAACGGGGGACTCACGTCAAGGAATAGACGACCTTCTGCTTGCCGTCAACGTTGGTGTTGAGCAGACGCAGAATGTGGTTGAAGTTGCTCTGGCATGCTGTTAGCCTGCATCACGCCGCGGTCTATTCATCCACGCAATGCATCCGCCGATCGTTGCTTGTGTTCCGCTGGCATCCTGTCCTCCTCGACTGCGATGAGGTTCGATATCGGTTCTTTTCATCGAGTTGTTGTAATATGTGACAGTGGCTACAGATGGGTCCGATCCTCCGGGGAGAGAAGAGCGGCAGCCTGTCTTGAGTCGCCCAGCCGTCGGATGGCAATCAGTACAGCGTCTGCCACTCGCGTTCAGGACGACCATGTCTCTCCATATTGGCCTGTTCCATTCGTTGTCGTGTTGTCTGGGCAGTCGAATTCGTCGCGAAGTCATCTTTGGCCATGTCGCATGCAATGTTCTGTCGATCGAATCGAGTCGTGTGATGACCGTCGTCGACGTCGCAGCCGAGGAAGAACAATTCCGCAGCGGCAAGAAATCGCAGGCAACAGGAAGCTAGATGCATTGATCATTCCGAATATCCACGTACCTTCTCGCCCGACACGAGAGACATGATGGGCAACTTGGTCGGCACTGGCTGCTGAACTTGCTTGTCCCAGATCGTGGGAAGGAGTCGGTGTAAATTTTGTGTTGCGATGGGTTTTCGAATCCTGTGCGGTCACGTGGAGGGGCAAGGAGGGTGGCTCCGTGCCCAAGAAAAGAATGGCCCCGCAAAGCAACCACCACATCACTCGATCATCAACAACACACTCAAATAGCTGCATTGGTATAGATAAATGCTCCTAAATGCCATCCATTTGCCGTTCATTTTGCCCTCTAGTTACAAGCAATCCTTGAAGATCATGAAATTGAATCCACCCATTTGTTGACGCTTTACAGTTTTGCGGGGCCAGTCATTTCTTGGGCAGGAGGCTGGGTCTTCTATTCAAGCAGCCCTAACCCTAGATTTATGAGTTCAGTGACAATCTCACCTCACCTCACAGCATACACTGCAATTCAATGTACCTTAAGTAAATAGCATCATTTCACTTTCCAGAATACCGATTCAGCAAATTGGATTAGTTTCGTAGGCAGAGGTCTAAGTATCACGGCTCTTGCTCTTATACTACCTAGGTTCCTTGGGCTGTTTGAAGTTTAAGTCGGAAAGAGGCTCAGCAAGGCGAGCGTTACTGCCCTCCCGAGCCAAACCGTTTTCAGACCGAATTATCTTTGAGTGAGTCGTCACAAACTCAAATTTGGCTCAGGCATTCCAACTTAGCCGCAAGGGAGAGAGCATGGCTGGCATTAGGTGGAATGTGTCACAGAACCGCTGCAGGAGTCGGGGCGCCGCCGCAAGCGATGATGAATTGCATCTCGAAAGATAAAGCACAAAATATTTAGGTCCGCATCTTCCAGTCTACCTCAAATTCCACGCTAGCAGACAAACCAGTCTTGGGTTATATGGTATTTAATTAGATTATGCGCTCGGCCCAGGTCCAGGACGATATTCCCATCGTCCTTCTCGCGCAGCTTTAGTCATCAAGGTGACTTTAGGAAGTGTCAGCCCTCGCTTCTCGACTCATTATCTACCGCATGCCCTTTGCCAAGCCTCCTCATTCATCCAGGAGAACATTAACCACCCTCGAATACCTTGGGCTGCTCGGACAAAGCGGCCAGCAATTTGTCGATCTTCTCAGAGAAGCATGGTATCGGTCGGCGAGACTCGAGCGCCCCTCAGATTTGACCGGGATTGGGATGTTACCCTTGAGCAAATCCAACGGCAGAGCCCACTAGCGGCTGAACTTTTCTCTTTTATGAGCGTTCTCGGGTCCGCAGGCTTTCCCACGAGAACTCCTGCCTCGTTACGGCGGGCAGCGACGAGGAACAGAGCTCACCAAGGCGCTGAGCCTTCTGAGACTATTCTCTCTGCGCTTGAAGACAGGAAGAGCGGCTTCAGTATGCCCCCGCTCGTGCGGTCAGGTCACACACAACGTTGGGTCTCCGGGAAAGGGGGCAACACAGTGGTTTGCTCGGCGAGCAGAGTGGATGATGTCGCAGGGTTTCTTGATCATTGAAGAGGGGCTTTACGTAGCTACTTCTACAGCATTGCAGTCCAGCCCAGGGTTCTTTGTTAGCATGGAAGGTGGACTTTAGCCTTTCGATCTCCTGTTCAGTGTCTATCCTTCTTCCATCTTTCATTTTATCTTCTTCCTCTTTATCCTCCTACTTCTTATGTTGTTGGCCAAGATCGTCTTTTCCTCAATGTTTTCTCACTTTGTTCATCATATCCCACTTCTCCTAATTCTTCCAGGGCCTGCCATGTGCCACGCTAACAAACAGAGCAGGGTTGGATTGTAATCGAGGCACGCTCTTTGACCTACCTGCTGCTCTCAGCCAGAACGTCATCGCTGAGTTATGTGGAATGGCTTGGTTCTGAGGTCTGTATGGGCCTGAGCTTGAGAAAGGTGTGTCAACGGTTTTCAGGCACTCCTGCCCAAGCCCAACTTTGCCAGGACGCACGTCATATTTGGTCTGCAAAGCTGCTGACGGTAGTTAACCTAAAACTCAACAGGACGAAGTCACGGTCCATCATCTTCTTGTCAGGGGCTTTTTGTTTGCTCATGTGGGTCCGCCGCTCGTTGACCGGGTGAACGCCTCTTTCGCTCTCGAATTTCAATTTAGACAGTATTCAATTCCACATCTTCCCCAGAACCAATCATCAACCGATAACCAAACCACCCGCGGCATCTTGACGAAGGCCAACTGCATCCACTCGTTCTAGCGGGGAAAGGGAATAATCAAAAGAATCATTCGCTCCTTTACGACACTCTTCTCCAAGATGGATTTCAGCATGGAGATTGACAACCCTCGCAAGCGCTTCCGGGCAGAGCTGGAGGTCGAAGGCGATCGCTTCGCGAAGAAGGCGCGTCAATTGGACGCGGACCGCGACGTGCCTACAAATGATTCCACACCACCAAGCCCCTTCGAGTCCGGCCCGTCAACACCCGCCTCCATCGACGTCGAGATGGACGATATCTTCTATGCGCCGAAACCCACCCCGCAAACTCAGCCCAAACCGCAGGGGCAGCCACAATCTCGCGGCACAATCATTTCAGGCTGGAATCAAACTCGCCGGGATCAATATCTGAGACAAGGCTATCCCTTGAGCTGGATGCCGTCTTCGAAGCAAGTGAGTAATTTTCTCTCTTCGTCCAAATGGTTCTGGCCATGCTGACAATTCGCAGTGAGTTTGGCATATCAGATGGCCTGATGGAGGGCTGACGAGACGGAAGGGAACGGCGAGGAATTGTAACACAACACATGTACTCTACAACATCAGCATCGGGCAATGGAAAACAAATACATCGCGCAGATGGGAATAAACACATCGAGCCCTTTGGCCAAGTGACAGGATCGTGTAGCGGGTTTACAATGGCACAGTGATATCGTATGTCTGCGCTAGTCCACAGGCCCGCTCCGCAGCCCGGCATTGTTCCATTGACCTATGTAAGTAAGTGGAGCCTCGTATGTCGTGCTTCAAATAAATCAAGCAGAATTCTGAGATGCATCCGAGCGGAGAGGAAATGGAACGATTCGCCTGACATGGATTATGACTGTGGCTGGTAGATACTTGAACTTGAAGTTATAACGATTCATCCCTGGGTTGTTTTTTTAGCGCGGAACTTAAGGTACCAGCAGAGGTACAGTACGTTACAGATAACTTTCCTTCACTTTCATGGGCCTTACATTGGTCTTCTCTTTCTCTTCGCTGTTTTTGACTTTTTTGTACTCTTCCTTCTGCTTTTACTTCCTACCTTTACCTTCCTTGATTTCTTTTCATCTTTATCTTGTTATATCTTGCTTTACCTGTCTTCATTCCTTGTTTTTCTTCCTTTGAATCCCATTCTTCCATTCACGTCTAGCGGCACTGTGAATGCTATGTGCCACGCTATTGAGCAAACCGTGACCAGATCTGTTGTCTCTGGGAAAGCAAGGCGTGAAAGCGAACGCGAAAATCTGCAAGAGAGCGATTCGCCACTCCAACAAGCCGCCAAGAGGGCTAAGCTTTGCGGGTGGCCTTGTGGCCATGCAGGGATGCTATGCAAAAACAACCTGTGAGCGCGATGGAGCATCACCAGATCACAGCCCACCATAAATCGATTAGTCTCTTCCAAGCCCGCGCTATTGGCAAGGCTGAGTTAGTACAAAGAATTTCAGCAACAACAAGGTTAGCCCAAGATGGGATTTCTCAGCTGAAGGATTCAGTCAAAGTTCTTCAGTTCCCCATCATGGATATATGTGTAGCCGAGTCCACAAAGAGAACCAACATTAACGGGCCTAGACCGGCTTGTGTGGTCGCGACCAATGCCCAGCGAACCCAGACCACGGGCTTCAGCTCGATCAAGTCGGAATTGCCAGGCTATTGTCCTTGGCTTTCCCGATAGTGTAGATACAGCGACAGATTCAGCAGCTGTTCCAGCAGGAGGAAGGGGGTTCCGGACCGCATTATGGATCGATGGCTGATGGAAGAACCGGCGTTCGTCAGGGGCATCAATGTCGTTCAAAAGGACTCTCTCCGCCAGCTGAGCTGGGGATGGTCTTTACATCCACTTCGGTCACTCGTTTACGCCCTGCCGGTTTCCGTCGCTGCCTTTGCCGGCGCGACCTCCAAAGAGCTTGCCGCTGCTGCAGCTCGTCCCTTCGTTGACGGCGACAAGCCGTCTGGCACTTTGCCTATCCGTTCATTGACTTCCCTCATATCGTCCCCATGCTTGGACCATCAAAGGCGGCGGCCTTCGTGGCCGCTTCCAATATCCTCCTTGAGCTGGCCTGCGCAGGCCCGGCTTCCATGCTCGCCCGGCAAGCCGAGACCAGCCCTCTGGACTGCACGGATCTAAAGACCAACGGGACCATCTACAAGGGTGTCAAGGAGAACTTTGAAATCTTCTGCGGCTATGACTTCCCTGGTGGTGACTACGCAGCCGGCCAGGCCGATACTTTCGAGGACTGCATCAAGGCTTGCGAGGATGACGAGACGTGTGTCGACGTTGCCTACGGCTTCGGCTCTCACGGATGTAGGCAACAATTATTTTTCGTTGGTGGACTGCTTTTACCCCTTTATGGTTGTCTCAGGAGCCACCCTGCTCCCGAGGCAGCGAATTTGTTCCCGAAACCCCCTCCAGACATTTTCGGGATAGGAAACTCACAGCTGACATTGGTGGCAGGTTATCTCAAGGACTCGGTGACGACCGCCACGGCCAATGGCGGTATCTATGCTGCCCGCAAGATTCGCAGCGCAGAAGCTCCCATCAGCTGCCAAAACCCGGAGACCAACAACACCATCTACAACAAAGATACGACAAACCCGTTCCAGATTATCTGTGATACCGACTTCTCGGGCGAGGACATTGCTGCCGTCATCTCCGAGACCTTTGGGGACTGCATCGCTGCTTGCGATGCCAATGATGCCTGCGTCGATGTGTCGTATGTATTCCGCACCAAGAGTTGGTATGTCAATTGTGCTCTTTTTGCCCCTTTCCGGAGGTCTCGGGAGTCACGGGAGTCGATTTGTCACCTAAATAGCACTTTTTGCTCCCGGGATACTCCCGAGTCACGGTTAACAGGCAAGGAATGACTGATTTTGTTGGACAGCTATCTCAAGGGCAAGGTCACGACAACCAACACGGTCGAGGGGATTTGGACCGCTCTGAAGAAGACGCAGGAGCAAGAACAGCAGGAGGAGCCCAAGACGGTCGTCACCTGCGAGGAGAATGCCAGCAACAATACCTTCTACAAGTCCGGTGGCTCCGCGTTTCTAGTGCTTTGCGGTTTCGACTACGGCGGCGGAGATATGGGAGGCTCGGTGCAGCCCACTTTCGCCGACTGCATGAACCTCTGCGCTGCGACACAAGACTGCGTCGACGTGTCGTATGCCGGTGGGTTCTGCTACATGAAGAACACACTCAACACCTTGAGCCCTGCCGACTGGGTCTGGACCGGCAAGAAGGTCATTGCGACCACAGATCCCGAGCCCTTTGGGCCCGAGCTCACTTGCGTCGACGGCGCCATGGACGGCAAGACCTTCATCGCCAGCAGTGGAAACCAGTACTCCATCATCTGCGGCCGCGAGTATCCGGGCGGCGATCTCAAGGGTGTGGACGCGGCGACCTTCGCGGACTGTGTCGAGGCCTGCGACACCACCCCGGATTGCATTGACGTGTCGTACGTAGCGCCAGCCTGCTACATGAAGAGCTCATTGACGACTCTGCAAGACGCCGGCTATGTGTCTACCGCGCTCTTGATTGGCCGTCCTGCTGTGCCTGAGCCGGCCATCCCCTTGTCGTGCGTCGACAGCAAGGATAACGGCACCATATTTGCGACACTTGCCGGCAACGAGTACGTTGTCCTCTGCAGCGTCGACTACTTTGGCGGCGACATGGGCATGGTGTACACGGATACGTTCGAGAAGTGCATGGATGTCTGCGATGCCAACGATGGCTGCATCGATGTCGCCTACTCCGGCACGGCCTGCTACATGAAGAATACTCTGACGAGCCAGTCCCCGGCCGCGTGGGTGTGGAATGCGCTCTACGTGGGCAAGGCTGACCCGGCATCGTCGACATCGTCTGCGCCAATTGCGACGTCTGAGCCGACGGCGACTTCTACCCAGGAGACAGCAACCACCACTTCCACTCCTGAGTCGTCGACGGTGGCCTCCGACACGCCCTGCTCGACTGAGCCGGCAGGCAAATTCCTTCCCTCTCAAGACATCGACATCGACAGGTCCTCTCCTGATCGTTTCACACCTGCGCTGCAGGTTGAGCTGAACTACGCTGAGCAGCCTGGCACCCGGATCCTGCAGATGGAGCTGGTGCTCACAACCCCAGCCGTCGTGCTTGAAAACATTGCTCCGGTCAATTCAGTCACCTGCACCGAGTCCAGTGTTTTAGTGATCTTCTCAGATTTCAACACTCTTTATCGCGCCTCTATCGCGTGGGACGGCAACCCTCCGCTCCTGATTACCTACTTCGAGGGATGCAACCTGGAAACGGCGAGGGGGTTCTGGGCGCCCACCGGATACACAATCTCGAGCAACCCACCGTCCATCTACTTCGCCGCAAACCAGAAGAACCTGATTGATATTGCCACCGAAGCCACGCTCAAGTATGGCAGCATCGATTCGGGTGTCGAGTCCTACACGTCGACGACCACTGGAGGCCCCGCCGAGCCGACCACCGCGGCGGACCAGACATGCGCCGCCTCGTCGACTGCCGACACATCGGCAACAATCACCGCTTCTGAGACGTCCCCAGCTTCAACCGAAACTCCTGGGGCATCCTCAACTTCGTCCGAATCATCGCAGACCTCGGCAACACCTACCCCGTCCGATCGCCCCCTTCCCGAGACCCTGGAAGACCTCACCCCGGCTGCACGGGAGCTGTACGACTTTATTCTGGCCAATCTCCCCGTGGATGCTGAGGGCAACCTGAACTACAACGTGCCGCCTCAGAAGGTCACCGAGCTTGAGGTGGCGCTGTACAACCCTGACGATGTTGGAAAGCAGCAGGAGCTCGAGGACATGTTCCAGGAGGCAGGTCTGGATAGCCCCGCGGATCTCGTGGCGAAAGTACAACAATTTCCTTTTCTTTGTGTGCTGCTTGTACCCCTTTATGGCCGTCTCGGAAGAGGGACGGCTCCCGACTCTTGAAACCATCCCAATACTTCTTGGAATAGGAGTTTCATAGCTGACATTTGTTGGTTTAGGCTTCGGCCGGTGTCGGCGGCGTGTGCGAGGCCCCAAGCGCCACGGTTCAGCGTCGGCTGCTTCAGCCGTCTCGCCGCATCCAGCGCGAGATCAGGGCAAGGTCGCAGGCTCGGAACTATGCCGACAGGGTTCACGCAAAGCTCAAGGCCCGTGACGACGGCTGGGATATTGCCTGTGACGACCTCGTGACCGGCCTTCTTGGTATCGTCAAACTTGGCGAGGCTATGGAGGCGGTGTGCGCTGGAAAGTCGCGTAAGTCGAATCCGAGTTTCTCAACTCCCGATTCCTTTTTGCTTTTCCAACAACGAATCGCTGATTTCTGTGTGTGCGTCAGTCTACGACAACCGTGATGCCTTCAAGTGTCTCCTTGGCGGCTGCAAGACGACGACGATCATCACGAAGCAAACGACGTACGACTTCAACTACGCGTGGAAGATTGATTTCCCCTCCATCCAAGGCTGGCTCACCAAAACCGGGTTGAACAAGGTCATGTCTTGCGTCAACTGCGGCTTCTCCGTTTCCAACATCGCCTTCTCAGGCAAGATCGTCGTCAGCATCACCGAGGGCGTCATCACCATCAAGTCGGCCGATGTCACGCCGGGCATCAGCGGCAAGGCGAACATGATTGTCCGGCTGCAGTCGGATGGCGCGTACAGCGGTGACTGGAGTTACAACTTCAACTCGGTTGAGCTCGGCGCCATCCAAATGGACAGTGCCTTCAAGATTTCTCCTACCGTTCTGTACGGCATCGGCGTCGACTTCTCCACCGACTCGAAGGTGGATGTGACCGGTGGCGCCACCTTTTCCTGGAACGACGCTGCGGCGCCGATCAACATCATGAGCCGTTCGCTCATGAGCCAGCGGAACTGGCAGCCCTCGGTGTCCTTGACCACCCCGTCGTTCCAGACGGGAGCGACGGTCAGCATCAAGCCGTACATGCGATGGCTTGTCAAGCTCAGCGTCGACATACACGGCATGATCAAAATCTCGCCTTCGATCACCTCGCAGACGGTCGTCGGTATCGACTCGACGTATTCCTACACGGCTGCCAACGGATGCCCTGCCAACTCGCTGAAGGTGAACACCTACCTCAACACCGCCAACGCCGTGTCCTTTGGAGATGGTACGGGCGCGGCATTGTACAGCGGTCAAGCCGGCAGCTCGAATCGATGCTTTACCGTTCCCGGTTTGCTGCCCTCTACCGAGGAAATCCAGTCTCTCAAGGCCGTCGGCGGAGCCTACTGCACATCATACATCAAATACGTGCCTCCGGTGACCGTCGTCTACTCCACCGCAACCTCGACCGTCCCCAGCACGACTACCTCGATCTCCACACAGACAATCACGTCCACCACGACCATTTACGAGGTGCCGACGACCAGCATCGACATTTACTCGACAACCACCGCCTCGGCTGTCACCACAACCGTGACGGCCGCGGGCAAGACGCCCAACTTTGCCTACCTGAACTGGAAGCGTGACTTCGCCGAGCCGACTGCGACTCCGACCGCCGGCGGCCTGGACAAGCGACAGGCCGTTGCGCAGCCGAGCATGCTCGCCGGGTGGGACGCCACCAAGATCTCGTTCGCCTGCAAGCAGGTCGCCACCGGCACCTCGACCATGTCTTACACCAGCACGACCACAGTGACTTCGGGCGTCGTGACGGCCACCGCGGTCCTCACCGTGAACGCGAACGGGCCTCTCGTCACGGAGACGTACACGCAGACGTCGGCCCGCTTCCTCGGAGCCACGACGGTGACGGTCGAGGGCACGGCGACCAAGACGGTGTGCCCGACCCCCCAGGCGACGTCGTGCTTCAAACTCCAGGTGCACGGCGCGCCCTGGGTGGAGGGCAAGTACATGCGGTACTCACAGTGGGGCGGGTTCCATCCGGACCACGCCGACTATGAGTACGACACCTTCTACCTGTCGTCCAACGGGCGGCTGATGGGGTACACGGCCGAGGGGACGACCTTCTTCCTGGGCAAGAGCTGGACTTATGCTACGGAGGGGTATTATGGCGAGGTGTATTTCATCGACGTGACCCAGCCTTACGGCGCCCAGGTCGCGACCTGTTGGAAGGACGCCGACCCGTGCTCCAAGGGCTTCCAGTGCAAGGTTACTGACCCCAGCGAAGCCGTTGGCATGTCCCTGCAGGAGCCCGTCTACGAATACTACCACGAGTGGAGCTGGGACTTCTCGGGCTGGAGCTCCAACAGCTTCAGGCCCGCCTGGGGCCTGGTCACCGACGGTCTGCCGTATTATACGTGGGTCCCCATTACCTTCACGTATGAGGACGTGCCCTGCCCGTGCTATTGAGTCCCGGATGGCGGGGAGGCCGGGGAAGCCGGCTTGAGGCTGGGTTCTGTGGTGGTAAAGTTTCCTGTACATAATAATATTTTTTTCTTCTCTTTGGATATATTTCAAAGTCTCCTTTTGCAGATGCCTGTCGTTTTCTCGGGCCTTTTGACGGAGAGCACCGAGTGTACATACTCTCCATCGTCGCAAGAGCAAAACACGTCAACACACTGCCTGGCCCGGACATCACCACTCAAGAATGGGGTTTCATTTTCTGCATCATCCCCTTGTCTTTCCTTGCGTGTCCGAGATCGGGTTGAGCCGCGGAACTCCGATACAGTCCTGACATGTGTCAGCTTAGACAGCAAAGTCCTCTTTGTCCTGGCGCTCTTGTCTGTAACCTACATGAGTCCCATGACTTCATTCTGCCGTTAGTTTTCCAAAATGTGAGCATGCCCTCACCGATATCCCTTTCACTCTCGACCTCAACAGTGGTGGTGTGTGCTGTGTCACGTCCGAGATCAACGATTAGGTTGACGTCGAACCTCCGTGCTGCGGATCAGGCAAGTGACGGAGACATGATGATCTGATCATGTCTCAATGCGCAGAGGGATTTGCTGATAGGTCTTTTGGTTCTACATAACTCGATATTAGATGCCCCACAGGACTCGCCCATGAGTTGGCGCGCATTTCATCTTTAAACACCACAATCTTGCTCTTGCTACCATCATGCATATCCCCACGCTTTTTCTCCTTGCCTGCCTCGTCCCCTTTTGCCTCGGGACGACATCCACCGACTCCCACGGCTCCACCTCCCAGCCCGATGTTTACGAAGCTATCCACCAAAGAGAGTCGATCCTCGCTGAAACTCTGGACACCAAGGATTGGGACCGCCTGGGCGAGTCGATGACCGAAGACATCATTTACGACAGCAGGCCGCTCGGTCCTGATTACGGCGGGCTGTCTGTCGGCCTGGATCAAGTCATCGAGAATACCAAGCAGGCATTCGGCGACGCCATGGTCGCGCACCATGTCTCCAACGCGATCATCCGGCTGAACCCTGACGTAACCGAGGCCAACGTCACCACCTAGTTAGTTGCCTTGCTCAGTGTTCTCTGTTCTTACTGAAGTTCTTGGAAACTGACAACTCGTAGCATCGTTTGGTCTCGCTGGGAGCCGGATGCGCTTGATGATCCGAAAAAGACGTTCCGAATCTATGAGAGGTGCGACGACATATTTGTGGTGGATGATGGGACTTGGAAACTGACGTACAGTTTGGTCACAAACCTGGCGCCGAAGGTTGAGAACCCCTACTTCAACGATGAGCAGGATATGTAGTGTCGTCTCAGGTAAATGAGCCTGCAAAGTTCTATGTCGGAGTAGGTAGTGTGAAGAACTTGTTGGATTGGCAACAGCTACAGGCAGGGCGGTCCGGTTCATGGATCTGGGCTTGATGCATCAAAAGAAGGCTCTGAACGTACCCAATTCAACAGTACAGTGGGACGGCTGTGTTGCAGGGCACAGTGCTGTGTCGTGATCTACATATAACTCATAGGATTGCAAGGTCGGAGCGACTCGCGATTCGACACCCTTTTTCAGGGAGATGCAATATAGCTGAGTGGGTTAGTTGTGCACGTATCGTCACAAGAGCCTTACAAAGGCCGAGAGCTCCCTACTAACCCAGGCCCGGACCGTGGCTATAGGCCTTAAGGACTGCCTCTTCCGAGCCAAGGTTCCTCGAATACCTACTCCCTACTGCGAATGCGGCTAGGGCACGGAAACAGTAGAACACTTAGTTGTATGGTGCCGCGAACTACCGAAGCCAAAGACCTGGCTGGCTATAAAGATATGCTCATAGAGGGATTTATATAGAGCTCTCGATGGGTGGGGGACAAACAGAGAAGGCTAGCAAGGAAGGTGCAAGGTGGCTCTAGGGTACGGATTAGCTCCTGGAGTATAGGCTAGCCGTGCAGCTAGAACTAGGCTAGTTTGCTAGCCTAGTTAGATAAAGTGGGGGTTCAAAAGTCTGGCCCACCTTGTTGAACTGAGTGGGTTCCTTGGCACCAAGATTCACGGACTGAGCACTGATGTTCAATGCGAGACTCTCAGTCAACACAGATCCATCACAATGACGCAGTTCCTGACATAACGTCATACCATGGCACACTGTCTCTATATAAGGGGGTAATTCCCCTGGGAGAATTAGAGAGGACAATCTTCTGAAGAAGGGGACATTCTGAGACACCCTAACCCACTATCTTGATCCTTCATTGTGTGGTCACTCTGGAATCGTGACTCCAATTCAAGCTTCATTTCATACCTCAATCTGTTCAATACCATTTGGTTGATCTAAGCTTACTTGAGCATGTAACTGTTGGCTGCCCAACACACCTCACACCAACTACCCCCACTATCTAAGTTCTTTATCTTTAAGTCGGGAGGCTGCTGTTGGGCAGCCAACAGTTACATGCTCGAGTAAGTTTAGACCAACCAAGTGGTATTGAATAGATTGAGGTATGAAATGAAGCTTGAATTGGAGTCACGATTCCAGAGTGACCACACAAATGAAGGATCAAGATAGTGGGTTAGGGTGCCTCAAAATGTCCCTTTCTTTTAGAAAAAATTGACCTCTCTAATCCTCCCAGGGGAATTACCCCCTTATATAGAGACAGTGAGCGATGATATGACGTTTATGTCAGAACTGCTTTATAATGATAAGCCCATCTTGACCCGAGAGTCTCCAAGTCCGTCAACCAGCCGTCATTGTGATGGATCTGTGTTGACTGAGAGTCTCGTATTGAACATCAGTGCCCAGTCCGTGAATCTTGGTGCCAAGGAACCCACTCAGTTCAACAGCTGCATACCCAACCTTCTAGGCTTCGTTGACGAATCGTTCCACGTAGTAGAGGAAATAGGCCCTCATCTAGACGAGCTATCCAGTGAGTTCTTCTTTAAATCCTCCGTACTTGGGGGGTGCCTCTATCTTAGCTTTGGCGGTCTGGCTACGCAGGTAGGCGAGCTCTCGTTCGAGCTGGGCATTATGGGCGTTAGCTTGCTCGAGCTCCCATTGAATAACCATAGTGTTGCCTCCTATGACCTAAGCTTGCAGAGCGGGAGTATTCGGGGTGTTAGGTGCTATAGCGAATAGTAACCTTCAGTCAAGTCCGTAATAGAACTAAAGGGAGTAAGCAATGTATAATGAATCTCAAGCCCTAACTTTTGAAGAGGACTTCTGAAAATTATAACTTGATATCGGAGTAAGGTTCGGTAAAGCCAAAGGGTTTATAACAAGCAATGTCTAAAGGTACTGAAAACCTTACACTTGAATTGCTTACTGAGGAAGCTATAGTAATGCCTATAGGCCTAAAGATCGTAGACTATATACAGCTTGCTCCCTCAGGTACCTCCGTACCTACGATCACTGCGATCACCTTCTTGGCGGTGATCTTAGTGAGCCGCTCACCGCGCTCACTTCCTTGGTAGTAATCTGGGTGAGCCTCTCACCGTGTTGGGCAGCCAACAGTTACATGCTCAAGTAAGCTTAGATCAACCAAATGGTATTGAACAGATTGAGGTATGAAACGAAGCTTGAATTGGAGTCACGATTCCAGAGTGACCACACAAA